GGAGGCGAGTCTAACCGTCGGAGAGAGGCCAAAGAGGGAAGGGTGCACCGAATGAAAAGAAATATACTTCTGTGAATGGTGCGATCGTGGTAGACTCAGGCCTGCTCGCGCCCCCTTCCCCCTCAGTATGGCAAACAGAGTCTTTCTTCTGGTCCGAGGTGGGCTACCTATACGGGGCTGTGGTACTCTTGGATTTTTGATTTGTTCTCATTTGATACCTGCTCGGGAGGTGACGTTGAAGGAGAGAACAGACAACGCCAAGGTGTGGAAAGGGATGGGAATGACAGGTTCCTTTTTTTTTCTTTTTCTTGCCCTTTCCCTTGGCGACCGCGGCACGGCGGCTGTGCCCGAGATCCAACCAGAGAGGGGGAACTGGTGATGATTATGATGATGATGATGATGGGGATAATGATTCTTTTTTTTCTATTTATTATTTTAATGTATTATTTTATGTCTCCCCCTCCCTCTGTCCTCTATGAAACTGCCTAAGATATTTGCACACTGTGTCGCCTTCCAGATCTGGCCTGTGATCGGGGTAATAGTACTTCAGTACAAATCTTTTAACTGCGAAAGGCAAATTATGGATGTACAATGGTCTCTGTTATGTCATGTTTGAGGCAGTAGGGGGCCAGGATAAACACATCAGACATACATCGAAGCCTCCACCCGCCTCCTCAAGGCGACATCCATCCACTCATGCCCTATCTGGCTTTACATACCGATGAAACAGCCCAACCCCAAAATCTCCCTATGGAACGTTGTCCTTTGGCCAGGCACAGGGCACCAGATCTGAAGCCCTGCACAACCGTAAGGTCCCAGGTGATTGGAGGGTCCAGGGGCAGTCGATCCAGTGATTCAGTTGCGATTGCAACGAGGAGGGGGGGGGGAGTGAGGGAGAGAGGTTGTGTGACAGTGGCGGTTCTCCACACGCCCATTCCTCAGATCGTGCATGCCGATGGCTCCCATTCCCCCCCAGAAGTGTACCGCCTGTCCGACCATGAGAGGCATGCTGTCGGATCGACGGGGCCGAGAGGGACTGGAAAAACTACAGACTGACTGACCTAGGGGACGTGATTTTCTCGATCATGAATGATCTCCCATTAATTACTTTTCGCTTCATGTAGGATGTAGGATGTCCGATGTACCGATGGTACCGATGCACGTAGATGGAGAAGTACGGCCCCCTCGGTCGTTGCCTACTGTGAAAGAACTCGGGCTTCCTCGGCATGCTTAACGGTGCATTAATAAGCCATGCAGAGAGGGGGGACGGGGTCCGAACCCCCCCCCCCCCCCCCTTCGGTGGAGTCGATACTGCTACATGTCCGAGGCTGACGAGTCGAGAAGCGGTTTCAATACTCAATCGGAGATCTCGAGCCCCATGTGACACCCGCGCGGCGCTGCCTCCCAAGATTCCCTTTCCGTTTGGTGGGGTTTGCCCCGTATATCAGCGTGAGCTATTAAGTATAGTTGCGTCGCTAGCCCAGTCGCTAGGGAACAGCTGTCACCACTCTATCGGGTCTTCTATTATATTATCTTGCATGGCCCTAAAAAAGAAAAACGGCCAAACAATGAAGCCAAGCGATCATTATTGTTCTCGCAAATCCGTCCAATCTGTAGGCCATCCGTAACTTCGTCATCGTCCGGACTTAATCCTGCGTTCAGCGGTCAGCCCGGCGTAGAGAGGAGGAGGGGGGGGGAATTGGATGTGACAACCTCGATTTCGCCTCTTGGGTCGTATCTGTATGCCTGCCTGCATCGATCCGGCCCTTCCAAAGAGATCGGAGCAGGATCAATTCACTGACCTTGCATGATGTTGACCTTCTCGGATCTACCCTCTCGTATTTGCCTTCACGAGGATTAGCTGCGAGGAAATCTTCGTAAAGGAGCTGTGACAGTTACAGGAGAAATCAACATAAAATTGGATGATACTGCGGCGCCGAGCGGGACTCCACCCTACGAACGGCCAGTCTGACTCTAGACGGAGACCATGACGATGTAGGAAAGAGATCCAAAAGATGGCTGATTTTAGGGCCCGCTGGTGGATTATGGGGAGGGGCGGCAAAGACGACTTCCAGAAGCACGAAAAACAAGGCCGATAGATTAATCGCACCGCCTCTCCGTCTAGGCGTTGCTTATAGTCAGAAATGGGGCTTTTCTTTTCTTTTCTTTTCTTTTTCTTGTCATTTTGTGTTTTTCTATTTTTTTTTTGGGGTGGTGGAAGCCTCTTTCAGGTGGTATTCTGTTGCAATCAGGTCTCTATCTGGCAGATTTTAGTGATCAATGTCGATGATAATCGACCATAGTGTGATCATCGTGCTCGAAACCATTGAGTTCAGGCTCAATTCGGAGCCGTCTTCTTCCCTAGGACCGGTGGCACCCGGTGGAACTTGGGTGCCGGGCGTGACATCTCGATATGGCGGAGTCCCTAGGCTCGCAGGTCGATACTGCGGTGAAGTACCTGGTCTCGCTCTCCTCGCTCGGACTGTATCGAGTTAAGGGGAGGTACCGACTTCCCTCCACCCCCAAGGCTCATTAAACCCACTGCCCCTCCCCCCTGGGTCTCCACTCCCAAGATACCCGCCCATCGCAACTAAAGACAAACTACCAGTGATAGGTATAATCCCAAAGTCAACTCCACATGCGAAGATCCGCAGTTCGCCTGTACTGTAATTTGCCTTCCAGTAAAAACGGGGTCATGACCGATCTGCCAATTCTCCCTCCTCGATTTTTCGGGGGTAATTTTCCCGTTTCCTGTCTTCTTCCCCTGTCAAACCGGCGCTTGTCCCTCCCTCTTCCTCTCTCTCTCTCTCTCTCTCTCTCTCTCTCTCTCTCACACACACACACACACACACATTCCCCCCTTCGCACGCAAGCAGGGGATAAAAAAAAAAAACCAGAGGCCTGCTATAGTCGATCTAATGAGAAGCTAGGGCAAGGCTCGGAGGATGTATCGAACCGTAGAACTGGAAATTGATTTTCCAGATTGACAGATGGTACGGCAGAGACTCGTACGGGGGTTTCTCTGCGCAATCGTAAAGTCGTATGTATACACCGATCCGCCCATCTCGATCCACTTGATTCCTCCGATGGGCGCAACCCAAAAAAAAAAAAGAAAAAGAAAAAGGAATAGGCAGGAAAAATGCAATAGTAGGATGAAAATAATAATCAATTAAAAAATAATAAAAAGAATAATCCTGATTTTCGACTGAGTATTATTTTTTAAAGTTCCTGTTGGCGTACCGGCCTTTCCATTCTTTTTCTCTGTCGTGACCCCCTCCTCCCCCCCGGTTCATTCCAATCTAAGGCCCGAAATGAAGTAGCCTCGATCCCCTCGATGCGCCGCGGATGGAGGATGGAGGTGGATTTTTGGTGGTATTTTCCAGTATTCCCAGGCAGGTATTGACAGGGTATTGATGATTTATTCCCTCGAATTCTTTTTCGATTTTTATTATTTATTATTCAGCCCTCTTGCCGGTCTCCAGTGTCCCAAGTCTCCCAGCCTGTCGGTGTCCTAGTGTCCTAGTGTGCTAGTCTCCAGTTTCCTAGTCTCCGTTGTGCTTTAGTTCATACGGAGTATTGTATTATGCTGGATTGGGATTTCCCCTGTTTTATTTGGCTGTGATTATCCCTCTGGATTTCCCTGTTCCCCTCTGATATCGATCGCTGGATCGAAATCTGACTTTATTTAACTCGCTCCTCTCCATTCTTATTCCACCTCTCCCTTTCCCCTCGTGCAGGGTTTGTTTTCTGTTGGGAACGAACCTCCACTGCAACGGACCCGGCAAAACAATACACTCGCCTCCATCGCCCCCCGTCATCCTCTATATTTCCTCTATACTCCGTCCTTCTATACTCTATACCTCTCTTCCCCCCCCCCCTCTCTATATACCACATCCTCAACACCGGTCCCATCCTCCGTCTGGTATTTTCGGGATCGACTGTATACCTATCATAGTGCGCGAGGCATACCGGGATTGACATTCCCCTTACGACCATCCGTCGCCAGTCCACGCGAGTGCGACCAACTCGACCCATCTATCCGCATCCCTTGCGTGGCACTTCTACTCCTCCGCACGATCGATCTCGACTTTTATTTTATTTTTTTTCTTTTCCGTTGGACTCTGGGTTTTTGAATTATATCTCGCTCTCTTCCCTCCTTTTTTGATATTTTTATTGCCTCTATCTTACGTTGTCATATTCTGTTTTGACGGCGGGTTGGGTCTGTTTTGTCGATTCAAGAACCGGCCCTCGACCGTCTTCCCCCCCCCCTCCGCACCCCATTTCCCGACTTTATCACGACTACCACCGATCACCACCTCTTTTCCTCCCTCCCTCTTCTGTGAGGGAATGGTATTTAGGTCCAGTTTGTCTTCTACGACTCTTGCGACCATTCTTTCGACCCGATCGCATCGGACTTAATTCGCAACCGGCGGCTGGGCCACCATTGTTCCCCCTCCCAAACTCTCCAAACTCGCCTCCCCCCCCCCATACCATTCCTAGACGCCGAACGCCACTCTCAATCCTCCTTTGGCCTCGATCTTGGATCTTCGCCCCTTGTACGGCATCGCATCTCCGATCTTCCCGCCACCCGGGGACCCTTCTTCGACATCTCGGCACGAACTAGTGGATCGGGTTTCCCTGAAGATCAAGTGGTCGCACGAGAGAGAGGCGTTCCGAGGAACCGTTGACCATCTCGGCCGGATCTTGGGTTATTTCTTGTCGGGCCTGCCACATCCTTTCTGTTCCTTGTCCATTCTCTCCCGACATCTCGATCACGGAGATCGATCGCTGGCTGTGTCGGCAATTCAAATCTTGGATACGCGATCGGACACGGTGCGACCAATCGTGGGTTGAATGAGGTCAGGAATCCAAGCGTGACAGATTCACCGTCTCCTTCGTCTCCCTTTCTCCTTCCTTCTCCAACACAGCAATCGCACCCCTCAACCCGTCTCCATTCTCATACACCTCTCATATCCCACATCGTTCGTTGCTCCAACGTGATGGGGTCTTTGGAAACCGCCCCTAGGCACAGGTTGGTTTCGGCGTCCTTTGTTTTTTTTTTCTGCCTCGGGGGCTTCCTGCTCATCCTTGACTGCCGCGCAATTTAGTCCGGACCTCAATGCTGACCACTGTCATCTATTAGAGATCCTTTGCCCTCCATCGGTTTCCTAGGAAAAGACGGCTCTGGATATACACCCCATCCTCCGGCCGCCGCCTCCCCCACTTCTCTCTTGAGCCCGAACAACATGTATTCCGGACAACCCTTGCCGTATTCCTCCTACCCGCCGTCGCAACAAGGCTATATCTCCCCACCGGAGTCGCGTCGAGTTCTTGAGGATGAGAAAGAAAAGACCACCGGCCGCCAGTCCTTACCGTCCATTCATGAAGCCTTGGGCAACGACAATCCTCTCCCATATCCCGCTCCCACCTCCGCACCACCACCGCAATCCGGACCTCCTGCACCACCCACACATTTGATCGGACGCTCCAGCGCCGAAGGACCACCAGGGCCTCCAAACCCATTCTCCAATGGGCCAGCCTCTGGCCCACTGATGCGAGAGTCGGGCTTCCCTGCTCACCAGAACCAGCTCCCGGCCGAGGCCTCTCGAACCAGTCTCACCTCCATCAATACGCAAGAGTCGCGAAACGCGTCACTACATTCTATCAGCACCGGCAAGTCGCCTACACAAAGCGCCAAGACCGGTATCACCTCGGTCTCCGGATCGCAAAACTCTTCCGCCTACGATTATAGCGCGCCGCCGTCTGCTGGCAGTGTGGCGTCACCCAATGGCTACAGCCATTTCCCTCATAACTATTCCTTCTCTACTTCTCAACAGCCGCAGAGTGGTCCGTCATACCCTCCACCTGGTCCCTACGACAACCGAGCTTACATGGGTGCGCCACGCGTGGAAGAAGTCAAGGGTGGATTTGTGGGTCGTCCGATGCCGGGCCAACTCCATAGCGACTCGGTGAAGCGACATCTGGACGTTTACGATGTGGAGACGTCTCTGAACGAGGTATGAATTTCCTTTTTTCTTCTTTCTTTTCTCCCCCTCTTGTTTTTAGGATTGGCACTTTATGATTTTTTTGGGCTGTGTGGTGGAGGAGAGGGGCCAGGAAAACCTGTCAAAGAGGGATATTATTACCTGTTGATCCCGCCAGTTGGGGAGAGGCGGGTGGTGCCAGAAAGACCAGAGTTTGGAACAGCAAGCGGGCTAACACCAACTTTTTGCCTTTTTGGAATAGATCGCCGAGCTCAGTTCGCGAACATTGGAGTTTGCACGACACTATGCGGCTCGGGCACACCAGACACAGCGGTCTGGGCCGGTCTTGGGGTCCCTCCCAACGTTGAACGAGGTGGAGGACATGCTCCATCTGCAGCGTCGGAACCAAGATGCGTTGATCCGGATACGGACGGCCGTGGTGAACCAGGAACAGGCACTGGCCGAGCAAATGGCCCAGCGCAAGGCATTCAAGCCCGAGGATGAGCACATGGCCCTGTACCAGGAAGAGTTCAAGGGCACCGGTGGATTTGCCGGGGCCGATTCGAAGAAACGGCGTGGAGTAAGTTTCCCGTTCTTTTTTGGCTTTGGGTTGACCTTCCTCCTCTCTCCCTCTTCCCCTCCTCGCCCTCTCTCTGTGCCTTTTTTACTCGTTTATCCCCACTCATCCCCGGAGCTTAGCACCGTGGGTTGACACCTGCCGAATTGGCCTTCTCTCCACTTTCTATCCTTTTTCTTGGACGCTGTATGGCTAACCATTTATTGCAGAAGGCGGCCCCTCCTGGTCGTTGCCACAGCTGTAACCGAGCCGAAACGCCGGAATGGCGTCGGGGTCCAGATGGTGCCCGAACGCTGTGTAACGCCTGCGGCCTGCACTATGCCAAGCTTACCCGCAAGATGGGTGCCAACAAGGCGGCGACTCTGGGATCGACCCTGAAGCCCAAGACGGTCCTCGACTCCGCATCGCCAACCAGTCATTAAGCTTGCTCTTTCTCATGTGGCGTTGGAAAAAGGCGGGAAATAGAAACGGGAGGCAAAAAGGAGTTCAGTGTGGCCCATTTTTTTTTTAAATGGCTTCTTTGGGATCTTGGATTTTTTTTTCTCGCTTTTTCTCGATTTTTTTTTCCCTTTTTTTTGGATTCCTTTTCGTCAGTTTCCTTTTGGGGGACCTCATGAGTCTGGTCTATTCTCGTTTCCCTTCACAGCATCTTCTCTTGTTCCTTGCCCTTCCCCCCACCTTATTCGTTCTCCCACCTTTGGATGTTTTACCTCATTTGTGTTCTGTCCATGGTTGTGCGGACCTTCCTAATCGGTTGTCCTTATATAATACCCTCGCAGCGTTGGGAGCCCGGATCAAAGTATAGATTTTAACGCTCATTCTTTTTTTGATATCGGATTCCCGAGGCGATTCTGTTCTCGTCAAAGTCTGTTCTGTCTCTCCCTTGACCGCTTCTCCTGGTTTATACCCTGCATGTTGTTCCTCATGAGCCTTTCCCTACCGTTCTCCTTCCTATACACGTGTGTTTGAGTATGTGCTTTCCTCCCGTTCTCTGTGATGTGTGTACGATCTTGGTTCTATTCTGTTCCCTTAGCATCTTGACGGACTATCTTGGATGAAAGCTGCTCTCTCTCTTTTCTTGTATTGTCAGATCAATGATCAGCGATCAATTACCAAATTCTCCTATTTCCCCCTTCTCTCATTGCTTGGCACAGCATATATGCCTGCCTCTGATTGCACTGGAACTCTTTCGCGGGTGGCAATTTGGATCGGCCTGACGCGACGGCTTTTTACAGATGTAGTTCGGCAAGATCTCGATCTCGATCTGACAAATGTATGCACAATGGGTGCACTCAATCTCCTCGGTTCCTGCTCGGGCCGTGTCGAACAGCGCGTATATTTGTTTATTCGCCACTGATTCCAAATCTGGTTCGGCCTAGGCTGTCGGCCGGAACGATGAAGTCAGAGTTGCGGCCGAGTTCGTGGATGTCTGGGTCGAACCAGAGTTCGTCCGCCCACCCTTCGCCATCACGGAGTATGGATTTGGACCCTTCGCTACGGATATACTATCAGAGACAACCTGCCACACTTGGCAACTGACGACCTGGAGGCGAATTTCCTTCGCCTTCTTTTCAATTCTGGCCATGTTCAATCAGACTTTTTTTTTCTTCTCACTGCGCAAGTCTGATTTCCGCAAATACGCCCCAGACTCTTAGCCGGCAAAGAGGCGAACCACCCCGTACTTCGTACCGGACGGGCGATGACTCGGCCTTGTCAGCAAGACTATTAATCCTCGGCAGGGGTACTTTCCCGGGCAAATCGAGATATCGTATGCACCCAGCGCCTGCGCGCACTCATAATGCGACCTCCGTCGGCGATCCGATAGCCGGGAATTGACGCCCGCGACACATTCAAGCGGGAAATCTTACGAAACCCTATCCTGCATACATTACGACTACGGGATAGAGGGCGGAGAGGAGGGAGAGAGGGGGAGACGATCACGCTGCAGCTCGCTGCAGGCCCTCACCAATCCAGCCCTGACACCACCCCCTCCTTCACGGGCTGTCCGATACCGCGGGGGAGGGGAGGAGCTGAGCTGATCGGATTGGGCACCAGGGACCTCGGGACGGAGGGTGGGATGGAGAGGGTTTCCCTCGTCCCCCGATCTTCGAACGGAGAACTGCGAGTTCGACGCAGGAGAATGCGCGAATGTCGTGGCGGTGGTGGTAGTGATCCGCAATGAACGATTATCTCAAATACTTGAACGCCCACGACTCCACTCGATGCCAAGAGCGAATGTTTCCACCACCGCCGTCCCGCCTCCCCATAGAGAGCGACCGTGAGGATGTACTCCATACTGTATTTGACGGCGCGAATGGGAGGGGTTGCGGCGGGAATGAGGGGCGCGTTTCGCGTCTCTGAATTTGTCATGGTCGGGCTGATACGACTGGTGGCTGTACTTGACAGCCCCGTTCGTGGGAAGCCCGGAGCGATCGCATGGTGGAACCCGATCATCTGCCAAAAACACGGAATACAGAGTATACATACGGAGTATACGGACGAGGACGGGGGATCGACGGATGCTGGCGACATATGATCGTGGATCTTGGCGGCAATGGAGGACCAAGCTGAACAAATGGAGCCCCAAAAACAAACACAACTCAAAAAAAAAAACACGGTGTAGAGTGGGTTCAAGAAGAACTACGGACTCTAACCGCTTGGGGCCAAGGCTGAGACTAGCAGGGATGCGGTGCATCGATCGAGATCCCAGATCCTCGAGTATTTGAAATCGAACGAGGTCGCTCACCGACCATTGGCCTTGCACCCTCAAAGGAATATTACTCCGGGATTTGGTCTGAGATCGGGGTATTTTCCTTCTGTTCTGGGCCCTTCTTAATTCTCCTTCGATGTACGATCTACTTGGTGCACAACCTCGGCATCGTTGCGACTAGTGCGAGTCGTGATCGGAGACGCTCCTGGCATGATAGAATTGGCGAACAAGCGATGGAGTACGGAGTACGGAGTACGGAGTATACGCCGTACTACTCCTGCATACTCTCCGGCGGGCCCAGGCCAGTTTCCTTCTGGAAGGGGGCCAGATGAAGACCCCCGAGACTCCATCCGACTAAATCCTTCTGAAATCCTCCTTGGTGCCCCAGGGCATACTGCATCGAGAGAATTATCCCAATCTAGAAACCGAGGCCCGCCTGATCAGGCTGGCGTATTCCTTTTGAGTAAGAGCTCTATGAGCCATCCCTGTGGAGATCGCTGTACAGGCGATACAGTTATGACTTGATCGTTCATCGTCTTTACAGAAAGAAAATTTCATGGGTCTTCATTCTTTTTTTTTTCTTTATTTGGCTCGGGCTTGTTCATGATCGCCGGCCATTCATGAAATTTAGAACTCCCCTATCCCAACCTAAATTTGGCTGGGATGCTAGTTCACGGAACCAGGTCACGATTCAAACCTTATGAATCATCAATTTGCCTATTTTGGAAGTTGAGCTTACTCGCCCTGGAAATGCTAGACAAATGCTAGAACTTTGGCGACGAACTATACCTGGAACTAGAGGGGAACTAATCAGCCGTCGAAAGTCTCTCTTTTTTTAATGACTCGAAAACAAATTGCCACATCATCCACTCGCGCCGAATAGAGGTCTTCCGAGTGACCTTTTCAAAAATTCAAAAATTCAACGAATTTTTTTCTTTTTATCATTCGCACGTCGAGCTTCATCGCCCATCGCCCACCGCCGTTCCGAGATCCGGTCCTGGTCGAGATCGCGATTCAGACGCCACGCATGAAACATTGTTGCGCGACCACGAAGTCTGGACTCTTTTCTTTTTGGACGTAGTGCGTGGGAAATTGCAAGGCAACGCGACAGGTATGCGCGGCGAACACCGGCCTGTGATGTCCTCCGTCGAGTATGGGCGATGCACGGAGAACTGGGTGGTATTCCGCCCGATGATGCGGTACAAGCTACCAACCGCTTCGAGCAAGTCCACACATCTAGTGGTCCTTGTGAACACATAAATCGGAAGCCACATTGCTCCGTACCTCCCTTACGGACAGAGGACTCCCGTCTTCAGGTGGCACTATCTTCTCCAGACGCGCGCAAACCAACGGGCGCCGACGCTGGCGACTCTCAGGCCTCTCGTCCCCGTATCACTGCATCCGTACCTCGCGAACTACCGGCTTTACGGCTGAGTCGCATTTGCCGAGCGCACCGTTCAACGAAGGGGGATCGGGGCCCGGTCCCCACACACAATCACACCGCCCTGTGCAACCGATGAACTATAACCTGGAATACGATGGACTATCGTCTTGGGTCAAGCACCCCGGAGGACATGTCCCAGTTTGGACGTGGTGTACGTGCTCAGCTGCTGAGTCGGAATGACAGAATTGGTCTGGAGAACGGAGTACAGGGGTCGGACCAACCCTGGGCCTGTGCCGTGCCGCGAATAATAAGCATTTGATCGGTGCCCAACCAAACCCAATCTGCGATCGCTCCGAGATCAAAACAGATTGAACCGTCCTTTTTCCCGATGACCCTTTTCTGTTCGCCAGGGGTCATGGATGGGTGGGCTGCGTCCTCACTGGAACGTTCTGCATGGATGCTCCATGGTCGGACTCCATTAGATCGGATTTTGAGGCGTACCGAAATGTCGGTCATTCAATAATCACATTAGCTCATGTTGATGATCGCGGTAATTTTTGTTTTCCGCCCGTCCCTGATGACGATCCCCTCGATATGCCGTCTGCGACCGTCATCGTCAATACTAGGAATATCTAGGCAAGAATCGTCCATCAGGAGATTGCAAGGGCCGCCGTCGGCAGATCTGTATTTTATCCGGGGCTCTCGAGCCTCCCACTATACCACACCTGGGTGACTTGTAGAAAGCAAAGGTCGAAGGTGTGGAGCTCTAGCTTTGCTTCGCTGGGTGTTCCTTGGACCTTCTCTGCATCATCAGATCCCGCGTCATTTGCGGGTCAGGGGGCGTGTAGTTGCTTCCTTGGCTTTCCGTACTATCGATCTGAGAACCATCCCAGCGGTTCTTGGGGTGGGACCGAGCATCTTGGAGAGTCGATCCTTCGTTCTCACATAGATCCGTCCTTCCTGGCGCATCCTGATGCATCCTGATGCATCCTGACGGCCAGTCTGCCATAGAACCGGGTCTATCCGGGGGAGAAGTAAAAGCCGAGTAGTACAGTGAGGCTGAGACAGCGTGTTCAGTTGCCTTGTTCGCCCAGATGGGGACATTTTGATTTAGATTCCTTGGGCTTCACACACCCCCATACTCGCATCGCAGAATCAGAACTTAATCGATCTTCATCGTGTACCCGCTCCCCCCTCTCTGGTTCCCGTGGGTAATGTGTACGCGGGGCCCGAAGACGAGGAGTGTAAATATCCGCCAGTCGTTAAGTTTCGCTTATACCCCCTTCTGATTCCCCAGCAGCTACCGTGCTCACTTGAAAAACCCGGACAGTGGTTACTAGCGGCGGCTGAGTACCGTGGGTCGCGACCCGAAGACACAGGCGGCTGGAAATTTGAAAGTCTATCTGAAAGTCCAGGAAGATGGGGCCAATCGACATCATTAGCGTCGTCGAAGTGGAGATGAATCAAAGGTTTTGGCTAGCCGAGATTGGGACTATTGAATTGGACTCTTTTGGTACCCTTAGAAGGGATCGGGCGGACCATATGCGACGCGAACTCCCGATCGTCAAGGACCTTCCTTATGCTGAATCTCGTGCGGATGCCAGAGTACTACATACGGAGATCCATATATGGGGTGCACACCACTTGCAGAAGTCAACTTGAAGCCACTTGAATCTATTTACCCATCTTTGAGTTTCAGTGGCGCAATATCTTCGCCGGCTACGCGAGGGGCGCATTGCAGCAGAATGACTACCTCGAACCGAGCGCTTGCATCTGCCCGACGTCCTTCCCCAGATCTATCAAACCCGAGATCTCTTTTATCCATGGCATGCGTGCGTCAACCCGTAATAGTACCACCGAGTCCCACTGCCCCTCTCTGCTCCGATCTTAGCGAGCAGCACTAAACACATCATGTTCGTGTTCATTCCGTTGCACTGCAGGAAGAGGTTTGCTGTGGTGTCTGATTGGCGTCGGGGGCGGGATCTGATCTTCAAGATGTATGCATTGTAGGTGATCTTTGCTTTGTTGAGGGCCGTCCTCTGGTAGCCGTGTACGGCATGGAGTGCATCTCGCATGGCGGTGTGTTTCCTTTTTTCATGTAATGAAATGTTTCGCTGTGATTCGTAGTTAGTGGCCATCGCGGTGTTCCTACGGAGTAAACATGCTTCCTTTTGCATTAGATTCATTTCTTTTTCTCTTTCTGCCTGTTCGCGTCAAGGCTGCTAGATCGCTAGATCGTGGCTTCGTGGGCCGCGTCACTAGCTCATCAGGTTAGCCCCCATCGGCGAACACACAAGCCCTGATACTGGTGATTTTCCCATCCTGCAAGTCAGAACTTTGCCCGCATCGGACTGTGGCTGCAGAGACCGTTCCATTGACAATGCAGTCGAAATGCACTGTCCTAAATAGTCTGTCTTGCTTACCATTCCAAAAATACTACGGTAGTGCTTGGAGCCTCGGCACCGAGGCTCCACTCCCTAAGCGCCTCTGCCTTTGGCGCGGTGGATTTCACGTTCGATGTGAGCTCCGACTCAAATCAAGGTAACAAAAAGACTGACCACAGGGACCCATTATCCCCACTAGCGGTGGAATCAGAACTATGCTGGTTTTAGTGCGGCCCGTTATCGGGGGCCATGTGTAGATGTAGTACAGAGCCCGGTAGAGAGTACTCCGTTCTGCGTATGCCGCCGCAAACCATGTACAGTAATTATATGTACCGGGTCATAAAATACAGCTATCTCACATTCGATGGTGGATGGGGTCGTCCGAAGACATTATTGAATTCCTAGCGCCATCGGCCCCGCCGAATGAGCGGAGGAAGGCAAGTCGTGCGCGAACCCCACGCGAGATCTCGATCGGCATTGGATCTCCGATCGGCACATTCTGCAAACTCCCAAGAGGGTAAACAGTCCATGGACTCGGCACGAGGGAGTTCCACTTTCAGCAATGGCCCGAATCTATACTAGATGGATGTGGCTATGTATGGCTCTGAACAAAATCCTGACTGCGATACTTCTTGTCCTTTCTCATTGGTTGAAGCAAAATACTGACTAAGCCGGAAGCATGCATTGAGGCGTGAATTGTGATGACGAAAATGGCGTTTTCTCGGATCCGTCGGACCCGATCGAAGGTCTAACTTCGGCGGTTGGCCCAGATTGAGTCGGCCGGGGCATCGTTGGTACACCGATCCGGAGCACACGTGGAGAAATTAATTGATTTTAATCTGTATATCGCCTATAGTAGGGTGACACTATGGTGAGACAATCACATTTTAATCTACTTGAGTTTCTCTTAGCCAAATCATAATAATACCATCCGTCACTATCCGGGTAGTATTTGCAAGACGAGAAATGTTGATTACATACAAGGCCGAGAGTTAACTAAACTGTAGCTTGTCAAGTACATCAGACTTCGTCTTATTGGCAACGATATGCTATATGCGTCAGTTATGTAACCAGTACCTGGGTTGTCAAACATCCACATTGGAAGATATTCATAGACCAGTCCCCATTCTCTATCGCCAAAATGCATGGGCGACTGCATTGATATAATCAATCCCTTCTTTGCGCCATGTATCCGCTTCCATATGGCTGGTTGTATTGGCATCAAGCAACAGGTCAAACGGCTTGTTCTTTCCATACGCTTCCCAATGAACTGACCCATTGACCACCCCGGAGTTTGGATCTAAATCGTGGATGAATGATGCCCACATGCTGGTCATCATAGAACTCAGATCGATATAAGACTGTGGTACTCCAGCAAATGGCTTCCCGTAGTGGTAGCCTAGCCCGGCGATGTTATGGAATACAAAAGACACTTCTTCGAAGTGCGTGGCTCCCATGATATAAGGAACATCAGCGGCGTGGACGTTGAACCGGTAGCAATAGGCCGGCGTCAAAGTCTCGCTCCAAGCCTCGCATTGTCGACGTCGGTTCGCATGCATTGTAAAATCGCCCGCAAAAGCACTGGTTCGTCTCCATTCGTATCCCATCGACGGGACTCGCTGATTGCCGAGGAGCTCTGGGATACCCTGTGATGGGTCATCGGGGTACAGCTCGAGGATGCGTTTAGCCACAGATGGTGGCGTTTGAAAGTCGAAGCTACCATCTAATTTTATGAGCTGTTAGCGGCATGAAGCCGATGACTTGCATTTGTACGCTCAAAAAATTGGGTGTCATACCAGTGAGATACTCATACCACTGTTTAGTAGTGTTGATTCCCGTCGGACCAAACCCAGTCCCTTCATCTGTGTTTGTGCCTGCGATGATAGGGACCTTGACGAATGCATGCTTGTTCAGCTGGTTGCTACCCCAGTCCCGGATCAAATCTCCGTCAACAACAGGCGCGAAATTATACTCGGACGAGCCGTCGGTCCCATTCAGAACCGAGTTAAGAGTTTCAAATGGAACCTCGCGCAAGCACTGTAACGAGTCGACGGTGTCGGCGCAGTTGACACTAGATACAAGCGTGTCGTAGGAAAATTGAAATGTCGTTTGATTTTGCGGGCTGGCAGGAATGGGTCCTCCCGATTCCATGATACCTGCTCTAAACAGCTTGTCGTCTCGACCACCATATGCCGTCAGATGGTAGCCCACTGACATGCCTCCCGCCGATTCGCCCCAGATGGTGACCTTGGTCGGATCGCCGCCGAAAGCAGCTATGTTTTCCTGCACCCAGTGTAGCGCCAGTCTCTGGTCTCGCAAGCCGAGATTGGTATTGCCGCTCCCGGAGACCTGGCTCGAACTGATGAAGCCCCAGGCGGAAAGCCTATAATTAAGGGTGACAGCAATAAAAGGTTTACCTGGCAGAGGTGCCAGATTAGATCATGACGAATACACAAAACATGATGAAAAATGTGAGACCACATACCAATATCATAAGAGTTTTCAATGATAGCTGACATGTTGTAACGTTGATCGGCACCTGAACCCATAAAGAAGCCACCTCCGTGGAACCAGATTCCTACTGGCAACTTGGAGTTTTCCGTGATGGACGAACTCCGAATCACGTTCAAGGTCAAGCAGGCTTCGGATTGGGAATACCAGATAGAATCGGTCTAATCTCACAAAAGAAGGTCATTTCTTTGTAACCCAGGGTAGGGTAAAGCGAGAACCTACCCCATATCCAACACAAATGTCTGAATACTCTTTCGCATCGCGTGTCCCACTCCAACTTTCATTTAACGGCTGCGGTACAGTAAAGCGCAGGTCTCCCACAGGCTGCTGGGCATAGGGCATGCCCAAGAAAAAATCTTGCCCATAGATTGTGCTACGTACACCTGTATAGGTTCCATTGCGGACTGTTGCAGTAGGAGCGGGCTTTGCGCCTGGAGCAGCGTAAACTATAACCCCCAAGGCAAGAAAGCCGGTTGCAAAAGCGAACATGGTACCACACCCACCCGCTTTAGTGGGAGAGAATATTAAAAAGCTTGAGTTGGCCCTTCATTGTTCTTCATGACGTTTCTGTATATTCATATACTCCGCAAATTCCGGGAATGCCGCTTGATAATGCGGGGGGTTTAAAAAGCCCCACATCCAAATCGTCTACGATCAGCGCTGCTGAAGGAAAATATGAGCAAGCCGGCCAAATTGTGCCCCGGGCCACTGCAGGATGTGCCGTGGATGCTTACCGTCATTGTGCCTATCGGACCAATTTCTTGGTATCCAGACTGCCCGGCATCAATTTGGCACCGAAATCCGGTGATACGAGCAATAAAAAGAACAGTTTGGGTGGGATAAAAGTGGGATCAAGGCCGAGAATGATGGAGCTGCATGATTCTGTGGGGTTCTGATGCGGGAATTAATATCGCAACCGGTTTAAGTTTGCGGATGAATGCCTAAACTAGTCATAGAGCGGTGATTCGGATGGCTGTGTTCTCAGTACAGACCGAGGCTTATCCGACAGGGACGAATTCCCCAAAGTAGTCACCGGGTTGGAGATTGAGAAGAATTCAATTTGATAGTTCAAGCATTGAAGGCAGGAGGTGCAGAGGCAGGGGCAGGACCGGGGAAAGAAGTAATAGTAGAGAGAGCAGTATATGGAGGAGTTGAGAGAGTAGTCAGGCCGGCGGCATCCGAATTGAGAAAGTAATGACCAAGACTTGATATCTGGCACGTAAAGGAACACGTCGTTGACATATCCCAGATTTATGAGAATTTTCTAATCGTACTTGTGCAGAGCACATAGTTGATGAGAAAAGTTTGCTTAGTATCAGGTCCCTCGACTTCTTTGGCTCTCAAGGCAAAAAAGATAGATCTTATTAATAAGCGCTCTCAAGTGTACAGTTTTCGTCGTGATTATTCTACGATTGAAAGACAGCCATTGAATCATTTGACGATGTCATAGAGGCCGTCTTTTCGTTGATCGGTACCTAAAACAAGGGTTGGTATAGGAGTGAGACAGACACCACATGCCAATACCTATCTCAGAAATTGCATTCAAGGATTGTCTTGACTTACCGGCAAACGAGTCGCCAAATCTTCAGCAGAAATCCCATCGAGACTTGGAAGGTTGGATGGATCTTCATTCCTGTGGCATCGGGATAATAAGTCTCATTATTCCCGGCAAAGAGATATGACCAACTCACAAAAGATCAATCCTCCCTGCAATTTTCCGCATTTTGCCTCGGATGAGCTCCCGCTCCTTGACAAGAGCCCAAATGTCAAGAGGTATAGGGTTTTCACACTTGCTCAAACGGTATTGAGAAGGATTCGCCATGACAGACTGTAGTCGGTTGAGATTGTGCTTGAATTCCATGTAGCAATCCAATAACTCCGATGAATAGTTCTGGACAGGTACAAAGTCTGGTAACTTGATGTTATTGTCGCTGGCCCATTCAACGAATTCACGGTTGTCTGTATAACGGGTCAAGATGACCCATGTACGCTGCGGGCATTCTGCCACTCGTGAGGGGAAGGCAGCCGCCGCGCGCATGAGTGAGTCGAGTGTCCATTCTTCAGAATCTACATGACCCATGTTAAAAGGGCTCTATTGTAATCCGATCGAAGCATAATTTCTTTTTGAAAGAAACCTACCTGGCTTTATCTGGCCGCCGCCAGACCAACTCACCGAAACTGACGTTTCCGTGTGCTTAAGCGCCTCCTCGAGTCCGGAGCCCACACTAGCATCGCTGAGGGTGAAGCTTGTGGCAGTGCCTCCGCCATTTATCTGGCTCTCGATTCTATAGTGAGTTGACATTAGTGCCTGACAAGGATGGCAAGGATACTTGACCAGCATATTTCAGGGAAACCCACGCAGACTGAACCTCAGATTTCTTGGAGGCATCAAGAACCCGGACGGAGACAATACCATGGAGGTCCCCGCCCTCCACGAACCCTGACAATGAACTTTCAGTGAGATTAACAGGCCGGAAAATGAATTACAGACTCCTACCTGAAACATAGCAGTCACCGTATATCTCGAAGAACTTTGCACTGTTCATTTGGACATCTTTTAAGGGCACACTGCATTTCCAATTAATGGGATCCCGCCGATGAAAAAAGCAAGGTTGAAACCAGAACTGACAATGTGGCTTGTTGTGGAGTTGTGATAGTTTCTGAATTTAGTTAGTCCTAGATAGTTCATATAAAGGGCATTCATGGTCGCGAGGTTCAACTTACGATTGACAACCTACGAAAATCGCGGGTGATCAGCCTCCAGCGGTGCATATTCTGTTGAAGATCAGACACACGTTGACCGAAACTACCGCGTTCATGTCGCTCGCAGAAAACTTTCCTTCGTCCACGCTCATTGAATTGCCGGAAAACCCAATAGTCCCCGACTTGATAGACGAAGCTGCGCTAACGTTCATGCTTCGAGCCACCTCTGACATTTTCTCAACGAACCGCGAATTAGAGGAGACAGTCTGCGATACATTGGCCGCTCCTCCAGCGCGGCTGGCTTCTGCTTTCAGATCCGATTCGGAAAACTGTACTGCACCTGTGATACAGGGTATCTGCAGGAATGAATTGAATCCTTGGCCCAACTGGATCGAGTCATTGTATGGTGCGAGTAGGAGAAGAGCCATTGTGAAATCGTGTCCGTTGACGATGGAAGAAATCGAGATCTTTGTAGAATAATTTCTTCAATCGCCGTTCATGTTAGTTTGGTACGACTGACGAGATCAATTTTGGTTAACATGACCTGAGCACTTGCCCCGGTTGGTCGCTTCGGTCTGCCACTCGGGGACGGTGGCGTTCGTGAGACATTTTTGGGGCACTAAGACCGAGCCTAGTCGATGAACGGTCTTCCTCAAACGAGGAACAGTGCACTTCAGCCAGCCTCGACTCTATTAGCACTTACGCTAGCCGTCCCACCTCTCGTCTAGGGGAATTACAGCCGTGACACGATCTTGGACGGGGGGAGCTAGCTCCCAAAGCTAACACTACGGACAGATGTATGAGATAAATCCATCAACTTCCTGACAATTCAAAGTAAAACACTGTACTTTGTCCTCCATTCTGTCACCAAAAGTTTCTGCGATAGCGCATTATAAGCCACCGCGAGAGATCTTCACGACTCGCGCCTTCGGCTCTACTATGGTAACATTACTAGGAAGTACGATGCTATCTCCAAATTAGACGCCGGGTTCAGACTCAGAGTCTACGAAAGGCTTCATCAAAGTATTGAGTTTTTCGACGACAGCGGCCGGCAAGGGCAAGGCTGGCGCTGATACGGGCATGACGGATGTGCCAATAAACAGCTTAGAGGTTACCTTTTAGGGGATTCCCTAGTAGAACGGGCAACCGTGAGACCTCAACCAAGTGAATTAATGATTTAATGGCGAATCATTGTGATAATATCGCCAAATACCGAGAGAGCACTACATTGGAATCGTTGCGGGATGCTTTGAAGGCGACGATCAATCAGAGAATGCCCCTTCCATCTGCGATGCGAGTAAAGGCTGACATATTCACAGGCCTCAAGAATACAAATTTTGCATTGATGACCAACCCGTGATAGGGGTAGAAGTGACCCTTTCATCTAGTCCACGGATGCTGCAATGAACGTCAGACTCAGGGGACTGTGTCATGCGCATCTATATTGTGTACCGTCGGGAGTCCATTTCCACGCAGACCTTTGCACTACTGGTAATGGGCGACAGTCCAGGGGAGCTGACAGTAGCGGTGACTAGAGTCTTCGACAGTAGTGCGCTCGAGAAGACACTTGGTGTAGTCCGCTCATTCAAACGACCATACGGTAAGCATCGTATTCGTGCCTTAAATGGCCTGGAAGGAAGTCAGATAGCCTTCGATGCATTCAACGCCCCCTAGACTGAAATTCAATAATTGAACCTTGTCCACCATTTGAAAACAGCGGTTCCAAGTACAAGCGCACAATATACACAGTTAAAGGAGATATAGTCCAACAAGGGCACTCAAATTTCCAAGGCACACGACGCTTGATTGTTTATTGTCGTTCCCAATGTAGAGTCACTCGATGGAAGTTATGCTTTATTATATAAACAATACCCTTCGACCTAATCTTTAATGCATTATGTATCACTTACAAAAATATTATCATTAGTGACATTTGTCCATCAAAATTCTCAAGAGGGTAATCACCAGAGGTGAATTTATGAAAGTACGGCTACGTCTGCTCACTCTCAATGGCAAATCAGGTGCTTTTCATTATTTCTTCTCGGATTCATAACGCACCTTCGGTTACGACTGACATATCTAGGAACCCTGGTCAGCTACCGGGGAGGAGCGCTGTTAAGTAGATGCTCCGAGTTTAAAACAGAATAAAAGATGTGACTTAACTAACAGAAATTTCCGGGTAGGAGAGTGCAAGAAAGCCCTCCGTTGAAGCTTAACACTATGCTTAAATACTCAAATCTGAAGTTGGAAGCCATCAGCCGCATGTTCTCACCTCACATTTTCTGTATTGCCGCATCTAACTTTTACTGTTTGATTCTTTTGATTGGTTGTGACGACTCTTGAGGTGAGAGGCTGATCAGCCTTAAACTTCCCGTCCGGGCAATCTTTATAACAGTGTCCAGTATTTTTAGGTGATTCAGGCCCAATCCTAACACCCAAAACACGAGCAACTTCTGCACCTCATAGAGCCCTCCAACTCCCGAGCATATGATCTGCTGGGTTTCTGGAAAGCATGTTTGAGGCACAGCGTCCGTGCAGATACTATAAAAATGCGATAAGCGCTCAAGCAGTGCGACTCAACGGCTTCCAACACTCAGGAAAGAGACAATTTTGGTACTATTCTCAAACTTCAAGCACCTCAAACTTCTCCATGCATTTATTTTTAGGACACTTTGATTCTTTGTCAAGACAATTTAGCCTTCCACCAGCCAGCTCCGCACGAAGGGTATCGTGAACCCTGCATAAGAGGCTTGCAGATCTATTCCCTTAATAAGTAGGGATCGGTCACCTCAAGCATAGTTCCTCCTCTATTGGAAGACAATGATGCTCAGCTGTGAGGATCAAGACGCATGAAGAATACGAGGTCTCCTAGGCCCCAAATTCCTTCTTACATTTGCCCCCCTTGCACACTCCCACAGCGACATAAAGAGACCCCAGTGGATATTCCCAACGCTAAACTTGACAAATAACTTAGAAATTGTGACCCTTATTTTTGCTAACTCACTCTCCGGTTCTTGAAATGGAGCTAGCAGTAATCTTGCTATTACTGGGTGTGTTTTCTGGGCTGCCTTCGGCCTATGGCTGGACGTTTGTCTGGCGCAATGCGTCGGATAACTCCTTTGTCGAACATGACCAACAGCCAATGTCCTGTACAAAGATAAACAATGGGCAAGGCGAGCTGTTTGAGTGGGACTCAGAAGAGGGACCCTTTGCAATTTCGCTATATTCAAATACAGATTGCTCCGGCTCACCATCAGGATATGCTACACATATCTTTAATAAGAATGCCAGCAAGTCCATCCTTTCGTTCAAGGTTGATTCAACTGCTTCAACAATGACTTCTGTTCCTTCAAAAACGTCTAGCTCTACCTCTATCTCTACTACCTCGACTACATCTCAAACGAACACATCTGACGCTGCTGTATCGTCCTCATCGTCTGCATCTGGATTGTCGGGTGGCACAATTGCGGGAATAATTATCGGTGTGATTGCTGGCATGTCTATCATTGCAGGAGTATTATTCTGGCTTCGTCAACGGTCTTGTAAGACGCCCTCGACCACTACAGATTCAGCTTTAGGATACAATGGCTCTTCTTTCAGCTATCACTCCACGTACAGATCCCCTGGTTCTATGGGCTCAGGCCGTACGACTCAAGACACCAAGAAAACAACTCCGGCATTTGCCCCGAAATCTGCTGTAGGTCCTGTACGTATGGTTGAGCTTCAAGGGCATAACGCAGCGGCAGAGTTGAGCAGCCACGGCGTGAATGAGTTGGAAAGTCCAAACGATGTCAAATTTCCCACATCTCGCCCATAAGCCTAAAGCTTCTGAAAAACTGTTTCTTTTGTGAGGCAGGTGTTCATGGAGGGAGGGGGTGGCGAGGAGTTTGAAAGGATTGGAAAGTTGAATGATAAATGCCTTGCATGTTTAGTCCGCTTTCTTTTCCTTTCACTTTGCTAGGAGGGGCGTTATAGTGGATGGTTTGAATTTTATTTTGAAGTGGTCATCGTCTTTTTAATATCTCATCAATGCATGAGTGTATGTTGAACTAAATATCAAATATACCATAAAGCCAAAAAATTCATTTTGTTCCTTCTTTTATGTATCGTTCATCTTGAATCCTCTTTCTATAGATAAGTTGAACACTATCATATGACGGTTTACTAGTGCGCCCTCTTGTGTATGTTTTGTTCGTCTTTTCACTTAATTGATTCTTGTTGAAATCTTAACTTGAATAGTACAGCACATAATCTTGGATTAGCAGCGACTTTGACATATATATTCCTTAAAGATAATGCCGTCACCGTTACAATTCCACCACGAGCTCGTTTCATGTTGTACGACATTGCCGGGTGCACACAATTTGCGTGTTACAAGAGAAATAATTGAACGAGTGCTGAAGATAGATAGATCCCATTTGCCTGGGGCTCAATTTTTGGCTATATGTCTCCTCTATGTCCTCTCTATGTCTAATCGAGTGAATTTTAGGATGGTAAGTGCCGGAGATTCAGACTAGGATTAATCATCAAATCGTGGTCCCAAAGGCTACCTTCAGGTAACCATGGAAAAGGTATGCAAAATCAATTCGTAGTGTCTAAATGCGGTCACAATCACTCAGGATATCTATCGTCTTATGCGGGGAAAGTTATCTTTATCTAATTTTTTTCCCTCTAAGGAGCTCCCAGCCAACGCTGCCATGCTTGCCCTCTTTAGCAGTCAACTCTTCAACTGCCTTGACTAGATCGAACGTGATCTCTTCAGAAACGACGCTGTCATGATTGTAGCTTGGATGCTTGGCCACAAACTCACGGATCCATTTGGCGCCAGTCCACAAGGTTCCGTCGGCACGTTTCCGGATCAGATCGAGGTAGCTCGCGAGGAAGCAGCGTGTTTCAACATCAACATTGACACTGTTGAGATAAGACTCCACGAGCGGAATCAGACCCGGAAAGCCGTCTGCGCAGCCGTTGATAATCTCTGAAATGCTCATCAGCTCGAACTCTGTTTCAACTGGACCAAGCGGTGGCGATGGAGGTGGAGTGTTGACAGCCGAAGAAGTAGTCGAGGAGAAGGTGCTGCCATTGGAAGACTGCTGTGCGTGCATATGTCTGGGAGTTCTCCGTGGAAAAGGATCCTTGCGGAAGTAGAACTTTCGATCAAGAACAGCATTTCGAGCATGAGCGGTTTCCATATTCTCCGTTGTGCGTTGAATAGGGATATAGAAATTGAGATCGAAGCTAAGGATGGCTCGGGTAACAAGGACGATAAAAATGCTGAACGCTGCGTTTTCGAAATCGGTGATTTGAATCTCCATCGACCGGAACTCCACACGCCAGCCGATATCGTCCTTCTCTGAAGGTGGAGGTTTGAATCTCATGTGCTGCCAGTTGGTGGACTGGAGGTTTTCAAAATGATCTCCTTTATTCAGATCGAGTTCCTCTAAATCCTCAGAGAAGATGACTAGGGGGTCACGAATGAAGAGATGTGCGAAGTGTGTTGCCAGTAACTCATCCATCCCCCCTTCCATTAATCGTTTTTGAATGTCTTTGTCAATAACGAGATCTGGGTCAAGATATTCCTTGCGCAACCGAGGATCCTGTGAGATATAAGTTGAGTTTGAAGCATAACGAGACTTGGGAATTCTCCATCGATCGTTTTTGAGAGGCTAATTATGCTGAGGTTAGTCGAGAGATTCGGCATGGATAATAAGAAAAAAAGCGAGATAGAACAACTCACAGCCTCGCCAAGTTCTTCAGGAGTTCTGTCATCTACCGCACCGCCGATTTGATTCCAGCGCACATCCGTGTCGACAAGGAATCCCTTGTAAATGGGCGTTGCCGCAGTAAGCGCGAGCAGAATCGGGCCAAGAGGGCTTAGCTGGTCATAAAGTTTTCTGCCTTCGGTCATGTTTTTGGCCTGGAAAGTGATTTGCAAACAGCAACTGCCCATGCCGAATGCCATGGCGTCCATATACACATGGTCATCTTTAGCGGCACCGTTGCGGACATCGGCATCCTCAGGCCACGTGTGAAGGTCATAATTGATAGTAGGGTCTTTAAATGGAGAGGGAGTGTTCCGGTCTTTGAAAACAGGCACATTCAATGCAACCTTGCGCCCTCTCCGTGTCCGAATGTTGGCCGCTAATGTTGGGAATCGAATATGTGGGTTGGCAATTTCATCGGGCACGAATTGAGAGCGTAGTGCGGGACCGGACGGAGGGTAATATGGCTGAATATAGTCATCCTTTGTTCCCAGCCGTGGGAAAGTAGTCAAGGTGATAGGTGATTCATTTGGTGCCATGTGTGCCTTCGCAACCTCTCGCCTCCATTTCATATTCGACTCCACTTTCAGCAGATCCTTGAATCCGATGCCCCAAGGCTGCCCTGGCGTAGCTTCGAGCATGAACCGTCCAAACTCGGGGTGGAAGTGAGGGGGTTCCTCGCCATCGCTGATGAGACGTCAGAATATTGCGAGCCTATCGTTACGGCGTTCATCAGAAGACTCACTGGTCTCCATTGCCATTATTCTCATTAGATCCTGCCTTCCATAGAGCCTCATCCCGTGCAAGGGACTTGAGGATTTCAGCTTGCGCGAGAGATAAACGGGCTTTCTTCGCAGCATCGTCAACGGCTACCACAAGGTATTCGACCTAAAATCAAAGATTCCCGATGAATGGGTTAGCTTCTGGACATACGAAAAGAAAGGTGGCTGAAGATCGACTGCGCACCTCGTCGCCCCAAAGAAGAGCATCGCGTTCTTTTCCCTTGGCACGTCGCCAATTTGCCAGGAGTTGCTGCATGAAACGTCAGTATGCTCTCTCCATATAAGAAGTAGCTCCGAAGTCAACGCATACCTCAATTCCCCATTGTCGCACTTGATCGGCCTTCTTTTTGGCCTCCGGCCATTCGAGGGCAGTTCCTAAGGCCCTGGTATATGCATGTTAGCGGCTTTGTCGACCTTGGCTACCAGGATGCCTGATCAGTGCGACGTACAGAAGACCCATTGTAATGGACTGGCGATTACCCGAAGTGACGGGCAGAGAAAGTTGATATACAGCGGGGTTCCTCTCGGTGGACGAGCAAACGGGCAGCCCGCAGGCGGATGGAAGGGATAAGAGGTCCACGGAGGGGTTAGGAATGATTTAAAGAGGAGAAGGACGACGGCGCATAGTCCCCGCGTTCCGCTTGGTTCTTTTGACTTCTCGCATGGGGGGGGAATTTTCAATCGCCGTAACGCTTCCCGGCGGGGCACCAGGCAGATCTCGGCGATAACGGCGGGCGGATTTCTAAGCAGTCAGGTGATGTTTCCGCTGTGGAGGTCTTCTATTTACTCGACTCCTCTTCAAGTCTTTGATTTCTACTTTGAAATCCGGGCATAAAGGATCCGGACGTGTGGAATGTGAATGTTGTGAGTGGTGTTTGAATGTCCACCTTGTCCCTGCAGAGTAAGAGGCGCATAGCGCGCCTCGTCGTACCCCGGTCATTGCGCTATTGCACCATTGCACCATTGCACCGCCGAGAGCGCAGGAGGCACAACACTATATCCTGTAGGACTCAGATCTGCAAGATGACAGGGCTGTTCGACCGAGACCGGAGCATAGTCGACAGCCTTGCAGGAAGCACTTGACAGTCGAGAAAGGTTAGACACATTCCCCGCATTAAAACTCAGGCGAGAAAGACATGTGTAAACGACGATATATGCATGCACCTGGCACAGACCCACTACACATAGCTGCAACAGAACATATTCTCCTATAGAACGGCCATAGATCTACCGGGATACGAAGCGCTGACAAATCCGGGGGCTGAGGAAGTCGCGACACTCATTGGACGAGGCCAGGTCAGATTGGGGTAGTCTCAATGATTATGGGTCTCCAGAATAGTTGGCCGGTATCAGATCAGCATGCGAAGCTGACCGATGTGAATCTCGGTCGTCCGTGAGGTTTCGCCAAGGGCAAACAACAGCAAGCCAGGTTGCCGGAAATCCGGAATTTCCCAACGCCAAATGGCGGTCCATGAGCAGTCTCGGTATATCGTCTATGTACATAACTTGCTGCTTTGCCAGCAGTACAGACCACGCAAACACATATCGCAAAAATCAGCAAGCTCAGTTGCTGCGAGCACCATCCTTGGCGGCCCGGAGCTCATCCATCTTGGCCACACGCTTCTTGAACTCCTCGTACTGGCATTTCTCATAGGAGTGTCGTTCATCCTATAAAGAGCGGGACAAGAAGGAATTACGTTAGTTCAGAGTTATTGGAAGGGGGTCGCTTGATTGAATTTGAGTCTGGTCCCAAATCCCAACTGCTGGGGAAATCCATACCTCGCACTTCCAAGGAAGATAGTACTCTGCTTGTCGGCATCGGTTCAACGGGATCAAGAGGTGTGCACACGAGTCGCGATATTGCATGGGGAGACGGGCCTCCGACATTTCCTGGCGGGTAGCTGAATGACACTGCGTTAGTTTCAATGCCATGAAGACTTGGGATGGTGGGCTCAATTGGGCCGGTAACTCATACCAGAGGTCTCCCCAAGACCCACGGCGTTCTTGACCGACTCGACGACAGTCATTTTGATTAGATTTGCGGGGTGACGTGGCGTGGGAGGGAGAAAGTCAAGGCAGCGACGGCGAGAGTTGGCGGTTCGCACCGTTTCCCTATGTTCCCTTTGCTTTCCGATATTTGTCACGTGACCATCAGATGGTGATTTTGATCACGTGATCGTGACCGAAACTGGGTTAGTCTCCAAAATCCACTTTACGCGGTCTCATCGCGTCTTTGCGCGTAACTACGATGCCACCCTAGCTCCACCCGACAAATCGCCTCCCTACGCTCTCGTTCCGAATTCGAGCGCGTGCAATGTGTCAGACGCTTAAGCATTCCTATATCAATTGATCTGCGGAAGTTTAGGGGCTTCGGGCGCCTACGTGCGTGCCACAATCGCTGGCCGGAAACACACTGGTTTGCTGCAAGCGCTTACCGACCTTTCATCATGGCGGGAATGGAGTCGATTTACTCTGCTACCTACAGCAGTGTATGTGCCCCCAACGAATTAATTTATACTTTAATCTTTCTGGAGAGGAAGTATCTTATTATCTTTATTTTCACCTCATTGTCTAACGGCGTCCTTTCTATTCACAGGTCCCGGTGTATGAGTTCAAGATCGATGGCGACAGTGTAATGAGACGACGAGGGGACGACTGGGTCAATGCTACGCATATTTTGAAAGCTGCCGGCTTTGATAAGCCTGCAAGAACTCGAATCCTGGAACGAGAGGTCCAAAAAGGCGTACACGAGAAGGTTCAGGGTGGCTATGGCAAATACCAGGGTAGGTCTTCAAGGACTCAAACAAGAAGAAAGCTGTGCACTTACCACACCCGATGAGATAGGAACATGGATCCCACTTCCAGATGGTCGCATGCTTGCAGAACGCAACAATATCCTTCCGAAACTGCTTCCAATTTTTGACTATGTCGCTGGGGACCGCAGTCCTCCCCCAGCACCAAAACACACTTCAAACGCTTCAAAGCCAAGAGCACCGCGAAAATCTACCAATCGTACGGCCGCCGCTGCCCCGGAGATATTCAATGTGGTTCAGCCCCAGCGGAGCATGGGTCCTCCCACTTTGCCTCATGAGCAATATGAGATGAGTGCTGCATTTGATGATAACGAGTCAATTGAACAAGCCACCCTCGAGTCCTCATCCATGGTGGCAGACGAAGATATGTTGCAAATGTCTCAACACGGGGCCCGCAAGCGGAAGCGGGGGATGACTGAGGCGGCTGTCATGTCCATTAGTGAGCAGGAGCATATCATCTATGGTGATCAACTCCTGGACTACTTCATGACTGTAGGGGATGCCCCTCAGGCGACTCGGGTCCAGCCTCCTGAACCCCCAGCCCATTTTCAAGTAGATCGAGCGATTGACGACTCTGGCAACACTGCCTTGCATTGGGCTTGCGCGATGGGAGATCTAGAAATCGTTCAGAATTTGTTGCACAGAGGAGCTGATGTCAAAGCGCTGTCCATACACGAGGAGACGCCGCTTGTGCGTGCAGTGTTGTTTACCAACAACTACGAGAAGCGAACGTTCCCCGCGCTTCTAGACATGTTACTCGACACCGTCTCCTTCCGAGATTGGTTTGGAGCCACTCTGTTTCACCATATCGCCGAGACCACCAGAAGCAAAGGCAAGTGGAAGAGCTCGAGGTATTATTGCGAGGTACTCCTTGACAAATTATGCAAGACTTGTTCGCAGGATGAGATTGATCTTCTATTATCATGTCAAGATGATAATGGCGACACCGCTGCCTTGGTTGCTTCACGCAACGGCGCTTTTCGTCTCGTGAATATGCTTCTTACCCACTGTCCCCGGGCCGGAGATCTCATGAATAAGAAAGGAGAGACAGCCACAAGTATCAGCCAACGGTCACATCTGGCTGATCATGACATTCCACCCGCCCCTTCATCTGTAACCATGGCAAATGACCAATTCGATGGGATTGGAGGTGATTTGATGCCTTCTGATCGCCATTCAGCGGTTCCACCTGTGGAATCCGCAACAACATCTGACCTGCTTTCTAAGATCGGCACGATAATGGCCGAAGCAAACAAAAAGCTTGCTGTGACATACGGCAACTCGAAAATTGACCAGCAAGACTCAAATGACGTTGCAAACCCTGAAGCATTGTTCGAGCAGCTGGAGTCAGATCGTCAGAAAATTCAAAAGCAAGTGGCCGCTCTGGCTGCAAGGGAGATTGAACAAGAGCCTAGTGAAAGTCAACTTGGTCGATATGAGAGGCTTCGTGCCAATTATGAGTCCCTTGTGGAACAGATGCAGTATGCTCATCTGTCCCAGAAATTAAGAACAGGGGCACCTTCAGAACCCCCGACTCCAGATCTGTCCTCTCTCAAACAGGATGAGCTGGTTATTCGATTCCAGCTTGCACACGATTTGGTAACAGCTCAAAAGAGACGCCAGTCTACTGTCAAACAGCTTGCTCAGCAGACCGCGGATGCTGGCGTGAGTACCAAGTTCGATGTGCACCGTAGGCTTGTGGCGCTCGCAACCGGCCTGAAGGAAGAAGAGCTTGATCCGATGGCAGCTGAGCTGGCTGAGACTCTCGAATTCGATCGCATGAACGGCAAGGGCACATCCCCAGAACCAGAGCCCCGGCACTTGCCATCTCAGAATGAGGTGACCACGCTCCCTTCAGGACCTGGTGTTCCTGTCGATGCCTAAGCGATTCTGCATTTCTCTCTTCTCCTTACTCTGTATCCGTAACGAGTTTCATTGTTCCCTTTTACCTTTCTGAGCTTGTTGTTGTCTCTGCTGGAGGCCGGTTCTTGACCGGCAGATACCCCAAAGCTTTTACTTTCGCCTACTGTCCATGATTGCCTTATTGTCCATTTATCGTTCTGCTACTCTCTTATGAAGAACGGAGAGATCTGTGCCATTTTCAGGATTGGCTGTACGCCTGTCGCCATACTCAACAGAGTATTTTTATTCGGAGCATCATGATGTGGTTCATTACTCAAAGAATTCAATGTATGTGTACATGGCTTGCTCTGCGCACCGGCTTTTATGTACCCCCCATGACTTTCTAATGCAACCTGAATATCAAGCAAAAGATGGATGCTTTGCCATTATTTCTGGATGGAATTCTTCTGTAGCCTAATTTCATCTTTTACAGACGGGCCGCTGCTCTGCTTTGGCCTAATACGGCTAAAGAGTAACCAGATTATCAATACCTATACAGCGGGTATCAAAGTCTAGTTTAATTTTGGTCTATGGGCTTGATTTGCGTAATAATCTTGGCCTCTTCCTTGCTTCCTCCCAAATTTTAACAGAGCTTTTTCTTCCATTTGGAGACAAGTCGCCCATTCTGACCATCACTCAGGTAAAGAGGGGTCTAGAAGTTTGACAAATCTGGTATGTTGCGGTTTGTTTTCTTAGATATGGTGTTGACTAGAGATCATAGTTGGAAATAGTGACCTACATGCAAAATATACTGGCATTATCTACTAATTACAGAAAGAGGCTCGACGTACACAATTTGAAACCCCAAGAAACAACCCTATCAATGCATTCAAGATTTGAAGGCTGGTATTTACCTCATTTTCAGACCGACCGCGATAACATAGATTTATACTAACACTATTCGAGATAAGGCTTGGAGTCAACTATAAATCAATGCTGCGAATTGCGACTCAGGGTCATTCGGTCCTCTATAGACATGCCCGGTAAAAGAGGCTCCATCGGAGGTTCAACTTCCCACTGGGTGAGAGAAAACGGTGATCGAAAAAGGAAGCCCCCACTGAAGGTATATTCTTGCATAGATACCCAAAAATGCCTGGCAACTCTTGGCCTTCTCCTTCCGTTCTAGGACTCACCCCTCGTCGCTTTTTGATCCCGGAGTAGAATCGAGCACGCCCCTGACCAATTTGAGATGGTCACTGATCATCATGTAGTTGACGCCGCTGGGGAACTACAGGAACTGGGTCTGTGGAGGCGGTGGTATTCCTTCTTTCTGCCATGTTTTTGTCATCTTCGTTGCATTTGCTTTGTCTTTCCACCCGAGTCTAGGTGTTCCTTCGTTCCGGTTTCAAAACCGGCCTCATGCTGCAGGCAGCTTTCTCATGCGCGCTGGGCTGGCCACCAGAAGGCGCAAATCCCTGCATAGCACCTTCTATACAGAGGAGGCTACAACCGGAATAAGATTATTGATTGATTGATGACTATGTAACCACGACCACTGATCTTGAGCCTGTGTTGATATTCGGCGTACAGCGTATTTCTGCCTCAGGCCCCCGATTCTCCGAAATCCCGTCACACTGATCGCTTTCTACTATTCGCAGCTGTTGGTGACTTATTTCTGACCTACTACTTCGCTTATCCCAACTCATTTCAGAGACACCAAAGCTCCATTGAGTTGATGAATCCAGCATCATGGCCATCGTGGTAAGCCTTTCACTGCGAAAACGCTGTATTCAACGCTGATGTATCTCATCTTTCGTATGACCTTACTGACATGATAACTGAGTCTGAGCCCATGCTGAGATCTGCTCACTGAGCATGAGCATGAGCGCCCTCATAAAAGCGACGGTATCCGGAACAAGAAAGCCCCACCCGGCAGACATTATGTGGTCTATATAGGTGCATCAAACCAACCCTTGCTTGGCCATGTGTGATAATGCACGACATAATTTCTTAAAATAATTCATGATGCAGTAAGCTTTGGAGGCAGACGAATGACACCGGCTAATAATAACCCATTGTAAACCATTACATGCGTCGCCCTACACAAGTAGCGACGGCATAGCTTCAGAGTGGTACAGGGCAACGGCTTCTGCCTTGGCCATTTTGGATTGCTAGGAGCCCAGGAGCCAGTTGATTTCCCTGCGCTGACATGGTGGATCGACATGGGCCATCGTAGATCACAATCACGCTAGGACCCCCAATCAGAACGGCCATCGCCCATTATCCACCAGCCACGAACTGCCTGATCGCCGGGTACAGGTCACGCAAATCATTTGACCATCTTTCTACTACTGCAAGTATGAAAGTCCATCCGCCTAGTTGGGTTGCCACACTTGCGAGCTACTGAAACAGTGAGCGGGCCCCGAGAAAAGAGGCGAGAGCTCTCAGCAACGACGGACTTGAAACCATTGGCTGAGGGGCAGATTCTTGGCATCAGCGCCGGGCGGCTCCAGGGACATTGTGAGACGCTGAACGGGCCCAAGGACTGCAACCTGGGGACGCCGCTAGAGAATGCCCCCAACCAATGGATGCACGCGGGATGTGACGAGCCCAGAACCCTCATCACTTGTCGGACGCAGAAGGCGCGCTCATTGGTGGAGGACGAGGGGCCAGAGTCCTTTGTGTCTCTGGCGCCGTCGGGCTGAATGACTGGCAGAGACTGCTTTGCATGACGGTGGAGCTGTCAAAAAGTCGAATTAGAACTCACGGACTAATAATAATCACACTTACGACTCAAGAATCGGATTGTACTGGTGCATAGAGGCGGCGGCGACAATAACAAGACCGGATGGACCGATCGAGGCCCACCTGCACGACCTCGCCCAGTCAGCGGGCAGCACGGGACTGGCGCTAGTCCTTATTTTGCCTAGCTTTCTTTCACGCCTGAGAACCAGATTGTTTATGCCTGAGAGAAATGGCTTCAAGGCATCCAGGCACCTAGGCGCTCGCGCCCGTGGACGATTATTCCCCACATCCGCACCTTCGCTCAATCTTCTTCCTTTCACCAACCCCATTCCCACCCCCGATCTTAATCTTCGCTTCTTTCTTTTTCTTTCCCTGCATTCTTTCATTAGCAGCTCGTGTCGTTGATTGGGAAGAAATCATCCCTAACCCAAAAATTCGTCAAAAAAATCCTCCTGCAAATAGTTCTTCCGATTAGTTCCGCCCCTGAAAAGAGAGAGAAAAAGGTTGCTCGCGTCTGGCCGAGACCCGAATTCCGAATTCACTTCGCTTCGCCTTCGATCTTTCCATCTTCCCACCGGTCCCGTTAGGGCCATCGTGCTGAGGCGTCTTTTTTTCGCATTCACCAGTTCGATCATCCAGTTCGATCATCAGTGCTCGGTCTTATTGCACCTCGTGTTTTTCTCAGCCTCCCGAGCTCCGACTCCCGCTTTCTAGTGCTCGCGTCGACCTTTCTACGCCTCCTTCTCTTCTTCGGGGATTTGCAGAGCATCTCCCCTCGGTCTTCGTTTTGCTTCTTGGTCCCTCTTGAGAGAACGGTTGTTATTCGCATAATTTACTTCAGTGATCCGACACTTCGCTTCTCTTCGTTATTGCCCAATCCCTCGGTTCCTCGGATTTTCGACCCCGACCAGCCCTCGGAATCAAGCACGCTCTCCTGTACAGCTGGATAATACTGGCATTTTGCATTCGCCATTCTCATTGAGCCTACTGTTAGCTCTTTTTCTGCATACTCTCTCGTGGTAGGTATCGTTGGTCCCTGAGTTGATCTCACGATGGCCTCAAACTGACTTTGGGCTCAGACATCGCGACTTGTCGTTACCACGATCCGTTCATTGACACCTTGACTGAATCTTGATCTTTCTGATCTTTTCGGTCCATCGCATTCTCGTCATAGATCCCTCATAATCACTTAATCTTGCCGGGAAAAAACGCTCGAAGCTTTGTGGTTGATCCCAAACGCTCGCAAATCCCCTGACGGAAAGCTGAACGCGACTTGACGCCCGTCTCCAAACCTTCGATTGCACATAAATCATTCGCCCGCCAAACTTGCACTGTCTCTTTCTACGACCATGAGTATTGACGCTGGCGGTCTTGCTCAAATGACTTACAACAATTCCTTCAATAATGGCTCTTCCCTTGGTGTGCCGGGTTCTGGTTTTGCCTCGCGAGGAAAAGGCTCGCACATCAAACGGTTGAGCGTACCTCCGCAGGTTGCCACCATTGATGAGTCGCAGGTAACTGCGCCTATGGCGACACCGCGTACCAGTCGTTCGCATCTCTTGGCCGGGCTTCGGACCGCGCCTCGGTCGGCAACAATACCTTCACAGCATCAACAACGCACCAGCATGGATGGCTCTCGATTCCATGGCCATTCTGGCCGGGGCTCTGATCGCGTGCCGCAAACAGCTACGGGAGCTGGATTCCCGCAGCATGCATACGCGCAGCATCAGACGATGAATGCGCACCAGAATCAGAATCGCCCCATGTACACGCTGCCGGAGCAGGTGCTTGCACCTCCGACCCTTGACATTGGCAGCGACAATGGGATGGATGAGAATCTGTATGCCGAATTGATGTCAACCAACCTGTTTCTCGCAGCTCAGCAGCAGCGCTTGCAGCAGCAGCTCATAAGCGTTACCGCCGCAGCTCAACAGTTCCAGGGTCTCAACTTAGGTGGAATTTCTCTACACCAGCAGCAACATATTCCCTCGATGTCAATGCCTGGCATGGGATTCTACCAGCAGCAGCTTCAGCAGGGTGTACAGCCAATTGTACAGCCAGTTCCTGGCCAGCCTGGCTTGTTTTCAGTCTTCAATCCCCTCACTGGTCAGCAAAGCTATATCATGGACAACAGCGCCCAGGAAGATAGTTCAGCCCAGCAATACAACATGCCACAGTCTGCCGGTCAGAAGTTCCCTCAGTTCCGTGCTGAGATTTCTCCTCCTGCCGATTCTGCTCCCCCGCAGATGCCATTTTCCCAGCCAATTTCCCCGCCAAGCGGCTCTCCCTCTCCTCCAAACGAGTCGGCCTATCGTCGAAACAATCGGAAGAATTCCTCGTTCAATCCGACCTCGAAGGCAAACATTGACACAGTCAAAGCAAATGTGGGGCCTGGCCCCCGATCTGCTGCTATGCCTCCTACCCCGGCTACTGGAACATTCGGTCCAGGCCAAGGCCGTGCTGGTGAGCACCCAATCCGCCAGCCTCGTGGTCCTCCTTCGCTAGAGGACCTCGTCGCCAAGCCGACATCCAAACATGAGGGAAGCAAGAACTTCGCAACTCGCCAGCGCCGTCGTGCAGTGCACAACCTCGTTCGTGCTGGAATTGAACGTCGGGGCGACACTCGTAGCTTTGGCTACAACAGCAGCGGTGGCACCAACACTCCTGCCAGCGAAAAGGAATTTACTTTTTCTGACGGTGATGATGCGACTGTGCGTAGCGGCAGCCTCTCCAGTAAGCCCAGCTTGGGAAGCTTGCGTGCAGCTGCCAACGGCGCCATCGGCTCCGAGCGCAAAGAGAAGACTGGCCGCGATCGCAAGACCCCGGATAGCCCCTTCACCAATACCACCCCCACAAGCGAGGACGGCTATTTCGGCTCGAAGTTCGCCGATAATGTCTCGTCGCCGACCTCTGGCACTACCTCTCCGTCTGTGGCAGCCGTTGTTGCGGGCCAGGGGCCAGGGCCTCAAGCACCCGAGCGTCGTAAGACGCCGATGCTTGTGTTGTCCAGTGCTGAAAAACGCAAGACCCCTCTCATGTAATGCCGACCATCATGTGACAGCGACGTATGACTTTTTTTTCTATTTTCCTCTATTGATTGGGCGGGCACTCTGATATTTTTCCTGTTTTACTGCCCAGGCCCCGCCCAATTCACTCCTTTCTCCCTTATTCCTGACCACCCATGTCAGTGGTGATGTTCGTGTGATGAAAGACCTGGATCAGTCGCAATGACTGTTTTTTTGCCTTTTTCTCTTTTCTTGATCCAACCCATTTTTCTATCTTCTTTTGTGTCTTTTTTTACCATGAGGCTCTGCTGTCCCTCGTATCGAGGTTTGACGCAGAACGCTTCTATCTATCTTTATTCACGATCTACGGATCGTGATCTTCGAGGTCGCTTCGAAGTCGCTTCAAGGTCGATTGGCAGCGTTGATGAACTGTCTTCTCTCATTCTTGTTCTTTTCGGGTTTCCGACGTACATCCGGTCATGTACAAGCAGTCTACCCAGGCGTACCCGTTGTTTCTACGGGACCTTTTAGTGATATCAATGCAAAGCTCTTACTACAAAGCTCTAATTTTCCTTTCCTTCTGACCTTTCTCCACGATTAGTACCACCACAGCCCCCACTACTAGCCTGTGCACTATTTGAATACGGCGTCTAGAAGTACCGGGCGCTCGTTATGCTGTGCGTTTTCCTCCTTTTTGAAATGGACCTCTGAACTTGAGAAATGAATCGGTATAAACTAGGTAGGTATCTTGTGATAGTAGGATAGCGTGTATACAGCACCAAGAAAAGGAGATGCAAAAATCAAAACAGGACTGGTAAATATAAAGAAAATAATCAATAAATGTTACCCCAGAATGCAAAAAATTGAGCAAAATAAAATAAATAGCGCTTAGAAACAGAGGAGCAACGGGCAATCCACCGACCCTGGGCGTAAAACTAAGGTCAAGCCCAACATGCCGCGGCTGATACACATATTCACGAAGCTAACTAGACAGAGAGCGAGCCAAAGTATTGAATGAGAAAAAAAAAAAGAACAAAGTAGGCAAAAAGAATTCAGGGAAAGACAAGAAGCAAAGACACGCAAAAGGGGGCCTCAGTGATTTTGGTCGTGACTCGTGAGAATCGTGGCTACTATGTATGCCCAGACATGGTTTCAGTGTCTGGTTGATAAGGAGTCAATATAGACTTTGTCGGCGAGGGACGAAAAGGACCGAATCACAATGAACGGTCCTAGGGAAAGAAAACAAAATAAAGATCCAAAAGGCATGTAGCGAGTGATGTCCAACTCCGTTCCCTTCACGGAAATTCCAACAAACAGGTGTATAATATCAGCATTCAGCTCCTCTCCCGGTTGCAAACTTGAGACGTTAAGAGCAAAAATGCAGGCTCTTTCTTGACAAGAGCACTAGAAGCTGAAAAGTCCACTGCGCTTCTTGCCCAGGGGATAGACAACCAGGGCAGCGAGAAAGAGCCCCACCGTGGTTCCGATAGCAACCTGAACCATTCCGTACCCGATGTCGAATACAACTCCATAGCTTTGGTTTCGTGCCTCGGCGGAAGATAAATTCTTCGCTGCATCAACAAAGCCCTGCGTGCCATTGGCCACCACCGCATATGGAGACCGGGTCATCTCCTCGGCTGAAGTAATTCCAGAAATCAAAGAGCCGCTCGCAGCGAGTCCGGATGGAACGAGAACGAATATAGCCGGTAACATAGCTGCTGCTGCAAGTCCATGGCGGAGACGGCTGTACACATTCCCCATGACACCAATAACGAAAGCACCGAGAGCATTAGATACCTGGGTGTTTGAATAGAAGCGCTTCGAGCTAATATAGCTGACCGCATATCCTGCAAGGGAGATAGCCAGCATCACAGGAATTTGTTTCCACTTGGCATGATTGACAATAGCCAGACATGCTGTAAATATTAAAACAAATGGGAAGCGCTGAAGATACTCGTTAGTGATGGGACTGGCTGGACAAGTATAGGCGGTTGAAGCCTGGGAGTCCAGTAGTCCATAGACAGCAGTGCCTATGGTGATTCCAAATCCCAGAAACAAGGAATAGATAATGGCATAGACCATCCGTACAGAGCCGGCGACAATACTGCGTGATTGCAGCTCCAGACTGGCACAGAGGACGGTATACCCTGGTAGGATAAGGGCTATTGCGGCCTGGGCCAACGCAGAAAAACAAAAAAAGCGGCTCGCCTTGATATCGGATACTTCCAAAGGCGCGAGCCAGGAATGATGTGAGCACTGCCGCAGAGATCTCAAACACGTTGGAGTAGAGACTAGACTTTGGATAAAGAATGAGCTGCAGAACCCCAAGAAGGCAGCCCAATAGGAAGGCGATGGGCATGTCGATTGGACGTGCATTGAAAGCAAAAGGCCCGACAGATGCGCTTGCGCACCCATGGGCAAATATCAAAAATAGGATGTGGAATTTGCTTCGTTTCTTCATTATCTCATTCAGTCGTTGAATTGCCTCCTCAACTCCGATCACGTCGTGGATTACTTCCTTGTAGATTTCGTGGACATCGGCTAGCTTGCCTAGGTCGATGCCTTGATTAGACCGCACAACTTTCACTTCTGTGGTATGTGTTGAGGCATCGTCAAACGAAATGATCATGCATCCGGGGATGTATAGAAACTGCCCATCAATTTCCAAGACGCGCGCGGTCATCCGCATATACTCCTCCAGGCGATGAGTTGGCGCCCCATACTTCATGAGGGCACGACAAAGCGTGATTAGATACCGTTGTCGTGAAAGAAGTTCTGCAATATGTACTGTGATGCGAATCTCGTCTTCCAGCTGAGGCTTTGCCCAACGACGACACGTTCCGCCGCTACCGTGAGTGCCGATGGCTCCACTGCTGCGGGAGCGCTTCAGCATATTATGAGGGGAAGTATTCTTAGTCGAGCCAGTAAGGGAGGCCGTGGATTGGCTGAGGGACTTTTCGTACCACTTCCTGGGCCGGTGTGATCTCCAGACAGTATCTGAGGAGACGTCATGTCCATTGTCTTCAGAGGTGCTGCCCTGTCTGGAGTGACCATACTGGCCCTGGCTGTACGAATGGCGATTCCCACCATGCTGTTGGTCATATAGCTTGAGTATGGAGGATAAAATGCCAGCACGAGAGCCCCTCGGGCGTTCGTCATAGGTCTCTGAGTCCCGGCTCTCTGATGGAGTAACCTGACCAGAAAGTGGCCCTGGAGAAGGTGGCCGCACTCGAGTTATAAACGAGGAGAAGTCGGGTCGGGACATTTGGTGCCTGGTAACTTGGGCTTCAGTAGTGTGCGATATAGATCGCCCGTCTAAAGCACCCGCTTCTTCTTCATCGGTTATAGTCAAAGATGAGTCTTCGAGATGTCGCTTGTCAGGGAAGTTGATCAAAGGGATTTCGTCTACATAATCAGACGGAAACACCACCTCAAAGGGAGAAGAAGCAATCGATAGTCCTAAGCCTGAGCCTGAGACTGGCTTCGGAGATTTTGGGGATCGGCTCAGAAGGGATAGAAGCCGCTGGGTCTGCCCATGAGCACAGGATATCGCGCGCCCCTTGTCATCCGCACCAAGACTGATCTCATCGTCCCCTACAGTCCCCGGCGAGCTGGTCCGGTAGTAGATCGACAGGCCAGTGACATCCGCTGACGCGCCATAGCTCCTGACCTCCACTGAATGTCCTTGCTGGGTTCCCAAGGGTCTCTTTTCCTGGCTGGATGGAATGCTAGCAGCGGGTGGGGGTCGTTGGGGGAGCATCGATCTGCCCCTGCGGTCCAGTCGGGATTCGCCCAGGACTCCGCCAGTGGGCTCCTGAGACTCGAGCTCGCTCACAATGAATTTAACGCGATTGGTCCTTTTGAGGATGCCTGCATTCCGATTCTTGGCCGGAAGGTCAACGTCAATTAATGTGTGTGGTGGACAGGTGCAATAGGACCGTGGGTCTGCCGCAGTATCACTGGACGAGTTAGATGGCGATGAACAGGTTTCACTCGATGCTTGAGAGAATCCCATAGCAACAGAAGTACCAAAAAGACGTGAGGCTGGGAGCTCGAGAAACTCCCCCGCCATTCTTGGTCTTTCGAACTCTTGATATCTGCCTCTGGGCTTCGGTTTCTCGCTTGGATTTTGGTGTTTTTTTGTTCAATCTACTATACAATATAAACCACCAAGTACGCGCCCAATCAACTTCAAACAGACTGGCTCGTCACTTTCAAAGCTGAAGATGCAAAGGCGTATGGATTATATGGAAAGTTGTTCACCTAGCAACATATGAACTATGTGAGACCACAATATTAACAGAGTAGGACACACGGGAGTGGTCTCTTCCGGCAGGAGGCAGCACCAGCTCAAGATATCGATCTTATCTGCCTATCCACTCACCCTTTGTCAAATCTCTGGAACAAATGGGAGGTTTTGGCCACCCAAGGGCGGGTGCGGCGTCTTGCGCCGGTAGGAGCTTGTTTATGTTGCACTTCCTAAAGAGGAAGATGATCGTAGCGAGGGCCCGCTGCCAGGAATGAAGAGTTATGTCACGGATACATAATTAGCAGTTGCGCAATTTGGATTGGTGTAATAATACCCTATCTGGAGCAGTATTTGGAAAGATCCGAAGGAATGGAGGAAAGGCAAGAGACAAAATTCAGGGGGAGCTGGTTGGTATAAAATATCGTGACTGTTTCGGCTTCGGCGAATCGGCGCAGGCTTCTGGGGAAGTTCACTCTTTACATGATTTAAGACAGCAAGCTATACTGCCCACATGACAAACCAGACGATCGAGGCTTTCGGTAATGGTGTAGTGTAATGATGGGATAATGGGAATACCCTGGTGCCGGAATGGCAAAACAATCCTGCTGGGATCACAAATGAGGGCGTGTAGCCGTCAAGAAGGAGGGGCAGAATAATAAGGGGGAAAGGACATTTCCGTGCCGGTTTCCAGCGCCTCTTTCTGATTCATTTTCGAATTTTCTAATATTTCCCCTGGATTATTATTCTACGGGTCCTCGCCATGAAGAGAAGTCACCGGGGTTGTGACAAGCACAAAAAGGAAAGCATCAGACACAAGATACAAATGACAAGAATAACATCAAGATTGATTTTTTTTTGGTCTCTTTCCACTACCAGTCTCCTTGATGAACCGCCCCTGTATACTACGGAGCTTCGAGACCTATCAAGGATAACGGTTAGGTTGCCACACGGATCGACATGGTAGCTGATCGAAGCTTTCCGGATCAGCAGCACGCCGAAAGAAGAAACTAAATAACGCCAAATTATTGAGGGAAAAAAATCAAATAAAGTTAAATCAGGATCATGTTCTCAGGTAGCAGGTCAGGAGAAAGTTAGAAAGGGGAGGAGGGGCGATGTCAGAGCCTATTGGCAAAGGAACCAGCAGCCCATGCCGGTTCCACGGGGGTCATGAGGTACCACAAGTCAACGGAGGCAACCTATAGGGAACCAAGGACAGAATGGGTCTGGACTAGAAATTTGGAGAGAGAGCTCTTCTGAAGAGAATATATATACCTATAGAGCGGTGGTGAAGTCGTGGTGGGGCGCCTATGCTCAGAAAAGGGTTTCAGGGTCGGAGGCTTGGGACAGGAAAGAAAGGAAGAATAAATTTGGATGAGACCTGGTGCTGGCAAAGATCAGCAGTCTATGGTGTTTGGGGCTTATTTGGGGTTACAAACCCGCAATTTCATTTGTTTATTGATCCTTCGTCGTTTAAAAAATACGGTGGTTGTTATTATTATCTGATCGACATAATCCCCAAGATTAACATTTAGCATACCCGAGACTCCATTGCAGATCACCGCTTTGGATGAAAGGTTAAGGGAGATCCTAGAGCCCGTAGAGGTCGTACCTTGATCCCATGCCCGGAGATCCAGGGAGGAATGAATATCCCCCTTCCCCATCACTAAGATATTTGTTGGCACAAACAGGAGTCCAAAACTCTTAGATTTTCAAACCACCTAGCCCATCCCTTGTGTTTACCTTTCTGGCTTTTGGTAACTCATCTAATTAACCCAACAGGAGAATTGCATGCAGGATGTCTCGTTCCTGATCAATGGAGGCTTACGTACCCCAACTGACCCCCATTGTATGCCCCTGTTTCCAGACCCAACAACCCTGCTTTTCATCCTGTTTATACCCACTATGCAATACATATGGCCTATAGAAATGGCTGTTTCGGCCTCATGGGTCGAGAAAGCACACCATCGGAAGGAACCTCACCCCTTCATCCTGGCGACGGTACGTCTCTAGAACCACCGAGCTACAAGGAAGAATGGAAACATCGGATTCCGAGACCTCTAGTCCTCCCCTCTATTCCTCCCCGAAGCAAACCATTCGTCGATTGTTGCGCGTTACTATCAATGCCTAGCGCTGTAGAGGAAGCACTTGTGCAAGTCGTACCATTTGATAGGTAAATTTTGTTTGTTATCTTTCACAGATCCGCATGCTCTATAGGCCCAAGTCCCTTCTTCTCACAAACAGCTAGTTCATGACGAAATACGCCTCCTATGGCAATGCACATGTCGAGCGTTCGAGCAAAGCCCGTCATGATGTCAGCGAGTGTTTTGAGGAGGGGCTCCTTGCGCGTCATTGTGTGACCCACTTCACTGCCCATATTTGCCTTCAGCAAGGGCCAGTCTAGACCAACGGCCAGAGACCTAGATTATAGACCTGTACACTGTTCTGTTTGGAATGCATTAAGCTTCCCGTGGGTCTGTGATCCCTCCGGCCCTGATCGACCCAGTAATGGTTGTAATTGGGTTTGGCAAGACGGCAGATCGACGATACTCCTAACATGCACTGACCTCCCTCTTGGCGTTTCCTTGTTCACTCGTGTAAAAAGTAGCCAGAATGCGCATATGCTCTCCATCAGCTAGATGAAGACCCAAAATACTTGGTATCAAAGGGAGCTGTTGCCTGGATCCCGATTGACTTGTCGGGATGCCGAACCCAACTCAAACTATACAAAGTTCCACCATAATCATCTCCATATTATGTCTCACCTTCTTGAGATAATGAAAATTTTGTTGCTGACTACCAGTATATTTGCTACGGAACAATACCGAATACTCAAATGCAGCCCCCCACTTCTCTTCCGTCCTCGCTGCAGCGATGCGACTGCACCACCACTCCGTCCTACCCACACCTTTCCCGTCACTGTCATACAACCCCTTCTCAGCCAGGCTCACCGAGGATGACCGTCCAACTTGGAGAAATGCAGGGACCAATACCTAATCTTCGGCGGCACCACCGCCACGTTCCGCCCGTCATCGTCACACCCCCCCCCCCCCCCCCCCCCCTCATTGAGCTGGGCCTGTGAAGAGGAACCATGGATGAAAACGCCAGACGGGGTTGGAAAGATCCGTGTTAACTCACTGATTTACTTTTCTTTCTTCTTATTCCTCGTGAATGTGAGCTAATTTCTAATGGGATACCCAGATTCTATGTACGTCTCATTTAGCGATTTACTGATGAACTACACGAAAAGCTTCGTCAGAGTTTATGGTTGTCCGCGGGTAGCTTTTCCATGGAATGATCGCCCATGGAACAACCCAGCGATCTCTCAACCTGCCAATCCCAAAGCTTTTGAACAAAGGTAGGTTGACCATCCTTAAATAGATTTGAGCGAGCTTTGAGTGGAGGGTCAGGTTCAGGTCAAGTTGAGATATCTAGATCGGGGCAGATAAAGGAGGATCCTAGAGTTCTCTTCCTTTAAATAACATGCGACTGACAATATGGACGATTTTCTTTGTGGGATAAACCGAGGACAATAAATTGAAGTCTTATCTTGTAATTTGTCTGCTCAGTAGACTAGAATTTTGAACCGAGCAGCTAGCTCTACTCACATTTTTCCTTGTAGTCTCCAGCGATATTTCGTCTGACAGGCCTTACATAAGAAGCATAAGATTCTATTGACTAGTAGCTTTATTCATCTTGTAACTCACTTTCTTTCTCTCTTGCTGATCAGGTACAAAAGGAAAGGAAAGAAAGAAAGAAAAGGACCATCATCAGTAGATATTAATGAGTCATTCGCTTCACGGCAAAAAAATACAAAGAAGCGCTCCCATTCAGCTTTGGTCTGTGATTGTTTATGGATTCCATCACAGTATATTTTTGCATTGCAAGCGGTGTGCAGGATATCGTAATCTTCAGAGGAATCTTCTTCAATGATATCTATCTTGACCGAGCGGCAGCTTATATATAGCCATTTCTTCATGCGAAAAATAGATTAATCCAATAATTATAATCAGCCAGTCCAAAACGGTATTTGCTAAATGGAAAAAAAAAATCCCATGCGTCATGTCCACATCAACTATGAGGCCGGACAAACCCCAACCTCTCCCCGAGCATCCCAGTGAACAACCCCCGAAGTCCAACCCACCGGACTAAAAAATACGTATGAAATGCCGAGTCCTTCCTCGATCGGCTCTCCACAAGGGCAAGACTGGAGCCGACAGCCCTGTCGCGACAGATAAACTGAATCTTGCCACAAACCCAGCTATCTTGCATCGTGCATGTGTCGTCCGACCAACTGACCTCATGTCTAACCTTGTAGCAATAAATTTTCCGAGTCATGCCTTGTCTTGCTAGTCTCGATTAATGACTTCTACCAAGATATTTTGCTTATCTTATCTTCTTTTGACTCCTCTCCAGGTAATATTATCCAAATTCCTGTTTATCGGCCAATTTATCGTATTTTTCCAGAAACATATCATGTTTTACGGCCTAGGTCGAAGAGTTGTTAACAATGGTTTAGAAAGCAGTCGCTTCTTTAGAGTTCTTCCAGCTTGGCGGGAAGGAATTTCGAGATACATAGCCTCCTTTGCGCTGATATTGCCATCGGCTGTTGTTGCAAGAGAAAATAGTATGTAGAGAGCACGAACAGACCAGAGGTATACTACTATATTGATAGGGTTGAAAGTCAAGTTTGGTAGGAAGCTATATATTTAGAGGTTCATTCCAAAGAGAGGCACAGCATATTCATCGTCCATATTTCTTAATATTGTATTCAAATAGTGATTGCTGTGGTAGTATGGACGTGATAGAAAACAAGATAAGAGAAAGGCGGTTGTCTATATCCGCTTCGCAAAAAATACTGGTAGTCGAATAATCAGGATTAAGGGGTCACGCTTTTCAAATACTTTTAAAATAGACCTTCATAAGAGATGAACTGCTTGATCAAAACAAGTGGTACCAACAAGTACAGATATATGTATCTGTACTTGCACAAACCTCGTAGATTATTTATTCCAGTGCTCACTACAACTTCATGCAGGAACTTGTTAGAGCCTATAACGAGCCAAGTTGTCTACACAGGGGTAGGATACTCGGTCCCATCCAGATCCTTGCAATCCATTTCCAGGACTAGATCACTGCATGAACCTTCTGCTTTTAATATACATATACAGCTACGTAGAAAAAAGACAAAACAGACAACGCGGATAAAAGCACATCAATGTCTTCCAATGGCATCTGAATTTGCTCAGGAACTACTACCTCTCGCCGCCTATATTCCTAGCCCACCGTACATACCTAAGTGAGAGTAATAAAAGAGGTAAAAGAAAACAGGAGAAAGAAAAGAAATCCCTAATACCCAAGCCCCCTCGCGCGGTATATTAGACAACACAACACCCGGAACTCCAGTGCTTGCAGAGCGAAGTGTAATGCAACCCATGTCCATGTCCGTACCCAGAACCTCGAAATTTGCGCCATGCGCCGCGCCCAGGGCCCCGCCGAGCGAAAGAGGCGAGTTCGTCAAGATCGTCATCGAATTCAATCAAGCCACGGGCCCTACCCTCGCAGAGAGTACGAAAGAGGAAAAAAATGACACGGCAAATGTGAAGTAAAAAACAGAGAGACTCGCTGAAAAGAAAAAAAAAGGTGAATGACATTTGAGACAGTGGCGAGGATCTTATCGTCGCTCAACGCGACTGAGGGCTCCCAGGATAAGGCCTAGGTCTTCTCGGGAGCCTCGGCCAGATGCACTGGATGGGCGATGGTCGCTATCTTCACCCTCGATTGCGAGTCGTTGCTGTCTGTTTTGTGCATCGCGTTCTTCTAGTTGCTGCGCGCAAACACGTAGTATCCGGGAAGAGACAGCATCGGCTGTAGACCGATATAGTTCGATATCATGCACACCGGCCGCAAAAAGATCAAGTGTAGGTGCGAGACTTGTTGTAATTTGAGAGAGACGAGAAGAAACAGTAGAAGGAGTCATGGGTGGTCGGTTTATAGATGAAGCTGAGTCGCCTTCCGGCTGTGATAGTTTGGTCGAAGAGGCGGAGGAACTGAGGGATGTGTAGATGGCGTGTTGTGAAGGGTCGAGGAGGGAGATGTCGATTTGGTCGTGAGGTGGTTTTAAAGATTGTCGTTTGGTTCTGGGAGATCTCTTGGATGGTTGCTCTGCATCTATGCGTTGGATTGTCGGTTGCTTCAGGAGTGCGTTCAGAGCCTGTCGCTCCCTTTGAAGCCTGTTGCAGAAATTAGCTTTACAGTTGCATCTTTGATAGTGGATCCGAGAGCTCCATACTTTTGTATTTGCTCTTCCAATTCCTTGATCTTATCGGTGTTCTGGATATTCTTCGGGTTCGGTTTCTTCACGACTACTGTTGGGGGGGCCACGTTCTCGCGACTGCTCCAATCTGACAGTTCTGGGACGGAAGAGAAGTCTTTCAATAGCTCCCCTTGGATAACAAGAGCTAGAAATCCGAATTAGCATCACCAAGTCTCACACAAAGCCAATACACAGATTGAATTTTACCTGCTAGATGCGCACTCTGATCATGAGATGGAGACCCAGTTGGCTTCTCATCTAACGCGCGCGTTGCACACCAGATCAGAAGCTGTCGCATCCTCCGTGTCTCAGAAAGCCCCTCGTCGGCAATGTGTTTATAGAAATCAGCAGTCCCGACTTCTCGATGCGGTAACGCTGCAAAACGGCTTCAGATTAGCAACAGTACCATCATCACTGGTTTTCATATCAACTCCCTACCATTTGAAGTTCCGGACTCAATCAAGAAACTTGCTCTTCGTCCCCGCATCTTCAAGCTGTTCCGCCGTCCCTTATTCGATTTCGCACCCCGCAACTCCTTATTCCTCTCAATCACGGGCGTGTCCGCCACAGGCAAAGTCACCTTCGTTCCCGCAGGTGGTTGTTCCGGGGACTGGAATCCGTTGGTTTCCGGTGCCTTTGACTTGGCCGGCCGCCCTCTTCTCTTCTTTCCCTTTTCCGGCTGACCATCCAGCGACTCCCGATGCTGTGATCCGCGCGTAGAGTGTTCCAATGGAGCCTCCATTCCCGCATTCACAGAGTTTGTAGCACCCCTTGTCGGCCTTCTTGTCGGAAGCTCTGTGCTCATCCCCTTCACCGGCACCGCACTCCCCTGGGAATCCTCCTTCGCTCGCTTCTTCGGAGGTCGCCCCCTCCGGGGCGACGGCATTGGTGGCGCATTTTCGACATCTGAATGGGCGAACTCAGGAATCGGCTCAATTGCCGGTTTCATTTTCTTCTCGGTTGTTGTCTTCGACTTCTTCGCAGGCAATCGTGAGAACTGGAATCCTTCTTCGTCTTCTTCGTAACCTGAGACCGTAGAAACAAAAGGGAGTTTATTAGCGGTTTGTTCATACGATACCTAATCCTCTGCACGGTCTTGCGCCGTAGGCAGCTTCGCAGACACTCACCTGCTTTCCGTTTCGCTTCATGATTCGTCATCTCATCGAGTCCCTGCTGTGTCGCGCTGAGGCGCGTGCTTCGACGTTCCCCTCCTCTGCCGGCACCGCCAGACGCGGCCCCATGACGCGATTGCGCCTGAGGAGCCGCCATTCCGATTGTCCTCAGCGGTTCGCGGCGCTTTGTTTTGGTCGTCGGAAGCGCCAGGACCGCGATGGTCATGTCAGGAGCGAGTCACACGGGTTCTCTGGGTGTCGAGGGTTGATGAGAGGGGTTGTGTTGCGGACACCCGCTGTGGGTGAATGACCGATTGAGAGAACCAGCGCGTGTTTGAACCAGTGAATGGAAGACTCTCGTCGGGAAAACAGGCGTACTGCGCCGTTGGGCCCGTCTTTTTTTTCGTGTTGGTTGCTGGGGCTTAGATTGATCTCCGCCTGGTTCCTCAACGTCTAAGTAGCCTCCTCGATCGGGGTTCGCGGGACGGGACCTGTCTGCAAGTTCAAAATTGTGGGCGCATCTGAAGACAATAGTCTATGTTGCAATTCAAGAATCATGCCCGCAATGCGAAAGAAGCTGCGGGCGGCAAGGATGCGCAGATGGTGGTGGGTTGGAGGGATTCGGGCACGCGGTTGTTTTGGTCGGGGCGCGTGGGGCGCTAGTCCGCTTTAGGAAATCCCCTCTCTATACTGCGGCCTCGGGTTTGACTCTTGTTAACCGTGCAATGTGTTTCTAGTCGATTTTTACTATTACAAAAGGCATACGGATTATGAAGATATATAGAGTCAAGAACCGAGACATTGCATGATGGATGGTCAGATCCAGTTGGGGGTGTCCCCAGAATGCATAAATGCTGTTAGATGAAAACGCTATGTACCTCAAAGCAATCCTTAACGCCATTTTTGCACAGGCAAAAAAAGTAATTAACAACAGAAGGAAATATGTCCAACAAATAATCATCGGATAAGTCCAATCCAATTTGGTGCAAGAGAACAAGTACGAAAATCAATCGGTCAAGAATTAACTTAAGGATTGACGCTGAGCGTCGAGGAGTCGCTCGGAGTAGCGAAACTCCCGGAAATACGACGCTTGGCATCTTCCATATCCTCGGCCGTGATATTTTCTGCCTTCTTGGGCATGTCGGGTTCAAACTGCGGGACCTCAGGGCTATGCCCGACAGACATGCCGACGCGAATCTAATAGACAAACTCAGTCAATACCCAGAACTGAAAACCAAGGGGGGGGCAAGGTGGGGAAAGCCTTACCAATGTCTCAAGAGGGCCCTTGGAATTGTCCACCAGATCCTTGTCAAAATTGACCACGCCCTCCTCAAACAAGATAAGAAGGGTGCTGCCGCCGAACTTGAAATATCCAAGTTCTTCGGCTCGAGAGACCTTCTCGCCCCCTTTGCGAGTGATAACGGTGCTGCCCACCATCATAGCGCCAACACATACGACCATCACACGGCCATGGGAAACAGAGTCAATGGGAACTAGAACCCGGACATTCTCGCCATACACGTCAAGCGCGGAGCGGATGGCCATCGGGTTGACGGTGTAGTACTCACCCTCGATGGTCTTGGGCTCGCCCATGATTCCATCGACAGGCACATGGAAACGGTGGTAGTCCTGAGGTGCCAGACGGAAAACACCCAGAGCGCCGTTCTTGTACCGGGCTGCGTCTTCGGGGTATGCATCGCCGAGCAGTCTCTCGATCGAAAATTCTCGGCCCTTCACCCACACGCTTGTGGCTTCATCGAGGCGGTCGAAAACCACGGAGCGACAATCGGCTGGCGAGACAACGATCCTAGAGTCATCAGGAGCCGAGCACGGGCGCGCGTTGGACTTCAGGGCGCGATAGAAGAACTCGTTAAAGGTACGGAATTTCTCAATGGGCAGAAGAACCTCGGACATGTCCAATTGGTGGAAATTTATGAAGTCCTGGATTTGGCTGGCGGATGCTGGGTCGTCATATTTACGCCCTTGCTTGATACTAAGGGAGCGCAATACGCGACGAACTGAAAGAGAGCAAGCTCGTTAGCTCATGAACGATGCCCCAATTACATCGTAAACACAACTTACTTCTCTTTTTCTCCATGTCCTTACTCTTGAGACCCTTGTAGAGCAGGCGGATCCCAAGACGGACATAGACACTCATACGCTCCTCATTAATCTGGCCTGTGATCCGGTCCTGCACAAGGATATTGGCTGAGTTGGCTCCCAGCTTGTATCCACCATACGAGATCTTGGTGATGACCTTCGAGTACCATTTGCGCTGCGCCTGGCTTGAAGTGACAAAGCCACCCATAACAAGGTTGTCAACCTGTCGCCAGTCGCGGCTCGCACAAGTCGCGATATGGGTGATGATATCCGCATCAGAGCGCTTCGCGAGACGAGGCTGATGACAGAGCGGACACTCGCGAATTTCCACGACATGCTCTTCACCGCGCTCATCGACAAGATCATCGGGTCGAAGGTCGTCGTCGTTGGAACTGGGTTGATCGTCACTACTGATGGTTGGCACACCTATTCCAGGGAAATTAGCATTGGCCGGCATGCTACTGCTGATTTCATTCGCGAGCTCATCGCTGCTTGATGGCTCCTCACTTTCTTGGCTTCCAACGGACGAGGGGCCAGGTCGGGGTCTCCGTGGCATGGGTATCGAAGGAATGGCAGACACCGCGTTCTTCTTCTGCAGGGCCTGTAGGGTGTCCTCAAGGCAGGTCACACATTGATCAAAGGTCAGATCGGCCGTCTCACTGGGCTGGTTTTCTGCGCTGAAACGCTCAAAAAAGCTGTCGATTGTCGATTCCTTCAGGGTAGATCCGAGAGTGTCGAGCATTGTGGTCATTTCCACCTTATCGATGCGGCCGCTGTCATCCGCATCATATTGCTTGAGCATCAGTCTCCAGAATTGTTGGCGAAGCGCGCTATATGGTAAATATTTGGCCTTGATTAGCAACTCGGGTGAGTGCTTATCCTCCCATCGGTCTCGGTTCTTCAGGGTCAATGGTATCATATAGGCTCGCAAACCATCCTCATCGGCTGGGGGAATTGGATCGTTGGTTTCAGTGGCAATGTTGGATGGAGGAACCTGTAAAGTAGAACTACTGTCCGTCTCTAGGCCGCTTACTGCAGGAACCGAGGTAGGCGGAGGTCGAGGAGCCACATCAAACAACGAGTTGTTTGAAAGAGAGGTTGATGAGGTGCGAGATTTCAAAGTGGGACGAGTCATCTTGGAGAGGTTTTGTGACGAAGCCGAAGGACTGGCAGAAAACCGAGGACTAGACTTGGTTGGTGGACTGGGAGGTTCTTCTGATTCTACAAAATGATACAAACCAGACTCCGGGTCGGCCTCCGGGGCCGATTTGACCAGGGCTTGAAGGGGGAAGTTTGCGGATGCGACAAAGTCATTGCCCGAAAACTTGTCACGGTCCATCACGGTGAAGCTGATTGTATAGCTCTGCTCATGTTTCATTACCTGGAAGACCATCTTCTCATGGTAGACGGGGTTCAGGTTATGGCGAATAACGGGGGTTCTCAGGGTCTTCCGTCCGAGAGAGGTCACCACAAAAGGGTCCATGTCGAACGATGTCCGTGTCACTAGAAGGGGGAATGGGTCAGTAACCTCCACCTACATTTCATGCGAAAAGAGAGTTCAGGAGGAAGGAGAAGGAGGCACTATACCATTCCGCTCAGGAGGTAGATCGGTGACCCGAACCACCTCGATAAACACAATACCCTGCACGCCGGTTCCTGAGCCCGAGAATTGATATGCACGGGCTGCCAGGGACTTGCGTCTCAGACGCGCCAAACGAAGCCGACGTCGGCGCTTCTCGACCACCTCGGTCTTAGATAGATCGTCGGTCTCATCCGATGTTTCCTCCTCATCTAGCTCTGCCTGCGGGAGCTGATCATACGCAACCTGGTCCTCCTCCTCGCCCGCACAGACCAGGCTTCTGAATTTTCTGTAGACTTCTGATGCGGATGCATTTGGGTTCGCAGAGTCGGACAACGAGAACATGAGCAAGATCTCACCGGAAACATTACTGTCCTTCTTCTTCTTCTTCTTCTTCTTGCGGTTGGATCGATTGGACAGCCGTTTTGATTTGAGGGTATACCATTTCGGCTACGTGGAACAGTTAGCTCCTTTATTTCATGCGGTGTCGGTGTCGTAACCACAAAAAAGCGCCTCGGAAGAAAGCTCTTCTTGCTATCTTGAGGGTCCTCCTTCCCCATTGTTCCCCATTATGACCACGTACCTCTTGGGTGATTTGTCCCTCCGAGAAAATGTCCTCCAGCGCAATGTCAAACTCGCCCAGGTAGTCCTTGCCGAATCGATCATGGTCCCAACAAATACATTCCAAGAGGGGTACGCCCACCACGGGCATCTCAAATGACACGTTCCATTCCGGGTTCAGGGTCTTCGAGATCGTCGGGGTGGATTGTCTCGCATCGCCTAAATTCACTACCAGGTACTGTTTCCCCGCGTTCCGCGTCAGTCAATAATTCCTGGCGAAGCCGTTCCAGTCTACCCCTGGTGGTGGAGGCCCCAAGGACAAATTCATTTACTTACCGGATCACTCGTACCACCTCGATCTTTTGCTGCAAGATTTTGACCCTAGAAAGACGCAATGGGAGCGCAGGTCAGCAGGCGAGGTTCTGGTTGACAGGTGTCGTGAATGGCTTCGCGGGCCGCGGGGAGAAAAGGACGGATGGAGGGTTGGGGCCGCGGGAGGGAAAGGGGGAAGGGACGGGGAAGGGCACTCACCCGGAGGACAGTGATTTTGATCATCAAAGGCTTTGATTCCACCGGGCGCATTGGACTTGTACTGCGACTCTGGCCGGGGGTTGAGCTCGCGCTTCGGGCGGACAGGTGCGAGCTGAGCCGCTGCGGGAGCGGTAGCCGGACCATGACGGACAGGAAGCCAGCTGTTCAGGGCTGCTCAGGGTTCACGAGGCGAGGCAGGAAGGGTGGGAGGATGGAAAAGGAGCCGGGAGCGGCCGAACAAGATCGTATTCAATAACTGGAGGGCAAGGGCTTGTGGGCTTGGCCGGTGGGTGGGCGTCTGGGCTTCTGGCCCGTGTTGGCCGGTCCCTGACGTGGCGGTTGGGGAGGGTCTTGGGATGGGTTTAATTTGGTGGATGGGGTTGATTTAGTTAGTCTGGAATCCCCCCAGGTCGTGGATCTGCGATCTGCTCGGGTCGATCGTGGGAGCCAAGACAAGCTGCCGCCCGAACCAACCCTGTCACGAGCAGGGACGGGCAACAATTGAGGTCCAGCGTGTCGCCGAGAACTCTGTTGGAGGTTCGGTTGGCAGTTGGCAGTTGGCAGTTGGGAGTTGGAAGTTGAAGTGGGTTGGGATTGGGGAGGCCTTGAGGGAGAAACAGAAGGCCCGAGAGCCCACGGCGGAGGGGCAGGCGAGACGAGCCCAGGGTGGGTTAACGGGCGAACGGGGTTAACGAATTCACGAATGAACGAGCTGATAATGAGCCCAGGGAGAAAGAAAAAAAAAACATGGAAATAGAAGGATTCAAAATAATAATCATGCAGCGACGTCAGGCTGGCAAGGCTGCTCCACTTGGTTCCCACCCCCCACCGTCGGTTGGCTTAGGACTGGAATTTGGATGCCTTGCAGTGTCCGCCGGTTCGTGAGACACTGTCCACCGCTGCGAATGCGAGCCTATTGAGAGAGACCTAATTCTGCTCATGAAAAGTGTCAGAACCAGGAAGTCGTAAGGAGAGACAGAGCGGCAGGGCACAGGACACAGGACGTCCAACACTGAAGACGATGTCATGGCTCATTGCTCGCCTGCAAGGGTTTCCTCCCCCGCTACGACTCGCAGTACCCCGCAATCATCCCAAGGCCGACCAGTTCTTGTCTGAGAGAATGATGTGAAATGGCATTAAAAAAAATAGAAGAAGCCCCATACCAAATAAAACGAAGAACACGTTATCAATTGGGCGAGTTTGGCGTCGAGAATAGCCCGATAACACTGTCCTTTTGGGGGAAGGGGAAGTGAACGATGTATGGAGAGGTGAAACACAACACTCATGAAGCCCAGGCGCCGAGGACTCTAGAGAGAGAAAAACATTCATTGGTATTTCCGAAGCCCCGGAAATGGGCCATTGAGAGGCGCATCAGGAAGAACGATTTCTATCAATAAGAACCTAGCTATAAGTCGCTCCCATATACCCTCCGTGAGGGCGGCTGGGAGATCACTGCGATCTATAAAACCCTCATCCAACACCCGACTCAGGAAAACATGCTACGACAAGACAGGAGAAGAGAGCGACCACTGATCCAGGACAGCAAAGCGAGGAGACCGATTGCATGAATAAGAGATTGATTGAGAGCTAGCGAGCAAATGGTGTTTTTTCGCGTGGGCCACCCCTACGGCATCGAGTAGCCGAGACCAGTCCGGACACCGCAACGCCTCAACAAGCTAGCATCGAAAAGCACAGAAAAGAGGAGAATTGTAGGAGTAACGGACAAAAAAAAGTCAAATCCCAAGTAGAGAAAGTCAAAAACATGTCTAGTCCTGGCGACGGTCCACTCGGCCCCAGACCTCATCCGCATTCGCCTTGCCCTTGGTCTCCGGAACCCAGCGGGAGATGAATGCTCCCAGGACCCCCGCCAGCACAGCAAACACCCAGTATACTTTCCCGCGCCCCCCGAGCACATCGTTGAGCACCGGGAAGAACTGTGCAACCACAAAGGTGGCGATCCAGTTGGCTGCCAGCGCGCAACTCTGTGCGGCCCCGACCGCCTCGGGCCCCACGAGCTCCGAGGCCAAGATGAAGGGGACGGGACCTAGCCCGACGGCGAAACATGCCACAAACAGTAGCGCGGCGATCGCGGACGCGATCGGCTGGGTGAAGTAGATTCCAAGGGCCAGGAGTACGGAGCTGGATCCCATCCCCGCAATACTGAGCAGGAGACAGGTTTTCCGGCCAATCTTATCGGGCAATGGGGAGCACAGCAATGTCATAATGAGATTGATGGCGGAGATGAGCACTGTAAGGAGGGCGGCGGTGGTGGGCAGAATAGTCTGTAGAAGCGAGACGCTGTACATGATAATGCTGTTGATGCCCGTGAATTGCTGGGCAATCATCACTCCCACCACGGCCACAATCGCCGGCCGGTATTCAGGGTTCCGTACTGCCTGCATGATGGTGACCGGGGCCTGTTTCGAGGGCGGATCCCCTGTCGGTGGAGCGAGTAGGGATGTCTCCTCCCCGGAGGCTGAGGCTGCACCCTCCGTCCTCCATGCCTGGACCTCTGCCTCGATATTGGCATCCTTGCCCCGAATGCGCTGTAACACACGTCGGGCGGGACCTGCTTGATGGTGTTCCGCCAGCCAGGACGGGCTTTCAGGGACCATGAAGAGACCCAGCAGCTGGAGGGTGCCGATGAGACCGGCTACGCCTAAGATCAGTCGCCACAAACTATCATGGCTCCAGAAATACCCCAACGACTGAGTCAACAGTATGCCGACATTGGTCATGACCTGGGTGAAGGCGCCAAAGAAGCCGCGCGAATCAGGCGGCGCGATCTCCGAGACGTAGATGGGACCGACCACAATAGCGGCTCCCGACCCAATACCGGAGAGAAACCGGCCCAGTGCGAGGAGTGAGATGGCCGAGGCGAGAGTCTCCGCCACGGGGCCTAGGATAAAGAAGACGGTGGTAGCCTGGAGCGCAAGGCGCCGCCCGTACGTGGTTGCCACAGGCCCTGCCAGCAGGGCACCGACCAAGCCGCCCAGCGTGTAGATGGATGAGACCAGGCCAAATTGGGAGGGGTTCATTTGGAGACATTGCGGCAGGCCATTTGGCGCGCCTGTGGCATGGATGCTTTTCTTCTCGCAGGTGATGACTGCTTGAGGAGCATTGAGTTCGGCCTATGGGTGACGCTGCTTAGAGTCGAGGCTTCGATGAACGATATTGATATCTAGGTATTGTTGTTACGTACCAGGTGATAGCCAAACTGAAGCGGGCCCAAGGTCGCAACAAACACGAGATAGATCAGATAGGGCGTGACCCGCGACTGCGGCGTTTCGCCCGTACTCATGGTGAGACCAGACAGATCATTCGGCTCATGGGAGACACCGCACAGGCCGAGAACAGAACGACGACACTGGCCGTTTGTCGTAGGAGCGAGGAAGGGACGTAGTTGGGTGAAGTGTTCCAGGTGGGAAAGGACGGGGGAGGATCGGCGAACCTGGCTTGGAGCTACGACGACCTCGTCAAGCAGAGCCGAGTCGGACTACGGGACTACATCATCCAGCGCCTGCAGTCTGCTGGGCTAATCGAGGCCCTGTGCGGCTTCAGCTTCACTGTCTCCTTTGCTCCAACTCTTCCTGGTGCTCGGCCGGGTGTCCACTTCATTCAACGACAACAGGAGATGTTGTACGACTGTATTATCGCATTTATCCCTTCGTACTAGACCAGTCCGCAATCTGGAGTACTTAAAAGTCGTACCGTGACCCGCTCACCCGCCGGGCTCAGCGCTGACTAAGGCCCGGAACGGCCGCCGCATCGAACGTCCACTGGTTTCGCCGCTCCACAATCTCCAACATCCAATCTCCAATCTCCAATCTCCTACCTCCTACCTTCCGCTCCAACCGCAAAGTGGAGAGGCCTCCTTCCCCCCCCCCTCCCTCCCCCGATGGACTGACGACCCAATGAGTTTGACCAACCCGCCTTCCTCCGGTTCGATCGCTGCACGAGCCAGGTCTGTCAACCAGCTGAAACGGAGTCTCCAGGCTACCGACGGTAATTATTTAATCTTCTTGGGTTTTGGCTTCAAGTTTGTTGCACCTTCGGCTGCTACTCCTGTTGTCGCCGCGCCCTGTATTCAGGGTTAACGTCACTGGATGCGAGCCTGTCCTGTCATTTCTCTCCACGATGTTTGGGAAAGGTTTTCCGTTCCACAATCCTGTCGGAGGCTTCTATCCTCGGGGTAATTTCCTGTCTCTTTCCACCAAACACTGAAGATTGGACTCGTTTTGTCGTCGCGCCGGGTTATTTGTGCGGGAACACAGCAAGAAGAAGAAAGAAAGAAAGAAAGAAAGAAAGAAAAGAAAAGAAAAAAGAAAAGAAAAAGGAGGGCGATATCTCTGGTTGGGCGATCTTCAATTCCCGGGGGCTTTGGGGGGAAAGACGCTTGGATCCGTTGATTTGTCTCCGCTCGTTCCGCGTGCTTCTTGCCTCGCAATACCGCGGCGACTCGGTGCCTAAGCTAACGAATCGCCTGATGTACAGAGTCACTCGATTCCCGAAGACCCGCCGGCTACACCAGCAAAGTTCGCGTGCGCGATCGATATCACATTGTCGGGTTCATCAGCAGTGGAACCTATGGCCGGGTATACAAGGCCATCCGCAAGAATGGTCAGAAGGGGGAGTTTGCGATCAAGAAGTGCGTGCAGTGCCCCTCGCTCGGATCGTCCTGCGAACATCCACTAATCATCAGCGACATGCTAGGTTCAAGCCGGACAAGGAAGGCGAGTCGATCCAGTATACGGGACTGTCGCAGTCTGCGATCCGGGAAATGGCTCTGTGCACCGAGCTGTCCCACGCCAATGTCGTTCAACTGGAGGAGATCATTCTAGAGGACAAATGCATTTTCATGGTGTTTGAATACACGGAGCATGACTTGCTTCAGATCATTCATCATCACACCCAACCCCAACGGCACGCAATTCCGGCCACCATGGTCCGGTCTATTCTCTTCCAGCTACTTAACGGATTACTCTACCTACATACGAATTGGGTTCTGCATCGTGATTTGAAACCAGCCAATATCCTGGTCACATCAAGCGGGGCCATCCGCATCGGCGATCTCGGCCTCGCACGTCTTTTCTATAAACCTTTGAACTCCCTTTTCTCCGGAGACAAGGTAGTTGTCACTATATGGTATCGTGCACCGGAGCTCCTCCTAGGCAGTCGACATTATACCCCCGCTGTCGATATGTGGGCCGTGGGATGCATCTTTGCCGAGCTGCTTTCCCTGCGCCCAATCTTCAAGGGTGAGGAAGCGAAGATGGACAGCAAAAAGACGGTCCCCTTCCAACGTAACCAGATGATGAAGATCGTCGAGATTTTGGGTCTTCCACGCAAGGAAACATGGCCGGGCCTCGTTTCAATGCCCGAGTATGCTCAACTGCAGTCGCTCGTGCTTCATCGGCAACCGGCTCATTTCCACCGCGGCCCTAATCTTGAGGGTTGGTATCAGAGTTGCTTGAAGAATGGTGGATATTCTGTCAACTCCACCGCCGGCACGCCAGGCGCCGATGGGCTCGACCTCCTCTCCCGCATGTTCGAATATGACCCGACCAAGCGCATCACAGCTCAAGAAGCCTTGGAGCATCCGTACTTTGCAAATGGTGGTCCCATCAGCGGAGACTGCTTTAATGGCATTGAACATAAGTACCCTCATCGCCGGGTCACTCAAGATGACAATGACATTCGCACCGGCAGTCTCCCTGGCACTAAGCGCAGCGGTCTACCCGACGATTCTTTGATGAGAGCCACGAAGCGCCTGAAGGAATAATTTCCTTCCCCAATTATACAGGTCATGATTCTCAAGAGCGTAGGAGCGGGGTTCTAGGGTGCATTGGTAGCTTTCTTTCGGTTTTTATTGGCGTTAAATGAGGCATTTTCACGATGCTCTCTTCATATACCTTTTCTTGTCTTGACATGTTTGCACATGCATGTATATTGAACATTGATTGATTCACAAGTCGTAAATAGAAATCCAGAAGATATCATATTGCGCCGTGCCTAGTTCCTAAACCCTGTTTCCCATATCCCAGCATTGGTCCATCCCAACCCATCCTGAACATGAACACCACATTACAATGTGGTTCCTTTGTGTGTAAATACAAAAATTGTAACCCATAATCCATAGAGACACATACAATGACAAGCAATTCCTGGGACTGCCATGCGCGATCAGTAGCCTATCATCAAAATTAGCAACTAATCCAACATAAGATCCGACAGTAGACCCCAAGCTTACCATTCTGTTCACGGCGATTATCCTCTCCAGCATCATTATCGCCATCACCCATAGCTGAAGCCTGACCTGCCGCATCACGAATGCCCTGTTCATCACCGCGCAGCTTCTCAAAATATGCCTTGATATCTTCTGCACTCACAGCCTGCCCACTCGCTGCAAATGGCTTCAGGAAGTCCTTGACCTTGTCGCGGAGATGGTTGTAGATCATCGCGCCCTCAATCGCTCGGACGCGATCCACGTTGCTGAGGGCTGCCTCCCCGCGCTCCAACAGACTGCCGGTGCCGGTGCTGGCAGCGCCGTTAGCATCACCATCTTCGGAGAGAGGCGGCTCATAGGTCTCTTCTTCTTCGCGTAGTTGTGGATATGGCGCAAGCTGGGGGTAGCATTCTGCGCAGCGACAGAGGCGGTGGTGGAAGTCTGCTTGGAGGAAGAGAGAAAAGGATTCGCAAGGGACGGAAATGGGGAGAGAAGAGTGTTTGGGTGGAGTCGACGACGTGTTTGTTTCCGTAATTGGATTTGTAGAGGGTTCTTCGTCAATAGTAGCGAGTTTGGCCGATTGAGTCTCTTGTGCGGTTTTTTCTACTTCCTTTTCTTCTTTGGTTCGCTTCGTAGAGGGCTCCCCCTGAGAGGGCTCATCATCCGTTGCCTTGCGCTTCTTGGAGGTATCTGCCTGGGGTTTCTGATCAGTAGAGGCTTTGTCGGTGTTCTTTCCTTCGTCACTACTTTCATTGGTCGATTCTTGTTCTTGCTTCTTGTTCAAACCACCCGCTTGATACACCGGGGGAAGGAATCCTGGGGTTCCAGCGTATCGCTTTAGCCACGGGTTGGAATCAATGCACTTAAAGCAAATCAGATGATCGAAATCATCTTCAGCCGGGAAACCTGGGGGGCAGAGGGGTCTCATCGTCTTCTTCGACATCACCAGTGGCATCTCCTCCACCAAGAGCGACAGGCCTTTTCTCAGCCAGTTGAGTCTTGATCCAATCTCTTGGAAGACCAATGAGGCATTCAGGATGCCACCAGTCCTCACCACAGCCCCCAGTTTCAATGGTACCAAGGCCCAGACATTGGAACATCGTCCCCTTCTCTTGGTGCGGGTCATACTGCTCGCCGCAGCCGCAGAACTGGTTGCGGAAGTTGTGATTGTATTTGTTGCTTGACGCTGCCTCCTGCGAGTGGACACCCTTGCGTCCCGTCACAGAATCTTCACGTAGAGTGCACGACGATGTTGAGGGCATACGAGTGGTTCCGCAGTCGCAAACGAAATTGCGCTTATTGAAGAGCTCTACCAGGGTGTGCTCTCCGTGACAGGAGATCGAGCAAGAGTAACAGACGGCGGCAGCAGTGTACTCGCCATCAGAATTGGCAGGAGGTGGATTGCATGTCAGACAAGCAAAGAGTTGTTGGCGTAATGGGCCGAGGGCATAGGTGCATGAGTCGAATGACTGCTCACTCGTCAGCCCGAGAGCAGGCGAACATCACGGAAAAAATCACTTACATAGGGGAGAACTTCGCGCGCATCTGCTTCCAGTCGAATTTGAGACTCAATAAATCTAATGCCAGTCAGCCATCATATTCAGCTCACTTCGGGGGCTGCTTTCTCTCGTACTCTTTTGCGGTTTGCGAGTTCTGTGATCCGAAGCTCTCGCGCCGCCGGGGGTCGTCGTTCTTGCGCAGTTCGTTGGTTGTGGGATCCATCATTTCAGTCTCAAGTTGTCACGTGTCTCCTATAGTCTAAAGTTTCAGGTAGAAACACAATCGTCAGACTTGCGCAGTATTACAGGCTGTCGTCTCCAAGTTGGCGTTTGCGCAGCCCGGGGGCAAACACGATGCGCGGGCGGTGTGGGGCCAGTGTTCGCTGTCCCTTCTGTGGCTCCAGAACAGTGACATTGTCTGCGCTGTCAACACTCTCCATAGGAAAGCCCGCGCCCGAAGGCATTGATGATGCAAGACGGGTGCTATCATCTTGAGTTTTTATGCTTTTGTGTCCTACTTATGTGGCACAATTTACTTCTACGGGTTGGTGACTTCATTCTAACTCGTACTTTCAGGTCTTTCTGGGTCGTACGCTGTTCGTTTTGAGGCCCGAAGTCAAAATACTGGAATAAAAACCAGATAATTCGGAACTGAATAGTGTTGAATCTCAATCTTCAAGATCAGACTACTGTGTATGATCTTTAAGGATTCTTAAAAGCGAATGTCTATGATAGAACAAGTATAAGCATCAAGTATCTCACACGTGACTAACCCGATCGGGGTTTAATTGAAACGCGTCGACGCGACTCGTTTGGACGCGTCAAACACACGCGGTTGCCAGCTTCCCGTTCCCGCCCCTTCCTCCCTTTCAATCATCCGGGGCCTGTGAGAAAAAATACATTCCCCAACTCCCAAGCAACCCACCACCTCTCTTTCTTTTACCCCCTTTCCACTCAATTCGCCCACAACTGACGATTGAGCTTCACACATACCATGGAGTCAGTATTCCCTACTTGTTATTTGTATGTTTGCAAGCATCCCCAAACTAAAACCATTGTAGTCCCCTCCGACCGAGCGATTCGGCCGCAAACCGCGGACCGAGATCGAACACTCGCAAACGTTCGAGAGAACCAGATGACATGTCCTCGCCAGCTCCATTGCCTCCTTCCAGCCGTATGTGAAATCAACACTATCATTCATATCAAAATGAAATTGCGGGGCCAGGTTCCGACTGACAAACTTCGACAGCGACCGCATTGGGTTCATCGCCCCCTCCCATGCCTTTCGACGATGTGGATGAAGATGAAGATGATGAGGGTGACCTTGTTCGTGATATCGATGACGTCGATGAGTTGGCAGAAGATGAAGATGGCATTGATTTGTTCGGCGACAACTTCGAGCGGGATTACAGAGATGCCGCGGACGACCAGTACGCAAACGAAGCGTACATCGATGATGATGGAGACCATGATGAAATTGATGCCGCCACACGCCGACAGCTGGATGCTCGGCTGAACAAGAGAGATCGAGAACTCGCCCGCCGACGTCGCATGCCTGCTGCATTTTTGCAAGACGATGATGAAATGGAGATGGACCTGTCCCGCCAGCCCCGACGTCGCCGACACCACTATGATGAGGACCGTGAAGATATTGACATGGCCGATGAGGGAATGGAGGAGCTGTCTCTGGAAGAGTTGGCTGATGTGAAGGCCGCTAATATCACTGACTGGGTGACCCAGCCCCAAGTCCTTCGCTCCATCTACCGCGAATTCAAGGCATTCCTGACAGAATTTATCGATCCAAGCGGTCAATCCGTCTACGGTAACCGAATTAAGACACTCGGTGAAATTAACTCGGCTTCGTTGGAGGTCTCATACGCTCATTTAAGTGAGACCAAGGCTGCACTCTCATATTTCCTCGCCAACGAACCCACTGAGGTCCTGAAAGTCTTCGATCAGGTTGCCCTTGATGTGACCCTCTTCCATTACCCGCAATACCATGATATTCATAACGAAATCCACGTGCGCATCACCGATGTCCCCATCATCTACACTCTTCGCCAGCTGCGTCAGTCACACCTCAACTGTCTGGTTCGCGTTAATGGTGTGGTCACCCGCCGCACCGGGGTCTTCCCCCAGCTGAAGTATGTGATGTTCCTCTGCCAGAAATGTGGCGTTACTCTTGGTCCCTTCCAGCAGGAGGCTAGCGCCGAGGTGAAGATCTCTTTCTGTCAGAACTGCCAGTCTCGTGGTCCTTTCACTGTCAACTCGGAGAAGACCGTCTACCGCAACTACCAGAAGTTGACGCTTCAGGAGTCTCCCGGCTCAGTTCCGGCTGGGCGTCTGCCGCGCCAGCGTGAGGTTATCCTTCTGGCTGATCTGATCGATTCGGCCAAACCTGGTGACGAGATCGAGATCACTGGTATTTACCGCAATAGCTATGACGCTCAGCTCAACAACAAGAATGGCTTCCCCGTTTTCGCGACCATCATCGAGGCTAACCACGTTGTCAAGTCGCACGACCAGCTGGCAGGTTTTCACCTGACTGAAGAGGATGAGCGCGAAATCCGGGCTCTTTCCCGCGACCCTGAGATCGTAGACAAGATCGTGCGGTCTATTGCACCCAGCATATATGGTCACCAGGATGTCAAGACTGCTGTTGCGCTCTCGTTATTCGGCGGCGTTAGCAAGCAGGCCCAGGGTAAAATGTCCATTCGTGGTGATATCAATGTCTTGTTGCTTGGTGACCCTGGTACTGCCAAGTCTCAAGTTCTCAAGTACGTGGAGAAGAGCGCTCATCGTGCTGTCTTCGCCACTGGACAGGGTGCTAGCGCTGTCGGTTTGACCGCTAGTGTTCGTCGGGACCCCCTGACTAGCGAGTGGACTCTGGAGGGTGGTGCTTTGGTGTTGGCCGATCGTGGAACTTGCTTGATCGACGAGTTCGATAAGATGAACGACCAGGACCGTACTTCCATCCACGAAGCCATGGAGCAACAGACCATCTCCATCTCCAAGGCCGGTATTGTTACCACCCTGCAGGCCCGTTGTGCCGTTGTCGCAGCTGCCAACCCCAATGGGGGTCGTTACAACGGCACAAAGTCTTTCTCGGAGAATGTCGATTTGACAGAACCTATCTTATCTCGTTTCGATATCCTCTGCGTGGTACGCGATTTGGTTGAGCCCACCGAGGACGAGCGTCTGGCCAACTTTGTGATCGAGTCCCACTCCCGTGCTAACCCGGCTCGCCTCCTACGAAACCAAAATGGTCATTTGGTCGACCAAGACGGCAATCGCATTGATTCTGAGGGGTATCGCATTGATATGGAAGGCCGACGTCTGCCTCCAACCCAGGAAGAGATTGCGCGTCGTGCGGCAGAGCAGAAGAAAGAAGATGAAGAGAAGGAAGGTGAAATTCCACAGGAACTGTTGCGGAAGTACATTCTCTATGCGCGGGAGCGATGCCACCCCAAGCTGTATCAGATTGATCAGGATAAGGTCGCGCGTCTCTTCGCAGACATGCGCCGCGAGTCATTGGCCACTGGTGCCTACCCTATCACCGTTTGTCTCTCATAATCCCGTACCCGTCTCGGCATGTTATACTAATTAATGACTCAGGTTCGTCATCTGGAAGCCATCATGCGTATCGCCGAAGCCTTCTGCAAGATGCGTTTGTCAGAGTACTGCTCCTCCCAGGATATTGATCGCGCCATTGCTGTGACAGTCGAGTCTTTCATTGGCAGCCAAAAGGTTAGCTGCAAGAAGGCACTCTCACGTGCATTTGCCAAGTATGTCATCCTTTCCTGTGGCCCTATCCATTCAATCAAGCACCATGTGCTAACGGTGCTCACTGCAGGTACACCCTCTCCCGGCCCAAACCCCAATCTAAGCGTCGTGCTGGCATCCCCGCACCCAACCCGCATCTCCACCGGACTGTTGCGACGCCGTGGTGAGCTGTTAGATGTCTTGGTTGTTCTTGTTTTATTTTCTGGGCGAGGCTTTGCATCTCTTAATTCCAATACCATTTTGTTTGCATGTGGTGTGTGGGGCGTTATTTGTTGTTGAAGTTGATATCCTGTATTCTGGCGGCCTCCCAGATCGGGCCATGATTTAATGAATGAACATGATTTCCTGTTGATCAAAACCACCTCGCGCCTATTTTACCGATTGCTCTGTAGTTCTATTGACCGACCTGACGGATATGGAGACTGAAGTGAAGCTGCAATCCATGCAGCGCATGCTGGGGAATGACCGATACTCAGGGCCATCGACCAATGTAAATGGCAACGAAACCTACGACTACAATGAGCAGCCCATGTACAGAGACTCATGTGAGCGGAGGAAGGGAAGGGATTCCAGATGATTGTGATAATCATCATCACTACTCTTTGGATTTCCAATTTGCATTCCGCCAGGATGTTGGTACATAGTCGTACAGTATTCACCAAATCGACGTTTTATTGAAGTTATTCTGGTTTGATCGATTTTAGGATCTTGTCGATCTCTATAGATTATCCTGGAAACACTATGGCTCGCTTGCCTCTATTATCAAAGTGACTCTATAGCACCCTGAATCACTTCAATCACTCTTCCAGGCTGACTGAGCTGCGCGAGATGACCAGCACTGCATCGTTCGACCCTACTATTCGCTAATGCGGCCAACTGTTCCTGTAACGGGACTGGCAAGAGCTGATCGTTCTCACAGATCAAGTACACACTCGGAACATCCTTCCAGCCAGTATAAGAAATGACATCGTCCCAGCCCTCTGCAGGCTGTGTCTTCATCACCTGCACCCACTTCTTCCTCTCTTCCTCCGTTAAGTCATTGAAGAATATCACTGCGGGGTTAGCACAGTAGGAGGCACCCCCCTAGAAACCAGATAATCAGTGTCCATTTTGAACAACTTAAAGGCACAACCCCAAAACTTACTTCAATTCGCGCAAAAGGTAGTGGTTGGTGCTGAAACCCCTCAGGAAACACCGCTCCTGCGATAAACAAAATCCCAACTACCCCGTGTTTGTGGCCCTGCGACTCACGGTCTTTCTTACTTAGTCCCTCCATCGCCTCGCTGCCGATAAAACCGCCCGCAGAGTGGAGGACGAGCAACAGATCATCATTCTGTATGAGCCGCTGAATATGCGACCGCACAGCCTGTACATCATCCTTGTAGCTTGGATTTCCTGGAGACACAGTGCCTGTGCTCGGAAGCTCAGCGATTTCAGCGCTGAAGCCTTGAATGGCGAGCTGAGTAGAAATGGGGCCGAACACCGTTGGCCCCTCCCAGAGTCCGGGAACAAAGAGAATCTTAGGTGCCATTGTGGAACAACTGGGGAGCAAGTGGGAGCTGAACTTTGGAATTGAGATGAAATGAGATAAAACCCGCAGGGGGTCTCACTGTGTATTTATTTAGCTTCGGCCCCATTCGACCATGTATCGTGGCGTATGGCAGAATGGGGCCAAGAGAGGTCGCGCTTTGTTGTGATAGTGAGAAATAAATTGTCATGCGGTGCCATCACCCCCTGACTGGCTGCTTGTATTCTTGAGCATAAATGATAGAATGCAGGGACGTTGAAAACTGCGTCTGAGGAAGGACTACCAACCCATGTGAGCCATGCGAGCGAGCCGTCGGCGGTTCGACCGCTGAAAAAGCTGCCTTTGAACTACATTGAGCGACTTTGATTCAGCTGGCGCGAGAAACTTTGAAAACACCCGTTGAGCTCCCTCGTACTTGCCCCCCTCTTGGGTGCCCTTGAGAACCTCTATATTTGAATATACCTGGGTGAGGTCAGCTGGCCCCAGATCGAGGCCATGCCACAGCCAGATGCAAAGTAGGCTATGGCGTGGGCGGCACCATGGCTTGAGGCGAAGCTCGTCTCAGAGCGAAGAAGGAAGATGTGGAGTCGAAAGGTGCTAAGTGGATGACGGGCCGTTGGAGGAAAGTTAAGATGATCCCGAAAAGGAACAATGTGATGACACCGGCATCAGTAAAATACCACTATGGTTTGGGGTCATCTGTTTTGGTCCGAGCTTTGTTTCCCGTCATTATAATATTGGAGGCATTGGAACTGGTGTAATGAACGAAGCTCCAGTGATTCAGAGCTTGATCCGGTCATGGGAATGGGCGGAGATCGACATCAACTGACGGTGGATCGGTCATCATGATAGAACGTATAGCGGATATATTACCAACAAGTCAGTCAGAAAAATATGGACTAGAAATATGTATTCATACATGTATAGATAGATCATCCGAATATTGTGGTTCACCGGCGCAGGACCGTCGCGACCTCCAACAATCTGACTGACATTACCCTATTAGATAAGTACCGATATGCAACATGACCTGTGCAACCTTTACTGGAAGCACCCCCTCGTGGTTATTATTAACCACGATGTTCAGCTTCTCAGGGTCATCTGTGCCAAGCGGGATTTGATCATCCTGTACACTCCGCTGCGGCAAAGAACTCCTCGAGTCGTGAAAGTCTTATCAGAGATATAATTCAATGGAGATTGAGCATTAATTGAGGGCCAGATAAAGATTGTTTTTATGTTCATTACCCAGCAGGGTTTGAGAAAGACGTCACAGCGCTCTGAGAACTAATGTTAGACATCTCGGGCCACAAATCATTAGCATCCCAACTCAAATACTCCCACATGGAGTGCGAACCATAGTTCTCGAATGCCGAAGCCGTCCAATCTGAGGTGCGGGCGAACGTGTCATTGCTATTTAAAGGTTCGCCATCAGGCTTTTGGTAGCCAAAGCCTCCATCACTGGTATTAGATTGATGTACTCCTGAATGCGCCATGTTGGCTTCAAGAATTCGAGAAACAACCTCAAGTGAGCGTGCCGCAGTATGTCCATACGGCCGTAGGCGGGCAAGAGTAAGTATAGCTCTCTCAACTTGAGACTTGCAGGCCTCAAACGAGGCACCCGATTCATCATCAATGGATCCAATAGACAGACTAATCAAAGGGACCATAGTGGCCTGGAATATCAACCAAACAGCGTTCCAGCCGACAATTTGGTTTAAATGAGTGGTCATCGAGATGTCTCGAATAGTCAACTCTGCAATTTCGCGGCATTTGATTATAGCGGTGCGTTCCTCGGCTCGGATAGCCATGAGTGGGATTCGTCGCATTGCATAGGTAAGGAGCATTGGGCGATAAAGAAGCATGCGCTGGTTGTAGAACTTCCATCGCATGACAGTACGCACTGCGTACAGTGGCTCTGGGCAAGGGTCGTAGTCTTTCATGACTGGCGGTAGGTTATCCCACCAACGAAGTAACTCTGTATCCATCTGTAGAATGGTTTCGTGTGGAAGAGTCGGTAATGTCGCCAGCGCTTGTTGGATTTTCGACGCAATCTTGACGAATTGAACGTTTTCTATCAAAGGGAGCGCCTCAAAATATTTTTCCTGCCATTGAATCTTTCTTAGCAACACGACTTTATGTCTGCATTCAAGTGTGAAAAGAAACCAATCACGATGCCCCGAAGAAAAATGAAAGAAGAATCTTGTACACACATTATCGAGCAGATGAGGTTGATGAACAGTGATGCTTGGGCCGAAGCAATCCATACTCAATCGACCGAGCGTCTCAAGGCCCCACGTCTCCAAGCAAGACAGTGACCACCAAACACGCCGCCTAAACTCCTGGTTTGCAACTTTTGTTGGGCTCAACATCTGATGGCTGTCATAAGGCTCTCGCTGTAGGCCTAAAGTAACGGCCATGCGTATAGAATTCCCCATGAGCGAGTATCCGAGGTTTGGTTGGCTAACATAGTGGCAATACCAGCCACCAATTAATCCCAAAGCCTGAACAATCTCTAGACTAGGGTTTGCCAAACATGTAGGAAGGTCTAGACAACTCATTGAACGCTCAAAGTAGACTTTGTGGGTGTTGTCGTCGGCCCCCGCTGCAGCAATACTTCCCAAAGCGAGGACGATGTTGAGCAGTGCCAGCCATCGTTTATCTTTCCGCAAACTTGTCAAGTAGGTCGTTCGAATATAGTCTTCATCTAGAAGGGGCGTAAATGGTTGGAAGTTGATAAAATATGCATCGAGCATTTGTAGCTCCGTGAGCGACGGTCGGGATTGATCCGTGCCTTGATGCTGGGCCATCGGGTTGGTTGACTGATTACTTTGCTCTTGGGATAAGGTGCGAGCGAAATACGATTCAAACTCTGGGTGAAGCCATGCAATGACCTTCAGCGCAGCCTGGATAGATGAGATACCCAGGTAGGAGGTGGGATGTCGAGTCGTGAGGGATAAAGCGTTCACATCGTCCGAGATGTGTCCAATTGAGCTCGAGGTGCTAGCAGCCTGGCCATCGTCGAGTTCCTCTGCTGGCATCGAATGTAGAGACTCCAGGTCGGGTCTCTCCATTGTCATGGTAGAGACATGTGTCTCCATAGATGTGGTCATTGTTGGCGAGCTTTGGTGTTGCACATACGGGGATCCCCCTGTGGTCATCAACTCTAATAACTTCTCCCGGGAGAGATCAACAAGACTTTCAGGGGACGTGTCCGGAAATAACTTTTCCAAAGTACCTCTGTAGTCAAATGAGGCTGCTACTGGTGACTTTCCCGAGTGGCTGCTGATTGAATAATCAGTATTTGACCTGGAACAAAGGTCTTTGGGCCCCTTTTGCTCACCTTTGCGATAATCGGCCTTCCGGGTAATAGCACGAGTCCGGTTTCTTATACCATCGGCACGCTTCGCAGGGCTTTTCTCCATCACATTTAATTTTTCGACGACGACAGGACGTACAGGCTCGAGGTGTTGATCCTCGTCGGGTAATCCGGTCGGTCTTTTTTGTGTACTTGGGATTGCGTGGGGCGTCCTCGCTGGGTTGAGCCGAGTCGAAGGTGAGGAACATGGCCGATAACCCAGACGCATCGCACACCACAGAATGATGATTTTGTTCGAGGCAATACACACAAAGGGAATTCCAAGCTCGTGCTAGCGGGGGTGAAGTGGAGTGAAGGATGAAGTGCAGTCACAGCAATGAAGAGTCTCGGTGGAGATAAACCGGGGTAGAAGTGGAGATTCCTAGAATAAAACAAACATCGGGTAGAGCCTCTTGGAACAATTAGGTAGTTGGGTCGTCCAGGTCCCCTGGAGATCGTACGTTGATTTTGTTACAAATTTTCTTTTCGGTTTCGAAATCCTCGCGATTGCAATTCGAGGTCGGGACTCACTTCATGCCGACCAGTTGATGGCATCCTTTCCCGGTGGTCCAATTATTTTCAGCCGAGACGATGCGGGAGAATGCGGGGGAGGTCCTTGGTAGGTACCCCTGAGGGAATCAACAAACGAGAGCTACTGGGCCTGACTAGTATCATACATCATTTTGATTTTGATTTGCACTGCCGGACTAGAATTAGGATCCTATCGGGTGGGCAAAAAAGCACCCGTAGAACCATCTTTGTCTCCACAACCAGGCGTTACTACCTCGGGAGCGGACTTCCGGATCGTTTCGGGACAGGCTTGCTTCCCCACAATGATCAAATCCAAACCTGGCAACAAACTCTCGAGATCCTATCCTGAACGAACAGAGCCACATCGCAATGATAATTGCCTCCAGTTTTTATAGCCTTTCTTTAATTGAATATATTCATATAAATACGGTACAAACAACCTCACCTCTATCCTGATGCTTGCTCTCTATGTCTATAGGCTGGGGAGAGATCCAATGGACATCATATTTGGACTCTTATGCTACTAAATTCGCAGTGAGACTCTGGATTACAGAGTATAAATTGCTTAAATACAAAACAAAAGAGGCAATGCAGCAGGGAACCGGTTTACAATTTACTAGAGCAAAGAATATAGCTGCAGGAGCATTCTGCGAAAAGTCTTCTGGCCAGCTAATCAGGAACCAGTCGAATATACCCATACCACAACTCCTCCTGTCTCTTCTAAATAGCTTGAATATCAACCCAGAAACGGGTATCATCAGTCTGATACACCGCATTACTGTCGACCTGTTGCTGGATCCACTCCACAGCCTCTTTGTAAGCTATTCACAAGATGAGTGACTTATTTCAGAAAGCGAATCATATTAAGCTATGCCGGCCTTACCTGTAATATCTGCCGTATTGGGATCTTGGATGCCCGATTCTCCGTCACGGTGTCCCGCGAACCAAACATCGTAGCCATAATGATTCTGGCTATCGTGACGGGCTGTGACATCCTTTGTGAGATCGGAACTACCAGACTCGATGTCAACGACCCTCGATTTGAGAATGCGAAAGCATGAAGAAAATGAACTTACTTGAGAATAGCACCATCAGCAACCTGGCTTGTGGTTTCTCCCAAGAACTCTGAGGCCGATGTACGCAACATGAACCAATTCTGTTTGAATATGCCAAAATTGGTGGAGTCTCCCGTCTTCCCGTCACCTGCAAACCGTATCGTGAGTACAGTGTTTCTTTTGAGAGAGCAACTTCAGAATCTACCGTATGTATAATCGGTGGTCATTGTCTCCCTATATAGAATCAGCTTGATAGCCCAGGCGAAGGAAGCTCGACATAGAAATCAGGATATTACTAACGTCTCTAGCATCGCGATGGCGATGTCAAGAGTGTTCCCACCAGCACTCAAAACAGCTTGCTTGCGAGCCCCAAGCCCAGAAACTGTGTAGCTTCCACGGTCACTATCTCGAGATTTAAGCTCGTTTCTCTTGAAATCCGATCCGGGAGCAGAGAATACTGCTGGCACAAGGGCCATTGCGCTTACAATCGAAAGGAGCTGCATCGTGAAGATATGCTGGATGAAGTATGGATTGGTGAATTGCTTGTCTCAAGTGATGATGAAGGTGAATTCTGGTGTATAAGAACGGCAGCGTTGATCGACTTTATATTGTCAATGCGAAGAGCATCCGCGTCTCGTTCAGGCCGAAAAGGTGAAGTCATTGAACCTCTTCCACCTTGGCCGTGGAGAATGTAGAAAAGATTAGCATAGCTAATCTGTAGAAATGGTATGTTTTGGTTTCGTTCTACGCCATGTTCGAAGACATAACTCCGTCTTCCCCGTATCCGTTCCTGAAGAGGAAGCCACTGTTTTACATTAGGGCCCTACAGGTCCTTTTTGGGAAAATAGAAATGCAACATGATGAAACAACACACACCAAAGAGGTTTCAATTTGAACATTTCCGAGGCTGCCGACAAAAGAATTAAGGATGTTGGTGCAGAAAGGGCTCTACTGTCTCGTTTTGGCTTGTCCGTTCACCAAACGTATATCTATCTGTTCTAGACAATTGCTTAATACTGGAAATTAAAAGGCCGAAGGCTTAGCACTTATTGATCCATCTACCCTCTTCTGAAGCATGTCAATTGATAGGTTAACGCTTACTTCACTCTGATCCTCAAAGCCAAAAATGGTAGACCACCTTCTCAGGGCAGTCTGCATTGTGACTAGACTCTGTTTGGCAGGAGAGTCGTTCATGAGAATTCTTGGCCTTTGACACAAAACCCACCTGTTGATCTTCCTCCTGTTATACCATTGGCCGGGGATTCGATCCTACTTGTCTGGATGTGTGGCTTAGTGGCCTTCAGATGAGTTTCGTTCACCAATAATTAAATTTTTTGATATCAGTTTACCTGGAACCGGACACGCCAATCACAAAGGCCTAAATAAAGAATACATTCCGTGCGTCGAAGTAACAGCAGCTAATAGAAAGTACAAGAAAAGGAGGCGCTCATAGTATGCGACGTACCCCCACATCTAGCCACCATCTTGATGCGAGGGACCTCCCGGCACACAAGACAAAAAGGAGAGAAAGAGCAAAAGAGATCAAGTAGTAGTCAATCAATGGACTCTAGTCAAAGCAACGCCATTTCGGGTGCCAAATGCTGGCAGCGAACAATGTTGGGTATTACACATAGGAAAAATCATCAAGAACAGGGATATCGTAAGACGCCGGTCAGAATTCCGGTTCGTACCAGCGCCACAGATGCAAATTTGATACCCGTTCGTTACCTTCCATCAGTCTTCTCTCCTGGGGTTTCTTATATCAGAAGCTCTTCTCCTTGCTTCCAATTGGTAGCTTAGTCGCTAGTCCGGCGCTCGGGCCGTGGCTTGCGCAAGCTTTTCATTCGATTCAGAAACCCACCACCCCCGGCACCAAGCTTCGACTCGTCGTAGCCCCGCTCGTTGGTCGACTTACGCTCCAGACCGGTCGACTGCTTGGGGCTACTGGATGAGCGTGTCCGGCCTCCACCTTCCAATCGAGACTCCTGGATGCGTGCAGCTTTCCTATCATACTCCTCATCATAATCCTGGAAAAACGGGTTCCTCTCGTTTCCACGAGAGGAGGCGGAATGGCTAGAACCTGGTTCCTTGGCTGGAGAGGCAAAATTTGGCTCGGTGGGAGAAGCGTAAGGGCGGCTAGTGCCACTCCGGCCGCGCAAGCGTTGCGCCAAGCTTTTCTTGCGCTGAAGACCTCCGTTTTCTTCGACGCCCTCGCTTTCGCGGCGTGCAATGGCTGAGCGGCTAGCGGGCGCACCGTCTAAGAATGTGCTGGTTCCAAGGCCCATAGTCTGTTGTCCATGAACGGGCTCGATGCGAGCGCTGGCATTGAATTCGACGGTTTCAGGGGCAGGGCGGTGGACTTTGGCGAAATCGTGGTGTGCTTCCTCCATTCTACCGTGAAAGAGGTTAAGGTCGATGTTGGAGTTGTTGGGGCCAGCGCCACCCAAGGCCATATTGCTGGATCCCTTGGGGAAGGCTTGCATGGGCGCAGTGCGCACGCCCTTTCGGTTGCGGTGAGGGTTGCACGCATCGAAGGGGCCATCGTGGTGGAACACTAGTGGATATTGAGTCAGTATACGAGGATAAAATTCTGCCGTCTCGAAAGCCAAAATCAAGGCCAACGTACTTCCAGTTCCGTAGATGCTAGTCACATCCAGCTTATCAATGATGTCCAACCGACGATCCCTACGCGAGGAGCGAGGCTTGCCGTCGCGGCGGCGCTCTTCGCGCTCACGATGACGCCGTTCCCGTCGGCGCTTCTCGTCATCATCGTCAAAAAGCTTAGAGGCTCGCTCCATCACAGATGACTCGGAGTTTCGGCGCGGACGGCGGGAGGATTTCCCCGGAGGACCCATAGTAGACGATTTGGAAAGGGGAGGTGGGGGATCGGCAAAGATGTCGAAAGGGTCCTCCGGTCGCGGCTGTGCCGGGCGCCTTTCCGATCTCTCGGATCGTTCTCTCGGGGGTCTATGGCGACTGGATGGGTCGCGAGATGCACCATCAGGGGCAGAGCGGGAACCTTTCGTTTGAGAGGATGTTGTAGTGGCAGACGGAGCCGGGGCCGGAGCCGGTTTGAGGGAAAGGTTTTCCTATGGCAGGTCAGTATCACCCTGCTGTCTCCAAATTCAGAAGAAGGCATCAGGAAGCCACATACGAAGAGATCTCGGGTGTTGTTAGTCATGTCCGGTTTCTCGGTCGGAGAGAACGACATGGCGCCAGTAGATAAGCCAGGCGCTGATTGGGGGGACAAGGCGTCGGTTTCGTCCAGAAATGGATTTGTCGATCGTGGACGTTCTGGTCGAGAGCTAGTGTTCGAGCCGACCGAGGGGGACAAGGCGCGATTGCGAAAAGGGTTATTGGAGCCAAAACTGGCAGCTGTCGGGGACACCTGGTCTTATCACGGTCGGGTTGGGTCAGTCCAGCAGTCCAACAGTCCAACAGTTCAGCACTTCAGACCAATGAGTTGGATCGAAAAGGGCGTGGGGGGATTTAATCAGATCTGGATTTTCACGGGAACCAACGTCGGTTTTAAATCCCACGCCAAACATCGTTCCAACGACGCGCAGAGCATACACGATACCGTGCGATTAGGGGGCGGGAAGAGGCCAGGATTGATGAGGCATTACGCACCTGGGGGCGCCAGTGACACGCCGGGCGGGTACCCGAGCGCTGGAGGGGCATTCATAGCGACTGTGAGAGATGAAACGGGGGTGAAGTGGAGAGGATGATTGCGTGCGTCAATGGGAGGGCCCTGAGAGGGTGTCGCACGACTGCGCAGAAGAGGAGTCGGGGTGGAAGGATGAAACAGGAGAGAAGAGTCGCGGGTAAGATAAGAGGAGGAAGAAGAAGAGAAGAGTTCGAAGCGCGCGAAAAAGAGGAGCGGAGGAAGTGGAGGGAGTGGAAAGAAGTGGAGGAGGAAGAGATGAAGAGAAGGGGAGAAGCTCACGGAGGGGGGCAACTTGAGGGGACACGGGATCAACGATCCACCAGTCTATGACTTGCTCTTCCTACACGATCAGAGCCGGCCCCTTCTGTACTCCGTCCGGACGGATGATTGGCATTATTACGATTCTTCTATTCTTCTTCCTGGTTATCCCTGGCTGGCCCTCTGTTCGAGGGGTATAGAAGACACAGGACAGACACCCGGCCATGAATGTCTTCGAGATTCGACCTTTTCTCGACTATCCGTCACCCGCCTCCACATCCAAGACTTCCTCCCCCCTTTTTTAACAACTAAGCGTACCTTATGAGGGGATATCTCGATGACCATTCTCTAGCATTCATTTCACTCGTTCGTGATTCACCCGTTGGCTCTCGGTCCGCAGGGCTCGCAGAATCTTGCGTGGGGGAATCCAGTCGACCTGCAGAAACCTTGCCCCGGACGGACCTCCGACTACTTCTCCCCCCAATTTTTGGAGCCCAAAGGGGACACTAAAGAAATCCAGGGGCCGACGCACGACGGAATACGGAGAAAGGACAGCCACTGGACGGGCTGAACTGGGTTTAACCCTCTGGGGATCGACAGGGCTCCACCCGGTGGACTCGCGCCAATGTGCACAAGCAAACTCCCCTGGCTCTGACAGCCCGAGCAGCCCCGATCAGGAAAAAAGGGACGAGCATACTTAGTCGGCATCGCATCATCGCGATCATCCTAATTCCACAGTCGCTCGCTATCCCAAGGGGGACCATACGGTCAGCATCTTCATCCTTCGTAGCGGAGGAACCAAGATTCCTTCCCGCCCCCAAAACGCTGTATGCCCCAGCCGTTCGGAATGACGTTCGCATTCCTAGCCGCCCGGAAAATCACAAACTTGATGTCATTTGGATAGACTGGAATGTGGATTTCCACCGTGGCTAGCGACAAGACAGCAATTTCGATGAACACGCGAGGGTGGGTGTGGTGCTCGATAACGAAATACATACCGACTGCTGACTGTTGACTGCGATCTCACACGGCCCATACGCGAGATCCGACAACGGCCTGTCACGCTGATCCGAAGGGGAAGGGTTGCACCCATGCGAACACCCTGACCTCCAGGAGGCGCGTCATCGAGGATCCTGCCAAGGGCCTGGATGCTTTTCTCTTTTCCTCCTCTTTTTTGGTTAGCAGATGGATATCATGCTCCGTCTACGTATGTCAAAGTTCTTCTGTCGCCCTTGATAGGATCTGCGATGATGCTCTCGGGCGCTCGATTTTACTAGTCTTTGGCCCTGTGACATTAGCGAATGTGATCTCCCGCATTGCCAATAGATCTCGGACCGATTTGCCTCAGGATCTATCAATACACTGCAGCTGTGATAGGTGACGAGTACAGCACAGCGTACGTCAAATGTCTCATTTAACGCCGAGCCCATAATTTTCATGATAAGGGACGACGACGCTTCCCTCTCTCGTCCATGGAACGCATGGCAAATGTACATACAGTAGAACCCAGACCCACATCTGCATGACGACCCATCGCACAGTAAACTTGGATGCCTGCACGTCCCAACAGGGGTAGGATGGCACACTTCAGTTTCTATAGAGAATAGAGGTTGACGAAAAGTGTCTCTTTCCATCTGAGTCTTCATGGATGGCGGAGAATTAAATGATGGGCTTACTCTAGAGAATCTGAATCAGGAGTGTTGCCAATAATGACTGTACAGCACAATTATCCACCCATGCACACCGCCGAAGTCTGCCTGGAATCAATCCTGCGTTCGATCATACAGTGCCTACCGTCTGAATCGCAACAGCCAGCTCCCAATAGAACAAGCCAATGGGCCATTTGTGGATGCCACATAACTGGCATCAGCAGCTCATTGACGTGACAGTATGGAAGAACCTGTGATTGATGTTTGCTCATGCAGCACCAAGAATTACCTCGGTCCGTAACCGAAATTATCGATACCGATCAGTTCCGGGCGGTTCCTCGGGGGCATTTGGGCCAACAGGAGAGCATGAAGTAGGTGATGTACCGGGAGGCGGTTGGATGCTGCTCCCAGCCTTTAGTCCGACTGAGTAGCTAGATGTCGAATCATATATCGGTCGCGTTCCACTAAAGTGGCCTTATATGGTTGGAGAATGTTGGAAGAGATCTAGTAACCTAGAAAACATCCTATTAGGCTCAAGAGGACCTTCAAGGTGGCTAGATAGCGTCAGAAGTCTTGCTTGCGGTTTATATATATATATACCATAATGATCAATCTCTGTAACAACAATACATGTTATAGTCTGCAAATTGATCCTTGATCTTTGATTGCAAGCAAAGGATGTCTCGACAGCCCAATACATTTGACTGACCTAGAGTGAATTATTCTTTTTGCATTACTGGACAGGATTTAAGCCTCCCAGTCGTGACTGTAAATGTTTAGGCTTAAGCCCAGAATAAGGAGACCATTTGCAGAGCTTCTTCTCTTTCCCCCCTTCTGCCTTGTCATTTTTGACACAAGTTTCTTCCACCAGACAAACATCAGTACAATGACATCCATGCTTAGCTGGAGATACATCAGAACTTCAAGAACTGGACAAGCGGGTTCAGCTGGGACTGTAGACAAGCACGACTGGGCCCGGTCTTGGCACTCCGCCTTTGTGAAGCGGCGCCTCTTCCACAGGGACGAACATCCACTTCCACCACTTCCACTACCTTGAATCACCTGGAACTCCCTGGATAAGAACCATGGAGACCGCATCCCAGCCTCCCCCGCCTCCTGCGCTCACAAATCCTCGCTTCACCCTCGAGCTCGAATTCGTTTCCTCGCTGGCCAACCCTTACTACCTGTCTCACCTGGCGGTCAACTATCCGAACCTGCTGGGGATCGCGCGCTCGGAAGACAACGATGGCGACACTGCCTCTGCCCCAGATGCGCAGGCCTTTGCCGCCTACCTGGCTTACCTATACTCTTACTGGAAGACCCCGGAATACTCGCAGTTCTTAACCCACCCCGGTCCAACCTTACGCGCACTTCGCCTGCTTCAGGAGGAGACCTTCCGCCGAGATATCATCTTGCCTCAGGTGATTGAAGGGTTGGCTGGGTCTAATACTATGCCAGAAGCCGCACCTGTCACCGAGGGCGATGCTACTGCTGAGGTGGAAAAGCAGGAACCGAATGGCTCCAAGACCTGAGTTCCACCACTTGTGTTGGACCTTAAAATCCTCTGCTCTCTCTTCACTCTTCCGTCCACCACCTTTGACAGTCAGACAGCCATGACCGGGATATATCTTGCGGAGATCGACACCACTGCTTGCCTCAAACGACCAGCTGAATGCCGTCACGCCGGCATTTTCAATCCCAGGGCTCATCGCGGGGAAGCCGTGACTTCATGTGCGACCGAGGTATTGGGCCGATCTGCCGGAGGGTTTGTCGATCGAACAACCATAGGAACGAGGCTGGTCCGAGTCCAGGAAAATACCCCGGTCGCCGGTCGAAAAGCAATCGATGAGAACTCGAGATATTTATGCTTTCCCCCTCTTGTTGGAGGATGATTTGTGGGGTGAAGGACCAAGCGCCTAGAAAGAGCGCAAGGTACCGCATGCGGCCCTGGTCCATGTGGTGCTCCTGTACCTGTTCCCTTCTGCGATCCAAGGCAATTGACGTAAATTCAAGACCAATCACACTTTGTTCGGTTCTGAAGTTCCAGTTTCCTGAAAGAGCCTGGGTCCCCACGTAGTGCGCATCCCCCAAAAATGAACCGTAGAAAGAACATCGCCTTCAACGAACGCTCGGAGCTCCTCCCCCTCCCTCCGCCTTCTTTGGGGGCATTTTTTTTCTCGCCCACACTACCAAAGTCATCTTGTTCCCCTCTCCATCACCCTCAACGGAGACCTTCTTCCTCTGTTACCCCCAGAGATTCCAAGGGGTTCGTCTCTGGATTCGTCATTGTTGGGTGTGAGCTGGCCCAGCCCCACTGCCCCCCTGGTGATCGACCTGGAACGACCTCATCAGTCTCGTACCCGTCCACGCCTCCGACCAGCCCGACTCTCTTCCCCTCGCCCTTTGAATGTCGTGAACTATCGGCCCGCGTCGCATTGAAACTCGATTTGGGTCCTATTTCTAACCTCGCACTCCTTTGCGGACCTCCCGCGGGGCGTACCTAGATCTGTCGCCCATGGAGTCCGTACGGCAGTCGTGTCGCCCGCGGCATCAAGTCCTGACCCTCAAGTGCTTTCCTCGGTATCAAAAAGGCGTTGCGGAGGTTAAACCAAACCCCAGTGAACTCTCATATCTGCTGTACTATGCGAGCACACGTCGAAGCAAGCTGACCAAGGTCGGGGCTTTTCTGGAGAAAAGGGTGGCTAAGGATGTCTGGAGGCGTCGATTGGGGTAAGTGAAAAGGAATTATCTGCGATGAGGTCTTCGGCTTGATGAGCCTCGAGGATGACTAGCAAAATGGAATCACTGACAACTCCATTGAACAGAAATGTCCAGGTCGCGCTGCACATCCTGACCGCACTCATCGAAAAGGTCCCTCGCGAGTTACCCATCTACGCGCGCTACGTCCTCTCCGTCATTGAAACTATCTTGCGATCGAACGATATCTCTTTGGTGGAGGATTCCATTGACACCTTTGAAACATTCTGCCGTCATCAGGATATTGCTATCATCGCCGCTGAGCAGGGCCTCGCTCAAAAATACCGCGAAGTCGTTCGCACCTACGCCAGCTTTGCGGATCCAACTTCCCCCTCCTACTCGCCTGCTAAAATTAGTCCCCCGGTGGCCCTTCGATGGAGAAACGCCGGTCTTCGTGCGATCAGAGGTGTCGTCAGTTCTGAGAGCCTGACGGCTGATGGAGGCACATCCGTGAAGCTCATTCTCCCCGTCATTTTGGAGAACCTGTATTCGCCTCATGAAGATATCCTCATTCCCCTCAAGGCGAGATTTCATGAGACCGAGAAAGGGGATCGCGACGGAGCTCGACCCCGACGGATGAGCGTGACGACAGTGCATACGGTAGACACAGCAGATGGCGACCCTGCCCTCGCCGCGCAGTCCACAGCCGATGCAGATCGGCAGGCGGAGATGGATGCGCGACTCATGGCCCTTCGCTGTCTGGAGCAAATCATTGTTTCAGGCAGCAACCGCGGCCAGATCCGCATTGCGGCGACTGTCGTCCTGCGTTTCATTGCCAACAAGCGATTCCCACGACCCGCAACCGGGGGTCAGTCAAACGGTATCAATCAACAGGATGGAAACTGGTCAACTTCCCTTATTGAGTTGATTGCGACATGGTGCCCCGTTCAGGTCCGCTTTGTCAATCTGATGGCGGCAATGGAGATATTGCACGACACTACTCCCACGGAGGATGCCCTGGATTCGGCCTTCACTATTCTTTCGGTCGTAGACTGGCTTCTGAAGTCGTCCGTCAATATGATCGGATTGAGTGTCATGGACATCTTGTTTGGCCTGATGCGATACGTCTCCGATATTCTCTCCCCTACTGACCAATCTGGAGTAGAGCCGGAGAAGAATCTGAATCCCTCTTCCGATAGTGCGGTTTTCATCTCTCCTCGGAGGAGAGCCCTACTCAGCCTCTTGGAGCAGTGCATTGGAAATTTGGCGACCCATATCTACTATAGCGACCAGGTCGCTGATATGATGCGGGCTATTCTGCGGCGCTTCAAGCCCAGTCCTAGCCAAGATAGTGTGGCCCAATCTTCATTGGCCACGGTCCATGAATCTGGCACAATCCCGTCGGCTCCTGTCCAGGTGCCGGTGGCAGAGATCCCCAGTAATCCAGAGAAAGCCCAGGGAGAAAGCTTCTCGCATGCTGCTGCCAAGCTGACTGCCCTGCGAGCTGTCAAGGCAATTCTTGTCGTGGCGAACCTTAGAGCACCTGCGTCCAAGTCTGGATCAGACTCTAGAAACCCAGTTGGCATCCATGTCTGGGAAGGTACACAAGGTCTTCTTCGGGACTCTGATCAAGAGGTCCGTCATGCCTACGCCGATGCTTTCCTGTCATGGTTGCACCTGGAAACCAACAAACAGGACCTCAAAGTCCGGACAGATACACCCAAATACGTTAAGCCATCATCAAGGCGTGACAATGAGCAGCTAGACAAGCTAAGTCGGCGAAATACCTCCGCTCCAGGAAACCAGAGAGAGCTGGCGGCCCTGGCGGCCCAGTCCAATTTCCTTCGCCTGTTGCATTTGGCTATTTATGACGCTGCTCTTGACTCCCCCACTGTGGAGTCAGAGGTTCTAGTGCATCATCTTCTTCTGGCTACCCTTGTGGAGAATCTTGGAGTAAATGCTATCCAATTTGGTCTGCCTATGGTCTTGAAGCTCCAGGAAGATTTGGTTACCTCCGTTGATTTGGGTTCCTCTGTGGCCCGTATCAACATTGGAAGCTTGGTCCATGGATATCTCCTCGCTATATCAGAAAAATTCAATCTCGAAGGTACGCATGCAGGAGTTGAGATTCGAAATGAGATCGAAAAGCGCCAGAGCAAGGGGCAATGGCTCTCCAAGGTCAAGCTGCCTCCTACTGGTCTCGATGGGATTGCGGTGGATGATAGAAAGGGTATCAACGACAATGATTCAGACCATTCGATTACTCTGACATCCTTCCGGAATGTCGACAACCTTGCTGACGGAATCGATGAGTCCTATCGTCGGGCCATCTCTTCGCCCCCACAGAGCCCACCAATTTCGGCTCCGGCCCGAGGATTCAGCTTCCCTGTTCTGAACTATGCACATGCAGCACCTCAATTGCAGGAAGAGAGCGGTCTTCCATCCCCTGTCAAAGAACAAATGCTATCTTCTTGGTCTCGAGAAATCTGCTTAGCGGCCGTGGAGAAAGAAAGCATCAAAACATCATCCATCAGTGGCTCTCGTGGAGGCACCATGACTCGCAACGGCAATATCAATGGATTGGCCAATGGATCCCCCGCTGGGTCTACGCAAAACCGTCGTATGAGCATTCCTGAAATCTCCACCAATTCAGAACATAGCTCCCACCGGGGATCGCCCGTTCGTGTCACCGAATTGCGGCGTGTGCTCTCCGTGAACACCGAGTCTCATTCACGGAAGCGCAGTCCTTTACGCAGTCTTGTTGACGCTTCAAACATTAGTGTTATATCCTCAGGCAGCGAAAGCATGGTTAGCGGGGCATATTCTATCTCTGAGATGGAAGCAGATTCCGCCTCGATCCAGGACCAAGAGGGTCAACAGACGCCTGAAGAGGAGGGTGCGGAGACCCCCCGCGCCCCTGGTGTTGCTGATCAGACCTCAACAGACCAGGCACTAAGCCGGCTAAACTCCGAAGAAATTCCTCCTGTTCCGCCCATTCCTGCAAGCTTGTCCATTCCTGGTGGCTTCCCGAATGACTCTCAGCGGTCTTTGGTATTCGATCGGCCGTCCACTGCACCTGATGCCCCGCAACAAACAGTCAAAACAAAATCGGAAACGCCTCAACACTCTGGAAGCCGCAAATCCCTGAGCCGCGACAAGAGCCGCTCTAGCCATAATCTCTCTACCGGAGCCTCGGATTTCTTCCAGAACGGCGACTCCAATGGAAATGCATCTTTAGACAGCAGCCAGCGAGACCAACTACGCATGCTGCTGGATGGATTTCTCTCACCTGATGATAGCATTCTGACCAACGGAGACCACCCCGCAACTGTAGTACCTTCATCCAAAACTCCGCTGGGCGGAAACGCCGTTGGCAGGCGGCAAGTCAGCGGCGGGGGCATCGGACGACCTCCCTACTAACCTAACCTGTCTTTCTCTTTCTCTACCAATTGCTTCCCACTTTGTACAGTCGGGTCCGGCGAGCATGGCTATCCCGGATACTTCGCTCCAGCCTTTTCTTTCCCTCTTTCTTCGTGCCTACAGTGTACATGTCTATAATGGTTTCCCTTTTCACCCTGTCTTTTAACGCCCTATTGATCTTGTGAACTCGGATTTCCCCCGGGCCTTGTGTCACTAGCGCTGTTTACTCCTTAGCCCATCCAGGGTCCGGTATATGTGTTCCTTTCATTCTCATTCTATTTCTCTTGTGGGTCTTTTTTCTCTTTCGTACTGCTTGATCTTCTGTCCTTCTTCGTCCTATTTTCTTTCGCACATGCTTATCCTTCTAACCATTTCGTGCCCCTTGTGATGCGTTTGCTGTCTGCTTATGCGTTTGATGCAAGGGCCCTGTATCTAGCTTCCTTGTCAGTAGACACAAAATAGACGGCACTAGAATCCAAACATCTCTTTTAAATTGGTAAACTGTGTACCTTTTTCTCATCTTGTGCGGTAGATGAGAAGAAAGGGGGTTCTCTTCTTATCATAATAATTTATATTCGAATGTTCGAATGTATCACGGCCGAAAACCAAACATTAAAGAAAATTCATTCCCTGTCCCACGGCTGCCAAAAAATACCACTGGGATCCCACACCCTCGCCAGTTTTCTCAGCTGCTCAATCTTGTCCGCGGTATGCAACTCCTCTAGCTTAGTACTAGGCCCCAGATTGTTCAGTATAGTTCTTGGTGGGTCTGAAGGCAGCTCATTCTGTCTATACAAAGCCTTGATCTCGTCTGCGAAGTTCGTTGCCGCAGACTGGGTTGATTCATTCGTAACCCAGCTCACAATTATAGCCTGGATACCTCGGTCTCGATGGTCGAAGAATCTTGCTTGTCCTTCGGCTGTCTCGGCAATCTCCATCCGTTTCTGCGGGTTACAGCTGCTCAGAACCAAGGTAGTGTGCGTCGCGTCCTCGTGGGTGGTGGTGAAGTCGAGCCATTTTGTGAATGCGGCCTGAATGGTCTCACCCTTGGTGCTCCTTATCCAGGCAGAATGGACATCTTTGAACCCGCCATGGGCGTTGAGGGGCTCGAGACTGTCATTGATGCTGACCATCGGTGTGAACATGGTCTGGGCGGTGATGGTTTGAGACACGAGCTCCGCCTCGAATAGCAGCGAAGCTGCCTGCTCCCCGTGTTTGGAGGACCCGTAATAAGTCACAGTAAGAATGATCATCGGTGCGCCCGGCTGAGGTGCAGTTGGCGGAGCTCTCGCATTCAGCAGAGTCAAGGCCATGGCTGGCGGGAGCGGATGGAGTTTGTTGAACGTGTCTGCCGCCACATCGATTGCTGGAGCAGGAAATATCAATCTGCGAACCCAGACCCCATCTGGTGACAGGTCTAGATCGGCGAGTGGAAAGATCTTCATTGTTAATGCGGTGATGACGCCAAGTCCGTTTCCTGCTCCACAAAGAGCATGGAACAACGCGAGATGCTCGCCGGTCGAAAACGGGCCGACCTCTGCGATATCCCCCCAGCGGTGATGAGACGGATGCGGAGGACATGATCGATCATGAGTCCTTGTAATCCAGTTGTTGTTGGCTGGGTTGATTGAGTTAGATTGATATACTAAGTATACCGTACGGAAAGTGTAGACTGAAACCAGGAGGCAAAGACCTACAATACCACCCCCCAACATGCTCCCGACCACCCCAACCGTGTTGCTGTTGGCCCATGTCGTGAAGAAGCCCTGCGCAGTGCATGTCTTAATTAATTGGGCTGTCACAGCACCGCCTCCAACAGTCACAGTCTGAGCCTTGCGGTTCACTTGGACTTGATCAAACTTCTTCAAATCGAGATAGAGCGTTCGGGACGTGATAGGAACAAATGATCCATGACCCCCGCCAGCGGGAAAGACTTGAAGTTTATTTTCCCTTGCATACGCCAAGGCAATCTTGATATCGTCTTCTGATTCCGGAACCACAATGACAGCCGGGCAGGCGATGACTCCCGTGTCAGACCATCGCGAGAGTAATTTATAGAGGGGCGTCGAGGGATCTGGGATGTAAACGGTGCCCTTCAGTTGCGTAAGATCTCCCATAGTGGCAGTGGCACATAATCTACTGCTGACTAACTTTCGCAAATGAGTCGATCCACAAGATTAGAGAGACCTTGACGGCTTCGTGCTCTCGAAAGAAAAGAATGTGCCAGCCATGGCGATAAACGATGAATGGTGTCTAGTGTAAGCGTCAGCATCATGATGAATCAGAAGCGGGCAGCCAATGGCGACGAGGAACGAAGCGGGAGGTGAACCAGGCCGATAAGAGAAGGTTCCGCGAGACAAACAGGAAGATGCCAAAGCCTAGTCCAGCTTCTCCAAGATACAAATTCCTGATGAATGCCGGAAGGCTTTTGCCGTTGTCAAGTTAGGCGCCCATCATATGGTTCGCAGTCACTTGGGAAGAAAAACTGAACGATTAAATAAGAAGACGGTAAGTGATACATAAGCTAAATGCGAGATTTGATTGACGAAAGCGACTTGGATATATGGTGCTGAATTTTGAAAAAAGAAGAAAATACAGACAGGATATCGCTAGCTAACAGTGAACGCCATATATAGAACAAATTGTTATAAACCCATTATCAGAGGGCCGATTGTACCACAAGTCCCGGGAAGGCAGGTGACTGTGACTCCTCAATGGGGCTGAAATACTCCTTGAAGGCCTTCTTCAAGAGCTGCTCAGACAAGTGCATGTGTTGACCTGGCGCGGATTTGAAGTGCAATTTCCCCTGGTCGTCCAGCTTCTTCAGTCCCAACCAGTCCTCCTTGTAGATCTGCCGCTCCTGGAGAGGCGTGACAGTCCCATCCGTGGCATTGACTTCGGCAAAGAGAGCACTCTCCTTCGGTACAGCCACCGTATCCTCGTCAAACATGAACATGGCGAACATGTTCAACGACTCCAGGTGCTTCTTGTACGTCTCGTTCTTGAACTCACGCTCGTTGTTGATGTCGGCGAGGAAGTTGCTGTGCTCCAAATAGGCATCGAGCTCGTTCGGGTCCCGGAAGTACTGTGCAGGGACAACATGTGACTGTGCAAATTGTGTCCATCGGCCTGATCGCAGCAGCGCCTCGGCTCCGTTGCAGAGCCAGTCGCCTGACGAGCAGGACTGAAACTCGGAGATCCCATTGTGTTGGCTGCCAAACGTGACAAGGTTGTGGACTGGGGGATTATTGCACCGCTCAATATAGCCTCGCAGGAATTGTCCACCCTGCGAGAAGCCGAGTGCATTAACGGCAGGTGCTGTGCTCAAGATTGGCTCTGAGGCAAGTTGCTCGCAAACCGTCTGGATCTGCTCACTGACATTACCAAAAAATGTTGCTTGGCGGTCACCACCACCTGTTTCTGCCAACCGGATAATGTGAACATAGGTGTCTGGGTTCACAGATTCAACAAGTGAGACCACCTCCTGCAGTCCATCCCGTTCAAAGTCGTCGCCGAGGCCGTGCCAGATGATGAGTGGGAGTTGGGTCGCATCTTCTTCAAGCGACGATGGCTGTTGGATGACCAGGCCAAGAGCTGTAGTGGCAAGAGATAAACAGATTGGAGCAAGACACTTCATGATGCTCTTGACGAGAGTTGTGATTGATGGGAGGTTGGGACAGCACGGCGGCAAACGCATCCGGGGAATGCGTCTATCACCACGTGATGTCCTATGTCATTATGGGGCGATCGGCAAGATTTACTGCCCCCAACGGCCAAGCCACCATGTTTTAAAGTGTTTCAGCGCTGGTAAGCAAGAGTACACCCATTTGAGGTGATAAGGTGGCATCGAGCAACTAAATCGAAAAAAATTCTATATGAAATTATGACTCTACAGCAGGACAGAAACTCTCAACCATCCACCTTCTCAAAACAAAGAAGACACTTCTGGCCTTTGGGCCGAGAGGCGATGATCTGATCATCAATTGACATGTCACTTGTCATTTCTGGGGCTATTTTGGTCGTAAACTTCCCGTATAGCTCCCGCATAAGCAATTTCATCTCAACCAAAGCCAGACTATAGCTCGTTAGCATAAAATGATGATTCAGGTGGTTCTGATTTGACTTACTTTTTGCCAATACAGCCTCTCCCTCCTGCTGCAAATGCAAAGAACAGTCGATTTCGGTCCGCCTCGCCTTCTTTTTCCAGCCATCGTTCGGGCAAGAATGACGATGCATTGGGGAACACTGTCTGGTCCATTAGATGTACTGACCATGCCTGGCAGCTGACGATTGACCGTTCAGGTAGAGTATATCCACTAATCGTTCGGCCTCCTCGTGGCACATATCTCGGCAGACTCATAGGAATCGGTGGAAATAGCCTGAGTCCCTCCTTGATGACAGCATCCAAATATGGCAGCTCATCAAGTCGAGCATTGGGGTTCAGAGTGATTTCTTCGTAGAGTCGTTTTTGTATATGGCTCGACCTTGGTAATGAAAGCTCATGCATGAGAAAACAGAGCGCGTCGCCGGTAGTATCGATTCCGGCAGCCAGATGATCCATACTTTCTGCTGCCATCTGAATTTCATCCAATTGCTCAGATCGGCTCCGTAGTCGATGAAGAAGCGATGATTCTTGTGGTTTAGTATAAGATACCCGATCGAGAACATAATTTTGGGAGATAGACATTATCGGCTTCGGGGAGAAACAGGTTCTGATCCTGTGTAAGAGCGGCCAGTGGTGTTGTACCAGCCTCGCTGTTTCCCATCAGCAAATGTCTCTTCGAAAGAGGGAAACCTTTCTGAAGAATTACCTTGGAGTCTGTTATCATAGGAAAGATCCTGCATCAACTGGAGATCCTTGCCTTCGTCAAGCGACTTTGTGCCCCCAGGGTTGAACAATGCGTGTGAAGCACAATCAAGGGCATAGCAATGGAGAACAGTCTGTTTGAATTATCAGCACACAGACCTCAAAGAAACAATAGGAACAGCAGCAAGCGTTTCGGGTTCCTACATAAATATCAAGAGGGGTTCTTGAAGATGCCGTGCACTTCTCAACAACTTTGGCCACATTCTGTTTGATCCCTTCCATCATCGACGAGCTCAAAATGTTTGTCATTGCGTAGCGCTCTGCAAAAAGCTTTCTTCGTTGTGAATGCTTGGCCTCAATTAGCTACTTGTCCCGGTGAGATATTGATTTATTGAGCCTTACTTCATTTTTATTCAATAATGCAAACATTGGACTGGTGCTACTATTAGTGACCCTGGGATTCAACTTCTCTTCAAATGCAGATCTTACCGGCGATTATATTGCTTGAAAAGGTCATAAAACTCGGTTTTATCGTATCCGCTTCCGCCGCTTTGGTATATTTCTTTTATTCCGTCGAGGTTGGCAAAGGCCACCTCATCCGGAGCTATACGGACTACAGGTCCGTATGCTTCGTGGAGTTTGTGAATCCAGACCCGGCGCCGACCATGAAACTCGTGGTACTTTAGTACCAGGCTGGTGAAATTTGTATACCATGGTCCAGGGACCTTCGTTTGCAGGGCGCAGAATGTGGGTACAAGTAGGTATGCGAGCCCTACGCACAGAATTGCATAGATCGCATACATTACAAGAAAAACCAGCAATTCACACAGAAAAGAGAAGTCCGGCTGCTCAATGTACAATTCCGAAGCAGGGAGAACAGGGATCGCTGCTCTTATTTAAATTGTCTATGTGGAGAATAGATAACAGGTCATCTTTGCGGGTATCTTCGTGGATTGTCCCCGTGTGGAATGCACATAAATCCATCGCCTCTATCCCCCCATGTATGGCAAGTGGAGGAGACGACAATCGCCGAATCCCATGTGATGGATTCCCGCCATTCTGCTTTTGCGACAAAATCCGCCGACTTCGCACGAGCCCGATAGCGCTAGACCAAATCTGGGAAGTCGAGGAGATGCAGGAACCAGGCTTCCCCCGCAGGTTCTGCTTTGCGAGTCGGGGTTGGAGCACTGCTGAATGATCTGCTTTGAGTCAGTCACAGGACGATAGTCCCATATCATTGCTTGATAACGATCCCTTCATTGACCCGGAGCCTGCTCTCCCTTCTCTCTCTTTTCTGAAACTATGCGCTAAGTAACCGCTTTGCCGAGATAAACTCGCGAACTGATAACGAGTGAAGCGGGGTACAATCATGTGCGGATCTCTTCCCAGCTGGCTGTCCACTTCACTCCGTCCAATTACCAAGACCCCATGAAGAGGAGTGTGAAACGCTCATGTCATGGATGTGCCAGGTGCAAGAGGCGTCGGCAAAAATGTGACGAGCAAAAGCCGACCTGTGGTCGATGTGCAGACGCTGGGGTTTCTTGCGAGTACCGAATTGTTCTGAAGTGGAACGGCCGGGTTCCACGAGACAAGAATTCACCTCGCGAGGGAAAAGATTCACCATCGACATTCTCGACATTGGCTGATAACAATGTCGGACTTCAGTGCTCCCTAGCTGATTTGGCAAACCAGGAGGGGCGTCTTCATTCTCGTTTATCGCACTGGTTGTCTCCCATTCAACAGCCTTATTCTACGCTATCTCCCACGGCCAACCTTCTTCTACATCATTTCATCACGGAGGCCTCGATGATTTCCAGCCATGCCGATATTCGAAATCAGATATGTCGGGACATCCTTCCCATGGCCTACCAGTCCGAATCCTTATTGTACGCAACAATGGCGTTCTCCGCGCTTCATCGCTCGACTCTATTGAACGAACTTCCCGATCAATTCGTGCCGGAAGACCTGGTATCAGAACTGATATTGGCGAGTATGTACTGCCTGCGGCGGGACCTTGAAACCCCAGGCCACCCGACCCAGCCTCTCCTCCACACTATCAGGACACTCTGCCATTGCGAGATATATTCCGGGCGCGCGAATTCATCCTGGCGGGTTCATGTCAAAGGTGCGGGGGCCATGTTCTCAGCCGTGGCTTCCAGGAGAGACCTGGACCATTCTGAGTATAGCTTCTGGCTTTGGTCGAGGTGGTTCTGGTCCATCCAAGCATTGACTGCTGTCACGGACGTTGGAACGTTGTCAGAGCTTTCTTTGGAGGTTCCAGCCATGCAAGAAAACCATGAAGATTATTTCTTTGACACCTACACCGGCTATTCTTCCGATCTGAATATTGTCCTGGTGCAAATCGGCGCCATGGCACAAAAAAAGCAATCGATAATACCAGCGGGGGTGAAACCCCGGAGAGCTCGACGTTTCATTATCTGGAGAAGGCATGCGAGCTTGAGAGTACTATTCGTGCCATGATTCAACGTGACAATGACATTGGACTGAAGTTTCCGAGCCATGTCGTACTCGACAAGAACACTGTTCGCCAGTTTGAGGCTTGCAACACTGCTTACCAGAATGCGGGCTTGATACACCTCTATAGGCGACTTCGAAACATGCCAACCGTCAGTGAGGAAGTTCAAGGGTGTGTTAGAACGATTCTAGATGCAGTTTACGCTATTCTCCCGATCACCACGCTCTCGCCGTGGATCCTATTAACAACACCAATATATACCGCTGGGTAAGTCAATTAATCCTGTTGGATACACTGGGCTAAAGACGTTGATTTTGTTCCTCTTTCATAGTTGCGAAGCTGTTGGTCAAGATAGGGATTTGGTTAAAGATCTTCTCCTCGGACTATACTCCACGCTTCGCATTCGTAATATTCTGAGGGCGATCGAGATTTTGAATCATAACTGGAGGGTCACAGATAAATTTAGAAATATACAGCAGCGGATCAGCGGGAAAGATAGCAGGAAAAGAATTTGCGACGTGACAGGAACCCTAGATTTCCTGGACTTTATCCCGTACTAATCCATTACGGGAAAGGGTGTTTAAACTTTGGGTATTTAAATAAACCCCCTCTCTAAATCTTGAATCTTGTTTGAACCCTTTACAAGCATGAGTATAACTAGCAAGATCAATAGATTAGACACCGTAATCTTCTCAACCGCAGAGAGACTCGGAACTGAGACGTATTTTATACAGAATAACAGTTCTTGAAACAGGGAAGAAGATGAGGTTAGCGAATCCATGCACAGTGCCTACATACACGCAAGTCATGTAGATCTCAGGTCGAGAGAAGGATGAGAGAGACGATGGAGCAGCAGCACTAACGGACATGATTAATCGTCTGTAAATCCCAGAATTTCATTTTAGGGGCCAAAATCGCAGCCGGGTAAACAATGGCCTCGGAAACTCGAGACGCTAAAGGCTCAAAAATGCGGAGCCTTCGCCTAAAGTTGCATCTTGACCGGACTAAGACGCGGGGTACCCCTAAACCAGCACACTGTTAGCTGCCGAAGAGCTCAAAAGCACAGAGGGCGCGAACAGAGTGGTTATTCTGGGTTCCTCGGGCTTCGGCAATAAATTGGGTCGCCTTTGCTTGTACCGAGACGTCCTTTCACTTATCCATTTCCTGTTTCTGCTCCCTTAGTCTGGGAAAATGCAGACATACTTGTCTTAGGCGTGTCAATAACTTTCAAAATGTCGGGAGAGAAAAAAGACACTTCTGCTAACCCCTCGGGCGACCTCATCCAGCCGGATGTGGGCCATTTGGAACTTGTTTCAACGCAATTCGGGCAGAGAATTTGGGACAGTTTCAAGAGAGACCCCAATTCCTGTATCAAGCAAAGCTATGAGGGACACAATGGCGCTGACATTGAAAGCGCCACCTATAATACTTCAGTGTCGCCCTTGCAGCGGCGCTTGAAAACTCGCCATGTACAAATGATTGCCATTGGCGGTTCAATTGGTATAGTCGCATAGCCCTCCTAGAGTCCTTATTTTCGACCCTGCTGATTCTCTAAGGCACCGGTCTCTTTGTCGGCTCAGGGAGTATTCTGGCTGCCGGAGGCCCTGCTTCGGTCCTGATTGCTTATTGCTTAATCGGGTGTATGCTGTTTTTCACGATGCAGGCTCTAGGGGAAATGGCAGTTGCCTTTCCCGTGGCAGGTTCTTTTGCCCATTATGCGACACGCTTTATTGATCCCGCCTGGGGGTTTGCCATGGGTTGGATCTACGCCTTTTCATGGATGGTCACTCTTCCACTGGAGATTGTTGCTGCGTCAATCACTATTGACTATTGGAGTCCTGGCGTTTCTAATGCAGCCTGGGTCGCTATCTTTTGGGTGCTTATTGTTGGCATAAACTTCTTTGGGGTCCGAGGGTACGGCGAATCAGAGTTCGTCTTATCAATCATCAAGATCATTGCAGTGATTGGTTTTATGTAGGCTTTTGCCTTTCTGTTTCGTTTTTTTTTTTTTTTTTTTTTTTTTGGATATCAACATCTCTTTTTTTCGGCTTGAGCACGCTAACATTTTGGGTAGTATTCTTGGAATAATCCTCAACTGCGGCGGAGGCCCCCAAGGTGAATATATCGGGGGCAAGTATTGGCAAGACCCGGGAGCTTTTAATAACGGCTTCAAGGGTCTATGCAATGTTTTTGTTACAGCTGCCTTTGCATTTTCAGGAACTGAGCTTGTTGGTCTTGCCGCTGCGGAGACTGAAAATCCTCGCAAGTCTCTGCCTGCTGCGATCAAGCAAGTCTTTTGGAGGATACTCATCTTCTATGTTGTGTCACTTCTCATTGTTGGCCTCCTTGTTCCATATACAGACGAAAAGCTCGTGACTGGGTCATCGTCTGCCGATGCACATGCATCACCATTCGTAATCGCCATTGAAAATGCAGGTATGTCTACTTCCTCTTCTCCTTTGTCCCACCACTAGTATATATCTAATACTTTGTACAGGTATCTTGGGTCTTCCTTCTGTTGTTAATGTGGTCATTCTGATTGCTGTTCTCTCGGTCGGTAATTCATCCGTATACGGAGCGTCTCGCACTCTCTCCGCTCTTGCGGATCAAGGCCAAGCCCCTAGGTTTTTGGGATACATTGATCGAAAAGGCCGCCCATTATTCGCTGTTTGCGTGACATCGGCGTTTGGCCTTTTATGCTTCCTCGCGGTGACTGACAAGCAAACCGAAGTATTTGAGTGGCTCATGGCGATTGCGGGCCTGGCTGAGATCTTTATCTGGGCCTCAATCTGTTTATGTCACATCCGATTCCGCCAAGCCTGGAAAGTCCAAGGTCGCACTTTGAGCGAACTTGCATTTTGTTCACAAACGGGCGTGGTCGGTTCTTGGCTCGGTTTTGGATTCAATTGCCTTGTATTGGTGGCACAATTCTGGACTGCGGCTTGGCCGTCTGGGTACGGGAATATGAGTCCCAGCTATCGGGCTAGTACTTTCTTCTCATACTATCTCGCAGCTCCTGTCACTATCTTCTTGTATGCTGCCTACAAAGTGTGGTTTCGCACAAGAATCGTACGAAGTTGTGAGGTAGACCTCACGGTGGGACGTCGTGTTTTCGATGTCGATCAAATGATCGAACAAGAGATGGCAGAACAGAGAAACCGTCCTTTTTGGAAAAAATTGTTCAAGATTTTTTGCTAGACAAAGTGGAGAACGATCGGATTGAAGAATCACTCCTCATTGTTCTCTATAGTAATGCAACAAAATAGCCGTTTTCATAGTGGGAGTGGACGTGAAACCACTCATCCTAACTCCTATTTATCCTGGGGATCGCGTGCGTAAACGGCTTGCCCGAAGATCTTGACCGTCGCTGAGATATACGGATCCATGCTGCTCAGAAGTGAATTTGACAAATTAAACCGGGAGTCCACACGAGAGCTTGGTTCTTGAAGATGAATTACGCCAGGACGTTGCAGGTGAGAATTTGGAGCATAGTTAGTCCTTGATGGCCGGGGAAGCCGCTGCGAGAACCAGGTAGGTGTCTCACGGGGAGACAACATGTCGGTAACAATCAGAGTGGGTGATGGAGACACTGTCTCTCTGGGTCTACGAGGGGTTTCATGGGGTTGCCATTGGTCAGAAGGTGATTTTGAGTTAAACCATATCTCGTTGGTAAGCACTTGATTATCAATAGTAGAGCCCCATCGCCTTGGTACTGGTGATCCTGTGGAAACAGGAGCCGATAGAACCACTTGGCTGGAGTTGACTTGGTTTTGACGCCGGGGATTGATGCAGAATCTTCTGTTCAGGACGGGCTTACCGGAAGGAGTCCAATCTGCTGGGGGTTTGGCCAATGGGGTTCGAGGTACCGTAGCCTCATCTTGCTGCAGAAGCATTGAATGAGATGAGGTTTTGTTCGTCGACGCATCTCGGGTGTTATTGGACTCCATCGTAGTACCTTCTCCGTGTGTTGGAATCTGGACCTGCTGAGGGCGAGGATTGTCATAGGGTAAAATACCTCGGGCCTTGCAGTTTGAGGTTGAAAACGCCAAAGGAATGTGGCTTTTTAAATCAGTCGATAGTCGCTTTCGGTCTGCGTCGTTTAGTCTTCGACGTTTCCCAAACCGCTCGATGTCTTCAACTGGCGTGAAGGTAATCTCTAGCGGGCGTGCAGCCGATGTAGTTGCCCAATCCGTTTCTTGCAAGAGCTGATATTTTAAAGCGTCCAGATCGGTGTTTATTTCTTTAAGAATTGTGGATTGGTTCGAGATTGTGGACCTGCAACATGCGACGAGCGCCGAGTCAGTACGAGGAGATGTTAATTCGCCAACGCGCACATGAGAAGCAAGGACTTGGAGCTGCAGTGTTTGACCGTTTCGAACTGACAGATCCGGGATTTCTTCTTGAGCTGGTTCTTGTCCATTTCTGGTCATCGAGTCATCACCGGGACCGTTTGAATCAGGTCCTGCATGCAACGACGAGGGTTGGCGAAGGCTTTTATTGCCAGCCAGCTGACGAGAGCGTGCAAAATGCTGCCGTTGGGTCTTAGAGAGGAGACCCTGATGAGTGGCATGTCGTTGCAATTGGCCTCCCGTCCAGTTCATAGTGGAGACAATCGGTGGTTTAGATCGTAAAGAGCATCTTGGGAGTACCATGGAACATGGCGTCGGCCGTTGGAGCTGTGTATGTCCACAAGTGGGGCTTCCCAAAAGCTTCGGCCCGTAATCACGTGATGAATGGAGCACAGCTCTGGTGCAAACACTGCAAATATATGCACGTGACAAAGCGCACAAAATGGCCGCGATTTTTCTCGGCTTTTTCTGGTCTACTTCCACACTCTCTCTGTGCCTTGATTACCTTCGTTGCCCACAATGCAATTCATGACGGGTTCTCTTAGCGTCAGCTGGATTGATGAACAACAGCTCGACCCCGTAACCTGAGAATTGGAATTGCTGGTTCACCTACTAACCTGTCCCCGACAGCATGGGTGCTCTCCATAGGAACTGCCCTCAGATCATGACGTCTTTTTAATCGGCCAGGTTGTTTTGCGTTCCAACCACCACCTTCGGATCCACAGGTAAGCAGCCTTCCCTTCCTCGTGCATGATTTGCTGGCGTCCTCGAGACCCGTGATCCTTGGCTCGTGTTTCCACGGCCTCATTCTGGATGATGAACACACCTACCCAAAGCATAGTTCACCTGAAATCTTCGGATTGCTGAACGACAACCTTTATCCATCTTATTCTTTATCTGACTTCACCTTCAATTATCTACTGGAAACGTCTTTTTTGTTACCGAGAGAGTTCACTAGTGACTAACTTGAGAACCCACAGGATTCGCTATAATCAGTCCCCTCCACCTTGTGTGGTGTCTGTGCTGTTCATGTCCGTGGCTCTAGGAGGGCTTCGCTTGACAATTCACCTGGTCAATTCGGAGGAGACGAGCGTCTCCTTTCCAGGATTGGGCACCGGATCCGCTGCATGGCTGCCCAACGTGGGTCTGAATGGCCCGCCCCGGCCCGTTCCCTAACGATCTCAGTAACGAGTTTGTGAAGGTGCCGATGCTGGTTATGGTTGATGGTTATGGTTATCCCCACTGCTCATAGAAATCTATCTGCCTTGTTTCATGTCCTCTGTTCCATTGCGGGCACTGCATGGCCCCTGTTGTCTGTACTTTCCCTGTAGACGTGGTCGAATCCCTCCTCATCCGGCCCTGATCCCCGACCACTTGTCGACCTGTGATTCCTGGCTGCTTCTGTTGCTCCTGTTGCTCCGGTTGTTCCTGTTGCTCCTGGTGGCCAGCTGGACTCGTAATCCGTTTCCTGCATGACCTTCCGCGACTCGCCGACGTGGTCGACTCTCCACCACACAACCCCCGTCCACACGCGACGGAGAATCTGCCGATCGTCCAAAATGGACATCATCCTGCAGCGTCAGCGTCGGGGCTGCGCCAATCATCGCGGTGGGCATACGGTGCCAAGCACTCGAGTCGCTGGCCTAGTCTCACCGCTAGAACTGCTTCTAGCGTCCTCCACTCGGAAGCGACCAGTGGACCAGCGGGGTCTGCAGATGCCATCACCGCTCATTCCCAGCATTGGCTCTCGAGGGTGCCAGCGAGGCAGCGTGCTGCTGCACCCTGCGAGTCTGGCACACGCCATGTCTGATAGTCCCACCCTGTCCCTTGAGTGCACACACAACACAATTGCAATGAAAAAAAAAGCACGGTGGTTTTGCGCCGCTACTAAAAAGCCGAGGATCCCCCCTTTCCCTTCTTCGTCTTTTCCTCTTTCTTTTCCAACTCTGGATACCCCTCTGATTGACGACGATCGCTTCCGAGTCACCTGCATCGCGACCTTTTGTTCTCCTCAAATCTATATACCCTCTTCTCCTGCCCTTTTTTATATATGCTGCCTCTCCCTTCCAACCAATCACCCCTTCATCTACTACGCAAACAGTCCCTGGACCGTGGACGACGTTGATTAAAACTGCCCTGGTTTTTTCTTTTCTTGCCCAAGGATTATCTGCCACATTCTCCCGGACAGGATCTTTTTGCTTTTTGTTGTTTCTTGCCAAGGCTTCTCTTTAGTCTGCATCTGCTATACTTGCCGACACGCACACAACAGGTAGTCCCCTTCACATTTTCTTTATATGCTTCCCGTTGTTCTTCCCATGCGTTGCTTCTCGTGTTCTGCTCCTGCTGGACCTGTATTACCGACCAACTGTTGCCGACCGGATATCGACGCCCTTCAACAACCAATTGCCCCTGGACTCCCTGGATCTTAGAAACTCCTTGGCCTTGACCTTGACCTTGCAAGGACCTCTTGTGCCCCTGCCGTTCTCGGCAGTCGAAAAAATGATGTTGCCTCGGACATGTCATCACCCGGCATCCGCTGGGTGATTGGATAACTCTTCAATGAGTGTGTTTAATGTTGCACACTTGTTCGCTTCCTATTGCCACCTAAGGACTACTGAAGGATCTTCCCTCCACCTGGATTGCCAAGGTCCAAGCCTGGACCGAAGCGGATGAATTAACCCTGGATGACTTTCTACTGGACAACCTTGGACCCTTTTCTAACTTGCCGGACTTTTACCTTATGGACCCCCATGTTTCAGAAAAACCATCTAATCAGGATGCTACTGTGCATAGCCTCTGTTGTCTTTGCTTCTCAGCGTCTATGGAACCTCAGGACTTATATCTACAGGGCATTTATGTTTGCTCTCCCAATCGATTTTCGAAGCGTCCGCTTCAAGAAATAAATACTGGCCACTGATATCCCGTCACTCTAACCTTATCCTGGCTGCTCGCGACCCTCTCTGCTGGCCTGAAGGCAATGCAGTGATGCTCTAACTCTCCTGGACAACAACGGATTCTGACCTTTCCTGGCAACCAAGTAGCTTTGGCCTCGGCTCCCGTATAACCTGGCTTTGACATGCGACCATGTACTACTGGCAACAGGACTACACCACCAATTCCCTGGAATTTATCTGCACCGCGCCCTATTCCCTCTGTTACCTATGGACCCAATGTCACTCCCCTCGGCTCTGGATTACTTTTGTTCTGGAAAGTCGATTTTGGTGCGTCACCTATCGCCAAACTCGAACGATTCCTTTTGTCTTTGCTAACGACTCGCAGGTTACGAAATTTCTCATGGACCAAGGACTCCTGCTTACTTGTTTTCTGATTGCGATTTTTTTTCTCTCTTTGCGTTTGTGGTGTAGATTAACTGACTTGATGATGCTTCTCCTCTCTACAGTGACTCAAATACCCCTTCCACAATTTTCACATCCACAATGTCTTCAAGGACCAACAATGACCCTGAGCGGGTCTCTCTTTCTCAGTCCAGACACAGCTCCGGGGTTCAAGGAATCTCAAATATGACCTCCAGATCCATTCCGGATGATGATTTGTCAAGCCATGACAACTCCTCGCTGTGCTCTCTACCATCAGCCCATGGAAACCCCCAGGATATGAAAGACTGGAGCTTGTCTGCTCCAGACTCTCTCGATCAGGCCATGTCTTCCAAGGATTCTCCCCAGGTGCAAATGCTTTCTTTCTCCCTGTCTCAACAGCTGATGACCCCCACGGTCGGACCCAATGATGTGATGTACACAGGCGTGGACTTCCCAGCAGTCTCAGACCTGCATGATCATAATGACTTGCCACGGGACTTTTACTCTTATGTGGACCTTTCTGCCATGGATAATGATGTCTGCGTCCAGACGAGCACCCCGGATGATGCTCTGTCTGTGGCTCACAGTTCCCACACCGAGGATGGCCAATTAACATGGAATGCCATGATGCATGATAACCAATACCCTGGAACCACTCTGGATCAACTCTCCTCCAGCATTTTCCAGGCTGTGCCCGTCTCTCCCCCACTGACAGAGGCTAGTAATGACATTTCTGTGACTTCCTCTTGTTCTCACTCGGCATTTCCTTCTTTTTTGGCCCCGGATGATACCCTTCTCGGAGACTTCACCCATTCGCCCATCGGTAACCCAGGACTCAACCCGGCCGAGCCCCTGTTTCCCAGCGTCAGCCCGCTCAGTGAAAAGGACCCTAACAGGTAGGTCTTGTAGGCAGCTAAAGCCGTCTTTGAAGCACCAAACCACCCGCGCAAGATCTCTAATCATGTAACCCTATAGGACCATCCGCCCAACCAAGCAATCCCGTCGGGGCACCGTGCCAACCGCAGGTGTCAAGGCGGAATCGGAGTTTTTCCACCCTCTGCCTGTGCGAGAGCCCGTCCGACAAAGATCCAAGGACACTACCGATGCCCGCAATCCGCGAGAGCATCCCTACTATGCCCTGGGAACCCAGAATGATGGAAAATACCATTGCCCGTATACCACCCGAGAGAAACCATGCAACCACCCGCCCACCACGCAAAAATGCGCTTACCAGCAAGTTCTCCCAGTTCTCCCATCTTTTTTGCTGTCCCGCAAGATCAAAACAACTAACAGTCGACCCTACAGCAAATACCTGGATTCCCACCTGAAGCCCTACCGCTGCAAGGTCGCAGCTTGCATGGAATCTCAGCTGCGTTTCTCCTCGAACGCATGTCTGTTCCGCCATGAGCGCGAGGCCCACGGATTCCATGGTCATGGAGATAACCCCCACCTCTGTCACTTCGAAGGATGTGAACGATCCGTGCCTGGATTCGGATTCCCCCGTAGATGGAACCTGCATGACCACATGCGCCGCGTGCACGATTACAACTCGTCCGAGCGTCACAGCTCGCCCGAGAACTCGCCGCCCGGTGTCCCTACCAAAAAGAAGGATTCATCCGCCGGCCGCAAAAGAAGAGGAGTTACTGGTCCCACTCCAGCCCCTACCATGAAGCGCACCCGCTCCGTCCACTCCCAGGCCAGTCCGGTCAAGGCCACGCAGAGCACTGCCCAGCTTGGTCAGCGCCTGCAGAGCGCAGAGCGCAGTTACTACAGCTGCCGCACTCGTCTGCTCGAGGAACTCGGCAAGATCACCCCGCAGGACGCTTCCATGCACGAAAAGGTCAATGCCAGCCTTCAGGAACTCTTCACCCTAGGCTTGAACTATCGCCACATCGAGGCCAGCCAGGCGGTTTCTCAGATGCCCAATGGACGTCCCGCATGAAAAACCTGACTCCCCAAGGACTACAACCGGCTTCCAAGCCTGGAGACTGGCATTCAGTCTGGATAGTCTTTTTTCTTAAATAGAATCTGCGGAGGATTTCTTATCGTTTGCTGCCACTGTGATCTACAACCCCCAGGGCTGAAGCTGCGTTCCTGCCGCGCTGCTTTTCAACTTTTGAAAGGACCCGTTTAACTTGCAAAACCCTTGTGGATTGCACCACCTCTACCCATCCCAGAGATAACCCCACCCCGAATCGACTCTAGACACGCTCAGGGCGATGCCGACGGGGGCTCGCCCCTGTTTGTGAAGGGATCAGAAGGGACTCCCGCCATGTGCTAGAAATTGGGCATTTCATGTCGCACAGCCGGATTTCGTTGAACTCTCATTCCTTCACGTATGTGAACTGACTAACCCTGGAACATGGAGTCTTTTCTCCAGGAGGGATCAGAAAGGAAAATGTGGCCCGGGTGCCATCATTTTCTCTCAGAAACACTGGGAATTAACACAACAATAGAAGAAGTGTGCTCAAGATTGAATATGTTTTTGTTTTTGATAGATTGCAGTTTTGTTGATTTTGTGTTTTTGTTTGTGCTTGTCTTTTCTGGCTTCTGTTTGGATTTAGTGGATTGTCTTGCTGTTAAAAATCATGAAAAGTAAAAAGAAAATATATCAATATATCAAACCTCTTTTTTCTCAAATCAGTCCGCCCCTGTAAGTAGATTCTTGTAGTATTGGAGTAATAAGTGGTGATTGATGACAGATTCTTGGTAACAAGTGCGGGCCCTCCTTTGTCATCCTCTGCGCTCCTTTCTGATCTTCAAGGTGGTATTGTTATCAACATGGGTTTCCCTATTTTGTTTTCATTCATAGATATAACATTGATAGCAACCAGGGCATTTGAATTGGGTGGCTTGGTCGAGCCATATCTCATCTTTGCATTTCTTTAATAAATAGTCCTTCAATATTCTCCGAACCCACCCCAATCTATAGATCTATTCCGGGGTATCCACCCCAGACACCCCTCTGCAAACCTGCAACAATTCCTTCTGCTTGTGAACATTCCCAGCCCCCGAATGTGCCGACTCCTCACCTCGCGTTGTACAGAACGCACCACTCTTCAAACCAACTAGTTTCCCTTGCCCAACCGCCCACTCTGCCAGCACCTTGGCCGGTTTGTCCATACCTCCGGGTGCCATCGACCCTCCCATCTTCGTCCTCACCCACCCAGGATGCATACTGAGCACCTGTATATCTCCCCCCACCGCCGTGCAAACGCATTGGCCAGCATCACATCATGCAGCTTGCTATCGCTGTACGAATGTGACTGCGTCACATTGCGCAGTGTCTCGTCGCCGCCGTAGTGGCTATCTGAGCTCATGAATAGCAGGCGTGCCCGCGGCTTCGCCATCAGGCAGGTGAGAATATACGGTGCAAGCGTGTTAACCGCAAACACAGCCGAGATCTTGTCGGCGGTGATCTCGCGGCTGGACGTGGCGCCGTACCCGATGCCGGCGTTGTGGATGACTGTGTCGAAGGGCGGGCCGGACGCGTTGGCGGTGGCGGCCAGGTCCTTGGTTTCGACGATAGACCGAAGGTCGCCGACGAGCACGGCCTCAGCCTTCGGAACGGCCTCGCGGGTGGAGGCGGCGCGATCTGCGTTACGGGCGTGCAGGACGACGGCGTGGCCCTGGTCTGCGAGGAGCTTGGCGGCGGCGAGGCCGATGCCGTCGCTCGAGCCGGTGATGAATATACGGGCCATGGTAGGGTATAGAGTGGGGATCCCAAGTATAGAGAGAATTTACGAGGTAAGATGGAAATGGTTTGAATATCAGAGTACCACCGAGAGAGACTTGCTTGTGATATCATCCGTGATGAAAGCCTTCTGCATGGACAATGTAGGGCGGGGTTCCACGATGTGACGTCAGGAGCCTTTCTGTTTACATCAAATGCGCGCGGGGGATCCTTTTTGGAACTCACATTCCACTATTAAAGCTGCTAAATGTACATCAGTCTTGCTTCAGCAAACCAGCTGCTCTTTGCGGATTTCTTCTTTTTCCGGGCTGTCGATAAGCCCGTTCTTGGAGGAACCGTCAATTATCGAAAAATCTAGATCCAGATCATAACATCGTTAAATCATGATTAGCACTCTATAAGCTCTATCAAACATCGATAAATGGTATTTATGCAGGAGATCCTCCGAAATGACGCCGGATTTTTACAGCTGAGCCTCCTCCTCTCCTCCAATGGCATTGTTCAAAAACCGCACAAACGCATCGCCAATCTGCTCTGGTCCCAGGGCCCCTCGTCCTGCAGCATGACCGCGGCCGATATGCACACGGTTAAGACTGATCCATTGTCTCCGGAGCCGCTGTAGTCGCGGGAGTGAGAGGATGCCGCCAGCGCCGGCCAGCTCATCTGTAGTGCCCGTTGTAGCGACATGAGCAGGGATGAAGATCGGGTTTGATGAATGAGGCACTTCAATATTGATGCCTTTGTGACTGGTACTTTGGGCCAGTGCTGTTTCAGCAGAGGGGTTGGATTGCGTGAAGTTGCGGAGAGTGGTCACGATGGCCGTGGTGCGCTTTTCCATATCGTACAGAGCGCCGGAGTCTGTAGCGACCGCTTGCACGGTCGCTTGGTGGGGGACAATCTTTGGGCGGAGAGGTGTGCTGCGATTGAAGGCCCTTCCAGTCGTCGTTGTGCTGGCTGTGTCGGAAATTGTGGATGTAGCAAGGGCGTCGCCAAGGCTGAGGACTGGAGCTTCGGCGGGCGCTTGCGCCGAAGGAAGAACGATTCCAGTAAGCGCATGGAAAATATCCTCTATCGGGGGCTCTGCATCGGACCAGGGCACTGTGAAGAGAGGCTTGTCCCATCGGCTGTGAGTGCTAGGTTCCTCGTAGCGAAAGATAAGATTGTTGAGGAGTTCAGAGGAGTAGGGCTCTTCGTCGGCGGAGGACGATTCCGACTCGGTCTGGGCCTTCTCGACACTCGAAGCTTCTTGTGCCTCATCAGGATTGGAGCCCTTCTTTTCAGCCTGTTGTAACCGAGCGTTATTGTTTGCGATGCACTGGTCGACCGGGGTACCGATATGGACCTAGACGCCCATCATTTTCAATTAGCCACCAAACACAGAACAAGTTTTAGTCCCATTGAGCTTACCACGCAGCATGTTGTACCGGCAGCTTTGGCCTCGCACCAGAGCTGGTATCGCCATCCCTTGATATAGTTCATTCCATCGAGGATGACAATGCTGTCTCGGGTCAGAACGCGCTTCGTCCGCGCATAGGCCATGCCCCGCGCTTCCTTTTCCGTTCGCGCATGGTCGTATACTGTCCGTGGGTATGATTTGTCGTGCGAGGGCACGATATTGACCTTAAAGCGGGACTTCAGGGCGACCGGTGACGCGCTGTCGCCCGCCGCGAAGATCTCGTCCTGTGCCTTCTCGATGAGGGCCGCAAGCTGGTTGGCTCTGTATGTCAGGCCGGAGCAAGGGTAGCCGGTCAGAATAACGAGCTGAAATCCCGATCAGCCAGGGCCAAAGAGAGCGTTAATAGCTATACTTACCGGCATTGTGGGCAGTTTGTTACGTAGTTGAAGCGGGCGAACTTTTTTTTCCCGCGGGGTTGGGACATGTGACTCCGGACTCTGGCTCTCTTGTTCGGACAATTACAGTTTGGTGTTCATTCATCAGGCATTGCATTTGCATCAAGCTATATTCTATATATTTATTAAAGTTACAATTATATGATATGCAAGGCTGAAGTAGGAACAGACCATAAACGAGCAAGAATGATCCATATATATTCTGTCGAGAAGTCTTGGAATACTGCGAGGACCCACAAATTCCTTTGCACCTCTACCCGTACCTTACATCAAAGTTGGTTTAACTTTTTGTTCTATACTGAGAGGCTAAGATTGGAGATATGATGATATAAGGCGTGTTTGCAAGGGAATTTTTAACCGGTTAAATAATTTCGCTCGGATCTCGCTTTGATAAAACAAGCGAGGTTCGCTGGTGAGGTGGCTTGGATCGCCGAACTATGTTCCCGCTAGCTAGTTCAGCAGATAACTTAATATGATCACCTTTATATCTCCTGACTCTTTCATAGTAAGGGTTGAAGTAATGTCCGGATTAATTGACACCCTATTAACTCACTAAGTATATTATAGTAGCCTTATATTCTTCCCGCTAGAAATTGCACTGTTGAACAGTTAGAATGAATATTGTTTACTGAGAGCTCTCATGAATTGATTAACTTTTCAGTGGAACGAAGTGGTAAAATAGTGAATATTGAATGGCACTAAACCATTAGGAAATAAAGAGAGTACACAACCCGGAAGCGTTGGGATGGGGGAGGGGTGTAAGGCACTAATAGATCTTTTAGAAGATACCCATATCTAGGGAATTCTTATCCTTCGTTCGTCACGGGATTTTACGCTCGATCGGGAAGGACTATCTAGAAATTATACTACCGTTAGCTTAATATTTCTGTATGTCCAAGAAACGCTTATAATCGTTATATCTATTTAAAGGCCTCTTTATTAATATACTAACAGGTAAATAGTTCAAAGAACTACCAAATAAAGGCCGCACTAGTACTTATTATAAGACTATAGCTTCCTCTCTGGAGAATTTTCTATAGATAACTTAAAGCTTTAGATAAAGATAATCTATCCAGTCTCTCTTTAAATAAATTGAAAACCTATTCTCTCAATCTAACCCTGCCTATAAAACCTAGCTCTAGAGATATCTAAACCTAATTTCGCTAGTAGCGTTCGATAACAGTAATTCTATTTGTAAATGTCGGGGTATCAAGACAACTTTTTATGCAGATTCGGACGCATTGCCACTCAATTGATCTGGTGACCAACGCAGCTCATAACCAAACACCGTTCTCCGAAGTCGCTCATCCTGAAGGGGTGAAAAAGAAGAGTTATTAGATCGAGGTCATTGAACCTAGGTTAGGACGGGGAAGGGTCACTCACCCCAGGGTCATTCTCAAAAAGCACCGTACCCATGAGCTTTTCAAAAACTTTGGTCACTGTAAATCCCCCTGTCTCTGCCAATGGAAAGAATCGTTCGGTCTGCGGTAGGAGCCAGGGCTCATATGGCGTAAAGATAACCAGCGCCACGGCCTCTGGTGTTTTCTTCAGAGTCTGCTGCATGGTTTTCACGAGGTTTCCATGCTCGGGGTAATTGTAGATGACATCGGCCATGATGAGCACATCGAAGCCAGGCAGTGTATCTTCCGTGGCTGGAGGCAGATGTTCCAGGAGGGGTTCCACTGGGTTGCCCCATTTATAGCCCTCCACATGTAATCGTTTCTGGGAGTCGGCACGCTTTGGAATCATATCGATCGCCAAGTCGGCATTGTATTGCATGTTCTGAACTAGGTCCAGGTCTGGATAGTCGGTCATTACCACCGTCCGAGCGCCCTGAATGGCACTGACGATACTAGGGACGCCGGCGGCGGCGCCAATTTCGAGGACATCTTTGTCGCGAAGGAGCTTGTCGGTCCGTTCCTCGATATAGTGGGAGCTAGTTCGTCCTGCATTCCAGAGAAGATTTCCCTGTGACCAGCGGCGATTTGTCAGTGTGGTTTCTATGCAATTGGACTTGAACAGGGTGGGCGCATATCGCGCGGGGTCGTACATAGAGCGGGTGGCTGCCCACGAGACGCACGCGGACCATTTTCCCGCACAGCATCTGGTGCTCGGCGAAGGAGGGCGGGGCCTCTTCGGGATAAAATCCCTCGGGATCCTGGAACAAGTCCCCAGTGTCGAAATCGTCTTCAGCCATGGCGCGCTGTGTGAGATGCCCCTCCGAGAAGGAAGAAAAATATTGCTTATCGGGCTGATAGGCGGGGACTATTGAATGCCTGAGGCAGTGAACTTGATCTGCCTGTGGACAAGAGAGTCATCGCGAGCATGTCTTCCCCGATGATATCCGACGCGGGACACTGCATTGGAATAGTCAGGTGCTCTCTTGATATATGCAAATATCTGGACTTATTTCATTTCCCTACATCGAAGCTGCTCGGATGGTTTATCCCGTATCCTGTAAGAGGGAACGGAGTTTTTCCGGTGCACACGGGGGTCTGATAGTATACTCCCTCGACCACCAATAGGACCTCGTTTGCCAATCAAGGATCACTCGAGTCTGCCAGCTTTCTCACCCGCTCCAATCCCCTCATGATTCAGTTCCCCGCTCGTAGCTGTTTCTCTCCTCGGCCAATGTCCATCGACGCTCGAAAACCGCCAACGAGACATACATGTGCTCGTCATGTGACCGTGCGCCGAGGCAGCGTATTGTAATGCAAGACTGTCATTTGCCACTAGCGCCGCACAAACTCGTGCGGAGACAAGTGGAGATACGGTATTTTACCAGCGCGGGTAATTGTCGGGATCGGCTGGAATGGATGAACAGGCGATTTTCCTCGTCTCGATCGGCTTTCTCCTGGATGCCTCACCTTGTTCCTTTTTCATCGGTCTCCCTCGCCCCTCAGCACTTTCTCTCCCTTCATTCTCCCAGACCGTCACTCTCTAAGCGATCTGGGAAATCGCCTCCCCACCCGCTACAGTTCTTGGCCCTCCCGTGCGCTTGATGCTAGATCCTCTGCGGACTCCGTCGCCGTCATTTGTGGAGTCGTGACGCTACGATCTCTCCCTCCTTCACAGTGGCTCCGTCTCGATTTTCACAAATCCCCTGATCCTGCACCTCCCCGGACTCTCCCGCTCGGCTACGCTACTTTCCTACTTGGGCACGACTTGTTCAAGAAATGGATACTACCTTGCGATCAGCCCATTCTTCCCGACCCCCAACTCAGCCCTCCACCTTCTCCTCATCGACTTTAACTCTCAACCCTTCTACCAACCTGACCAGTGTCTCAGGCCAACCACCGCAACTTTGCATCCCCCCCAATCCTGTCAACCCAGCTTTCACAGCTTCTTTTCAATCTGCCCCCGCCTCGAGCACTCAAGTCGCCATGCCGCAAACACAAACCTTCTCCCATTCGCTGAGTAACCCCTCACACTCCGCCGGGCTGCCAGTCGCTCCTCAGGGAATTAACCAGTCTGTACCGCGATCGGAGGGGTTCCCCACATCCCAGCCTGCTGGTGACTATCCTCATCAGGTCAGCGGACTGGGTGGACCGACGGCCACGGCACCCTTCCTACAAGATTTTAATCTTGTGGCCGAAGCTGCCAAACGAGCGCAAATGTCCATAGTCATGCGTGACTTGGAAAGCGTGACCCTATAATCCATATACGAGGCATCAGTAGTCACTGGTGATGGGCCGGTCCCCGAACGAAGGCAGTGACTTTGGCACGTGCACCTTCTTGACGAGTTATGAACTGGTTTCATGCTCGAGCTATACGTGTGATATCCGACCTTTTGCTTTTTTTGGCGTTCACCTTGCGGTGGTTCTTGAGGGGTTGGACAGGAGATCCGCCACAGCTATGCTAAGATCAATCCTTGACGGGAGCATCTCGAAAGCTGTTCGTGTCCACTGCCTGGTTCTTGGCGTTTCATTTGAGAGGGCGTTTGATCAAGAGCTTTTTCTTTCTATATTTCTATCACCTAGCAGACCTTATACCACCGATATAGTTACGAGACATTGCAATGTTATACTCCCTTTGATTACCCTGTCTTCTCAATGCCTTCTTGCGGTCGCCATTCCTTATGTGATGGTCATTCTGTTCATGGTGATTATGTAGTTCTGCATGGTAATCACACCGCTTCTATTTAGATGCCCTACGATTCTCCTGCGTCGCTTCCACTTCCATCTGGTAAAAGCCCCTTCGAACGAAACTCGACTGGAAAGAAAGCTACTGTCGAAATTGCCGTCTTGCGACCTCAGATTTCACCCACGGCTTTTCCATGTATCCACATTCAACTGTAATAACATTCACAGCCTTCGATAGAGAATGAATTAAATATGTCGCATTTAAATAAATGTGAACACTGCATAGGATCAACGCACTGTTGATGAAATTGGACAAACCAGAAGCTGGTAAATACATATGACGTTTATTATGTCTTTTATAGGACTTGATTTTGTGGCTTGGGAGATATACTTCAGGTGTCAGATTTTGGTAACTCGAGATGTAGATCTCAATTTGCGCAGGCTCATGTGGAGTCCCTCGGCCCAGGTCAACATGACGTGCGGTTGTAGGCACTGAGCGCGACTCCCAGAATCGCGGGATCACTGGTCGGTTTGTATCCTCCAAATTTTGGATTTTTTTATAATTATTGTTATTGGTCGATGGACCAAAGAATTTCAATTTTTATTCGGACTCTTTAAAGCTCCACTCCGTCGAGAATAACAGGCAGGAAAGCAGGAAAGAAAGCATCAGGTCAACCACGCTTCCGCTTCTTCATACCCATGGCCTCTTCCTTCTTCCGGGTTGTCTGACGGAACAGATTGTCCAGACTCTGTTGACCTTTCTCGAGGTGATCAACTTTAACCTTCTCATTCCCCAGCACGGGCGGCAGACCTTGAGTACGGCGCTTTGCATCTTCTAGCAACTCAACTTCTCGGTCTCGCTGACCCCGTACGGTCGGAATCGACCAGGAATTAGACGTAATTGATTTGTGCGCTAGCTTGTACTTGGCGCCCGTGAGATGCGTCTCATATGTATTGGCATCGACTTTGCGGACATGCTGTGACTCGGTGATCAACTGGCCGCCCGCCCTTCTCCGAAAGGCAAAACCCTTACCTGGTGTCCCACTACAAGCCAGTGGTATTCTGTTCCCACCGGGGCACCACTGCCTTTAGGCGCGTTGCGTGCTCTCCTTTTGTTGGTCTGATAGTCGATCCGCCACAAGTCCGGCTCTTCCTTCGTTTCCTTCCATACCCCAGGATCATAATTCCATGTGTGAGATCCCCCAACTGCCATGCCGGAGTACAGCTGTCCATTATGTGTTTTCAACGCGTTATATCCTATTTCGCTGGCCGACATAAGTTTTTTTGAAGGCACGACGACGTTATCGGCAAGCCCTCCCTCAAGTGGATTTTCTTCTTCATCTAGCAATGCCGAGTCCAAAGAATCAGTCGGGCCGATTCCGCACCCGGGAGTTGCATTGTCCTGGCTGTGAACTGAATGATCGCTAGAAGTCAAGGAAGACTGATCAGCATCAGTCATGGCGTTCTAAATGTCCGAATCTATTACAATAATATGCTTGTAATTATTTGGCCGAGTTGTGTGTTGAAGTTGGTTTTTTTAGTCCTAAGAGTGCTACGCAACAGGCACATCTGTGTGATGTCATATTGATGCCACTAGGGTATTGCGGCTGAGTGATCGTAAAGCCAGCATGCTTTTCAATTAGCCTATACGACGTTATTAAAATAACGTGAGGCTCCAAGTACACAAGTTTCCCCGCTGAAACCGCTGGCTAGGCACGTTGCACCGCCTCATATTTGGTAGGCTGATAAACGCGGTTAGATAGCGGCAAAAGCGTTAATAGTAAATATCACGTAGATCAGTCGCATCCAAAAATAATGTCTTTCGTCCTGATTCGTCTTTCGTATACTCCAGCGACGACAGCAGCATTCTCAAATTAATCCAATTCAGGGTGTCATCTGGCCCGCCTAGGCCACCCAGCAAGGTGCAGATCAGCTTGATAGGCAACGGAAAAGGGTATTAAAGGGATACATAACGCCATTTATCATTCGGAAGGCTGAATCTACCCACCTGCTAAAAATAATAGTTGAATTCAGCATTCAAGATGCGTATTAGTCCTGCAATCGCCTTTTTACATGCTGTTCCTCCCAGCGGGCAGTCGAGCATATCCAACATTATTTCTATTTTTCCCCCATCGACAAAGCCAGCAAATGCATCGACCTCCATACCTTCTACGTTTCCGGGGTTCGCATTTGAAGAGGCATCATTAATCCATTTCACAGGTAGTTGCCACTGTTGGCCCCAAATAATGTACAAGTTCTAATCCAAACGAGGCAATAAATCCAGTCCTAATGAGTTCTCACAAAATCTCATTCAAGCTATTACGAACAAGACTCAAGGGCCTGCCGTCATTCGGGTAGGAGGATCTTCATTGTATAAATCCAACAACGACATTTTCTAACAGACTATAAACCAAAGAGAAATCAGAGACCTGGCCATATTCGAACCCCATCAATCAGCGCCACTTAAAAATCCAACGCCGGAGCAGGGCATTCCCAAAAACTTGAAGATAGGACCATCCTATTTCGACCTATTTTTGCACTTCCCTGCAGCCAAATATGTGATTGATATTCCGTTCGCCAAGAACAATCGAAGCAACTCCCTTCTTCTGGCAGAGTCAGCTTACAAATCTGTTGGAGCATCAAATATCCACGCATTCGAGCTTGGTAATGAGGTAGACAACTATCCTAGCGGCCAAAAACGACCTTCGAGCTGGACCCAAGAAGACTATAGTTCACAATGGAGAAATTGGACTACCATTGTTTCGAATAATTTGAAGATATCTTTGGATCAGAGGACTTGGCAAGCTGTGGCGCTGCCCTCTCAAACTGGTAAGACAGGATTCCCAGGAGGCACCGGTAAGTCATGGAATTTGTAAGTCTGTCTTTCGTGTTCAATGTTGAATACAGGCACTTTCCGAGTTAACGAATTTAGAGGCGATATATCCCATCATGGCCTAGCTCAATACAAAGATTGAATGAAGACTGTATCAATGCACTAGCAGTGTCTCCGCACACCCACACCGCTTCGCGTTGTGGGTGTGCCATACTCAGATTACCACTCACACTCAAATTTCCATTTTTTCCTATTTCCCCTATCTACTACTGCATACCACTAGTATCTATGAAGAAACCCTGCCCGTTCTGACGTGCTTCCTCTGCTCTATCTAATAATGCCTGGGATTCCTGTGTAGGTTCTGGTGGTGGTGATGTTCTATACGCTTTCTTCCACTGCTTCCTCACCCGCTTCCGCTCTGCCTCTGCTTCCTTCTTGTTTCTTTTAGCAATAGAACAATTTGCATCTCTAATAGAGGGCACCCCTGTTTTTCTAAGCGGCGTTTTAACCTAGCGCTTAGTGATTAGGCGCTGTAGTGGTTGTTGAGCTTCCCTAATCTTACGAATAGTATCGTTCGCTAGATTTAGGTTCTCTATAGCAATCTTGTTATGATAAAATAACCGGTCAAGATTGCGTTGCTGCCTAGGTGTAAGATCTTCTTATTAATATCTAGCAATCTTTGATTCTTCTCTAGATCCTATATAGATCTAGGCGGCGATTTATCGATACTAGAAGAAGATATAGGTAGTAGTGAAGGTGTTATATAAAGCGTCGAATAAAGCGGTTGTAGATCTAGCGCTATAAGACCTAGGTGATCTTGGATAGGAAAGCTATTAATAACCTTTCTACTATCGACTAGATATATCCTACGATCTTTAAACGATTCACGAATAATTCGCTAGCTAAACGCTCTATTCCGAATATTACTGATTATTCGAAGGAACTCTGATCTTCCGATAGGGCTTCTACCCTAAAACGCGTAGTCGTTATTCGCTAAGCGGAAGTATTACTTATAGCTTAGAAACGGCTTACCGTCTAGCGGCTAGCAAAGATATATAGTATATAGTAGGAATCCTATAGGTAGGATATTATTCTCTTTATAAAGGTGTAGGAATTCGAATGTAAGATACGAACTGTAACTGTCGAATATTAGGATACGTTTTTCACCTGATTTCGTACGGTCGTATATTGATTCTATAAAGAATCGAAGCTGTTAAACTGCTATATTATCGGTTATCTAACCGTTTAGCGATATAGTAATAGTAGTTCTTAGTAGTAGGTTTTCTGTTTGATTAAACTAAGATTCTATAAAGATACCGTTGCCTTTAAAGATAAACTAGGGTTCTATCTGCTACCCGTCGGTAGCTATACACTCGATAGACGTAATATTTTCGCCTTAGTCTAGCTGAGGAAGGTCTACTATCTTCCTACTACTACTACTACTAGTAGTAGTTTACTAGTAGTAGTAGTAGATATAACGTTTCTAGACCTTCCTTCGCCTAGTTAAAAGCCGCATTTATTAAAGTTGTAGACTAGACGTGTAGGCGTAGTCTTCTTGATTGTTTAGGCTAGTAGATTATACTAGTGCTGTAATACTGCTAGATCTTCTGCTAGTATTCGCTTTGATTCCTTCGTATACTGCTTAGTAGGCCCTAATTAAAGATGTTTAGGAAGCCTTTTAATAAAGCGATACGCCTACATCTTGCTAATCGGCGGCTTCCCGACGCGTTAGCATGCACGATTCGCCTACGATTCTAGTATCCTAGGAGTGATAGGCATATAGTAATCGTTTATATATTGAATCCAGCGAACTAGGGCTTCTTCTTGATAGGGTTCTAGAGCGCGTTTACTAGTATTCTTGCTAATATTAGGGCTTGCTCCTTTTTTGATTCGATTCGAAAGCGTACGCCTAGGCACGCCGAATTCGTGTGCTAAACACGCTATATTCGGCTTCTCCTCTCATGATACAGCTAGGCAGGCCTCAGCCATACGAGATTCATCAAATTTAGGCATATTTAGATGGTAGTGTTGGATAGGGAAGCAAAAAATAGGGAAATAGGAAAAAGTGGAAATTTGAGTGTGGGTGGTAATCTGAGTGTGGCACACCCACAACGCGAAGCGGTGTGGGTGTGCGGAGACACTGCTAGTACGCACCACCCCACCTTTTCTTTTTTATGGAGAGTAACTCATAAAATGACACAATTAGCTATCAAACCAAAGCAAGTAGTGCATCAGATCTACAGAATGAGTATTATAATCCCTTAGGTTATCTGTTACAGGTTTTAATTATCGATCAGCGGATTTGATGAATCATACCGCAGTAGTAAAAGGGACCGAGTTCATCAAAGATGCTCTGAAAGCCATCAAAAAATACGATGTCCCTTTAGTCCTCAGTGAAGTTGGCAACACACTAGGAAACTCTTCCTCTGGTGTTAGCTTGGAGGGTGTTCTAGGATCTGCGCTATGGCAGGTAGACTTTTCTTTATGGTCTATGTACTTGGTGAGTGAGAATGCTCGGTTCCTTCTAGGAGCTTGTTTGGCTAATATCTTCACAAGGGCGTGAAAGGAATCAACATGCAATCGAGCACCAAGTTTTCTTTCTCGCTTTGGCATCCGGATTATGATAAAAAGGCAGGCATAGTTCTTCCAGCCTACTATGGCCTAATTTTCATTGCTGAATTTCTCGGTTCACATGGTAAAAGTCACAGTTGCCAATATCGATCTTGGCATGCCACATTTGTCAGCTTACGCCGCTTACGAGGGGACACACTCGCTCGCATGGCGATTGTAAATCTTGAGCTCTGGGATGGCAATGCAAAAGATAAGCCTTCTAGACCCGAAAGGACTGTTGAAGTAATAGTTCCTGGGGGGACGAGGAAGGTTAAATCAAAGACGTTGACCAGTCCATCCGGCGGTACGGCAGTGAGTTCAGACCAAATCACCTGGGGAGGCGTTGAGTGGACATTCAAAACAAGGCTATTGGAAAAAGGGTCACGAATGGCACTCAGGAGTTCTCTGTAGACGGCGACAACTTACAACTCAAGGTGTCTGCGAGTGAGGCTGCTATGCTCTTCTTTTGAGCTTGGAGTGATGTGTATAGATCCAAAACTCAATCCCTGAATATCGGACAAACACTGCAACTTCTTCCTGGCTCTGGTAGAATACGTATGCCTATGTATTGGAGTAGAACTCATGTCGTGAATGCAGAAACAAGTCTTGAAATGGAGACCGAACATATCGTTCCCACCAGAATCCAAGAGATAGGCTGTCATTTAACACGTCCTGCAGAGATCGTTCTCAGTTTTCGTACTAAATTTGGCGTGCCACGAAAATTTGTGTGTGAGAGATAAACGAAGCTTTCTGGCTGTGCTTAACGCAACCTCATACAAAGTTAAGGAGAGTTCGAATTCATTGAAATATAACCTGTACGGTGCGGCTTCGGAGTTTGTTCCATCTCAAAAAGTCCTCCAGGTCAATGAGAGATTTAATTATGTTTGAAGTTCTTAGGTGAACTGATTAGGGCTAGTTATAGCTTGAATGGGAAATTTTCAGGGCGAGGATAGACGCGGAATTTTGTGCAAATTTTAGCATCTCAACAGACTCACAAAGGAAATTTGAGATAATTAATCCGTCTTTATGGACAGATCATGACCTAAGAGGGATAGAATAGCACTCTGGATTCATGTAACAAAACTCGCCCCACGCCCCCCACCTCGGGGGGCCAAATCTGAAGGAGCCTGTCCAGGGAGCGGTAGATTAGGACAAAGCTTATAAATAGGATTCCCCCCTCTCAATTATTTATTCCTTACTTCTTCCCTCGCTCATACATACTGTGGACATCCCGAAAAACATTCGCCATGTCGACCCCCGACCTAGATCCTGATGCTGGTGTCAAGGCAATCTCTTTCACAGCTACAGCCTACCGAGACGTTTACCCTGCGATTGACCCTCGCCATCGCCCTGAGCTTTCCCAGGCCGGAAGGGTTGTTATAATAACTGGTTCTTCCCGTGGCATTGGGCAGTTGGTATGATTTAGCAAAATTTCAGATTATAGAGATAGTCGTTCTTATGTAACACGATACTGATGATCAATAGGGATTCGCGACTTCGTTCGCTCATGCCAAAGCCGCTGCCATCGTGTTAATTGGCCGTTCCTCTGATGCGCTGGCCAAAACAGAAAGTCTTGTGAACAAGCTCAACCCTGAAACTCAAGTGCTTTGCATCCCCCTTGACGTTACCGACAAGAATGGAGTGGACACTGCTTTCGAACAGATCGTGACTCGTTTCGGGGTGCCCCATGTATTGATCAACAATGCGGGCACTCTTGACTCGCTGGAGCCGATTGCAGAAGTGGATATAGATCGATGGTGGAGAACACAGGTTCGTTGCAAGTCCTGCATGTATCTGGGAACTAAGATCTTGCTGATGACGATTTATATTTTTACAGGAAGTCAACGTAAAGGGAACATTCCTCATGACCAAAGCCTTCTTGAAAGCTACGGGAAGTAATCCCGCAGCCCCGACGACAATCATTAATATGACATCGGCCGCATCCCAGGGAACCCCACCGGGAATGAACTCTTATTCCCCTGCCAAGATGGCGGTGACTAAACTCACTTTATATATCTCCCAGGAGCATCCGACCATCACCTGCGTTGCGCTTGACCCTGGGATTGTCGCTACCGATATGGGGTGCAGTGTGCCCTATCTCGCACCCTTTATGCACGATACTGCAGAGCTCTCTGGTGGGACCGCAGTATGGCTCTGCAGTGGCGACAAGGCCTACCTGTCGGGTCGGTATGTGTCCGTCAACTGGGACCTGGAGGAAGTCGAACGAAGAAAAGAGGAGATTTTGAAAGATAGCCGACTGCTCACGTTCTGTCTTAAGGGAGACTTCGGAGGTCCTGATGTGACTGTTCATAAATATAACTAGGTCGTGCCACAGTGGAGACTAAATAAAGTAAACAAACTCTCCAGATATGCTCCGTATTTGACCCTGACATTCCAGTAGCTTATTGCAACTCCCTCCCCCTCCGTCTGCAATCAAAATCGGTCTGAAATCCTTCTTCCCTCTAGATTCCTCCCGTTTCGCACTCCTCTTTCCACGTTTAGACCAGAATCGGTTACTGACCAGCACCATGCATGAAATGGTTGACCCAGACGGTGTCTCCGACCGCCAAAATTGACTCCCTTTAGCCCCGAGCCCTATCGGCAATTCTAGACTCACGGAGAAATCTGCGGCCCCATAGATCCAATTTCCGAATCGCGAACTATCACAACGCCATGAGAAGATCGCTCCGCGTCGATAGGTCCAGGGCGATCTTAGCGCCACGATGGCTTCGGCATCTTTTGCCCTCGCCCGTTCGTTCGCCAGCACTATACTGCCGGCCGGCCAATGAAAGAGGGTCGGTTCCTGTAGCTGCGCTACTCAACTATCAACGAAGCTATGTTTTGTCTAGCGCATCGCGGAGCCACTGACATGAAAGAAATTCTTGTTCCTGTCTTCCTGTTGGGAGACTGTGAGATAGCAGGTGGTCTCGAGCCATCTCTCGATTTCTATACTTCTAGGAACTGCTCCCTAGTTCGCTCGTATTTCTCATAGCAATCTTTCTGTTTCGTGTTACTTTTCATTCGTTTTCTATTGGGTGTGTCGTCTCTCCTTTACCTAGAGTCCGTCCTCACTATGTCTCTGAAAAGTCTTCTCTCGTATGCACTGCTTCTCGCAGCCGCCATTTCACACCCAGCTCGGGCGCAGTCGGGTGATGGAGCAGCGTCGACAGCCTCGAACGGATGTACCCAGGGGAATGCCTTTGAGAATCCAGCCTTTGAAACCGGCGATTTGACGGGCTGGACTGCAGCACTCGATACAGGAGCTGATGTGAATGGTGAAGTAGTCGAGGATGCTGAGTATGGAGGCTACTACTAGTGGGTGCTTCTATCTTCGTTCCATCATCTTCTACAGCAAATCACTAATCTAACACCTCCTCTAGCGAGGTTGCGACTACAAATTCTTGGGGATATATAGAACAAGCTGTGTCCGGGCTGGATCTAAGCCAAACTTACTACCCGTCGGTCGAGTACAAGCTCGTGGTCGATGGTGAACCTGAAGTTGAGGCTCTTGTGCAATTCTGCGTTTTGGGATGGTCTCAGAGCACCTGGAGCAACTTTATTGGGAGAGATTACATTACTCCGTCTTCCTACGGCTCCAATCCCGACTGGTCTTATCTCTCGACCTCATGGCAGCCAACTGCCGAAAGCGAATCCGTCTTCTTCATCTGGAACTGCCAGACAAGCGACGTGACCCTCAGTCTTGACAACTTTGAGCTATCAGTTGCAGTCTGCCCTTCATCCACCGCAACCACAACCACGACTACTACGGCCACATTGTCTCTGAGCTCAAGAACCCCAGTCCTTAGCTCAAGTGCAGTCAGCTCACAATATGTGTCATTGCCATTGGCTTCGCCAAGCTCCACACTCTCCAGCAGCTCCGCAGTCACTAGCACCTCAACGAGCATTCTATCTTCCTCGGCTTCAATGAGGGCATCTTCGTCCACATCATCTAGCCCTTCATCTCTTCAAGTCCTTTCGAGCGTGGGCTCTCGAACACTGGTCTACTCCGGATCCTCTTCGAAAACCCTCGGCTCAGGTTCGATGGTTACTATCCCTGCTCAGCAGACGACACCTCCGCCCCTGACAACGTCTACTGTCTTGTCTACCCGCACGTCGACCGTCACTGCCTGTCCTTCAGCGCAGCCCAACTGCCCTGCTCGGTCCCGCACTACCTCTGTCATGACTGAGACGGTGATTGCATATACAACTGTATGCCCTGTGAGCCCTATAAAAGGTGATCATCCATTCCCCACTGAGACAACATCGAGTATCTTCTCCACTCGGACGGAGACTATCACGCGCTGTCCTAGACACATGGAGCACTGTCCACTACCCCAGAGAAAGACCTCAGTCATTACTGAGATAGTGCTGGTGTCAACAAGTGTTTTACCTGTGCAGCCGACATACATTATTACCCATAATATCACCCATACAGCCCATGTCACCGAGACAAGGACGGCGTTCGTCACCGTTTGTCCGGCACCTTGAATCGTCTGTCTTGTCCTTTTTCGGTACTGTTCCGGTTGCTTTTATAATCCTCCTTCGAGTCCTCTTTCTACTCCTCTAACGCCTCTTTCTTATTCTATATCTAATCCCATAGTGATGTACACTCCTTGTCTTTCATTTTGTCTAAGGTTCTATGTGTCGATATATGACTTCGTGATAAATAACAAGTTTTAATCTTTTCGTCAATTCAGCGTATTCAATATGCCCGTACTTTACAAAGCTAATGAAAAAAAGCCAAATATGGCGCCGGTCTTTCGGCCCGTTACTTTCAGTCGCTTCTAGCGGCAAGTGGCTTAATCCTATCAATACACCATCGAGAGTGCTTTGCCTTCCAAGTGCCGTTTATGCTCCTTCTGAACCTGAAGCTGGCCGGATTTCAACTCTTTAATAATACGACACTAGATTTGAATCCGATTTATAGCAGTCAAGCCGTTCCTCACCTGGCTCTCCCGTCGACGCAATACTTCTCCTTTCCACTCTAGGTATCCGACCATTTGCTCCTCCGGGGGTGTACTGATTGGTTCAAGTTGGATCCATTTTCAAGGACTATAATGAAAAAGATCGCTACATAATTGCTAGCATATGCGTATTTTCAGCTGGGAAAATAGCGATCGGCACACCCCCGGATTTCCCGCCCAACCCCCACGCACGCAACAACAATGACGACTCCCTCGGGTATAACATGCACGATCAACAAGCCCGCCAATAAAATTGAGTATGCTCTGATCTTCTACCATATCTGGAAAGCCGGTCCGTCTCGTTTCCTGATATACAGAATCATGCGAGAGACGGCTCGCAAGAGTTGCTAATCCCTAGCTAAAGATCCAAATTCCCCCCACCCCCCGCATGAGGCCAACCCCGGACTTCTTCGCGATACCTAATAGAATCGCATTTAGCCGGCGGCCGATAATACCTTATGTACAATTTTAGCAGATTGGAGTACTGAATTAGGGGGTACAAGAATAAATGCCCGTATAAAACCGGTCTTGTACCCCTCACATTCTCCACAGTATTTTTATCTTTTCAAGCAACAATTGCTCCAGGGACGTCCACAAGGAAGCATTATTGATCGGATCAAGGTTTTACTTCCCTTATCTGATTCATAACAATATACCAGCCTCTCCCACCATGGGGGTCGCAACTGAGAAGACAAGGAAACCATTCTTCGGGCTGACCGGCGGATGGCTCACCTTCTGGGTAACAGTATGCGACCGTGACAACGAGTGCTACAGTAGATTCAGAGTGTATGCTAAAAAGTGCTTTGTCATCACCCTAGGTCGCTTGTGCGACTGACATGACCCTCTTCGGGTACGATCAGGGCGTTTTCAGTGAGTGAGAAGCAGGTCTTCTTTTATGAGTTCAGCAGAGCTTATAGGTTCATCGAAGGCGGCGTTGTGATTACCAAGGATTTCCTCGAGCTTCACGATCTTGTTGGCCCGACTAAAACGAAAACACTATCTACTGTCACCGCAATTTACGACGTCGGATGTTTCTTCGGGGCGATTTTTGCATTTACAATTGGCGAACGACTGGGGAGAAAGAAGACCATTATGATGGGCACGACTATAATGGCAGTAGGTGCTATCCTTCAGGCAACATCCTTTAGTCTACCGCAAATGTTTGTTGGCCGTATAATTGTAGGGTATGTATATCCGTCCTGGCATTTGGATTATACTTAAGAGCTAACTGGCTGAGCAATCAAGCATTGGAAATGGTGTCAATACCGCTACGGCTCCAGTTTGGCAAACCGGTAGGCCGCTGTCTTCCCTGCTCCTTACTTTCCCTACATTCCGGGTCAATTCTAACGGCGGCAACAGAAACATCACAGATTAAATGGCGCGGCAAACTGGTGATTTTCGAGATGATGATGAACATTGCGGGCTATTGTATTGTCAATTGGATCAACTACGGCCTTTCCTTTGCAGGTGGCGCTGTAGCATGGCGATTTCCTCTTGCATTCCAATTTTTCTTCTTCATTATTCTCTGGTCTACAACTCCATGGCTTCCAGAGTCACCACGGTAAGCAATACTGGTTCCTTCTGAGAACGGGAAAGGCTGACTTATAATGACTGGTAGCTGGCTTCTGGCCCACGGAAGGGAGGAAGAGGCTATCGAGGTGATCAGCTGTCTCGAAGCTAAGCCTCAGGATGATCCATTTGTAATTGCCCAGGTTAATGAGATTGAATTCACCCTTCGCTATGAACGTGAAAATTCCGTGCGATGGCGGGATCTCATGAAAAAGCGGGAGAATGACACGAAGACTCTGCGACGACTACTCCTCGGCGCTGGAAGTCAGTTCATGCAGCAGTTTGGTGGGATCAACATTATGTCTTATTACCTTCCGACAGTCCTTGAAAAGTCTGTTGGCCTTGAAGAAAGCATGGCTCGTCTATTGACGGCCTGTAATGCGATCTCCTATCTCATATTCGCCGGACTTGCAGTGCTCCTAGTAGAACGAGTTGGTCGCCGTGGATTGATGATTCTCTCCACATCGGGCCAATTTTTGTGCTTCCTGATAATTACGATTCTGCTTCGATTTTCAGAGGTTTCCGACAACGGCAAGGCCTGGGGTTCGGCGTCTGTGGCTTTTTTCTTTCTGGTGATTATCTCCTTGTTTATATACTGCTGGAATTTCTCCGATGATATATTGTACTCACTTTACGGCTTGCAGTTTCATGGGAGCTTTGGAATTGGAATGCTTGGCGTTCCCTGGTTATATCCAACTGAGATCAACTCGTTACCTATGAGAACAAAGGCCGCAGCAGTTGCTACTGCGACAGATTGGTGAGAGCAGCCTCAGTCAAAATCAAGCCTCCATGAGCTAATTCATACTCCTTAAGGATAACAAATTTTGTTATTGTGGAAATTACACCGATAGGTATCCAAAATATTGGGTGGAAATTCTGTGAGTTACTGAATGCTTCTAACATTCTTGTCAGCTTTATTCTAATCAATTTTGATTGCCCAAGGGATTGTTTGGACTGTGACAAACGCATTTTTTCTCCCCATCCTATATTTCATTTACCCCGAAACAGGTAAGTTTGAACCAATTACTGACTAGTTTATGGGCTGCATTAACACAGGACAGCCAATCGAAGCCTCGAAGATATTGATGCATACTACCGCACCGACCCTTCTCTCATTGTTGTCAGAGACCCCGATGCCATCTCTAGGAGACGGCCTCAAAAGTACATCGATCGCGAGTTCGAAGAAATTGAGAGGACTGCTGGTAAAAGTGTTCCGCCAGTGACCACAACACATGTGGAGTGGGGCAATGAAACAAACGCAGAAGCAATCGACTAAGTTGGCTTCTGTCTGAAGCTTCACAGTGGCCGTGGAAGTGCTATTTTGAACGTTGTGGTCGAATTTTAGTACACAATGTCTCACTTATCCTCCAATCCTGACAGGGCCCGTTTATATTGTTCGGCGTATTCTGCAGTTGTGTCCCAAGAGATACTAGCTGCTATGAGCCCAATAAGAGCATGTCCAAAACAAGAAAGATTTCAACTCGGCCTGATCTATTGAGGCAATTCGTAGGCGAACGTAATATCCATCCCCAACTGAGTAGGTAGACCGAGAAGACATCGATACGCAAGACTCAACTGCTGCGCAGTTCTATCGCATTGACAAAATCTGAAACATGAAGAGATCCCCCGGGCCCTTGTGATTGCCCAAAACCTATCACATATGACGATAGACATTGCTAAGCCTCGTAAAAAGTGGATAGAGTGGGCATCCCTGCGCATCGATCCACGCTATCAGTCCATCACACCAACAAGCGATATCTCCAGCGAGACGCCAGACTCTCCAGCTCAAGACGGGGACCTTGTGGGGGTCGCTTCTGTGGAGAAGTGTGGATGACGTGGAAGACCGCCTTGATCGTCAATCACCCCAGTTCGTTGTCTCAGGGCTCTCTCAAGTCACGGGGCTTACGAAAGTCCTCACGAGGACCGCATTTCCTCCCGATCATCACAACTTGATAGGCCCGCGATGCAGCGTGTCTCCATGATCAGCCAATCCGTCGGCAACTTTAACCGCCTACGCGGCCCACGCTCCAACCCCGCCGAGCACACGACATCTGAAACAAGCTCCATGTTGCTTAGCCGCTGTCTTCCATTCTCGACGCGAACTTATCCCGTGGGACCCATCAAAAATCAAAAAAGACGTCCGGAGTTCCAGCACAGGCCTGAACAGCTTCCGAATGGGAACCGAATGGAATCGAATCCAGCACGACCCCACCAATCCGGTAATACTGTACCGGATTCTGTCATTTTGGACGTGTGCCCACACATACTCAAAAGAGACGATGCGACTATAGGACTATTATTGGGAATGCATCTAGTGACCGCCTCCCCCCTCGCGCGCATTTTCGAGACACGTCACAAACTACCTGCCAAGGCTAGAAAAAGTGGCTGTCAATAGTCTCCCTATACGGAGTACGAGTATGCAATTCCCACAATCTAGCACAGTCACATTCACTAGTTAACAGAATACAACGAAGGTCCTTCTGTCCTGATCATCAAGTCTCGTCGAGCAGCCAAGGCGATTACCCGAGGTATTTAGGCAGCCAGTATCGATGTCTCGAACAAATAGCCCTAAGAAATCCAAAATGCAACCACCCTGGCTCTAAACAGGGTTTAACCGCACCTTAGCCTTTTATTTTCAGCTCCCGGGCGCTGCCAGCTGACGCACGTCGGTCCACTCGGTAGTGAGACGTTTGGGGCGGGTGTGCCGAGTTGACAAAGATTAGGGCGCCCAGCGTTCGCATGTGGCGTTCTTGGCGATCTATCGACCGTTTGGAGAACTGAACGTCTTTGGTGGCTTGCATTTCCTCAACAGTTCGCATACATAGTAATAATGAGGAACTCAGCATAAACAGAGCAGGGGAGATGGACCAATTGGGCAATAGATATATGTTTCGTCAAAGTGTATATTTAAGCTAAAAAAATGCAGCAATCCAATTTTCAAATTTCCACAAAAACGCCAAGCTATGCGCAAGTCGACCAGAGATCACACGTAAATACAAAAAAAAAAGAAAAAAAAGCTTGCAGTGGCAGATTAGATGTCGAAATCCCAAGAAAATAAAAAGGCCCATAGGCAGGAGCAATATGTAAGGAAAGAAATGAAATGGAGGCAGTCAGAAAAAAAGGAACCAGTCCACTCCAGGATATACTGACACAGGGATCGCAAAAAGAACTCCTTGGTAAAATCAGAGGCGGCAAAAATTATCCCCTCGAGTAACAGAAAACAAAAAACAAAGGCTCCATTTAACACCGTTTCAGGGACCCGATGGCGTGCGCGGTTAGCATGTGGTTATATGTAGTGTGCATTGTGTGATCGTCGCTGTGGCTGGATGTCGTCGATCTCCTCCTTCAATGATGACATTTCTACGCCGAATTCGTTCTTTTTTCTGTTCGGACGCGAGTTGGTTCGTTCAGACTCGTAGCAAATCTCGGTCGCTCTCTCTCATTCTTTTTTCATCTCCTTGCTCTTTCTCTTTTCAGTTTTGTATGTAGGCCTTGAGGCAGATTTAAATGAAACTGGCCTGGTTGCGTTCTTCGTACTGAGTAGACGAACCGATCAGATTCGGCGACGAAATGCTGGCCGACTTCGAGCCCATTGAAGACTTGCTCCGGCCCGAGAAGATCGACAGACGCCGCGACAAGCGACGACTGAGGCCGCGCTGCGGTAAGGACGCCGACATGATGGACATCGGGCGCGACCGCGGAGGCATCGGGCTGTCTGCAGTTTCCGGACGAGGAGCCATCATGTTACCGTCCAGCATCAGAGTTGACCGGCGCTTGATCTTGTTGGCGGTAGAACGGGCATCCAACTGCAGAGAGAAATCTTCTTGAATATTGCCGAGGGCGTGAGAGACCCTGCGCATGAGCTTGGGCTTCTCATAGATCGAGGGTTCGCGCTGCTCGTAACCGTAGATCTGCAGCGGGGTCTCGGAGCCATCGTCCACTGGTGAAGAGTAGTAGCGAGGATATTTGGCAGACATCGGGTTGCGGCGAGGATGCTGGGAGCCCAAAGAGAGGGTGGACATAGGCTGAGGGTATTGATAGGGAAGATGAGGATCCGAGGATGAGACGCTGGAGGAGTAGGAGCTGTTCGTGGCGGAGGATGATGTCAACATGGCTGGATGTGGGATGTTTGAGGACTAAAGAAAGCGCAAAGCCGAGGAAGATTCGAGATCAGGGATCTCGAATGAGCAATATAGAGTATGGTAGGAGGAGCGAAGGAGGAAAGTATATCGAGGGGTTCCGACACAGGGGTGAGAATTTGACCGGTAGATAGATTTGGATGAAGCGAGTGAAGGAGAGAGAGAAAGAAAAGAAGGCGCCATCGCCAAAGGCTGAGATCGCATTCCGAAAAAGACTAAAGAGTAAAAGTGGATCAAGACATTGAGCGCTTTAGTTCGCAAGCTACTGCGGCGCCGGCCCGTGTAACACATAGATGACTGTAATTTAATGTTTCATCGGGCCCCCTCTTTCTCCATTTTACTCGGTATACTCCTCTGTTGCTCGCGGAGGGATGGGAATCCATGTGGAGCAGGCGGCGGCATACATTGGATCCTGCGTTTCGAGTAGTGGTTGATTTGGGGTCATCTTGTGTGGTTTTTTCTTTTCCCATAGTTCATGCTCAGAAGCCCTAGTTCCTCCGTAGTTCCGTCGAAGCGGTGGTTTTGTTGCTATGCCCGGAGCTGCCCCAGCCGAAAACCAATGAATTTTTTTTTCTGCTCCGAGCGGGGATGCTCCGTATCAGATCGTCCCATGTCTTCTCTTGTCTTGGATTGACACATCATGGATGGATTCTTTTTTGGGACCTGCGCGCGTCCGTAGTCTTGTTGGCTGGTGACGCGGCACTTGATCCAAGCCTCCCCCATCTTTCTTCTGCTGTCAATTTTCCATTTCCTCATCCAAACCGCCAGAAAATCGAGTTGGGACGACGTGGACACTTCCATCGTTACCAGGGTTCCGGTCCCTTTCACCCACTCCAGCTTCCAAGACTCTCAAGGGGGGGAGAAAGCCGTGGTGCACCCACGGGTTCCCACCGGGATCTTCTGAGGCGGGCTTCTCATTGGATCGATTCCCGCTCAGGGGGGGGGGTTCCCTCTTCGCGCGATTAGGGACCTTGGATTCCTAACGAGACTTGGTTTAGCGCCGAAGAGAAAAGCCACCAAAAAAAGAAAGAATAGACGGAACCGATGCGGCCGACCATGCAGAAATGAAAGGTTGACGTCGAGTGCTCTCCCGATGGTAAATATATTGCCATTTTTGACGTCCTTTCAATTTTTTGTTCTTGGAGGGCCGCCGAATGTCTCGGGTAAAAACACGCCCGCACGCAACAGCCGGAACAGCAGTGACCTTTCATGACCCTGAGCGACTGCGTGGTGGAGAAATTGGCCAGTGGAGAAAAATCGGGGGCCTGGCAAACCACAGCTACGCATCGCAGCACACGAGGCCCGGGGAGGGGTTTCGGATCGCTGGTGGGCAGATTTGTTCCGCCCCCAGAGTGGTATTGTCGAATGCACGGCCACAGAGGTTGTAACCAAATTACAAGAGTGGATTCCATATCATCAGTTCCTTCGCTCTCGTTCACTCCCCGCAGCGATCCAGAGGGGACAGAGAGCGCCAGATGGGTGACCCAGTGTCTTGGGTGATAAACCGGGGGTTCAGGCGGTTCCCGAGCCCAACGCAGCGTGGCGGATCCTACGGAAATCAATGGGCAGGTCGTCCATGACATCGTGGCTCATTTCTCGGAAAGCTATGGTACTGTATGTACAAGGCGGCTAACGCCGCCCATAAAAGTATGATAAAAGACGATCTACATCACAAACCGAAGATTGGTATCTGTCGACGTCAGCACAACGGAGCTCGGGATTAGAGCTAAGGCACGGCAGATCAACTAACCAAGGGGATGACTGCAGCTGAGCTGCGGCTTTTGGGAATATTTCCCGTCGAGCTCCGCCCGGATAGTGTTGAGCAGCTGCAGATAACTTTGCTGGGGCCACTGTTTCAGGGATTTAATAAACGCCCAACTCAAGGCGCCTCGCGCCTGGCCGTCCTGAAAGGTATCCGCCCTATTATTTTTGGGTTAGTCGGAAAATAAAGAGCCCATCACATCATCAAAATAGAAAAATATTGGAGCCTGAGGCCAAGACAAAAAAATCCAACCCAACAAGAAAGGGTTTGGACCCCCTTTTCCAGGTTGTAACGGGAGTGAAGTAACTTACGACGTCTGCGTGTCTTTGGATCCGGAGAACATAACTACGTCCGCCGGAGAAGTCTTGGTCCTGAGGGTACGTTCGCGTGCCTGTTCCCCGTTGGTCGCTTTCTTGAAGAAATTAATAGCGGTGGAGGCCACACTGGAGAAATTGCCTTGTCCGTACGCGGTCACCGCACTGAACAGATCTTGGGCCGCCTCCTTGGCAAGATTGGGCTCCTTCAGCACCCCTTGAGTTGAGTAAATAAAGGGGAGGTCCAAAGCGGTACCCGAGTGGCACGAGTCGAAGATGGCCGTGAGGCGCACACCGGGGCGAAGGGGTCGCACCATAATCGCATGCATATCATCGTCCACAATGTGCCCCGCAGTCCGATAATCCACCGGATAAATCACGTCGTCGTAGCCATCCTCTTCGTCGCCATCCAGGTCCGGGGTCCGACCGCCGTGGCCGGAGAAGTGGATGAACAGGGAGTCGTGAGGCTGGGCATCCTTGACCAGCCAGTGCATCGCGCGGATGATATTTTGTTTAGTAGGAATGCTCATCGGGTTGCGCTGATCGTCTGTAAGGATAACCATATCCTCGCGGCGATACCCAAAGCGCTCGTGCAAGAAGGCGGACATGTTAGTGACATCATTGATACAGCCGTTCAACTTGTTCGGTTGGCCAAAATAATTAATGCCGATGAGCAGGGCCTTGCGCCGTCCTGTACATGCCGAGTACTGAAATTGATAGCTGGATGGAGCACCATGTCCAAATTGCTGGAGGGCTTGGGGGGCGCCGGTGGTAGATTGGGATTGGGGGCGCTGGTCGGGGCACTAGTCGGGGGAGGACCTGCAGGGGGGGATTGATTAGTTCACCAGACCAATCGTAGACATGGAACTAGCCGAGGGATGGTCGAGCACTACTCACCGTTGCGGTGGGAACTCAAGTTGTGACGGTGACCAGCGGGCGGCGACGGGGTGTGGCCATAGGGAGATTGCGGCGATGGCGTATTTGCGTATGGCGAATGAGGGGTTTGCGGGAAGGAACCAGGCGGAGGAGGCCCCGAGTACGAGGGATATTGTCTATGCTGCTGATATGGTGGGTATTGCGGTTGGGGTTGATGGTAGTAGGGCTGCGGCTGCCCGTAGGGCTGAGGCGGGGGGTGCGGGGGCTGGTGCCGTTGGGGAGGCGGTTGTTGATAGCCTCCTGTCCACGGCGGCGGACCGGGTGGTGGTGGTCCTGGCGGAGGATAGTACATGAGACTGAGCGACCGTGAGAGTTGCAGTGATTGGGGCGAGTATGGTCGGATTCTCAGCAGCAGGCCCAAGCCAACAGGGAAGAGTCAAGGGCGGCCCGAGAAACAGAGGATGGAGCGAGGAAGTCCCGGGCGAAGAAAGTCAAAAAAGTCTTAAGAGAAGCAGGAAGAAGAATACGAAGCGAGATTTGCGGGGCTTCGATTTTTGGCCCTTTCCCTTTCCCCTTGAGGCTGTGACGCACAGTCTCTTCCTCTTCGTCCTTTTGACCGTTGCCCGACTCGAAGTTTCCGGCTGGCTGACCGGTGGGGTCGGTGCAGATCGTGTGCAATGGGCGGGATTCAGGGCCCCGGCATAATTAGGCAGGCAGCTGAAGAGCAACTGTCAAGGATCGTGAGCAGGGTTCTCGACGATCAATATTGGTGGAGGATCGTCTTTAATTTAGCAAGTCGCATCAACCTGCAGGCAAAAAAATCCAGGAACAAGAGTTGCGCGGCCCGTAGGGATGGCCGAGTCTCAACCGCCACTCCAACCGTGGAACAAGGCCGAATTTCCGACTATCCCCACTAGTCCGGAGTCTGTCACCAAACACATACTAGTGACCGGGCCACCAATGATCTCCTCCGCAAGGCCGTAGGGCTGCAGGCAGCACCATTCGGGTCGGATGACTCAGCATTGGATCCGTCATCGAGCCTGTCTGTGGTCGAGATGTCATGAGAATTTGATGGTGTGGACTGATTGAACTGACTTGGGTTGATTGGGTTGGTGAGGTTTCTTCGGGTGGCCATAATTCATGCAATCAGCGAGGTTGTGTCGTCCTCCCGGAAATTTAGCACGCGGATCCAGAAATCCGGAATTATCATTTCTCCGAGTTTCGAGGTATGGATTGTATACAAGGTAACGCCTACCTAGAAAGTTAAACTATATTTTATAATCTCTAATATTCCTTTTATAACTAGTTCCTACTATTATACTCTCTCTCTCTCTCTCTCTCTCTCTATATATATATATTATCTTTTTTTTCTAGAAAGGATTCCTCATAGTATACTTCCATGGCGACCTTAATACCCTACCCGTCCTACCTCGCTTGGTGTTATGGAACAACCATATTGGATGTTATTCCGGTCGACCAGCTTGTTTGGAGTATAAATCGTATGCATGACGATAAAGGAGTCCGAATCCAACTTATTGTTTGCTGTGAACGGCAATCTAGGCATCGGCAAATCTATAATAGCTATAATACTTACTGAAGAACTTCCAGGGAAGGGTTAATTCGCCCTTGTATAGTTGAATACAGCACGCTATAGATCCCTACAGGAAAGCAATCTTACGACTGATTTGAGGGTTTCACAGGTATAGAGCTCGGTACCACACCATTCCTCTTGCGAGATGATCAGACAACTGAAGATATCATTGCAGCAGACATATCTGGATCCCTCTGGAATCGGAGCAAGTGTAGAGATCACGGGTAGATTACAAGAAGAGGAAAGCCGGAAGGTACTTCATATTAGAAAAAAGACCAGGGAGAAAAAAATTGACTGTGGAATAGTGATCGTAATAAAATGATTGAAGACTTGGGCTGAGAGAAACATTGCTTTAAAGAACAGATGGAGTTTGCTTTATACCTGGCAGAAAAGCCTGATCTGCAGCCCGGCCGCATGTAATATCATCGTCAAGATCCACAAGGGAGAGATCGCCCGGAGGTTCTACATAGTCAGCTTAGATTCTTCACACCGCTTGCTTGCAAAGTCTAGGAGATGGCAAAAACAATTTGCCGATACAAACGCTATGTTTCCTGGGATCCTGCTAGCTTGATAAAGATTGTCGCACTACAAAACCTCAATGGGTTTAATCTCGCTAATTATCCAGATTCATTTCACTTAAGAAGATGGAGTTACCGCCTCTACTGTAGATTAGTATATCAGAGTGGGGCGCTAGGAAATTCAAGGTAGGTCTTAAGAGCAGGAATGGTTTTGGAAATGCTCTATCTATATTGTACCCCAATAAGCGTCGAGTCTTAATAGCAAAGAGTAGAATAGCTCAATAAGAGCGTACTATGAGTACTCAGCGAGAAACATAAAGTGCCATGGAATTTGCTTCAGGAGTTCACTACCACCGACCTTAATAAAGCACGATCCAATCGGTAGACTATTAGCGCTGAGGCCCTGGCGGTGGGTCCTGAAGAAACAAAAGTAGCGCGATGAAGTGACTACCTTGGGAGCCTGCGTGGGATTCCTCAAACAAGGACTGGTTTTCACTGATCGAAGGATGAACCTGATTATCTCTAACCTTTCAATCCATTGAACGCGAGTTTTCTTTCACAAGGGGATCGAATTTTTTTACGGAGTGTAGTACTCAGATGTGGTGACAGGGCATACAAGGCCTCTGAGATTCGCCTTTTTTTTTTTTTTTTGGTTTAGTCGTAACGGTGCTGGTAAAAAGAACGCTTGTTCATGCGTTGCGCTATCATTGGATCCTTCTCGCAGGATATTTAGTAGTGTCTGGCCCCCTCCCCATGGCGGCCCTCGTGGACATATTGAGGGTGCTGCTACTGATGAGAGAGTGCATCCAGTGCAAGGTATAAAGTATGCGAGGTCCGAGTTTTCCCGTTGACGTGCCGGGCTGCACAGGTGCTGGTGATTTGCGCTGATTCAAAGTCCTTCGATACGTTTGAACAAAGTGAGGCAGGAGCTCGGAGCTCGATTTTGATCCTTGGCTGAACTAGTGCGATGCAAAATCTGCATCTATCTGGAAGTCGGCAGTCAAGCTGTCTAGGACTAGATAGCCATGCGGAGAATGACCAGGTGATCAGAGGAGGTGAGCCGGGCAGACGAGACTCCCAACCCCTAAGTTGCTGGCACGCGGCAAGTATCACTTGAGCGGGGGGTCGCTCAAATGAGATCAGGATGAGCGCTGCTGCTAGAGCGTCGCGCGCCCTGAATGAGAAGGCTGTGGAGGCAATAGAAAAGGTTCATTCTGCATTGCGCAATCCTCATGCTGACTGAAAGTGAAGCTTCCGCGTTCTCATAGTTGAGGGGGCGTTAGGTATCTTGCAATATTTTTAGATACAGCCAGCTACATTGGAGCCACGATTTTACCAAGAGCGTGCAAAGAGCGTATCGCTAGCCCCCGAATGAATATGGTCGTCGCTCCGTCCATGGGGCTCAGGCACCAGGCACGGTCAACGCGAAGCATGGGTGCACTCAGCGGCCACTTCTGGCCTCCATCTCACCGTGTCATCGTTATTTGTTAGCTTTATCCCAGGCCGTTATCTCTGCCTTTTTTTTTGCTCGATGGCTTGAATCAGCTCAAAGAAATAGATTGGCGTCGGCCATGGAAAATATCTTCGAGGTCGGAGGTCGAATTGATAGGAATAGGACTCAGCTAGACAATGAATCGCATTGAGATACTCCCCATGCATCTCAGCTTTCTTTCTATAAATGGCAAACATACATAGTACTGTCGCATCCGGAGCACTGGACTATACTCGTGTCATGAGAATAAGATCCCTTAAGTGGGTTTATCTTCTCCATATCACGAGGTTGGATCCGTTCCATTCATGCAGATTGCCCCACAGCTCAACACAAAAGAGGATCCTCTCGCTGTAGGCTAACGGATCATTGGCGACTGTAACCCGACGCCACGGAGCATGGGCTTCAGCTGAAGTGGTGGATCGAAGCGCTCAACATGATTCCCCTGCTGTCCGGATGTCCATGGAGATCCTATGCTCAAGCGGGGCACCGCATAGGCGAGCTGCGATGTTTCGCTGCCCTCTGGATTTTGTTCTGCGGACTCTTCGTCTTCGATCCTGCTTCGTCGCACGCCCGTGAAGGATAGCGGTATCGTCACTCATCTTCGCTCAAGCTCAAGCTTGGGATCGTACTAATATCACACGGAGCGACCGCTAGCTGCCATACAATGGGACTGTCCAAGCTGCTTCCGTGCCGCCGGCGCCGCCAAGAAAAGGAGGAGGCTAAAAAGAGAAGTACCTCGATCAACAACACCAAGCCAGTTGCTGCAGCGGAGCAACCTTCTGCAAAGAAATCAGAAAATATTGTGGATTCGCCTACTGTCACCAACCCTTCGAGTCATGGCGAGCCCGTGGCCGATCCTTCCAACCGTGTCGAGAACAAGACCGACACTTTAACCCAAAAATCCCCCGAGCTCTCGATTTCCCAACGCGTGTGGAATCGCGCATATGATGAGCTCGCAGGAGACAAGGGAACATCTGGTCTGGTTGAGGACTACGTGAAGTTATTGCCTACGGCGACCAACCCAGATGGAGATGTCACAGTTCCAGCTGGCGAAGACTTTGCGACTGAAATGAAAGATCCGGTCAGAAGACAGGCCGTGTTAAAAGAAGCCATTCAAGCTGGTCAGAAAAAGATTGCCAAGACGGAAAAAATCACAAATACAGTTGGCAATGTGATAGGCTTCGTCAACAAATTCAAGGATGTGATCGACTTGGCGGTATCAACCAACCCACAAGCCGCGCTGCCATGGGCTGGCGTTTGCATTGGGTTGCAGGTAATTTCATTCTCTTGACGACGTCCTTTGGATCCCGGGCGCTAATCCAGTGCCCTAGTCTCTCCTGAATCCCGCCCAGCAGTCGTAGTCCCAAAGCAATGGAATTGCCTGTGTCATCACTAGAATGGATTGGTATTGCCAACTTACCGATCGTCTCTTGAACCAAGAAAATATCGAAGTTGGATCACAATCCTACCAGAATGTTTTCAATGAGCTAGAAGGCACAGTCGTTGCGCTCTACAAAGCCCTGCTTCTTTACCAGATGAAGAGTGTATGCTCTTACTACAAGAACCAAGGCTTGGTCTTTTTACGCAACACGATCAATCTGGATGACTGGGATGGCGAGCTGGAAGCAATCAAGAGCTCCGAGGAAGCCGTTCAGAAGGATACGGATCAATACTGTACACTCTATTCGAAGGATGCCCTCGGCACACTTGTCAAGCAGAGCCAAGAGGAACAGAAGATCCTAGGTGATTTTCACCAGACGCTTCAGGATTATATCCTGGCTCAGAAGAATATTCACAGAGACGAGCAAGATTCCAAGGACCTTCGAGATATCTTTGTGGGCGATCCGCAAGGAGTGATGGAGATCATTCAGAGAAAGAACGACAAATTGCTCCGTGCCGCATACGAGTGGATTCTTGACACTCCGGAGTATCAAAAATTTACCAATTGGAGTGATCCAGACTCATGCAGAGTACTCTGTCTGACTGGACCTGCTGGAACAGGAAAATCGATGTTGACCATCGGCATTCTCTCTGAACTCGCGAGACAGCCGTCAAATACAGCCCCTGGCGTGTCATACTTCTTCTTTCAGGCATCGCAACGCAACATGACCAGCCCGATGGATGCCCTGCGCTCGTTGATCTGGATGCTTCTAATCTAATTCAGCAGCCACATCTGTTATCCTATCTTCGAGAGACTCTCAGAAATGCAGGCGCAAGCTACTTCGATACTCCAGCTAATTTCTGGCCTCTAGCTGAAATCTTCAAGCAGATGCTGGCTGATAAAGACATGTCTCCGGTTTATCTGACCCTTGACGCGCTTGATGAATGCGATGATCATGTCGGTGGACCTAGAATTCAACATGTCATATCACTCATCTCGGAAACTCTCAGTGTTTCCAAGAAGGTGAAATGGCTGGTATCTAGTCGGCCGGAGATCAACCTTGTCAATGTGCTCCTAAGAAAGGAAGCCTCGGGTGCGGTGGTGGGAGTTAACGTTTATAGTCGACCAGAGCCTGTCAATGCCTATATCAAACACAAACTCGCTGAGCTCGAGAATGAACATAACTATGCACAAGACATTCTGGACGACATGTCAAATGAGATCCGCAAGCGAGCCCAAAATACCTTTTTGTGGGTATCTCTCGTTTTCAAGGACATCATTGAGAATGATCTCCCTGACTACGAAGCCATTGATCATATTAAGGCCAGTCCGCCTTCGTTGAAGAGTTTGTATGATCGCTTAATGGCCAAGATTCAGAGTATCACGGCAAATGATCGCGAGTATTGTGGGGCAGTCATGGCGGCTTCGTGCTTTGCATACAGACCTTTAGCCTATGCTGAGCTTCACATCCTCGCTGGGCTGCATCCTCGTGCATCTCCAGACCGATTCCTTCGGATTTGTGGTTCCTTTTTGACTGTTGAGAATGGCATCATACATGTTATTCATAACTCTACAAGAGAATACCTGAACGAGTTCTTTTCGGCAACTCCAGGGGGTATTGGCCAGTGCCATTTAGATATGAGCAAACGCTCAATAGGTGTTATGTCGCAAAAGTTGAAGAGAAATATGTATGGTCTCGAACCAGGTGTCGAATCACAGGATATCATTGCGCCCGAAAACGACCCATTAGCTCCCCTGGGTTACTCCTGCGAGTTTTGGGCCCAGCACCTTTGCCAGAGTGGAGATAAGCTTACCGACGCTGGAGAGGTCCTCGGTTTCTTGGAAATGCATCTCTTTCACTGGTTCGAAAGTCTGAGCTTGAAATCGAAGCTTCCAAGCGCGATACCATCCATTCGAGACCTCTTAAAAAAAGCCGAGTTATGTGGCCTTATTTCTGTCAGATGTTTCATTACTAACAAGCTTCAGGTGACATCGAACGAGAGCGCTCAGCTTATCAATCTTTTGAAGGATGCGGACCGATTTGCCCTCAAAAATTTGTCAGTCATGGAGCAGGCACCTTTGCAAATTTATGGCACTGCCCTGATCCTGAGCCCCTTAGCAAGCCAAATCAGAGCTCGACACTGGGAGGAAAGATTTGATTTCATCAAGGATATCAAAGGCGTGGCTAGGAGCTGGGATCCCTGTCTTATGACACTGGACACCCCACAAGGCTTGGGGGCAATCAAATTCTCGCCCCAATAGTCAACTCATAGCTTCAATCTCGAAGCCATATTCCATGTTTGAAACTCCTGGGACGGTATATATATGGGATTCTGCTACCGGCGTGTGCATCCAAACATTCGTCACCCGAAGCTGCGAGAGTCTGATCGATATTAATTTCACACCAGACGGCGATTCTCTCGTTTCGGCATCTGGAAGAGCGGTGCAATTCTGGGATGTTTCTACAGGCAAATGCATACGAGAATTTGAGCCTCATTGTGAAGAAGTTCACGATATAGCACTTTCCGCCGGTGCGAGTGTTGTTGCCTTTGCTTTGAAAAATGCCATACAAGTTTGGGACGTTTCTACTGGAAGTCTCAAATAGTCCAGTATTGACGAGAACAGTAAAGAGGGTCGTCACTTACTGGCCCTATCGCCAGATGGAAAAACACTAAGCTCTTCATCATGGGCCTCTAAAATCAAGGTTTGGGATGCTATGTGTGGATCCTGCAAACGAGTCATTGAACCACCTGCCTTTGCTTCGACTTCGCACTTGTCGCCAAATGGCAAAACTTTAGCAGTCGCTCAGGACGGTATTCATCTGTGGGATATTGCCAGCGGCAATTCCGAGCAAGCCTTTGGCAATTTCAAAGGAGGCACATCCCTAGCAGGCTTCTCACCGGATGGGGCCATTTTTGTTGCAGGGTTTTTCACTGGGAAAGTGCACCTGTTTGATGTCTCAACCAGGACTTGCACCAAAACTTTTAACCAAGGCATTCCTGCCCATAGGTTCGCTTTCTCAGGGGATGGAAGATTTTTCGTCTTGGCTTCATCGGGGGGTAATGATCCGAATTTTCGATCTTGCCAGTTCCGATGAACAGCATACCATCGGCCACGATGAAGCCATATCGAAAAAAGAATTCTTGCCTGATGGATGTTTTGCCACAGGCTAAATAATGGCTCATTGAAGATCTGGGATCCCACTGATGGAAGTTGTCGCTATCAACTAAAAGGCCATTCTGACTCGATCATGTCTTTGGCTGTGTCACTAAATGGCAGCATTCTTGCAGCCTCTTCAGGAGACTCTGTCCGGCTCTGGGATATCACGACAGGTGCATGCAAGATGATACTTTGTGAAACAGCTTCTGATAGCAGATGTGGTCCCATAGTGAGCGTACGGTTTTCACCATCCGGGACAGAGCTCATTGGGGGTGGACTTGGCGGAGTGGTGAAATTCTGGGACATTACCAATGGAACATGCAATCGAACCTTTGATGCTAACTGCATAGGTCTTTCTGACTTCGCCATTTCAAGAGACAACCGAGTTTTTGTCATACTTCGAGGTTATATGGGGATTCCGCTTTGGGATCTTGCCACAGGAACGCAGAAGGAGCTAAGCAGAGAGTACAGCACTGATGCCAACTCAATAGCCCTCACGTCTGATGGAAAATCTTTTATAGCAGCATCACGATTCGGAATTTTATCAGTCTGGGATGTCGGTACTGGGGTTTGTCAACAGACCATTGAATGAGGCAGTGTTATCAAGGTCTTCTCATTCTCAGATGACAATCAGTACCTGAACACGAATCAGGGGCGGTTCAAAATGAGCAACGGCGTGCTGGATACGTCTCCTGACTCGGAGCTATCACGGCGATCAGTCTTGTATGTCAATGGGCCATGGGTTATGAGAAATGGTCAGAAGCTGCTCCAGCTGCCTCCTGGCTACAAAGAAATTTCCGACGCGGTGCGGCACGATACGCTTGCCCTGACGGATTATACGGGCCAGATTGTATTTGGGGAGTTTTCTGAGAGCTGAGCGCTATCACTGTGGCTCTGTCAATACCTATCAAATGCATCTTTGTTTTCATCAGGCTTGAGCGAGGCATGCCTTGATGAGCAGTAATACTGATTTCTTCTAGTTCTAAGATAAAGACATCCGTGAACAAAGAGTAAATCAGGCAAGAAGATTTCCCCTTTTGGGCGGGCTGTTCACACCTACAGTGTTCTATTTTCCAGTCCGAACATAGTACACCCAGATGTTAGGCTCAGCATATAGTATATGTACCTACAGCCTCCATGAATGCTTTCAGCGGAACTAGTCATCTGGGCACTACGTATTACACACACAAGGTAACGCGTACTTGGAATCTCAAAGGAATTATAACTTCGAAATTCTAGGTACGCGTGCTAAATTCCTAGGGTACGCGTCCACCAGTTCCCCCTCCGGATCCTGTGACTTGATTTGACAGTCCCCGTTGATGTGATCTGATTCATCGCACGTGATCCATCAATGATGATGCACGTCCAAGGCTTCAAGCCGGTGGTCACCTGAGCGCATGACTAAGATCACCCTTCACCGCCCTCCCAAGAGCCTCAAGAATGATGCCATGTATATTATTTAGTTCATTTTCTTATTGGGTGATTTTTCGGTAGATGGCCCAGGCTTTCTGCAAAGATCATCGTCGTCTCATCTCTCATCACGGACGGAATGGATTGAGGGGAAGGTGACCTAAGACGACGGAAAATGGGATGATGAGATCAGACGATAAGAAGATCATAGCCTCAGGTAGAGCAACGAATGTAGGATATCCAACCGCCAAATATGGCGTCCGGTGTAAGCAGCGGCTGTGTCTCCTCGAATTGAGAGAATGGTTCAACTTTCCGGCTTTCTCGGCTTTCCAGTCGGAGAAGGCCCTCCGCCCTCCGGAGCCCATGCACCTTCCTGCAAGTGATCTTCCCCTGTAGCATGCCACTAGAAAGGGTACCTCGTGCAGCAGTCCGGTGTACGACTGAAGTCTCGAGGCCGCAGTCAATGCATCCTGTACGCGGTCATCCTGAATGGAGCATAGGAAGTGCCATATATTGCAGGATATAGGGAATGTACGGGATCTCCCTGGTCTGGTTGCGATGTTTGGGCCGCATCATTTTGTTCTCTGGTTTCGGATTGATTCCCAACTGCAGGTGAATGGGCCTGCTCCGTATTCCAAGTCAATCTTGAGTCTAGGCCGATGCAGAGGGCTCCGAAATCCCGAAACCCCGGGCTCTCGTCGCATGGTAGTGGAGACACGAGACGATGGAAGGGCATGTTTGCAGGAGACTTGCATGTGCCCGGGATTTTGCATGTTGCGCTGGTCGCGAAATTGAAAGTAATCGGCGTGGTCTAGTGCAAATGCGGGGAAGCCTCCCTCCGCCTCCTTCCTTCCAATGCCGTTCCTGTCATTCTGGATGTTGCTGTATTATCGGGACCCCACGGTCTGGATGGGCGACTCGTGTAAAACCACTCACCCTTGGCTAGCCGAGCCGTGGGGCTGGGGGCGGCCACTCAGAGAGGGGTCGGACAGGGGAGAGGGCATGCCAGAGGGGGGGTCGCGAAGGGCAGCACAGAGCATGTCGTTGATAAGAGCCCACGAGCTCTGCTGAGGGGTCACCCGATCGAGACAGGAAGGCGATTTTGGAGGCACAACTGCGGTGAGGAGGGGCTGGCGGGCTGTCTGATGGCCCACCAAAGCGAGCTGCATGGGCGATCCTTTGCGGGGCGCGGTCGCAGTCCCCGGGACGAAAATACCACTGCCTGGAAACTCAACATTGGACGGCCGAGTTGGAGTGCCACTCGGAATCGTCATCCTGCGCTCTTTCATTCCAACCCCTTTTCCTGCAGAGCCTCAACTACCGTATCGGGCAGTCGAGATGGGCGGCGAATCTCCGGGGACCGGTGGTGCGTCAGGCGCGATGGCTCAGCGGGATACGAGCGGATGGAGGCGCAATGAAGGTGGGTCGGCTGGCGAACGGCCTAGGGTGGCGGCCAAACGAGGCTGAAAATGGGATGGTCTCTCCCGCCAGGTGAGATTGCCCGTGGACGATTGGCCCTGGCCATGAGGATGAAAGGGTGTGGGAGCCATGGACAGCCATAGGGAGCATCGCAGCATGAGTGGTGGACAATGCGGCTCTGGTGATGGCGACTTCGATCGGAGGCCCCGAGCACCGGACGCCGATCGAGCCGCGGCGCAACGCCTTTGGCCAGATCGTCTGTCGACGCAAGGCGAGCAAGAGGGGAGAAGCTGGCGATCGTGACAAAACCACAAAGCGAGGACGGGGTCGAGTCGGCGCGGAGAAAGATTCCCGCATGAGAGAAGCACGAGCATGACACAGCATGACACCGCATGACACCCAATGATTCGAATGACTAGAATGACTAGACTGACTAGAATGATTCAAATGGATTCGAATGATTAGAATGGCGAAAACGACTAGACTGGGTCGAGCCAAGGAGGAAATACCTGGATGCTCACCTGTAAGGCTCCAGACGCGTCGCATCCACTGCTGTTTCCAAGCATCTCCAAATCACTCGGCGGTGGGGCCGTGATTCAAGTCGGGGCCAAAGCTGATTTGAGCCTCAAAAGAGTCTTTTTAGTGGTGTTTCTTTTTTTTTATTTCTTTGGCGCTTCGAGAGCCCTTGAGAAAATGAGAACCCTAGCAACCAGGCCGGGATGAGGCTCAAGCGGCTCCCGTTGGTTTCCCATCGCCCTTTTTAACCAGCCTTTCCATCCCAGTTGGGCCAACTGGTAAGCCGCCAACCGTGACAGACTTGCCCTCGCGGCTTGTGGCTTCCTACTTCCTCCTCGACACCGGCACGTCGATCGTTTCGACTTCGACGTGCGAACGCCTTTGTGGTTTGTGACTTTGTGACTTCTTGACTTCTTGACTTCTCGACTTCTTGATTGCTTCACCACCTCACTTCTTCACCACCCGTTCTCCCCGTGGGAATTGTGTACTTCCCCTCCCGACACCGGCTTCCATTCCCCAACTCAAACTCCATGAACCCATTGAGACCAGTCCTCATCATGGCGTCCTGGATCGGTCCCTGGTGATTTCCTTGGACGACTTGCGCGGACTCGCCCAACCACGTCCGGACAACTACGCTATCTTCTTTTCGCTGCAATGCGCGCATCAATGCCAATTTCCTCAATCTCCCCAATCTCTGCAATCTCTACAATCCCCTCAATACCCCCAATATCGTCCTATCTCCAAGTCTCCCATCCCAACCCATTCGCCGTTCTGGCCCCGGGGCAGGCACATGTTTCAACCATGCCGGCCCCTCCCACACTCGATACCCTCCCCTTCGATGTCTTCTATCAGATCGCCACGTCGCTGGACGACGTCGATTGTGTTCACCTGAGCCGCACGAACCGCGCTATCCATGCTTTCATGGATAGTGACCTCATTGCGCGCAAGACCGTTGAGGTAAGAGCCGCATGGCCCCAATTTCCTCCACTGCCCATGGCCCATTGCCCTTAGTTCACCGGTCTACTTGTTGGTCTATCCCGAAGAGAAGGGTCCGAAAAAGTAACCTGCCCCTCCCCCCCCCCCCAAAAAAAAAAAAAAAAAGGAAAAATAAAAATAAAAAAAAAAGACAGGCCAAAAGAGCCTCTGCTGGACTGTCAAGGTCGGTGTCGGTTCCTGGACACGAGGGGCCAAAGCCATTCCAAAACCAGATCTGATCCTTTCCCCTCCTTTGCTTTCGCTTCATGCGCCCTTGGACCCCGACCCTCATGCCAGATGATGTCCTAGCGCAAAAAGGCTAATTGGCGAATCTCTCTTCTAGAATGTCCTATCCTTCAGCAAGGAGGGTCAGGCCGCCTTGGCGGCTCAGGCGGGCTACCGCAGGGCGGTTGGGCATCGCTTTGACATTCATGAGGCGGTCGCCACCGCCGCACCGTACGCAGTCGCGGTGTTGGCCTATGCCGCCGATTTTCTCTATCACCAAGGCTTTCTGTGCTACCGCGTTGGGCCCGAAATCCGGCTGCTTAATGTGCACCGCCCCGGTCATCAGGAACGGGTCTTGAATCTCCACGAGGTCATCCCGCGAGTGGAAACAGGGCCAGCAGCTGGTCATGATCCCGCCGAACGGGTGAAGCTCCTCCACTACGCCGATGGTATCGTCGTCTTCCGCCTGGAGGGTGTCGGGGCGAACGATGACCGCCTGCTGGCCATTGATATGGAGCCACGACAGACCAGGCGGAAGCGCCTCCTGCTGCAAAAGCTGATCCCAGCCGAGGCCCCCATCTTCGTGCGGCATAGCCGCTCCTATATCTGGTATGGTACATACCATGCGCCGCTGGGCTCAGATGGTTGCTGGTTCGTCTGCGGTGTGGACTTCGCTACCGATGAATCAATCCATTTCCGCTTGGACGGCATTATCGATGCCGAGGTCGGCCAGAACCTTTGCTTTGAAATGCATCAAGAACATCTATATGCCGTCTCTACCCAAGTCTCCTCGGACGAGGATGACCGCTTCTCCTCCTTCTACCATTGGTTCTGCCACCCACCCCGCGAAAAGGGCTCCAAATGGAGCGGTCACATCTGGCGACGAGAGCATCGCGAGGGTCCTATCAATGAGATGTGGACAGACCTATCAATTCGGACGGACGAAACGACCGGACAACCCGTCATACTCGAATGTCGACGCGAATGGCGCGATGGCAAGAGTGAAAACCACCGCACAAATTATATCGAACCTCTACCCTCACCCGCTCAAGCAAGAGCGGCCCATGAGGCCAAAGTCGGAAATACAATTGCTGCCGTGCTCGAGGAGGAGATCAAAGACCCTGAGATTGATCAGTTACACAATCATCGGCCGGAAAAACGCCTTCGTCGCAATTATCACGCCGAGTACGAATGTACTCATGACCCAAAAAGTCGCCAGGAATTCATCGCTGTGCGCACCAAACACCGCACCTATCATCTCGCTGCGGCCACCTTTATTGATATTGTCAATGACCCTATACCTCCCGCTGACGGGGTCCGATCTCTGGATCGCCTGCGTCTACGCACCGTCTCGCGTAAGCGCAAATGCCCCATAGACGAAGAAGGCTTCGCCGGGTCCCCGGGCATGCTCTTCCGCCACACCCAGACCGACGCAGACGGTCACCCCGTCGAAGGCTCTGAGGAGCGCTTCACTTCACGTGGTGTCTATCTCTGGCCTCCAGAAGATGCCCCACCAGAGCTCAACCGCCTCCTCTGCCCTGACTCGCGTATGGGTTCGATCAAGGCTGTCTCCGACGAACGCTCCTTGGTGTACTCTGTTGCGAGTGCCGGCCTGCCTGTCGGTCATCAGGCAATCGTCTTAATCAGTTTCGATCCAGCCATTCGCTTCCCTTACCTATCCTCTCTACGCACGCTGAAGACGCCCATTACCACGAAACATATCTTGCCAGTTGAACTGCCCAAGGCGAAATCAGCCAACGGCTCTCTCATCAGAGAGGCGCCGGCTCTTTATCTGGCTCTTCGGCGCGGGTACTGGTTGCGATGACCATGGGGAGGAATCGGTTTATATTATTCATCTGTCCATCTACGATTGCTAAATATCCTAAACGTAGTATATTAATTAGCTCCTATGGGACAGGTCGCTCCCGCATGGCCAATATAATAATAAAATCATTCTTGAATCTTTACAGTTTCCTCGTAAATCTAAATAATTAGCATGTATTGACTCTAGAAACTGTTCATTCTCTCTGTTCTAATCTCCGGTGTCAGTCTTTTTTGAAGAAAGAAAAGCTATGAGTATTATCCTAGTCTGCGAACTCTTGAACTTGAAGATTCTCCAGTCATCACGGGTATCGTTTGGAATTTCCATCATCTTGCTTCGCCGCCGTTTACTCTGAGGAAAACGTGTGGTTGGCCATTGCTTCCATTCTACGCCGAAATCTGCTTACTCCAGAAATTTCAATACCGAGCAGAAGCTGGAAAAGAGATGTACCCGCGACACTATGTCATCAAGACAGAACTGAGCCAGCGCCTTGAAAATCGACTTAATTTATGGCTCTGGCTAGGGCTTATGCAAGAGGTTTCTACACTCATGGCTTCAAACTTAGTTGGAGAATACATCCAGAAAGCGCTGTTACCAATGTAGATCGAATATTGACGCCCGGGTTGTTGCGTAGAAAACTTTTCTGCGTTTTCGGTTTGATGGTGGGACATCAAAGTAGAAAATTTGTTTTAGACAACCAGCAAGCTATTTATGCAATGGTATAAATCGGACATCCTGGAACAACGAGGCGTTTCCCGCCCCGATCAATCATGTTCTCGGGAGGGCATAAACGCGCCTCACGATTGATCGCCTTCAACAATTCAACAGTCTTGACTTAGTGTCGAAACCAATGTCCATATTTGATTTGGAAAACCATTTCCCAGGGTTCTCATTTCCCTCAAGCCCTTTTGGACTCTGAGAGGCCATTTTCCTATCCAGGCTAGTCTGTTTCATCTTCGTGGACCCTTTTCATCTATACCGTGCGGATGCTACTGCAATTGCCGCTTACTAGAGAATATGAAACAGAAATAGAATAGCTACTTCAGAGCCATGGCAAGTGTACCCCGGGTGGGATATGGAGAAATATTCGTGTTCTTGTGCTGTCTGTATAAATTCCAATACGTTTCTCCCTACTGGGGTTTCTCTCCAGGGAGTACCATTTATTGCTACCCTCTTCTCTTCTTTTGCTCAAGTTCTACACTCTTTTGTTTCGCGTTTTTTCTCTTTTGGAATTATCGCCTCTTCAATCATGTCGCGCGCTGTTCTATTGCTCGCATTGAGCGCTGTTGCTCGGGCACACACCGTTGCATGGGTCAAAGGCATGTACTGCTTAGGCGGTCCCGACCTCTCGACAGACAACGCGAATACAAACACAGCCGTCGCCCCTCTGTACAATCTCACTCGTGAAGATTGGTGGTTTCAACACGATCGCGCCTGCGATACAGCCCCTCCCTCGGACGGCGACATTCTGCAACTCCCAGCCGGCGGCAGCTTCACCGTGGAGCTTGCACACAACCGGGCACAGACGACCCTTTCATACGATGGGAAATACACCTCAGAATGGCCAGATGGGAACGAGCACCCCGAAGACTGGGCCGGGCCGGGAAGCCCGCCGGACTGTATCCAGGACGATGGGGCAATGCACACCAACAACCAATCCATGGCTGCTGGCACCGCGTTTGCAATTAGTTATCAGTCTGACCTGGCTGCGGTCACTATGGAGAATTTGGTTGTCTTTACGGTGTTGGAACAGTAGGTGTCTCCCTGGAGAGCTTCGCGTTAGGTCAGCCTGTGTTGCTAATGTCCGTGCGAAGCACACCGTGGAAGCGAATCGCTACCTATGAAGTGCCCAAGGATCTCCCTGAATGTCCTCCTAGTGGATGCACCTGCGCTTGGTTATGGGTATGTATACGAAGACATAGCTGGGCTGTACCGAACTTACACTAGATAGGTCCCGAACGGTTGCGGACAGCCGAATATGTAAGTTTTTATATTCTAGTCCGACCCCTCTCATTTCTAGTCTGCCCCATTGACCGGAGAACCAGGTATATGGCTGGCTACAAATGTAACGTCACTGGATCGACCTCATCGAAAAAGGTCGCTACCGCTCAAGTTGCCTCGTACTGTGAGGATGATACCAGCAAATGCGTCAAGGGAGCTAAGCAAATGATTGCTTTCAATCGTAAGTCAATTATCTCCCTAGATTTTAGAGCTAGCAATGACTTGAGGTAATAGAGCAAACCGGAAACAATGTCGAAGTCCCTAGTGGCAAGACACCGATGTACAATATGGCATGGGGGTGGGAAAATGGTATGTTTTCATCTACTATACACTCAGAGGATTACTAATTGGAGATCATTGCCAAAGGTGCGCAGAATGATATTTTTGTTTAGTCAGGGCCTTGGTACAAAGCAATATGGCCAATCAAGTAGGGTGGAATATATCGTACAAGATCGTCCGGCATGTAAGGTTCCTAATGGAGTAGCTTCTGCTGAACGCAGGGTGTACTCGGCGCTACTCGTTACTCGTTGATCAAGGCCTCTCTGGAAGCCGAGTATAGAGATTAAGTTGAGAACTACATGTATAACCTAGATTGCTGGTTTCCGCTGGCCAGTGTATCACGCGCCAGTTCAAGTTTGCCAGCACTAATTGCCTGGGCTAGTCAATGCCATGGCAGGGATATTTATCAGGTTCCTTTAAGAGAGACTGTTAGCAATCCCCTGGTAACGGGTTGAAATTGAAGACATTTGAAGTTCTTGCCCAGTATTGCGTCACCTTGGTAACTACCAGCCCGCGGAAAAACGGACCCAAGGCCGTTCTAATGAGGTTACACGAGACCGAACTCCATGGACGACCGATTGATTATAAATAGTCGAAGTAGAATAAGCTGAAAATCGGACGGATCCAGAATTTGCAATTTTAGTGAAGGATGACGGCTTACATGTTTCTGTTCTACACGACTAGCTCTTTTCGAGTTATACCATCACGTAAGTATTGCAATAAAGAACAAACGATTTATGAAGCATCATGCGTTAGTTGCGTATTAGAGGTCATAACTTTATATATATTATCTTCTGGATCAGGCACCAGGAGCCGATCCTCGCACTGGCGCCCAGTAAACCAGGGAATATCCAGAAACTCAGGTATCTGGCCCAGGCTGACCAGGAATATAATCCAAACATTCAGTCAGATAAATCCATAACTCCGTAGCCCATGAGAATAAAGGCAGCCGCCAATCCGGGGGAATCACAATCACAGTCAGTCACAATCGTGTTGGCGTCAAGCGGGAAAGCGTGGCGGGGTGCGTAATGTATATACAAGGGAGCCCAAGCCACCTTCTACCAGACATAAACGCCCGAGAAGACAAAAAACAAAAGAACAAAAAAAAAAAAAAAAAAAAAGTGCAACCTTCAGCAGCGAATTTGGCTGCCCTGCTCATGCCCGCATGTATAGATCGGCCAACGACTCAATCATCGCATCACGCTTGACAGGATGTTCGTCTTGGAAGGCATCCATAAGATGGACATTGCGCTTCAGAACAGAGGACAGCTCTGTGCTGTTATCACTGCTTGTTGAACTGCTGTTGTCGAGCAGAGATCTCAGGGTGTTCTTTAAGGTAGAGACAAGGGGCACATTTGCCGTTAGTGTGAGCTCAGACATCACTTTGGTGTAGTATGGCACCTCGGTGCCGTTCCAAACCACACTGCGGGTGATGGTGTCAAGAGCCAGGTTACCCGTTTTGAGGGCCGACGCCTGCGACGCGAGGACGGAGCCCAGATTTTTGAGGACCTTTTTCAGGTCCAAAACGCCGGTCAGAGGGTAGGTGTTATTGCCCGGTTTCAAAGTAATGTCTGTAAGCGTAGCATTTCCAATGACCAGGTCGCCACTCTTGATGTCGAGAACAAGAGTACCAATCTCAATGGTCAGCACAGAGGGGTTGGGGAGGGTGGCATTGCCGATGAGATTGGTGCCATCATCGCGCGAAGGGAAAAGCAAGGTACTGTCAGAGATGCTGAATCCGGCGAACTTGCCAAGAGCTAGAATTTGAGGTTAGCGATTTGTGATTTTGCTCTGATTCCATATTTTCAGACGTACTCTGAGATTTGATATCCTTGTCCATCGTCACATGCGACTTGAGTACTCCAAGATAGGAGTTGGTCGAACCCTTGACGGACAAGGCGGATTCGTTTTTGAACACGACATCATGGACATAGTTGGTCCAGATTGTCTCGTTTATCAGCGGCGTGTGTTGGTCTGACACACCCAAGGTTGTGTTCCCAACGATCATCATGCCGGGGAGGTCGATGGTGGCCCAGGGGTTATTGGCTCCTGTATCGCGAACAAACAGGTCCAGTGTGATTGGCTCAATGCGCACATGCAGTAACACCTTGAGATCGAGGGCGGACTGAAGCGTCAGTTTAATCGAATCCGGGCGAGGCTGCATGACTGCAGCGTTGACGAGGACCAGGCTGGACTTGTCAACGACAAGTTGAGAGATAGCAGGGATGATGACGAGGAAGCTGCGAATTGGGAATAATTAGTATCACCATGAAAGAGCTCACCGAGAGCGGGGAGTCATGCGGAAATTTCTGACCCAAATAGCAACACTTACAAGATGGGAAGGAAGATAGCAAGGAAAATCACATTGCCAATCAAGTAACAGCACCAGAAACGCTTCCAATGACGCGCGAACTTCTCCTTCCGAGTGCGATGCGTGGTGGCTAATGACAAGCCACCCGCCGACTCGACCTGCTCCAGCTTGGAGTTCTCATCGATACCTGACGCAGGCAAAGGCCCCCGATGGAGACCCAGCGAGTACTTGGCATCATCAGAACTCAGGTAGGCCGGCCGGTCGTCAATTTTCTTGCCCATGATGACGGCAGGGGGGCAGATTGAGTCTCGACACAAAAAAAGCGAGGGGAAGAAGAGAATTGACGAGGGCACGCGCCACCTATATGTAGTGGTATTCGCAACTGGAGCCCGAGGTTTAGCTCACTAGGTTTAGTAGTCGGCTGGACGAGCATGAGTTTATGGGGGTATCGGGCCTCCGGGGTACACCAGCGCCCGACCTATGGCAACACAAGCGAAATAAGGAAATCCACTTTTTGCAGTGGCTTCCTGGTGCGCTCCCCGGACAGTGCCAGTGGATCTTGGAGACCGTCACGAGTCGTGGTGATTGACCTTGTCTGCCCCCATCCTGGCTTCCCCATGAAGGGCGATCCAAGCGGGGGAGAGAATGAGTGAATGCGGTGCTAACCCGCAGTCCCAAACGGGACTGGAGTGGATCAGGGCAAGCTCGCGCGCCGGAGCACTATTCCCTAACTGGGATAAGTGGGACGCGGATCCACGAGCCCATTGCTGCAGCTGGAGAGGCGTCGGAGTGGTTCTGACAGGGTTCAGGGCCCTCTGAGTGGTTAGGATCAGCATGGAGGAGATGGCGATCTGCTGCGAACCGCGGCTTGTCGTCATGGAAAAGGGGGTTCACATGGGCCGAGTGCTTCGCTAGCCTTACAAACTATCGTCCGTGGTCCGCCATCGGGGCTTGCAGGATCCAGTCAACAGGGTCGAAGCAATCGCACCCGTTGAACTGGACAGATTGGACGAATGGCAGTGCTGATGATGGCCCGAGTGGACTTGCCGCTTTTCACTTGTTTTTCTGGGGTTTCTCGGCTGCGGGGAGATGGCGAAAATGTGGGCAAAGGTGAAAATGGAAATGTGAAGAAAAATGGAGGAGCAAAGAGTATTTTTTGGGTTTGATGACGAAGTCGTCGTTCGTGTTGTTCACATTATCGGTCTCGTGCGCAAACCTCCGAGGTTGCTGAGCGGCATTGCTGCAGTCCATGCACTGTCGTAATTATTCAGTTTAGACACAAGATAATCTAGTTGCAACTTTCTTCTTCGTCTCCTTCTCTCCCTCCTTCCCTCTTGCTCTGCCTTCTCCACCTTGAAAAACCACATCGCCTTCAACTATGTCCGCTCCACCGTCTCCTCTGGACGAGAAGCAGCTCGAGGCTTCGTCCAGCGCCAACGAATTCAATGTGGCTCCCAACGACTCCGGTCGTCTCCACGCCCTCGAACAATTGGAGATCATTCCGCAGATGCTCCGAGAGGGCATTTTGTTTGCCGGCTCTGGTGCCGCTCTCCTGCTGCAGGCTGCATTACCTGCGATCCGTGAAACCGAAGCCCCTAACCAGGGTCATAAAGCGCTGGCCACTGAGCTCATCGACGCGCTCCAAGCCCATATCAGCTACATTTCGACTCTAGTCTTTGGAACTCGCGCCGAGCGCAAGGCCTTACTGGACCTTTTGCAGCAAGGCGATGCCCCCGGGCTGGGCGGTGGCCGTAATAACCGGTTTACCCACCACCCGGAGCTGCAGCTATGGATGGCGGCCACCCTGTATGCCACCGCGACCGACTTCTACCAGCGCGTCTACGGCCGCGTCGATTATCAGACCGCCCAACGCGCCTACTCAGAGTTCACCCTCCTCATCAGCTACCTCGGCGTGCCTGCCGGTACCTGGCCGGACTCACGTCAGGCCTTCTGGACCTACTGGGACGACCAGGTCGGCAAGCTGACCGTCTCGACCGATGCCGCCCAGTTCGCCAAGGATCTGCGTGAGAGTACCGAGCTGCCCGGCTGGGTGCAGAGGATTCAGCCGTTCCTGCGTGCTGTCACCATTGAGATGCTCCCACCCAAGCTGCGGGATGCATATGGTTTGCGCTCGTCAGCCTCCACTCGCGCCCTCTATCGCACGTGGATGGGCTTCTCGGTGGCCGTCTACCCTGCCATGCCAAATAAATGGCGTTCTTTTCCGCTGAAATATTATAAGGATCGCCTGCGCGATAAGTTGAATGTGGTTTGAACCTTCCGAGGGACCGTCGGGGATTGCGGAAAATCCGGGGGGGGGGGATCGGCGACAGGATCTGGAAATAGGGGAATTGGGAGGGCCTCCACCATCCGTTCGATTTGGGACTTATTTTTCAATCTTGTTTCATGTGTATATACCCATTCTATGAGATACGCTCTGTGCCTGTGCGATGCTTGAGTACAGCTTCCAATGTGATCATGTTCAGGACTTTTTGTTTTATATTCGTGCCGTTGTGGGGGCTATAGAGTGGACAGGAGTAATTGACTAACCCCCTTTACTTCCTTTCCAACCCTGGGATTCATATGCTAGGATGGAATATGGAGAAAGCTGTAGCTGAAATATATGCATTTGAATCCAAAGAAAAACAATGTCGTAACCTCGTTTACATCGGCATTTACTACTCCTTCCATGTCTACTATAGGGAGCCCAAAACACCGCCCAACAGCTTCGACACATCCTCAACCAACTAGGTACCAAGTTAGATTTATCTAGTCTATGTCAAAAGAAACGATGGAACGGAAGAAATCACATACCGGTGTAGCATCGCCGATCAAAGTCGTTGTGTTATCGACAAACTCCTTAGTCAAAAGGGAGTGGGCATTGGTCAGGATATCCTGCAGGATATCGATGTTGCTTGAGGACAGCAGTTTGGCGGCGCCGGAGATAATGGTCTCCAGGTTGTTGATCGTGTCCGTGGACAATAAGCCTTCAATCTCGCTGAGAACAGACAACAATCCACTGGTGCTCTCAGGGGCTCGAGGCGCAACACGGTTAGGAGCAGGCTCGGGAGCCGCGAAAGCCAAGGGCGCAGTCGCCACGAGGGGGAGGAGGAACCGTTGGAAGCGCATGTTGATTCTGTGGTTTTTTTTCTCTTCTTTATTGAGGGTGATCCCAGGGGATTGATTAAAGTAGCAGACAATCAAAAGGGCTGGAAAGGAAGGAAAGAAAGCTCTAGAGATCAAGTGAAGAAGAAACAACGGAGTAGAATCACGAAAGTATCAGCACTGGAATAAGGCGATTAGCATAAGGATTTAGAGTCAATTCCATGGACGCGGAATCCTCTAATAAGCGAGAGACCCGAGCTCTGCCATCCATGCAGTACACATAGGACATCGACAAGAGACATGGGGGACTCTCCACTTTGATCGAGACCGCCGTTTTTTTCCTTCTTCTCCTCCCTCCACCACCACCTCCTCTTCCTCTCCTCTTCTCGCAACTTTCGAAAAATTCCCCGAGGCTGAATGGAGCTCTTCTCATTCTAGCCAATACACAGCTCGCACTACAACACAAGCCAGACAGGCTCCAGCCGGATTGTCATGGATCTCCGTGCGATCGAGGATCGGGTATGCCACGCCGAGGTCGATCGCGGCAAGACAGACATTCAATGGTGGTTTTCCATGTGAAGCCGTCTGTTCTATGCTGGGAGAACAAGCCTCGAACCAGCGTTATGGGCCAGAAGCCAAAAAAGAAAGTCGTCTTCGAGTGTTTCCCGGTCCAAACGACTGGTCCATTCCCAAGTGCAACACGATCCCCGCATCCCACGGCCTTACGTCTCACCCCGGAAACCTCAATAGGGCAAATGATCGGCTCTCCGGGGCGATCTGACCCCCTTTGTGGGCTAGCAGTTCCTGTTTAGCTGGGCGTTGTGTGCTTTAGCGCGGCGTCCGACTTGGTTAAAGCCCCACTTGGTTCGTGCCCGTGGTCCTTGTAACAGAGAAATGGGCTCTGCTTTTCGTGCGCCGCTGGCCGAGTCGGGATACATTCCCTTCGCTTTGGGCTCGACGGGCCTGAACTGGCTTGGACCTGTCATGCCCGATCCTTGCTGGTCCTTGCTCGTTCCTGTTGGTCCTGCCGCTGGAGAGCCCCCTTCCCCCCTCCTCTCGGACCGACCGATCCATGTGATCCACTCCCCGGAGAACTTCTTCTGTTCAGTAGCGATCGGCAGTCGTCGATGCTTCGAAGTATGCAGCGATCTCTATTTTCAAGGATTCGTGATCGCGCTCCCATTATGGCGGCCATCAAAATCATTTAGTGGAGACCACTGGGGCTATACTGCGAGGATCTTTAATATATTTTGAGGGGAAATCTCAGTCTCAGTCTCCATCCCCAGGCATGCTCGACCTTTGCGATATTGCGGGTATATGCCCCAGAACACCGAGGAACCAGCCAAAGCATGTGCGGATGGCGAAAATCGGATTGTGGAGGGGTTTGGGGGATTTTCGGGGCGAAAGACAACGCCACGGGTCGGCGCCCCTTGGAACCATCAGGAACCGAAAAATCAGCCACCAACAACACAAACGGAGGGGGAAAACACGCGATGGCTCCATGAGCAATTGTTGGATTGAGAAGTCATCGATTTCATGCAATCTTCATCACGGTCATTGCTATGAACTATCAAACATATGGACTAGCTACGCATCCGTGGGGAATGCTCATTAGCCAGTAATGGGCTAACTATCGATTCATGTACTACATGAAAAGACACTATCGTGGCCTTACACTTATCATCAACCACACAGGTCCTGGGGCTGGGCCCCTGCAGTTCCTCATTCTCCACGGTGTCCACCGGCTGCACACACCGCTGCAGGTCTGGGCCCGTGTCTGTGTTTCTGACCTGCGTCCCCGCAGGACTGCAGCACCTGGGGCTGCACGCCTGCCCACTTCAGCCCGTGGGTCGTGGGAAACCCTGCACCTGGGGGCTGCAAGATAGGTAGCAGGACCCGCCTACAATACCAAAGCTAACCCAAGTACACCCAACGCCCCGACCACTGATGCCGTCAGTACCGTTGGCTGCGATACTCCCAATCCGCTCGAGGTTGAAGTCGACCCGCTCACGGTCTTTGTTGATCCTGTTGCACTTGCACCGGCGCCGGTGCCGGTGCCGGTCCCGGTGCTGGTGCTGGTGGTCTCGTAGGCCAGTCCCGTCGTGGCCGTCAAGGCGCCGCCGGAGATTTGCGACTTTACGACAGACATATAGCTTTTCACATCGGCCGGCAGACTGCTATACCAGGCGGGAGTGGTGCCAGCGCTGAATTGGCTCGCCAGCGAGCTGCGGGAGTCTTGGTTGATGAGTTCCCAGAGCACGGTCAAGGGGACGACCGAAAGGATCTCCGAGATCAAGGACTTGGGTGGCGGGGAGATGTTGCCAAAGTTAGCCGACGCGGTGGTGTTGGGCTTGAGGTTTGCACTGGATTTTTGACCTTAGTATATGTGCATTTCCTCTAGATAAAAGATTGAAAGAGCCCAAGGAAGCAAACACAAAATGCATTTCTTACAGAGCGCTGGATATTTGAGCAAGATTGAAGCCACTTTCACTGGCTGTTGTAGTGTCATCACGCCGCCCTATGTCTGCACCCCAGGCAGTCGCCGCAAAGAAGAGTAGTATATTCGTGATTCTCATCGTCGATTCCTAAAGCAAGAAAGAATAAAGCAACGAAAGAAGACAAAAAGTACCAAATCTCCAGGTCGAGAAGAAAGGGAAACCAATCCCAATAACGGTTGCGCCCAGGCCCTGGAAGAGTATATCAAATTTATCAAATGCTTGACCCCCTCTTGGCCGCCGATCCGGTCTTCCTCGGCAACCTGCGCCATTCTTCTCCGCTTGTACCAGTCTGATGCATAGAAACCGACACGCAGTGAAAGTAACGGATCTCGGGAACATCCAAGGATTTGGTAAAACCTGCTTAGTGCTGTCCAGCTCATGCCCCGGGTCTAGGCATTCTCCCTTCAACCTCGGATCCAGTAGGCAAAATTCAGTTTCTGCATCCCAGGCGGGGGAGGATCAAATGCATATTCACGCTAGCAACGGTGTCTCGGAGAATTTACGCTCGATCTATAGTGATCGATACTTACTAGGTTTGAATTTTAACCGTAAGCTTTTATTGAATCAAGGAGATCTGCTGTTGATCAAGATTTTGGTTTTTGAATTGTGGATTTTGAATATGAATTTGATGAATACCTATGGGCTTGGTAGTGAGAAATCTAATTTTCACTGGATGCTCAAGAGAGACCATTTTCCCGATTTTCAAGAATGATTGAAGTGTACAAAACATGATATTCCCAAGAAATACACTGACTTGTGATCAAGAGTATGTGCATCCTATACTACTTCACCTTGGTTTCAGCGGTTATCATTTTCAAGACAGTAAGAAAAAGAACTCTCCTAATTTCTTCAAAACAAGTCTTTCTTCAATCTAAACTTATCGTATTACGGGAGAGTATACGCTTGCAGTCTAATAACACAAAAGGATATAAGAAAGTTGGTCAGGCATAGGACAATTGTCATTAAGATCAAACTCTAAATGAATTCGTGGAGCATATCTTGAATGACTTTCTTATTGAGAAAATAGTAGCGTGACAGCAGCTGTTAGAGACTCAGCCATCCTTTTCGTATCATGACCATCATGGAATTTTACTCATGGAAAATGAAAAGTGCAGAAAAGCTGGCTGCCATTCATTGATGTGGCCCGCCGTGCTCAAGCATATCCGTTCACTTCTCCAGGTGACTAGATAGAAACACTTAGTGAAAAATATGTGCAAGCCCCATTTTTTTCATGATGTAACCCTTTTCAGAGTTAGTTCCTGGGTTTTTTTTACTACAAGGCAGATAGATGGTGTCTAGTTGTTGGCTTAACATGACGGGCATGGAAAGACCACAAATCACTCTTCTACTCCGATATTCAAGTACAAAATATAAAACAATTTCAAAATTCAAGTCAAATCAAATTGGATATCATAAATCAGTCCGTCATAAGTAAAAGTCGTTAAAAAAGGCAACGGCTGAGAAACTCGAAGCCCACTAGATCCCGTGAAAAAGAGGTGAACACTCGGGCGCTCTCAAACACATCTCACAGACCCTGTCTCTTGGACATATCAGCCTCTGCACCACGCTGGCGCACCTTGCCCTCGTCATGCATATCCTGGAAGCGCCGCTCCTCCTCGCGGTCGCCGCTGATGGCAGCCGCGACGCCGCCGATGGTGCCCTGCGCGCGGTTCTGGATGCCCTCGCCCCAGTCCTTCAGCTGGCCCTTGGCCTCCTGCTCCTTGCCAGCAGCGTTCTGTTCGACGCCTGCGCGGCGCAGGTTCTCGTTGCCGATGGCATTGCCAATAGCTTCCTTGGCTGAACCCATGGTCTGGTCCCAGGAGCCGGTGGAGCGGTTGGAGTTGTCCTTTGCGGTGGCGCCAGTGTTGGGGTCCGCAGAGATGGGGCCTAGCTTGCCTACGGTGTGGGAGGCTTCATGCTGGTCTTGGGCTTCTTTTTGGGCGGCTTCGCCCTGGGTCTGAGAGCTTGTTAGTCATTTGGTTTGTTGACGGTTGGCGGTTTAGGGAGAGGGAGAGATGTTGGGGTTGATTTTGGCGATGGCTTACCTGGGTCGAGGAGTCGCCGGTCACGGCACCAAAGGCACGCTGGGCCATGCCAGTGGCTTGGTTGACGTAGGAGCCGAGGGTGGAAGAGTTTCCGTCAGACATGTTGGATGGTGTTCTTGGAAGTTTGAAGTAGTGAAGAGTTGTAGATGGAAATTTTCAAGGGTGGAAGTTGCAGATTTCAAGATGGTGATTTGGTTGTTGTTTGATGAATTGTAAACACTTGGAAACCGTGGTGTCCTGACTGTTTATATAATTTGTATATACATGTCTCTGGCAAGTTCGCGCGATCGATGACATCATGTTCTGATGTCACATCACGTGGTTGGCGTTCGGTATACCAAGCTTCACACTATTCGTGCGTCATTCAGGAGAATGAAACGGGGCTGGAAACTTCTACAGGCTACGATGTGGAGCCAGGCACAGGTGGTACGGCCGTCTCATGCGAAGATGTTGGATTGTGACTCGATGTTAGAAGGATGATGGAACTGAATGATGAAATTGGACCTCCACACCTTCACGGTAGTACTGGTACTGGTATAAAATACTAATGATTCCATGCTAAGATTTTGCCCCGACACCTGACACCCAATAATTTACTCAATAAATGTAGATCATTATGCGATAATGCAAACGCTGATAAAGATAGAAACATCACACATCTGCCACTACGTCAAGCCGCTTACCAGTGGCAGATGCCGCCCTCACTGTCGTCTGCTGTCCATGTCCCGCAAAGACCAACAACCTCCAAGTGACCATCGGGCTGCTCGCCGACTTTACTCAACGCCGCGAATCCAGCATCCGCGGGGCCGTTGCTGAGCAGTCGTCGCGCCCATGCATCAATGGCGGGCTCGCCCGTTTCATCTCGGGCCTGCTTCAGAAATGGAATGAGGGCCGTGCCGCCGGTACCACGGAGTTTCTTGTTATCGGACGGAACAGCAGTCGCGAGGTTGGTTGTGGCGGGTTGTTGGCCTGAGCCAGCAGACTGTGAGGCCCGCCGAGCGCCACGAGACTGGATAATGATATACCGAGAGACGATCTGGATGTGTTTGTCACGCATGGCACGTAGCATCGACAGACAGGCATCGTAGGCAAGACACAGTGCCGCGTCTCCGCGCCGAGCCTCGACAAAGGGGCGGATGTTTGAAATAGAATCGATATCCTCGAGGAATCGTCGGTGAGAGCCAGGCATGTAGGCGCGCATCTCATGAATGAACCCATGTCGTGACTTGGGACCGTCCTCTGTGGCAGGGGAGGCAGCCTGGTCTTTGCGCGTGACGCCGGTTGGTCGGTGCTCAACGCCTAGGACGATGTCGAAGAATTGGATCAACGAGCTCTGGGCATTACTGCCCCCGCCGTACTGGCGGTACTCGGTAGTGTTGTGGCCATCATCGTATAAGAGGCCCTTGGGTAGTCCGGCATCGGCCATATTTTTGCTCCCTGCCAGGTAGGGGCGAATTCGATTGTAGAAGACGTAGGGGTCACAGTTGTCATACATACGCTGCAGGAGTGCCGTGACATCGTCTAGGATTTCGGCCAGCCGCTGAAGGCACTCGGTGACGACTCGGGCTTTGCCTACACGCGCGGCGGTGATTGCCTGCAGCATGAGGGGAAGTGAGGGGGCCCCGCGGGCCTCGATGGCCACGGAGACCAGATAGAACCATTGCTCATCCAGTGAGCCTGTGAAGGTCTGCAGACATGCCAGGTTGTCTAGGTCGTCGGCCGGCTCGTCTGGGAAGATTGGTTTATAGTTCCAGAGACATACTCCGGCGTAGGTTGCTACCGGGGGGACTTCCAGCCGGTCACAGACCTTGAATAAGGGCACCGTTAACTGTGGAGGGATTCGCTGAGGAGGGGATGGTCAGTCTATATGCATTGTCGCTCGCAGTCTCGTGCCGAAGGGGCCAGCTTCACATACCTCGGCTGGGCGATCACCACCCCAGACATAGCCATGCAGCATGAACACCAATACGACGTAAGCCCGACGCCACTCGGCATCTGTCTGCAGGTGATCTGTCGATAGGATCGGTAGATGATCAATGATTCCTCGAATCCGTTTACTCAACAAAAGAGGCTGCAAATTCGCAGTAATTGCCTCCCATTTGGCATAGTATTGGTCCGGCAGTGATTCCAGTGGCGGCTCGGGGGAGAGAAAACCATGCTCTGGAGAGATGCCATAGTCTGCCAGAGAAGGGACCGGTGGTAACATATTGGCGATCAGATAACGAGGGAAGAGAGAAAAGAGACCAAGAAACAAGAGACGACAAGACAGGGTAAGGCCGCACGTGTGCTCTTTCAGGGCCGTTGTACCACAGCAGGAGGCGTCTCGTCCATCCGGATCTCAGTCCCGTAGATCCCCGGGTGCCGGGGGTTCGAGAGATTTAGGCAGGACTAGGCACGTCTGTCCGGGTGTTACGGAGGCAGTCGCGGTCGAGAAACAGTGGGCAGACGCTGTGTCCAGGGCCAGAGCAGGTGGTCTCGTGAAATACCAGGTACAAGGGTCGGGAGGGGGGAGGATGGGAGGGACAGATTGAGTGGCGTTCCAGAAGACCCCGTTTGGCTCTCCGAAAGGTTAATGATTAATGGTTGACCGGCTGTGAACGGGAGCGGCACCAGAGGGAAAGGGAGCGGTAGACTTTCAGTCGGACAATGTCCCCGATCTCAAGAGGAAATGGCAATGGTTTTAAAAGGTCAAGCAAGAGAGGTTCTCATTGACTACGGGAATGCGGAGGAGTGCGGCTTTGGGTCTGCACAGAGTTTTCCCCTTCTGGACCGGCGGGATAATTGCCCGCAAGAGCACGTAATAAGCCATCGTGAGGAGGCATTTCTAAGCACGGAGGAAACCCGGTCAAACCAGATCCGACCAGCGCCCTGAACTCGTGTCTGGAGCGTGGATTTGCCTGGGTTTCGGGCTGATCATGGGCTGATCCTAGGTCCTGGGCCCGTCCGGGTCCGATATAGGATGGGGGGGGGTGTTGGATCTTTAGAGGGCCCCAGGTCAAGTTTCCCAGGCGGAAAACAAGAAGGACCCAGGGAGCACACGAGAGCATCTAGGTTCATTTTAAAGGAGTTTATATCGGCCGGGCGGATTCCCAGGGAACGGGCCCCGGCTAAGCCTGCAGGCGGCGGGTGACCAAATTAGATTGGGTGACGGCGAGATGGGGTCCTCCGCTAAGCCCGCTAGGTTGAGTGCTAGAGAATGAACCGGAGGCCCGGTGATCGCAGGCCAGCGTGGGCGACCGAGTGCGTTCTCCGATGGCCGGTCGCTAAGCGAGTCCTTAGCTCGTTCGCCTTCACCTACGCTACCCCAAAAGGTCCGCGGTGAGTCGGACGGAGGCCGATCCTGGGGTTTCCAGTGCCAACGTCCAACGATGACTAACGATGAACGTCTATACTCTCTATACCTCTCGATCTCAGGGCAGCTCATACAAGGATTGCTTCTGTAACTAGTATGTCGTATTTTCTACCCCGTGAATATGAGATATACTATCTGAGTGGGTAACTACCGGGCCTGGCTTAGCCTTGCCTCTTTCATTCCGCCCGCTAAATATCTTGTTTATGCGAGCCAGGTGGATGCATAAAACCCGAACTTCCCGGATGTCTGGCAACTGCTGGCTGTTCGGTTTCTTTCTTCGTAGCTCCCTGCCCGTTTGGTTGGTGCGTTACCGAGGGCGTAGACCGGGGAAGACCGGAGGACCTCTCTGAGCAGATTGATTCCGTGGCGGATGTATCACTCCCCTTGATACATTCCTCATGAGACCTCCATCAAAGACAAAGGCTATATTCCTAGATACCTGATGCTCGGTCTGTGGCCAGGGATCAGAATCAAGGACCGAGATGGAGGTACAAAAAGAATAAGAAAAAAAGAAGACAGTCGTCAGCACACGGGTTCGAACCGTGGAACACGAATGTATTAGATCCCTGAAGAAGATTCACTGGGAAATGGTCAGTCGAGGGGTAATGGGAACAGTCCAGAAAGGGTACTAACAGTCTAACCCCTTAACCACTCGGGCATACTGACATCACTATACTTTGTCGCGCGATTTAACGGCTCCTGGTGGTATGACTAGGTGCTGGATTGGGTAGTACTGTACATCGCAAACGCCGCTGTGGACCAGGATGCTTGCTACTGTTCGCCGAATGGCTCGACTTCATAATGGCCGGAATCACTAACACTCAGTCGATGCTAATATTTTACTCCTTTCTTCAATGGTAACCGAAGAAACTAAAATTCAACGCCAAAGGGAGGGAAAATGTGATTCATATGGAACGCATGGGATGTTAAAGGGGTGATTTACTAAAAAAGATGATCGGAGTATTTGCATTCTGTACAAGAGAGTTGGTGTTACATCAATAAATTCAACGCCATTCCCGGGGAGAATTGTTTTTTGGTATTCTCAAGCGAAGGTATTAATGCCAGGTCGGGAATAATGCAGACGAAGGAAACAGAGCGAGACAGGCGAGCCTAGTGCTGGCTCCACTCGATCGTGTTGAGGTCGATACCCTCCTGCACCAACTCCCAGAGCGGGCTCAGCTCACGCAGGAAGTGCACCCGTTCCTGAACGGCCTTGAGCACGTAGTCAATCTCGGCATCCGAGGTGAATCGGCCGATGCCGAAACGAATACTGCTGTGGGCGCTCTCGTCGCTGCTGCCTAAGGCACGCAGAACGTAGGAAGGCTCCAGGGAGGCAGAGGTGCAGGCACTGCCAGAGGACAGGGCAATATCCTTCAGTGCCATCAGGAGGGACTCGCCCTCAACGTAAGCGAACGAAATGTTCACGCAACCGGGGTAGTGGTGGTCGGGGTCACCGTTCAGGGTGGTGTGCTCCATGGCCAAGAGGCCATCAGTCAGGCGCTTTGAAAGCCGGTCGATGTGCTTGCGGTCATACTAAAGATGGCAAAGAAAGTCAGTAGGTGTCTTCGGCTGGAAGCTGCAAGATAATCCATGCGTCACGGAGTTAAGTAGACGGCTATTTCTCATTACCCCTGCAGATATCGATGTCATGGGCCTTGGGCATCATTTCCTCTCAGGAATGAAGCTACCGCTCAAGGTCGATCTTTCGATTTTACGCAGTGTATAATCATGAAGGAAATTGCTTAAGAAGGGGGAAGGGATGCTTACCGCCATATCCTGGGCGGCGAGGCGGCACGCCTCACCAAATCCGACAATCAGATGCGGGGCCAGGGTTCCACTGCGCAGACCACGCTCCTGGCCACCGCCAGAGATAATGGGCTCCAGGCGGACACGAGGACGACGGCGCACATAGCAGGCGCCGATACCCTTGGGGCCATAGAGCTTGTGGCTGGAGATTGACATCAGGTCGATGTTCAGCTTGTTGACATCCAGAGGAATCTTTCCAACTGCCTGAGCACCGTCGGTATGGAAGAAGACCTTCTTGGATCGACAGAGCTTGCCAATCTTCTCCATGGGCTGGATCACACCAATCTCATTGTTCACGGCCATGATACTGACAATGGCAGTCTCCGGGCGCATGGCAGCCTCGAGATCCTCCATGCGAATCAGACCGTTGCTTTGGACGGGAAGGTAGGTCACCTCAAAGCCCTCGTCCTGCAAATGACGGCAGCTGTCAAGGACACACTTGTGTTCGGTCTGGGTTGTGATGATGTGCTTCTTCTTGCCTGAGCGTCCAAAGAAACGTGCCACGCCCTTCAGACTCATATTGTTGCTCTCGGTTGCACCGCTTGTGAAGATAATCTCCTTAGGGTCGGCACCAATCAATTTAGCGAGATGTTCACGGGCTTCCTCGACGGCCTTCTCCGACTCCCAACCGTAGGCGTGCGTGCGCGAGTGTGGGTTACCGTAGATACCGGTCAGATACGGAAGCATGGCGTCCAAAACACGAGGGTCGAGCGGGGTGGTGGCCTGCATATCGAGGTAGATCGGTCGGGTTCCCTGGTCCATTACGGTGGCTTGCTTCAGGATACCAGCGGACGGGCTCATCGCAGCGTCCGCGGAGGTAGTCGTACCGGGCAGCTTCACATTCTGGGGAGCGACACCGGCCTGCTTCATGAAGGATTTCTGCTCTTCCTTGATGGCGGTTTCCACGTTGACCTGCGCATGGCCGGCCTTCGTTTCGGTGACATAAGATCGGGCAGGGCGCACGCCAGTGGCAAGGGCTCGGTGGGGGGCAGTCCAGGTACCGTAGGCGGACAAACGCCGAGAGCAGGCACGGGAGGCCTGTCTCCAAGCAGCAGGAGTAGCAGCAGGCATCATGAGATAGGAAGATGCAATGAACTGCTGATGGGGAGGGATGGAAGGAGGAGAAAGCCAGTCGCGGGCGGTGACATTTTCCGATAAACTCGGGAATTTCCCGTTTGAGGTCATTCGGAGTCCGATTTCTCCGGCGGTCAGCCTAAGGCCGAAATCTGGGGGGGGGGGGATCCCGTGATTTTTTGATTCTCAGTCACGAAATATAAGGGGAACTGCTTTTCTCACTCGACAGTCGATCGCCAATCCTAGACTCTATTCAAACCGTTTGTCCGATATATGATTGCTGCCTCGTCTTTGCATTATAATTACGCTAAATTTTCTAGCTGTTGCATCTGGGTTTGCCAACAGCGATAAACCAACAATGATCGCAGGTTCCGCAGAAGTGGACCTATACGACCCAGAATTATTAATGCTGTTGGAAGTTACTTTGGTAGCTGAATAACTAAATAAATATAACTGAAATTTCCAACAAGTTTGCAATAAATCCTCCGTTTGACCTTCTGAATCAGGTACCAGGCCGAAGCCCCCGGGGTCACTTCGGGCACTCATTCGGTAGGGCTGGAGTATCCGGTATGCTCCTCGGGTGATTGACTGATGGCCCACCGGAGCAACCCTCCGGGAATCCTGGTGCCTACCCAAAAAGTAAGATGTAAGACTGTGGCTATGCGCCACGATGGGGCGAATGCACCGTCGACGTAGTAGAAAAAGGAATAAGGCAGCGGATGAACCATCGTGACGATCGGGTACAGCCACAGCCCTGGTCGCATCGTGTGGGCGAGTCTTATGTCATAGTTGAAGCGAGGAAACTTGGGAACGGAAAGCCCGAACACCCCGCCTTGGCACTTCCTCCTCTTCAGCACCTCTCTCTCTTTCACAATCCTCTGGATTCAGCGTCGAGATGAGTTTCAAGGGCTTTCAGAAGAGCATCGTGCGCGCCCCGCAGCAGTTTAAGGTCAAATTCAACATTGGCGAGCACACCAAAGATGCCGTCTATAGTGATGCCGAACGCCGCTTCCAGGAGCTCGAGAAGGAGACCAAGAAGCTGCACGACGAGTCCAAGAAATACTTCGATGCTATTAACGGTACGTACTGTCCACAGCGAAAGCTCCCATGGCTGGGGAGGTTCCCACGGTCTCGGTAGGCCCACGAGAGAGGAAAAATTGCTGACCACGGCCTCCAGGCATGTTGAACCACCAGATTGAATTCTCCAAAGCCATCGCCGAACTCTACAAACCCATTTCCGGCCGTGCCTCTGATCCCAACTCCTACCAATTCGAAGGAAACCCCGAGGGCATCCAGGCCTGTGAGGACTACGAAGTAATTGTGCGGGAGCTGCAGGAGGCCTTGGCACCAGAGCTGGATATGATCGAAAGCCGTGTGATTAGCCCTGCCGATCAGCTGCTGGAGGTCATCAAGGTGATTCGCAAGGTTGCTGTCAAACGCGACCACAAGAAGTTGGATTACGACCGTCATCGTGCCTCCCTGAAGAAGTTGCAGGACAAGAAGGACAAATCCCTCAAAGACGAGAAGGCCCTCTACAAGGCTGAGAATGATGTCGAGCAAGCCACCCAGGAGTTTAACTACTACAACGATCTCTTGAAGGAGGAGTTGCCCAAGCTATTTACCCTGGAGGCCGAGTTCATTCGCCCGCTGTTCCAGTCCTTCTACTATATGCAACTCAATGTCTTCTACACTCTACACGAAAAGATGCAAGGCATGAATATCAGTTATTTTAACTTGGCCCTCGACGTCGAAGAGGCCTTTGAACAGAAACGAGGCGACGTAAAAGAGCGTGCCGAGGAGCTAGTCATTGTTCACTTCAAGACAAAAGGGCTGGGTCGCAGCAACTCCAAGCTGGGCAAGTTATCGGACAGCAAGAGCCCTGTCGGTCGTGGACGGGCCACCTCAACCGCTGATGAGAACCCACCTCCCCCTTATTCCAGTGCTGGTATCAGTCCAAGCCCAACCGGAAGCCTCTCTGCCGCCGCCAAGAGCAAACCGGCTCCCCCTCCCCCCACGGGCCAAACCCGCCCATCTCAGCAAGCAAGTCGAAATGGTCACCGCTCTTTATGACTATGAGGCACAGGCTCATGGTGACCTCGGATTCTCTGCTGGTGATCGAATTGAAATCATTCACCGAACTGACAACCAGAATGAGTGGTGGACTGGGCGGGTCGATGGCCGAGAAGGCCAATTTCCTGGTAAGAGAGAATCATTCTATCTCTTTCAAACGTCTCCATACCTTTCACTAACGATTTGTGTTTTCTTACTTTTTAGCCAACTACGTGCAGCTAACTTAGTATGGGGGGTCATCGAATCCTGATGACTACCTGTTTTCATGTCCTTTTCACTTTTTTTTCTGCTCTGGCGCATCTTGGTTCTATCACATAGAGCGTTCCGTGTGTAAATATTTTCTTGTTCTTTAATTTTCTTCTACTAGCTCAGCCCTATGGAAATGGTAACATCGAGCCGATGCTACCTTGGACCCGGCGATCATGCTGGGGGTGAGACCACTCCAATCCGACAATAATAACATAGCTTTGTCCTAACCGGCCGGCGCTGTTTTGCATCAACTTTTTCTGTTAGTCATGTCCAATCTCATTAAACTTACAAACGCTCGCCTCGCAATCGGTGACAACCTTGTTCCTGGAGCCTTATGGGTTGATCCTGTTTTAGGGGTCTTCGTCTCCCCGCCAAACAACCCCGCTCCATCGATGTCAACTATTGATCTCCAGAACCGCATCGTGGCACCAGGGTTCTTGGATCTGCAGATAAATGGAGCCTATGGTTTTGATTTCTCAGAAGATACCACCGCTTACAATGCTGGCGAGTCTTATGACGAGCGGCTTCGTGAAGTCCGGCGGAAGCTGATCGCCACGGGGACGACGAGCTTCTTGCCTACAATGACAAGTCAGCTTCCAGACCGATATCACCAGGTGAGTGCTGCATGCTCAACCAAAGGCAGATGCAGTTTCCATGCTCTAATGATAATCTCAGAACTTGCCGTTCCTTGGACCTTCGAGGTCTCGCGATCCTTTCGACGGTACTGAATCGCTCGGTGCGCATTGTGAAGGCCCTTTTTTTGCCAATAACCGCATGGGTGTTCATCTACCAGACGCCATACTTGCGACTGGATCTACCAGCGAGCCAGAGAAAGTTTTTGAGACGTACGGAGCCGTCAACCTTATCAAGTTAGAAGGCATTTCATCCAAGAAACAATGTGGCTCGATTCCATCACATGTCCGAATGATCACCCTCGCCCCCGAAAGACCAGGTGCCCTGGATACGATCAGAAAGCTCAGCACCCAAGGAATCACCATGAGCATTGGCCATATGGCAGCCAGCTACGCGCAAAGTCAAAGCGGGATTGATGCGGGAGCGACCATGATTACCCATCTGTATAATCAGATGAACGGACACCATCACCGGGAACCTGGGCCATTGGGCTTATTAAGTGGAGTATTAGATATCAACCCGAGGAACGAAACAAAGATATTGGATGTGGACTGTACGACAGGGTCGAATAGCCGCCCCTATTTCGGAATCATTGCTGATGGGAGTCACGTTCACCCGGCCAGTGTGCGGCTAGCACATTCCATGCATCCGGACGGCCTTGTTCTTGTAACCGATGCTTTGCTTCTTCTGGGAGGAGAAGACGGGACTATTGATTGGCTAACTCGGCGCCTCACAAAGAAGGGAGTATCGGTGAAGCTCGAAGGCACAGACATCATTGCAGGAAGGTTAGTCGCTTTGCTGCTCTCTGGTTCTTGTGTAATTTGGATTCTCATAATCGCCATTCTAGCTGTGTGACTTTATTGCAGTGCCTTAATAATTTCCGTCGATGGACAGGTGTTTCTATCCCTGTTGCTCTTCAAGCGATCACTTCGCGCCCGGCTGCGGTTCTCGGGCTGGAGAGCGTTAAAGGAACATTACAAGAGGGCGCCGATGCTGACTTTGTGGTCTTGGATGAGAAAAATGTGTCGGGGCAGTCGACAACGGAGATAGCAGTAGATCAAGTATGGAAATTTGGGGTGAAGGTAATTGACTCAAGCAGTGATAAGACAGGTTGAAACGATCAAACACGCAAAAAGGGTTTGTTGGCCGAAAATGTAGTGCACAAAACGAAGACCACACTAAACTGGCCACAATCAATTCTGCTAAGCCAGGGCGTCAAGGACCTAGCTGTGGAATTGCATTACGGTCGCAGGCCTCCAGAGGATCATCCTCATAAATAAAATCCCAACTTTGAGTGAGATGAAGGCGTGAGAAATAGAACAATGGTCCCAAGTAATGTGCTTTGTCACGTTGTTTAGTTAGTCAAGGAAATTTGGCATTCTTCTCTTTCAGTACCATGTTGGCTAGCAAATCTAGTGAGCAAAAATGACCATATTGTCGTGGCGATTGCTATTAGACAGCGACTCCGGAGGGGCTTTTGACACGACTGGGAAAGGCACGCCTGCCGATAGATAGTGAAGTCCATCCGATTCTTGACGACGGATGATGTAAATAAAGGTTGAGGGCAAGACAAGCTATAGAGGCTATATTTAAAATAAATAAATAAAAAATATAGTCAGAAAAGTAACACAATCAATCCAGCATACCTTATCTATGTATGTGGATGGAGTTGAGCAACTAAAAAAGAATCGACAACTCCAGGGTTCGAACCTGGGCTCCCTAGGGAACTTGATATCAAGAAAGAGGACATTCAAGTCAAGCGCGTTAGACCACTCCGCCAAGTTGCCTGTGATGTAAGGGTCAGCATTTTCTTGTAATAACTACAATCTGTAGGTAATCCAAACCGACAGTCTGAGTATTAAAAACAATTGACAACTTGAATTTTCGATCTTGGTCTCCAAAGAGACGTAATTTGCAGATCTGTGGGTAGGGCGGTCTATAAAGGTGAACACAATTAAGAGAATCAAGTGTTTTACAAATAGTGTTGAATTTGTTTTTGCTAGTACATCAAATAAGAAGAGATAAAAAAGGCACCTTTCTACGGGGTAGGATGAGAGTCTTTGGAGGACGTAAAATTATGAAATAATCATGGCAAAGGAGAGCTAATTGGAGCAGTTACATCTTTTAGAATTACACTTCGCTGCCGAGTGATTCAGAAATTCCATTGCCACCAAATATTACAGAAAGGATGCAACACTTCAGTCTTAGAATGAATAGTATTAAATTCTGAATTTTAAAATTAAAGAAACTTGAAGTGGAAGAAGATAGAAATACAAAGTGTGGCCTTGTGTCATGGTGTCATACCCATATGCAGCAAGGGATCTCCTTTGAGCGAAAGAACAAAGGAACAAGGCCACCAGATCGCGCTTGACCGGCGATTCCGCCCTCCAGCAATACTATGGACGCATTGGTCTTTGTTCAATATCACGCCTCTTCTCAAACAATCGAGCTCTTTTGCTGGGTTCTATCGATGGCAATGTCATACTCGACTGCGATCGCGAGTGGAGTCTCGGATTCTTGAGATTGCTTGCTGAAGGATCTCATGAGGTGATCGGAATAGCACAAGGTCTGGGCGGCTGCACTATTGGTCAACCTCTTTGTCGATGTGGACGCTTGCTTCTCTGACATGGTATTGTTGAGTGTGGTACCAGTGATACCAACCGCAAGGCTTTGCCATAGATTACGACGGCGAGGGGATGGTGCATCACTGTCACGCCGGCGCTGATCCAGATTGGCACTAGCCCAGATGGACGACAGTGGCAATGAAATGGCGACCAGGGTCAGAAGGTTGGAATACAGCTCTGGAACAACCACAAAGTACTGGGTAATGGAGAAGACGGCCGGAATTACCATAGTTTGACATCCACAAACAAAAATGATCTTCATGGGGCCGAACTCACGCACTCCCAGTTGGCTTCGTTGACGCAGCGCAAAGCCTAGCTTGGCGACAAACACGGCACAGAAGAAACAAACGGCGACAGTATTAACAATGTTGCAGGCACTTTCCAGCCACCAGATTGAATCCATGTATGACAATTCCATGATCGCAATACAATTCTTCACCATCCAGGCGAGACGGAAAGCAATGGCGACCAAGGCTACTGTGACTGAGAGGGTCAGGAGCGGCCAACGATAGCGGCGACGAATTGTGGCGCAGATGACCTGGACCTGCACAACCAGCGATGCTTGGACGCAGATGACAACTAGGGACTGGAAGACCGCACCGGCGATCGAGATTCCATATGCACTGCGCCCCACCTCGGAGTAGTCCATCGAAAAGTATGGATAGAAGTGCTCAAACCCGGTCGAGAAATGAATGACTTGGAAAAGCAGGCGGATGATGTTGAAGAATAGAGCCGAGCTATTCAGGAGGAAGACGGATGAGGTGCGTTTCTCGAACCGAGTGAGGAGGAGCAGCATCACAAAAAGCAGAATGGATGCCCCGAGCTGGGTCCCGTAATTGATGCAAATTCGAACATTGTACTGGATAAAGACATCCACGTCCTTGGTCCCGACTTGGAAAATGGTCCCGTCCGGGTAACTTAAGTTAAAGATCTGAGTGAAAGGGTCAAAGCCCGGCAGTCGGTCGGGGTGCTTCTGCGTGTACGTTTCAAAGGTTGCCACAGACGACATCCCGGAGAACGGAAATCGTGAAAACGATGATCTGACCATTGATGAAGCTCGAAAGAGGGGGAAAAGGTTGCAGAGTAGAGAAGCAATTTATACCACCCCGAAGAGTTTGGATTCCAAATTATCTGTATAAGAAGGCCAGATCGTGCTCCATACTGGGAGCCTGAGATTTTGGAAATGTCATGAAGCGTAGGCCGCAACAGGACACTTCGGGCTGTCTTTTCTGTGACATGGCGTAGGAGCCGAAACAAACAATAGCAAGAGGAGGTGTGCACTTGGTGAGTTGGAAGCGGTTCTATTTGGAGGTGAGAAGCTCAAGTGGAGAAGAACAATACTAAGCGGGCTGAATAACAATATCAACTTCAGACAAAGAAAGACACTCGCCCTCAGGCTGCACCACCATGGTAGTCATTTGCCTGGGCGATCGAGTCGTCTAGGCTCTGATATGACGACGAGACTCTGCGACAGCCTCTCATTCCTCGTGTTGGAGAGACTTTGAGGGAAATGGTGGGACTTCGTTCTCCTTTCTTTTCGGTGCTCTAGCGTGGTGCTGGTGCCCGCAGGTGAGGGTGTAGGAGTGTTATTTGCCTCCCCTTGGATGAAGTTGCAAGATTCAGATGGTCTGGTCCATTGTAGTTCATCAGAACTAGAGCCAAGATAGGGCTTTACGCTTCGTGCTGAAAATCAATTCTCATCTCATTCGGTCAAAACATTCTCAACATTCCTCAGAAGCACCCAGGATCTCTGGTTCCCTGCCGAAATTTGAAGGTCCTTGGCATCTCGTTTGGCACTATTTTTTTTCTATTTTTTCTACCTGCCATTGAAATCCCTTGCTGGATGATAGTATGAAAAGTTGAAATGAACGCGACAGACGCGCATGGTTTGTCGAAACTAGAAAGTTGCCAAGTCGACGAGTTTTGCCATATCGATCAGGAGTATGTCAGAAATGTATGCCTGAGGCACTCTGAGGCACTCCACCGAGTCATGCGAGCGTACAGAAGCGGAGAGGAGAGCTTAACCTGCGCAGCTACCATCTAGATTATCAGATCAAGCAATGTTTTTTCAGGTGCTCTGTCGAAATATTCTACGATCAACAATCTTGCAACTGTTGCGGGGTTATTCCAATAGCCCTCTGTACGAAAAGCGGAGGATGGCGGGCCGGTTGACCTGTGGCTCGGAGGCGAATTAAGCCGGTTATTCGTTGCTCGGAGACTTTCAATTCGCGGTGCTCGTGGCTTCCATTCGTGTGTGGCAATTTTAAGGTGCTGACAAATATAGGTTATTGCTCCCTGTTGTAGATACGTGACATGGATTGTACAATTGCACAATTACACTCCTTGTACTGCACGAATAGGACATCGAGCCGAGAAGAACGGAATATATTTTCAGCTCCGACCCACGGTCTCGTTATTCCAGGGGCACAGTCTTGGAAATCCACGATGGCTTCATAGTTGCTGGCGGAGACTTTCAGCGGGTCAACTTCACCGTGCCGAAAACTCTTTCCGAGCTTAGAAATCCAATTGGAGAACAGATGAAGGTTGTTGGAAGATATAAAGTCGCGATGTAAATCAAGAGATTTTTACTTGACCCTCAATTAAACTCGAGTCAAATTCCTTTGATTCGTTCAATACAACTTCAATAGTCTTCATCCCACTCGTTATTGAGCGCCGTCTGCATTGGGTCCCTTCAAACCATTCTTTCCATCTTGGCTTGCATCAATTAAGCATATTTTATTTAACTATTCAACACCATGACTTGGCCCGATGTCGCCACCAAAGCCGCGGAGGGCATCTCCTACTACACCCCGGCACAAACGCCCCCAGCCGGAACTGCTCGCAACCCGCAGACTAGCGGCAAGCCCATTCCCAAGCTCTTTCAGCCCCTGACTATTCGGGGGACCACTTTCCAAAACCGCCTCGGAGTAAGTGTCAATTGTCTCGTCTCTGTTTCGTATTCATGTCCGCTTCCGAAACCTAGGCTGACCATAATTAAACTATCCATAGGTGGCGCCCATGTGCCAGTATAGTGCCGAAGATGGTCATATGACTGCGTGGCACATTGCTCACTACGGTGGCATCGCCCAGCGGGGCCCTGGTATGACCATCATCGAGGCCACCGGTGTCGTGCCCGAAGGCCGCATCACTCCTGCCTGCGTCGGTCTCTGGAAGGACTCCCAGATCGCCCCGCTCAAGCAGGTGATCGAGTTCGCCCACAGCCAGGGCCAAAAGATCGGTATCCAATTAGCTCATGCGGGCCGCAAGGCGTCGACAGTTCCCCCGTGGCTGGGCGGCGTCACGGCCACGAACGCCGTGGGTGGCTGGACTGACAATGTGAAGGCCCCTAGTGCAATTCCCTTTGCCGAGGGAGATATTATTCCTAAGGCCATGACCCAAGACGATATCCAGGAAGTGAAGGATGCCTGGGTTGCGGCTACTAAGCGTGCCCTGGCCGCCGGTGTGGACTTTATCGAAATCCACAACGCGCACGGATATCTGCTGTCGTCATTCTTGAGCCCTTCATCCAACCAGCGAACCGACCAGTACGGTGGCAGCTTTGAGAATCGCATTCGCCTGCCTCTGGAGATTGCTCAGCTTACTCGTGACACTGTCGGACCTAATGTTCCCGTCTTCCTGCGCGTCTCTGCTACCGACTGGCTCGAGAACAGCCTGCCCAATGAGAAGGGCTGGAAGCTAGAGGATACGATCGAGTTCGCTAAAGCCTTGGCGGACCAGGGTGCCGTCGACCTCATTGATATTAGTACCGGTGGTGTTCATGCTGCGCAAAAGGTGACCTCTGGTGTGGGTTTCCAGGTCCCCTTTGCCACGGCTGTTAAGCAGGCCGTTGGTGAGAAGCTCCTTGTTTCGGCTGTGGGCACCATCAACAGCGGTGTACTGGCTGAGAAGATTATGAACGAGGACGATATGGACGTCATCCTTGTTGGCCGTGCCTTCCAGCGTGATAGCGGCCTGGCCTGGGCCTTTGCCAAGGACTTGGACGTTGAAATCGCTATGGCCGCCCAGATTCGTTGGGGCTTCACAAGCTTCCGCAATGCCTCGGAATATATCCAGCCCAATTCTATGAAGGCGTCCATTTTTGACTAAAAAGTTGCGTGATTCGCATAAATTTTTACCAAGCTTCATGATACCATAGAACGAATGCATGATAGACAAATACTACGATATATCATATCAAACCAAACCCCTGACAATGCACCCCGAATGTTCTTGTATGCCTGACCTCCATTTTTAGACTGAATGGAATCAAACAACCTTAGAGAATTGGTGCCAATCAACGTCCTACTCTAAGAATTAGACTGTGAAGCAGGTAATCATGCCAAGTATGAGACTGATCCGCCATACCCGCTCAAAGCAAGCGGTCGAGAGATATCTGCCGGCCATCCACCCCACGGAATGCGAGAGGCCTCCGATCCATGTTTCGAGCTCTGAAGGCATTTACTATAGACTAGCCAAGAAGACACGGGGTAACATATACAAGAGTTGCTATACTTTATTATGCTGAGCCTCCAAGGAAAATTTGTTCTTATCACTGGTCTCGGCCAAACAAGCGACGAGAGATGGGGATTGGCGCCGCAATCACACCGCTTTTCGCTCGTCAAGGAGCTTTCATTTTGGAGAAAATTGATCTCTCGTTTCATCTGAGAAAACAAAGAAACGTATCAGAGAGGAGAACGAAGCTTGCAATGTTATCGAGACGGACGTTACCAGCTCTGATTCTGTCAAGGCTCTCGTGGATCAGTGCATCCAAAAATATGATCGCATAGATATTTTGGTCAACATTGTTGGCCTGTCAGAGCCTGGCTGCCCTACCACGATGTCTGAAGCAGTTTGGTATACCCAAGTCGATATCAATTGAATAGCTTCTATCTTCTGTGCCATCATGTCCTTCCAATCATGGAAAATCCAGGCTCCGGCGTGTTGGTCAATGTTGTGAGTATCGCGGGAATGCGGTGTATTGGAAAGCCCCAAGTAGCCTATTCAGCAACAAATGCGGCCATCATGCAGTTCACCAAAGTAACAGCAGTCCTTTATGCGGAAAGGAGCATTCGGCTCAATACTGTGGTCCCGGGGCTGATATATACTCCATACACCAAAGATCTAGCGAAGCGCCATGCCCAAAGCAGTGATGAAGCGGCGTAAATGCAAACTCGAAACACACAGGTTCCCATGAGGAGCTGCACTTATGTTAGCATCAGATGAAACTTCTTATATAACGAGGTAGAAAATTGTGGTAGGTGGAGGCATAACCGCCTCAACAGGTCGTCTCTGAGTTATTAATGGATTCGACTCTTTAAATGATCAATTGTATCTTGGTAGCTCTGAGGACACTCGGAGGGTGTTGAATAGATTTCCCTGTCCCCATTTGCCTATTTCCAATGCCATGGAGTGGAAATCGTTTTGAAATCTGGCAGAGGCCATTAGGGATTATTGGAATCAAGGTCGGCTATATTTCAGCTTCGTGTATATATATATCGCGCGGTAGAGCTACGCCTACAGGCAACCTCAATAACAATTTGAGTTCAAGTTCCGAATTTCTAGAATCAGAGATAGGCCACAAGAACCAAAGAGGGATATTTCCCCTCTAGAGAATCTTTATAGACCAATGAGGTTGTGACGATGTGTTGGTGCGGTTGATGTGGTACAGCAGAACAGCCCACTTGAGTCTTCCGACGCTGCCAAGAACGTTGCGGGGAAGCCAGCGTGGGTGCGGAGGACCAACCCTGGGACTCAACCCTTCCACCTCAACCTCTCCATCATCATGGCGGTCCCCCAGAGGACGCTGAACTGGCTGTACTCAGTACTAACCAAGGTAAGCTCATTCGCTGAAAGAAGAAAACGGGATCTAACTCTCCGTGCAGGACCACCACGACCCCAAACAGACCTACCACGATCCCAACCGTACCTACCACGACGTTGCCAACGGGCTGGCTCAATACCCCTCACTCTCTCCTCGCACAGATGTATACAGTAGGTGGAATAAATCAATGCTGGGCCAAATAATACTCCTAACACTTTCATTCTCCCAGCCTACGAGAATGGGTTCTCAGCTCTCCTCCTCCACCTTGTGGGCACGCTGCCTGTTGCCTTCCGGGGCACGACCTACCGATTTCCAATCGCGCTTTGGATACCAAATACCTACCCTCGCGAACCTCCGATCGTATATGTGACTCCTACCCAAGATATGGCTGTTCGCGTGGGCCAGCATGTTACGCTAGAGGGGCGGGTGTACCATCATTATCTGGCTCACTGGGCCGAGGCATGGGATGTCAGTTGCGCCCACCATTGTTGAAGTAAAATTGAAAGGCAAAGCTGACAGAACTGTCCATGAAACACAGAGATCAACCATTTCTGATCTTCTCTCCGTTCTCCGAGAGATATTCGCGAAAGAACCCCCGGTTCGATACCGACAACAGATGCCACCTCAGCCTCAACCACAAGAGACCCAGACACCTCCACCATTGCCGCCTCTTCCGCCTGGCATGAGGGCTTCAGTGAATCATTCTTCAAGTCCTGCCCATCCACAATCTCCTAATCCGCCAATACAAAGTCCCCCACAGCTCCCACCTAAAGTTAGTCCAGGCGCTGAACACACAGAACAGCAAACGCAGACCGCGGATCGATATCGATCTCCCCCACCACTACCTCCACACCCACCGAAAGAGAATAGACCTTCGCAAGTATCCATGCCGGCGAGTATGAACATTAGCACAGCAAACAGAGCATCCCAACCAGTTACTTCGGTTGACCCCCAAATACAGCAACACATGGGACCCCCTTGTCAGCTCATGCGCATCAGGGCCAGCAGAATATATATCACAGAAATGCTAGCGGACCAGCAAGTCCTAGATCATCTCAGCAAGTGTCACTTCCTCGCCAAGATGGCCCACTGCCTGGGCCTCAAGGGCTCCCGCAGCAACAACCGTACCGCCAGCCAGTGCCACCGTCTCAGCACCCGGGTTACCAACCTCAGCCCTCTCAACAACCCATAAGCGGGCCACCGTATCCTATACAATCTCCTCATCCATCGAGCTACCAAAGACCCCCCCCTGCTGCACCTGCCCCCAAGCAAGAGCCACCAGATCTCCTCACATCTCCTTTCGAGGTCGAGCTTCCCTCATTTACTCCCACCGGGCCTGCACCGCCAATCCCACCAAATCCCGAGAAAGACGCCCTGTTGCATGCAGTCTCGCAAGCCCTCACTGAGACACTCCACAGCCACGCCACGCAAACCGATACTGCCGCCCAATCCCTCGCCTCGCAGTCGTATTCCCTGCAAGCCGCGCTAGCTACCCTCCAAGGCGAACTGACAGCCCTCAACACCCTCCACACCACCCTCCAGTCCAACACTACCGTTTTGCAACAGTCCATCCACCGCGCCGACGCCACCATCGCTGACGCCCAAACCCGCACGTCTGCCCCATCCTCATCCACCACCTCCGCAGACCTGCCCTCCGGCCTGCCCCCTATAGACGACGTCCTCGTTGCCCCGACTGTCGTCGGCAAGCAGCTCTATGATCTGGTCGCCGAGGAGCAGGGTCTTCAGCACGCGTTGTACGCGCTGCAGGCTGCGTTGGTGCGTGGCGTGATTGGCGTCGATTCCTGGTCACGGCACACGCGCGGCCTCGCACGCGAGGCGTTCCTCAAGCGCGCGCTTATCCGCAAGATCGGGCGCGGTATGGGCCTGGAGGAGACTACTACCTGATGGAAATATCAGTGTAGGACGTAAGGATGGGAGGTTGAGGCCCAGGGAAAGGCTTTTTTGCTTTTGCGATGCGCGCGTCGGAGATACCCTCTTTTTTGACTTTAAATTTCTTGCATGTGATCAGTTCGAGATGTGAGGTGGAGGAAGTGCGCGATGCATAAATAAATATTTCAGTGTTTCATCATGTTGAGGTTTGCAGTTGATAAGTTTCGCGCGCATATATGTCAAACGTATTTCCACAAGCCCGAATAGGCATAGATTAGTTAAATGAAATCGCAAGGATTGCAGAGATCTGAGTGCTGGCCATGTCGATGATGTACGTGCGGCGCGATGATGAATAACGGTTTTTCTTGTCGATCAGAATATTACTAAAATGTCGGTATGAGCTATGACGTTCCGCTCTACGGTTCCCAGCAAGGGACACTGGTCGAAGTGATTGTTGTATATAGAAAACTTTAATTGACTGCTCCGCCTCCGCGAGTGCTTTTCTCGCTATACAGAGCACCCGGGGGAACACGAAACCGACGCCAATAGATATACCAAGTCTCGAGGAGTCATACGTACACAGAATGGAAAAAGGTGGAGAAAAAAGTGACAGGTGGGGAGATATTCCCATAAAATAAATGAAAAACAGGAATCAAAACAAAACAAGAGCAAGTGCGCCTGACGAACTCGCTCCTCATTTGACCTCATTGGCATCGGAGAACGGACTCTGCACACGCGCGGGCGGTACGCGGTCGCTGTGGCTGGAACTGCGCTGGTTGTCTGCCGAGGTGGAGTCTGAGCTGGGCTCGTCTTGGAAGGGGCTGGGGTTCTTAGGGATGGACACGGTGTTGACTGGAGTGGTCTTTGCGCTTGTTGAAATGACGGTGGTGGATGAGGGGTGAGTCTCGTCATCTTCTTCATCTGACGAGTTGCCGTCGAATGTAGATTTTTGATGGTCGAATTGTTGGCTAGTTTCTGTGGATTTTGCTGAAGTCGACTGTTCATCCGCCGACACCTCTTTGACAGACACATTTGTCTTGCCCTGACCGTCCTTCTTCTTCACTGAAACTCCACGGACCATCACTGGCTTGGCCATCACTGTACGGGCCACAATCGAGCTACCGCCCGGCTGCATAGCTTCCGCTCGGGCTAGTTGGGAGGAGGTGATGGCTGGGACGGCGGGGGCATCCTTGGGGGTGATCATGACTGGAACAGGCTGGTCCGGAGCGTTGTCACCGGAGCCGGGACCATTGTGAACGCTGACGATGTTGGCCCGAGAACGCTGGATCTGCTGTGCCGGGACGGCGCTGACAATCGCGTCATTGCGGTAGATGGTGGTCGCAACACTGCTCCGTAGGGTGGGCGAGATGCTCTGGTGGCCGGTCATGGTGGTCCAAGACGAGTCACGCAGATCACCCGGCATGAAGAAATGTTGGTCAGGGCTTGCACCCGGGAGAGGGGGTACAGGGGGCACCAGCGTTGCAGGAGTTTCCGGAGGGGAGCGGTTGGTGACACCAGGAATGTACGCAATCTGAATGACGTTGGAGGCACGGGTGAGGACGGTCGAGGCGATGGATTGGGTCGACTTGCGACTATCTCGGGTGGCGTTGAAGGCGCTATGATCTTTCTCCTCGGCTTGCTGATTGCGTCGTTTGCGAATAACAAACCACCAGATCAGGAAGAGGATGAGGGCAAGAGCAATTACACCTCCAACAACACCACCGGCGATGGCCCCCACATTGGTGCTGCTCTTGGGGGGTGAGCTGGAGCTGCTAGTGTTGGCGATACATTTGGTGGTCGAGCAGCTGTCACAGGTCTGGGCTGTCATGGTACATGAGTAGCCGGATGCGCAGGCTGGACATGTTGGGACGGATGTGCATGAGACGCAACTTCGCTTCTTGAGGAAGAGCGAACGGGAGGGAGAGAAGCCATCTACCGAGGAAACAGGAGTCAGCCAACGCCACGACCAAATCGGTCCATTAGATGAAGATGCATACCGATGTCTGAGAAAGGGGAGGTAGAGGTGGGATCCAGAATGGTGTCAAGAGACATGATGGGCGAGAAGGGATTCGAAGGGAGCGAGAGAGAAGACGATATCAACAAAGCGACCGGTCAACGGCGGCAAAGAATGTGTAGAACAAGTCGAGGCGACAAGGGAATCGATGTGAAAAACAGAAACAAAGGAGTGTAAGAGGCTCAGTCGGCGTCAAGTCGTGAGCAATTGAGCAAGAAAATCGCTAGATCATGAAAGTTGAGGGGAAGCGGAATGCGACCGGCAAGTAACGAGTGTGGTTTTGAAGTAGTCCGATCAGGGACCGTGGACAGGCATCGTCCAGTCGCCGAGAGTCGAGAGTCGAAGGTCAGAGAGCAGAGGAAGAAAAATCGACCGGTTCCAAGCTCCAACCCCGTTTGACTAGATCGAAGGGTCGAAGGCGACGGGAGACGTTGAAAAGATAATGGAGGAGAAGAGGAGAAGAGATGTTTCTCCTGGGAGGAATGAGGCACGGGAGGGGGGGGGGCCAGACAGTCACGGGAGGGGCCTAAGCACGACGTGGCCGGGGGATCCACTCCAACAAAGATCGAGAACACACAAAGATTGAGCAACGCGAATCACGGCCAGGTTCTCTACGGGTTCGACAGGTTCTATGAGGGTTCAACCCGTTCAGTCAGTCCAGTGGATTCATTTTATCTCTTCTGCGATCCAGGCGAGATCTTGATCGGACCCATGCCCCCCTCTCATGTTTCATCTGAACCGCCTCCTTTTCCCTTGCTGCGAGAACTGTCCGAGTACCTTGCATCGTGGAAATCCCCATCTTCTACAAGTCCGCCAGGCCTTTTGACTTGGTACCTGACAGAGACGTCCAACATCCAACATCTGACATTTGGACCCGGTACCTGAATAACAAACCCAGAGTGCTTGGCTGGTTCGAGCGGGTCATCAAGCCACCAAACCGCCCGACCAGACGAAAAGAGACACGGTCTGGACTCGGATCAATATCGGACCGGGACGGGGAAATTAGCTGCGCTCAGGAGGAGCCCAGGCCAATGGGATCGGGTATTGGATGCAATGCCGGAGCACCACCGTGAGAAACTCGTCTTAGGAAGTGAACAGGCATTGGATTCTGTGTTGATTGTCCTAGCAGAGTTACTGGCAGTCCAGCAAAGTAGCCTGGTCGAGATGAAATGACTAAACAAGGGCTCTATAAAGTTCGGAGGCAAATAGCGACCGACCAGCCAGGAAAAGGATTGAAGGACTGGTAGGATGGCCGACTACTACTGTACGACTGGATACGCTTGCAATTTTCAAATCCCAATCCAGGCCAGCCAGAGGTAATCATCCATTGCCGGGGCCATGTCAGATGTTTCCCAGCCGATGCGGTGACCGTTGAGTTCTGGATAAGCGCGGCTGGAAGATCGGTCTGGATCGATCGGGCACTTGCGACCTCAGTACCGTACCTTTGGTGGTCCTTCCAGGAGCAACTTAGTGATGGACGGAGGCCTCCGGACTCTGTTTTGTTAATTGTTCACAACAAGCAACCGTCCTTCATCGGCTGTCAACTGCAGACTGGCTGGTCCTCGTGTAGGGTCGGGCCAGGGTCGTATTGGTCTGCGGGAGATGAGGCCCCCCAACCTGAGACACGGGAGGCGCAAAAACCAGCCTTGGTGGCGATGGAGTTGTCCGTGCGACACGCTGATTAGTGCTCCTCATTCTAATTATTTTCCCGACCCTGGTGCAGGATCAGCAGTCTGCTGCCATTGCGTGATGCAAGGTTGTTCAAGGCCGTGGAGGTGGTTAGGCTGTTAGGTTGTTACGTGGGGTGACAGGGTGGCCGGACCCATCAAAGCATGAAGGATGAAAGGATGAAGCCACAATGAAGCAGGACAGGAAGGACTCAGCCCTGAAGTCAGCTGACCGCCGATCAAAGGAACAACGTGCTTGTTTTCATATTTTCCGTTGCGTCGATCCAGAGATGGAGTTACACTGTTGACGGATGGACGTGCAAAATGCATGTCAAAATACGTACATCGGCGGGTGGCCTGCAGGGCCCTCGACCTGCTTTTCTATGATCTGTTGTTTTTGTGTCTGTTTATTCGTTTAGATTCATTTCTGAAGACCCGCTAAGGGTGGGAGATTTTCAGATCTCTGAATCGCTGATGATTGGACGAATGAGGTTCTATATGTATTTTCCTCCGATCGGCCCATTCATGATTCAAGGTGGTAGGGAAGGAGAGGATCGCCGATGTCTTCCATGGACTCCTCTTCCCGCATAGTTACATGTTACATCTTACTCTACATGACCTTACGGAGAAGTATACCTCTAACCTGCGATCCAGGATCGGCGGCGACAATTCGGGTCACCCAGACCAACTCCTTTCTCTTTCTCTTCAGTGACCTCTTTGGCTCCGGCGTGACGGTCTCTCGCAAGAGATTCTCTCGGCAAGTTGCGCTTCGGTCCGCTCAGCTGGTCCCTGGCGCAGTTTTCGGCTCGGGTCCAGTGTACTCTTCGTTTTGCGCCTGAAGGGTTGGCGGTCAATGGTCGATCTCACGGGTAACATACCATCATCTCCCGTGAAGAATGTGGAATGAGGGTCCTTTTGTCGTTTGGTCGACCAGCTCTATTATGAGGCTTATCATGGTAACAGTATAGTGTGTAGCTTTGTTATGGATGATGATGATGTTGATGATGATGTTGATGATGATGTTGATGATAATCCAGATAATGATTATGGTTATGGTTACGGTTATCATTTGGAGAGAGTAGGATGATTAAGCTTCCTACGTTCTGCTCAAAAGAGGGGACCCCACGTCTCTACGTCTCGGTCGTTATAGTTCTGTGTTGGCATGGACTTCAAACCTGTCCATTCTGTCGGAAGAGAACGCTGTAGTTTCTCTCTCTCTCTGTCTTCTCTCCTTCCACCTCATCTTCCCGTTCCAGCATCCCCGTCAAATGAAGGGCTGTGTCTTGCTGTACGGGATTGGTTCTCTCACCGACTGTTTCATCGGTGGAGCCCCGAGGATTGGGTTTAGCGGGTTCCACTCGCCCTAAGACAACAAGCGTGTGTGGAGGACCTGGAGAAACGCTAGTCAGGCTAAAAAAAAAGAAAAGTTCCAGAGAAAAAAAGGGTAGGGGTAACAGGGTCAGCAAGAAACGAGACAGATCGACTAGTCTTGCTGTATAGCCTCGTTGGGTGAGACAAGACGCCACTGGGGACTAGGGTGTCTGTCTTCACCAAGTACGGAGTATAGAGTACAGCATCATGGCCATGTATTTGGGATTGATGCAATGAGAATGCGGTGGCCAAGTCGTCAGGATCTCAGGGTGCGAGGGTCCGCGGTCCCTGTCCCTGACAGGCTCCATCGACTCCATACCGCGCATATCTTGCAGTTCCCACAAAGGGATGGAGTATGTACATCGTTGCATCATGCAGGCCACTGAGTACACGCCTCGCGCAGGTATCCCGTATCCCGTATCTTGGTATCCCATAATCGTACAGCGTGCATCTGGAGACCCAATCTTAGACGAGCACTTGGGGGTGTTTGGGTTTGGTCGCTAGGCCCACCTGGGATTAGAGATGTCTATTTTTGCTCGGTTTATTTGCCCGAGGGGGGTTTTTTTACGTGGGTTTTGGGGTGCTTAGCTGCGTCCAAACAGGGCCCGAACAGCCTCTCTCTCTCTCGCGCGCGACCTGTCCCTTTGGTCCCAGGTGTCCGAGTCCCTGAGTCCCTGAAGTCTCTGGCCCTTTACTCCAGTGGTCTCACGGGCTCCTTTTCTCTCATCCCCTCCCTCTTCTTCCTTTTCCCTTTCTTCGACCTCCCCCTCTCTTTGTCTCTTCCCCTCCATCCCCTCCCCCCCTTCTGGATCGTGTACAAGGTAGAGCTCGACTTCGAGCTGTATTCGCCTTCATCGACCTCCTCTTCACTGCCTCGACTGGGTCAAGACATTCGTTCATCCCTCGAGCCCTGTATCTTGTCGCCACACGACCAAAAAAAAAACACTGGGACACCCAATCAACCCTTACGACCTGCAGCCCTGGTGGCTTAATCTCCCTGTGTTTCCTTGTCCTGGTTTCGCGATACCCCCTCTCGTCTGAAATACAATCAACCACCAGTGATTCCCCTGTTTTTGAAATACTTGCGTGACCAGCATGGCCTACCAGGGCTCCGGCGCGCATTCGCCTAATTACGATGGGAACCATCGCCTGGAAGATGTTCCCCCTTCCCAAGTCCGTACCTGCCCTCCCATCACCCTGGCACTGTTTTGTTGTGTTTTACTATTTTGTTTGAACTCCGTCGGGGCTCTGTGCAAGATCCGTTGTTAACGATACATTTAGTATCGCGAAGATGAGGATGCATCGCGCGGACTGCTGGCCCACCAGCAAGGCCAGGGTCCTTTTGCGACGCCCTTCGATGACCCTCACTCGCGTGGAATGTCGCCAGTGCGCCCCGCCTCGGGATACAGTCTGACCGAGACCTATGCCACCGATACGGCCGCTCCCGCATATCATGATCCGTATGCGACAGGGTCCGTCTACTCAGGCCAATCCGAACACCCCGCAGCCGCCTTTGGTGTCCCCGGCCGAGTGGCATCCCCTTATGCGCGCAGTGAAACCTCATCCACCGAGGCCTGGCGCCAGCGACAAGCCCCTGGCGGCGGCAACGGCGGCGGTAACCTGCGCCGTTATGCCACCCGTAAGGTGAAGCTGGTTCAAGGTTCCGTCCTGAGTGTCGACTACCCCGTTCCCAGTGCCATTCAGAACGCCATCCAGGCTAAATATCGCAATGATCTGGAGGGTGGCAGCGAGGAGTTCACCCACATGCGATGTATGTTTTCGTAGTCTTGTTTCCCTGGGTTTGATGCAGGGGTTTCTGCTTTAACAACGCACTAATATCACTGAACTATATCTAGATACTGCGGCAACTTGTGACCCCAACGAGTTCACTCTCCACAATGGCTACAATCTGCGTCCGGCCATGTACAACCGGCATACCGAGTTGCTGATCGCCATTACCTACTACAATGAGGACAAGACCCTGACCTCACGTACCTTGCACGGTGTCATGCAGAACATTCGTGATATCGTCAACCTCAAGAAATCCGAGTTCTGGAACAAGGGTGGTCCCGCGTGGCAGAAGATTGTTGTGGCGCTCGTTTTCGATGGTATTGATCCTTGTGACAAGGACACCTTGGACGTCCTTGCCACCATTGGTATATACCAGGATGGTGTCATGAAGCGTGATGTCGATGGCAAGGAGACGGTCGCCCATATTTTCGAATATACGACTCAGCTCTCTGTGACCCCCAGCCAGCAGCTGATTCGCCCAACTGACGATGGTCCTAGCACTCTGCCGCCTGTGCAGATGATGTTTTGTTTGAAGCAGAAGAACAGCAAGAAGATCAACTCGCACCGTTGGCTATTTAATGCTTTTGGTCGGATTCTTAACCCCGAGATTTGTATCTTGCTTGATGCAGGTACCAAGCCCGGTGGGAAATCGTTGCTAGCTCTTTGGGAGGCCTTCTACAACGACAAGGATCTTGGAGGTGCTTGCGGTGAAATCCACGCTATGTTGGGCAAGGGCTGGCGGAATCTCATTAACCCGCTAGTGGCAGCGCAGAACTTCGAGTACAAGATCAGCAATATCTTGGACAAGCCGCTTGAGAGCTCCTTCGGTTACGTCAGTGTGTTGCCCGGTGCATTCTCTGCCTATCGATTCCGCGCGATCATGGGCCGCCCCCTGGAACAGTACTTCCACGGTGATCACACTTTGTCGAAACAGCTCGGCAAGAAGGGTATTGAGGGTATGAATATCTTCAAGAAGAACATGTTCTTGGCCGAGGATCGTATTCTGTGTTTCGAGTTGGTTGCCAAGGCGGGCTCCAAGTGGCACTTGTCTTATGTCAAGGCTTCCAAGGGTGAGACGGATGTGCCCGAGGGTGCTCCAGAGTTTATCTCTCAGCGTCGTCGTTGGCTGAACGGTTCCTTCGCCGCCGGTATTTACTCCCTGATGCACTTCGGCCGTATGTACAAGAGTGGCCACAACATCGTGCGCATGTTCTTCCTGCACATCCAGATGCTGTATAACATCTTCAACACCATTCTTGCCTGGTTCTCTCTCGCCTCCTACTGGCTGACCACGACGGTTATTATTGACCTCGTCGGTACCCCCAGTACAAGCAATGGTGATAAGGCGTTTCCCTTTGGCCACGATGCGACTCCTATCGTCAACACAATCGTCAAATATCTGTACTTGGGATTCTTGCTGCTGCAGTTCATCCTTGCACTTGGTAATCGCCCCAAGGGATCAAAGTTCTCCTATCTTGCTTCCTTTGTCGCGTTCGGTATTATCCAGGTCTACATCGTGGTCGATTCACTATACCTCGTGATTCGCGCCTTTAGTGGAAACGCACCGATGGATTTCGTCACCAATGAAGGCCTTGGCGCGTTTTTGCGATCTTTCTTTGGCTCTCAAGGTGCTGGTATCATTATCATTGCTCTAGCTGCCACCTTCGGTCTCTATTTCGTTGCCTCATTCATGTATGCCGATCCATGGCACATGTTTACTTCGTTCCCCGCCTACATCGTCTTGCAGTCCTCTTACATCAACATCTTGAACGTCTACGCCTTCAGCAACTGGCATGACGTCTCATGGGGTACCAAGGGTTCTGATAAGGCTGATGCACTTCCCTCGGCCAAGACAACCAAGGATGAAGGCAGTAAGGACGCTGTCATTGAGGAAATTGATAAGCCTCAGGCAGATATCGACAGTCAATTTGAGGCAACTGTGAAGCGTGCTCTGACCCCATACGTTGCTCCCACGGAGCACGAGGAGAAATCTCTGGAGGACTCCTACAAGAGTTTCCGTACCCGCCTCGTCACCTTCTGGATCTTCAGCAATGCCTTCCTGGCAGTGTGTATCACTAGCGAGTCAGTGGATAAGTTCGGTTTCACGGTATGTTATAGAGACACCTTTTTAACTGCCAGAGTATGATTGTTTTGCTAACATGATTGACAAGAACACCGCAACTGTTCGTACCGCCCGATTCTTCCAGGCTCTCCTTTGGTCGAATGCAGTCATGGCTCTGTTCCGTTTCATTGGTGCCTGTTGGTTCTTGGGCCGCACAGGTATCAAGTGCTGCTTCGCCCGCCGGTAGGCTCAGATGCATACACTCATCAAATGCGTTTTTTGTTTTTTTTTTTTTCTGACGAACCACTCTTTCTTGGCACATGCTTCCCTCTTTTCTTCTCTAGTGTGTTCCTTTCTCTATTCTTCTTTTTACTCTCGCGATCTGTATTCTACTTAAAGATGCCCGTTTCCTTGACCTGTTTTTTGTGATGCCACTATGTACTGTCGTGGAGATTGATTAGCAATCCCTTACCGTGATCTTTGTCGGACCAGCGAGGCAATGGGAATGCATTCGGGGCGCAATAAATTTTCTTCCAGATCTGGTTATTAAAATTCACCCTCGTAGATCTGAGCCGTTATAGGAAAAAGATTCCAAAAATCCCATTTGAGGGAGCATCTGCATGTCCGTCCGATGTAGTTGCCCTGTACGTCATGCGTAAAGGCGGACAGTGGATTCTTCCGCAATAATAGCCACCGCCGGGCTGAGCCCCCCGCAAGACTTCTCTCTGCCTCGCTCCTCCTCCGCTCGTGAACACACCATTTCTCACCCCAACACAGCCCCAAGTTTTTGTATTTGGCCTGTTGCAGACAAGCGCTGTGTTGTGCGTCATTGCTTCACTTCTTAATTTATCCGTCATCCACCTGTTCCCTCGTCGATAACTCGAATCGTTTATCAGGTGGGGTGGTGACTCCCCGGCCCAATCCAAGATGTTGAAGATCTGGTCGATGGTAGGCTGCCTTGTAGACCACCCACACTTACAAAAGACATCTACTTATGTCTGCTATAGAAACAGCAGCAGCAGCAGGCTGAAAATGCCGAAGGTGCTGCTGGGAAGAAAAAGAAGAAGGTCACCGCCGCGCAACTGCGCGTGCAACGAGGTAACATCTTTCCGGGGTCCTCCCTTCGAGAGCCTTTTCTCTAGTTCGATTTCGCTTCATCTGGCTAACCACGGTGTCTTCGAACCTCGGCAGACCTTCAGGAACTAACGCTCGGCAATACTATGAAGATGTCCTTTCCCAACCCCGACGATATCCTGAACTTCACGTTAACCATCGAGCCGGACGAGGGCATGTACAAGGGCGGCGTCTTCAATTTCAACTTCACCGTGAACCAGAACTTCCCCCACGACCCGCCGAAGGTGAAGTGCACGCAGAAGATCTACCACCCCAACATCGACCTTGAGGGCAATGTCTGCCTGAACATCCTGCGCGAGGACTGGAAGCCCGTGCTGAACCTGAACGCCGTGATTGTTGGCATGCAGGTGCGCTGCTCCCATTCTTCTCCTGCATGACCGTCGACAAAGTCGATATGCTAAATGCTAAAATGACGCCTGTTGATCCATATAGTTCCTCTTCCTTGAGCCCAACGCCTCGGATCCCCTGAACAAAGACGCCGCTGATGACCTCCGCACGAACCGCGACGGCTTCAAACGCAATGTGCGCTCCTCCATGGCCGGCGGGTCCGTCCGGGGTGTCACCTTCGAGCGAGTGCTACAATAGAACCATTTGACTTTGCTGGGATGGCGCCTCGAGGCAGACCAAAAAAAGACCGGTGGAATGGATCTCGCTATGATGTTCCCTCGATGAGCTGGGTCCGAATTCGCGGTGAGAGTATCGGGGCCGGTTGTCGAGACCAGAACTATTACGAGAGATGCGAAATGATGGCATATGGCTCTACTGTGGGTGAACTTTTCACGTCATCCCCGTTGGGTGGGAGTTTCCAGTACATATAACCGGCGTAATTAGCGATTATCTGAATTCAATAGATCCACATGTTGGTCCATCGTGGCTGGGCAGTGATCTGGCGCACGGGCAGAGAGAAATCTAGATGAAAGAACCAGGCCAACAGGCCGGTTCTAGTAAAGACCTAATACGAGGAGAGCTGCGGAGGACCTGCAGTCGCGGGTACTCATTCCACAGGGAGAGCCAGGTTGAAAGGAAACACATTGATCACAGGTGTATATGTACAATCGGTTCCAACACGCAAGTCACCCACGCCCGGCCATGGCCTGCCAGCGCATCCCGCCCAAGAGAGATTACAAGAACACGAGCTTTCTTGCAAACGAGACTTCTTGATATTTTTGGAGTATTTTCTTAACAAAGGGAACGAACTGAGGCCGACAGGTGGGTGGGAAAACGGTCAAGACGAGGGTCGCTGGTGGTGGGCGATTTATGCGCGCTCGGCGGCACGCTCCTGCTCGAGACGGGAGTAGAAGGCATCACGCTCACGGACGCGGGGCAGGTGGTAGCCTGAAGGGAGGATATACGCATTAGGGATGTTTGTCATCATCGGGCTAAGTGGAGGGATGCGGGAGTGCTGATACGTACCGTACCACCAGAGGTAGCCGAAGGTGGTGCCGAAGCCTGGATGACACGGAGCGCGGTTAGTTGTGTGTTCAGGAATAGACCAGGCCGTGGATGGATATCAATATAACAATGGGCAGGGAGAGAAGTGGAACAGAAGCATTTTTCGTGACGAGAAGGCCAGCTCAGGCGCGGCCGTTCGTCAATCATTATACGATCATGCCACCCGCTGCCTTCTCTAATTGAATTGCCGTTCAGTCACTCACCGAAGGCGGTGCTCAGGTCCAGAACGAGACCACGGCGAAGCATCTGTACAAAAAAACCGCCCGTTAGCTCATCATCTACAGACAGCAGCGGACCCGACCAGCCCGCTCGGGGCGAACCGGGGCGATCAGGGAAGGGGCACCTACGCCGGTGATGGGGGGGATAGCGGCGGCCATTGTAGGGTATGAACGGTGTCAATCGAGACTCGACAAGACACTGGACAGAAGAGACCGAAGAAAACCTGTCCTCGGGAGTTGTGGGGTGGGCAGAGGAGGAGGAGAAGAGAGCGACGGGATGAGGTGGACGGGAAGTGAAGTTGAAGCTTTCGGGCGGACTAAGCGAGGCTCCGGATTGGTCGATAGACTTGACCGGAACCTCACGCCATTGACTTAGTTGAGGGATTGTCTACGAGATTGAAATGTGATTGTTTGTGAAACTTGGCTCTGAGCAGATAATTGATGACCTACCCTTCATTCATCCTAACTATTAGATATACTTAACATACAGTGCCATTTCTCATGAATCATGGAAAGCAAGGCAGAAATTTACTGCCTCAGGTGTCAATAGAGTCACTCTCACGTGACCTATCTCCCGACGAGCAACAAGCTGTCGTGCATCCAGTAGCGGCTTCGATTGCAGCATTGCTTTGGCCATGGCATCGTCGGCCCCAGTCAAGCGCTCGGCATCAATCTTTGAAGCGGCTGAAAACAAACGGCCTAGACATCTCTATCACCATCACCACCACCTCGCGGAACCAATCAACCTGCCGACAGGCTGTGAGCCTGCTGTGCAAGATGATGCCAACATCGAACATATGATGAACCGGTCAATGGGGCAACTCATCAGAGATGCGGGATTCGACCTGGCCGATCCGGCGGCTCTTTCAAGCTTTCGAGCCGCTGCAGAGGAGTGTATGTGCTAGCATCTACCAGGTGTCCATTCGTCTGTATGCGAAAGAGATTTGACTGAAACGGCCGTTTTGATCTAGACCTGCTACACATCTCAAAATACGTTCGCCAGTCGATGCTATCCTCTCGCCGTCTTCAACCTATCCCGCAAGACTTTGAATACGCGTTGGGCCACCACCGCATCACCCCCGATGACCTCCGCCCCTATCTCAAGTCGCCGCAAACAGTAGCTTCCATCCCAACTCTCCTTCCATCCCCTCCTCCCGAAGACGCCATCGCACGGAAGCTTCCATTTTTGAATGCATTGAAGGGCGAGGAGAGCGTCACCAATCGCTCATATGTCCCAAAGCACTTCCCTGATTTTCCGAGCAAACACACCTACTCTGCCACGGCAGTGTTCACGGAGCGCGATAGCGACCCTCGCAAAATCCGAGAGCGTGCCGCAGAAGATGGACGGCATGGTGAAGAGGCACTGCGGAAGCTGGCAAGTGCTGCCTTCCGCGACAACCCGACTAGCTCGAGCGGTCGGGACAAGAAGCTTTGGGGCCGGCGAGCAGAGAGTATGGAGAGCATGTTTGAGAAGACCGTGAAGGGGTTGACGAAGAAGCTACAAAAAGACCCACTGGCTCCTATGAGCGCTGTCATGGGTTCCGCAATGGAGATTGACTCGGGCCTTCTCGCCGAAGGCGACCTGAAGGCGCGATCCAAAGTCTCATGGAATCTAGAGATGGGACCCATCGTTAACTGTGAACGGGACTTCTGGCGACGGACAACGGCAGCCAGCAAGCGCGGGGATGACAAGACAGCGAAGGCGACTGGTACCGCAGAGCCAGCAGATCGGGTAGGCCCTTCTTGAGACTCGAAATGGGCGATCGGGAGAACTTGGAACGATCGTTGGCGTTTTCCTTTTATGTTATTTGGGCTGGCGCTTTGTGTATGTTTCGGAGTCGTTCTTGAGGTGATACCCCATGGCAATTACCAGCCTGACAAATGATTGTTTGATTCAATGCTTCTCTGTTCGCTATTGTAAAATCCGTAAAAACTCCACCCAATGCAGTCTGCGGCTCTTGTATTCCCGACTAATTATTCTTTGTCGCATGTTGTTGACTCTCTTCCGCTGCCTGTCTGATGGGCTCCCATGCTGTCGTCTCAACGGTCAATCCTCCGGCGCACCTGTAGCATTGTCATTTAGCTGGGCGCACACTTCGTCTGATCAGGATGAAACTCCAGGCTTACCGCCGAAACAGCCGGACTATTGGCTTGCATGTAATGACACCGGGTTGTGGAACGTCGTCTTGCGGCGGGTTGCATGAATACTGCACCATCTCGAGGAGCTGGCACTCCTTCAGGTCCACGGCTGGACCTTTGCGACGTTTGTCTTGGAAATTGCGGCGCACGGTTTGGACATGGTCCGGCAGGTTTTCTACCGAGAACACAGGAACAAGAGGGGCCATGTTGAATGTACCAGGTAGCCAACTGGTGACAAAGAACTGGTTGCAGAGAGGGTTATGTGTTGTCGTGATGTCGGGGATGTGCAGTCGAGGTTGTGCCGAAATTCCTAAGCTTCTTCCGGCCGCCGAGTTGCCGTCTCCGAACTACTTTGACATCGCTTTTCCTTCTACTCATGTCGGTAGTGCTGCACATCAACCGCACAGAGTAGTGTGATCGCTGTCATAAAATATTCTCTGAAAAATCGATTGACTGTGTTTGAATATTCTGTGGGATGAATGCTACATGAAACTGCAGGACCATGCCCGCCATGGCTGCAAGCTTCGGGGCAACTACACTGGCCGAAGTACACCATGAAGGATTAGACCAGGTACTTCCATCTCATGAAAAAGCCAGGTCCCACAAGCTGATTTCTTAGCTGTTGCATGAATTGGCCAATGTCTATCCTACCAGTGCTGATAGGCAGCTGGAGCCGCTGGGCGTTCCTGTCCTCGACGCATTGCTGAAAATCTTCATGATGAGAATGTGGGACTCTTCAAATAGCTCTGGGTATCTACAATCCGCAAATACAATGTTACAACAAGAGCAAATATTAACAGAGGATGAAGAAATGCTTCTGCAAGGGGACAACTCGGATTGGGACAATATGGTAACCGAGGCGCCGGCACAAATGGTCGATTCCGAGCCTTCTAACATTTTCTTTTCGGGTGCTGCTGCCAGGAGCAAGCTGCTTAGTCCGGTCATCGAGATATCGAGTAGTCTATCAGGAGCTGGTAAATCCCAGCTCCTATACTATCTGACAGCAAGGGCCATCTTACCGCAATACTATGGCAACGTCCATGTGAGCGGACGGGAGTCTGCCGTGGTTTGGATCGATACAGATGATCGATTCAATGCCGATAGGCTCCGATCTGTGGCTCATGGAATCCTCAAACCAGACCGCGAATCATCGGATGATGACAATACAGAGCCATCAGATGTGGACTCTACAGAGCTATCTGAGGAGGACATTGGGATGATCTTGGCTTCTTCGCTGCAACATGTCCATGTCTTTCGCCCACAGTCCTCTTCGGCGCTCCTCGCTACACTATACGGACTTGACTCCTACCTTTATGATCTTAAACGACATTTTTCTGCCTCGAGACCTCTGCACATGATTGCTATAGACAGTGCTACGGCGTTTCTCTGGCAAGACAAGCTGCGTGACGAGGTTGCCCGGACTGAAGACATCGGGCGCCCTCGCGCGGAAGTTGACGAGGAGCGCGAACGAAAGCAGAGCTTCTATTTCTCTGATATCTACGCGGAACTAGTCAATGAGTTGAAGCGACTACAAAGTCTGTTCGGATGCAGTGTCGTATATACGACAACTGTTTCTGGGGGCCGCCCATCCGCTATGGACACCGGTGCTTCCGGTCCCCTCGATTCGTATGACCGGGGTCCATCTCAGAAACCGTCTTTGCGGCCCGCCCTCCCGGCACCCTGGGGGGCTTTTCCTGTTCTTCGGATAGTCGTGCATCGGGATACTGTGCGGCCATTTCCACCCGCGATAAGCGCTCACGATTCGAGGAAAGATGCTCCGTCCCGACAGAAAATTGTTCGCCAGGGTAAGTTCTCGGCTTGGGTCAACTCATGGGGACGTGAAGAATGGCCTCGGCGGGTAGTGGACGGTATCAATGCTCATAATGGCGGGTGTTTCTCTTTCTATGTGCGAGAAACCGGGGTTCAAATACCGTATCTAGGTGGCCAATGAGATTGAATGCATGATAGATTACCCTATGTGCTGAAACTCTATAAGCAGTCTATAACTCGTAAAGCCTAACCGAATAACTTCGCAATCGCCTCCACAGTGGTGTTCCCACCGCTAAAGACGATGGCGACGTCCCATCCACTCTCGCCGCCCTCTTGTTCAACAAGCCGCCGGAGCTCTTCATCGAAGAGACATACGGCTAACCCAACAACTGCACTTGGCTCGACGAATACTTTCATGCGCTCTAGCACCAAGCGCATTGTAGCCTTGATCTGCTCTTCCGTGACAGCAAAAACACCAGCTACCTTCTTCTTATCCGAAATGACCTCCCAATTCAGTAGTCCCACAGGTGTACGAAGCCCGTCCCCAATGGTCAGAGTTGAAACAGCTTCCACACGATGTCCAGCCAACAACCCGCGGCGACAATCGTCTGCGCCCTCGAAGCTGGGCTCTGCACCGAACACCTTCGTCTCGGGCTTATCTGAGAAATAAGTGGCCACGCCGGCATTCAACCCACCGCCACCAACCGGTGTGATAACCGCATCGAGGGACTTAGAGCCAACCTGCTCGGCATACTGCGCCTCCAGCTCCAGTGCGGTCGTGCCCTGCCCGCAAATGATATCGAAGTGGTCATATGGAGGGACCAGGATGGCATTGGTCTTGGCCTGGATCTCTGCAACCACAGCCTCCCGCTCAACACTGGTCGATCCACTGAATATCACCTCCGCGCCGTGCGAGCGGGTCCCGGAAATCTTCGACGGCGTGCTGATCCGTGGCATCACGATGTGGGCCGGGACGCCGAGCGTCGAGGCCGCGAGGGCGAGAGCTTGTGCATGGTTTCCTAAAGGGAGACACCATAGTCAGTCTAGGTAAACTACGGGCCATTGTAGTTGGGGAATGTTGCCTATACCGGAGCTATGCGTGATCACCCCGCGCCGCTTCACCTCCTCTTCTCCGCGTTCCTCAAGTAGCCGCAGCAAAGCATGGAAGGCGCCGCGGGCCTTAAAGGCGCCAATACGTTGCAGGTTTTCGCATTTGAAGAAGAACCGGAATCGTGGGGCTGCGGGCGTTTGGCCCTCGAAGGGGGTGCCGACCAGCGCTTCTGGGGTCTGCGGGGTCGAGGCGATGGTGTCGAGGGTTTTGCAGGTCAACAGAGGGGTCCGGTGCACGTACGGCCGGATCAAGCTGTACGCGGCGCGAACAGCGGCCGGAGTTAGCAATTGCGCTTGCTCTGCTGGCGATGCCATGGTTCCTGTGTGTTTGGGGTGGGAGAGGGGAAGTGGGAGCCAGAGAACAGCGAGTCAAAAAGAAAACCCTTGCGACTTGATGTACCTTTCGGGTGCCTCTCCGTCATCGGGGATGTTCCGAGAAGCGCATGCGGGATCGCGCAATGACAAGATAAATGGCTTTCTATCTATACATACGAGGCTGAAGATGGTTCTACGAATTATCAAGCATACCAGGAAAGAGAATGAATGATTAAACAAATTGGCATTTTCTTTCGCCATGTATGAAATTTGGTTCTGCCGATGCCCAAAAAAAACAGGTTCATAGTACATCATAACTTTTTGTCCAGGCCCTCCCTTGACGGGTATCACGATATTATTTATTTCTGGTTCTCGGGACGGAGGGAGCTGAAGGGATGGGTTAGCAATCGTGTCAGAATGGGAATATGGGAGAAAGGGTACATACCGGACAGCCTTGCCGGCACGCCAGATCTCAAGGTTGCGGATCTCCTCCATCTCCTTCTCGTACTTCTCACGGTAGTCGGGCTGGGAGTTGTAGTCGAGGGAGCGCTGGGTCTCAGTGCCGTCACGGACACTGTCGTAGAGCTCGTTGAAGAGGGGCTTCAGGTTGTCCTTGAAGCGGCTGGACCAGTCAATGGCACCACGGCGGGCGGTGGTGGAGCAGGCAGCGTACATCCAGTCCATACCGTTACCACCAATCAGGGGGTACAGGGACTGGGTGGCCTCCTCGACGGTCTCGTTGAAGGCCTCAGAGGGGGAGTGGCCACGCTCACGGAGAACCTCGTACTGGGCGAGGAACATACCGTGGATACCGCCCATCAGGCAGCCACGCTCACCGTACAGGTCGGAGTAGACCTCCTTCTCGAAGGTGGTCTCGTACAGGTAGCCGGAGCCGACAGCAACACCCATGGCAATGGCGCGCTCCTTGGCCTGGCCAGTCACGTCCTGGTAGACGGCAATGGAGGAGTTGATACCACGACCCTCACGGAAAAGGGTGCGGACGGTACGGCCGGAGCCCTTGGGGGCAACGAGGATGACATCAACATCCTTGGGGACATCGACCTTGGTGAGGTCCTTGAAGACAGGGGAGAAACCGTGGGAGAAGTAGAGGGTTTTGCCCTTGGTGATGAGGGGCTTGATGGCGGGCCAGGTCTCGGACTGGGCGGCATCGGAGAGCAGGTTCATGACGATGGTACCCTTCTCAATGGCGGTGTTGACATCGAACAGGTTCTTGCCGGGGACCCAGCCATCCTGGATGGCCTCCTTCCAGGAAGCACCATCCTTGCGGACACCAACAATGACGTTGAGGCCCTGGTCACGCAGGTTCAGACCCTGGCCGTGACCCTGGGAGCCGTAGCCGATGAGGGCAAGGGTATCGTTCTTGAAGTAATCCTGGAGCTTCTCACGGGGCCAATCGGCACGCTCGTAGACGTCCTCCTTGACACCAGCGAAGTCAATGGTCTTGATGCCACGGACGGGGGTCACCGGGGCGATGGCACGGCGGGCAACGGTAGCCAGAGCAGGCCGGGGCAGGGCGGCGGTGACAACCGAGCGAGGGGCGGCCACGCGGGCCAGGCGGAGGGCACGGGGAAGACCACGGGAAGCCATTGTGTGTGTATAGAGAATGGGGGAGGAAGGTAGAGTGGAGAGATGAAGATGGAAAGGGAACAATTGGGGAAGAGAAGGATTTAAAAAGGGCGGGAAAGTTGGGGTGGAGAGAGCTTCGATGGACTCCGGGTCGAGTCATTTGCACATGACTGGGTGGCGGACGACGGAGAAGCGCCTTTGCTCCCCGGGTGGCCGACACCGGGCCCCGTTTGCAGCGAGGTCCCTATTGGCCGCCGAAGCCGGTGCTGGGTCGTCCGCCGATCGTGCCAGAGCTCCGACGAATCTGACCCAGACGAGCACCGGTCTGATGAGTTCTGGGTAGTATCCGATTGACTCATCTCCAAAAGGGACCACAATCACTACGGGGAGCAGTCTCCTGTGCTACATTCGTAGAATGGGATTGACGCGGCGAGAGATCCGGGAAGTCTACGGACTCGTCGCACTGTTCCGGACACACGGAATTCCTCGAGATTTCCAGTGACACTCAATTGGACCAAGAGGGAAGAGATAGGCCTATATGTGGGATGGTAGTTGCCATACTTCAGTAGACATAATCTAGCAACGGACAATACGCACAATCATAGCTCATATCCAGAAGAGCCTAGCTGCATGGAGCGGCCTCCAACCCCCCTCAATAACGTTTTCCCCCGCGTTGCGTGCGATCTGTGCTGCCCGTGTTGCTGCCTGATCCCGCAGGTGTCGCTGCCCCACGACTCGCGAGCCCGCAAACAAAGGCGCTTCCTTGATCACTGGACCCTCCCCCTTGCGCCGTGCCAGACCATGTCTATATGATGAGCTTCTTCTCGTTTGGTGATCTTCCCACGATCCAGACTCGCAAGGCCCTGCTGCTCCTGGACTTTCAGAATGACTTTGTTCGCCCGTCGGGGGCCCTGCATGTCCCCAATGCGGCTGACATCCTCGAGGTATTACCCTCGCTCGCCTCCGCATTCCGCCGTGCCGGCGATGTGATCTGGGTGCGTTCGCAGTATGAATCTCCTCAGGAGATGACCGACTGGAACTTCGGGGATCGCGTGGTTTTGGAAACAGAGCCTCCGAAACAATTACCGCCTCCAACCTTCGATGTGATTGAAGCTGGTTCGGATCGTGATTCTCCAGAACCTATCGACCCCGAAGCTTTCCTTTCCGCCCAATCCGCCTTCTGTTGTGTCGCGCAGTCTCCCGGATTCCAATTCCCAGCTCCGATTCTCGCGGCTATCGATCCGGACCGGGATACCGTGCTGGACAAGACGGGGTACTCGGCGCTGGAGTCCGAAGGCCTCGTCTTGTCCTTTCGTACTCGGTTCATCACGGAGTTGTATCTATGTGGCTCACTCTCGAATATATCTGTATATGCCACGGCGTTGGATGCAGTGCGTAACGGCTTCTCAGTGACCCTGATCGAGGACTGTTTAGCATACCGTGACTTCCAGCGACACCGAGAAGCAATGCGCCGCATGGCCGATATCCTCGGTGCAACGGGTCTCACAACCCAAGAACTCATTCAAGAGCTCGAGTGGCAGGAGACGGATGCAATCGCTCGGGATACTTCGACTCGACCGCCCAAGCGATCGCTAACCGCAGGTGCTCCGGTGGGCATTGAAGACTTCATGGACAGCTTGGGAGTCATGCCCGAGGAACCAGCGATCGAAGAGGCTGCAGAAGCGGACGAAGACGGCCGCAGCCTTTCTGAGCTCGCATCTCAAACCCGAACCCAGCGACTTACTACTGCCAGAGCGAGAGCTTCGGGTGAAGGACAGAAGCAAGTTCGCGTGCGAGTCCGCCGCCCCAAACGTCGTGAACCAGCCTCAGATTCAGACAAAGTAGGTCGACAAGGAGAAACACCGCAGAATAGTGTTGGTGAAGGCGACTCTCGCCTCATTCCCGAGATCGATCTGAGCACGGATGCTTTTGAACGTATTCGGGCTGAAGTATGCTGGCAGAAAATGTATCATCTGTCTGGCCAGGTACCTCGATTGGTGGCCGTGCAAGGTCACATTCAGCCTGATGGCTCAATCCCCATTTACAGACACCCCGCGGATGAGTCGCCCCCATTGAGTGCTTTCACCCCTGCCGTGGATGAAGCCCGAGTCCTGGTGGAGCGAATCCTTGGCCATCCTCTCAATCATGTACTTATTCAGCTCTATCGAGATGGGCAAGACTCTATCTCTGAGCATTCTGACAAAACTTTGGACATTGTACGGGGCTCTTTCATCTGCAATGTTAGCTTGGGCGCCCAACGTGTCATGACTCTTCGCACAAAGGCTTCTGCTTCTGAGTCTAGTGCAAAAGCCGAGTCCAGCCGTACCAAGCAGCAAATACCGCTCCCCCATCGTTCTCTTTTTATTCTCGGTGAAAAGACCAATATGCGATGGCTCCATGGCATCCGTCCCGACAAACGGCCTGAGTCCACCAAATCTCCTGAAGAGCGAGCTTTCAACGGCGAGCGGATCTCTCTTACGTTTCGTCACATCGGCACTTATCTTAATCAATCCACCAACACCATCTGGGGCCAAGGCGCCATGAGCAAATCACCAGACATGGCACGACCGGTCATCCATGGAGACCCCGAGGAGACTGAGCGGTTGATCCGCGCATTCGGTCAAGAAAACCGGGCAACTGAGTTTGATTGGAATGCCTTCTACGGCACAGGCTTCGATGTTGTAAACTTTGTTACCGCATCTACGAGTAAGATAGTGCTGAGTGGAGACCTTGTGGCTGATCTGCGAGTACAGCTTGGGCTAGGGGAGAATGGCCTCCGATACGAGATTGTGGAGGGCTCCGAAGTAGGCATTCAAGACATCAACTCAGTCCAACTACCAATGTACCTTGGTTCCGAAGGAAGGGCCATTTGCGGTGACGTGGCTATTTTGACGCACCTGGGTGAGCGACCTGTCGAGGCAGGACGACCGGGTGTGGATATCTTGCGGGGTGGCAACGAGCTAGCTTGGATTGATGGCTTTTTGGCACGCTGGCGTGATCATTGCACCAATACCTCTGCTGGCCCATTCGAAGCCAACCTCGAGGACTGTGAGCGCGCATTGGAGGGAAAGCATTACCTGGGAGGCTCTGTATTCACCATCGATGACTGCTCGTTCTGGCCCGTCTTGCGGGCGATGGTACAGGTTCAGGGTCCTTTCGATGCGCGGTTCGTGAATCTCAACCAATATTACTATCGTGTTGAGAAACGGGGCATCGTCCGCGCCATTTTGGAGGGTTGCCAATGAGACCGAACTGGATTTGCATATAGTACCAGGGGGATGGCTCCGGAGACTGGCTTATTATCTGACATTTACGCATTGCATTTAGCCCTGAACATATGATGACACACTACGATTTGAACTGGAAATCAATGGCATATTTTTTATTCTTTTATTTATAGCTAAGTATCTACAGGTCGGCGCTCTGCAGGCTCTGCAGGCTCTGCAACTGGGTTCTTCTGGCCGATTTCTCATAGGCATTCTCCCAGGAACGTTGTCGAGTTCACCAAGTCCATCAGCGGAATATCTCCACAGAGCACGGCCTTGAAGAATCCATGGGCTACCACCAATGCCCCTTTCGGGCTTGTATGGGTATGGTCGAGCGGGAAATATGAATCAACAAGGTCTGCCCCGAGAGACTCGAAGATATTGGCCACATACGCTCCATGGTCCACATAATACACGCCAGCCACTTCGGCAGCCAGCTCTGCGTACCCAACGAACCGCGACGGGCTATATGTGAAAGTCCCCGTCTCCCATGGATTGTTAGGCGTCTGGCTGGAGATCAACACATTCGCCCCTTTAGCCGTGAACGTGTTTGCTGCGTTCTCCAGGTATTTTGGGAACGTCAGCACGGTTTCCGTCACCCCGTCGTACGTCGTGGTACAGGTCTCATCTCCCGTACCAGAGCAGTCAGTGCGGCCGTTGTCAGTCGTGGAAAGGGAGCCGCCGTCATTGTGTCCGAATTCAATGATCACCCAGTCTCCCGATTGGACTTCGGCTGCGATGGTGTCGAATCGGCCCTCGCGTGTGTAGGACCGAGCACTCCGGCCAGCTACGGCTTGGTTGGATACATCGGCTGGAGTATAGGGAGCCACGTATTCACCCCAACCTGAGATTATTAGGCCATTGGATCATTATCTCTCTGCAGAGAAACGTACCAGCAGTTCCTGATCCAGTGCCACCCTTTGCCATTGTAGAATCACCAGCTAGATAGATTGTCGTGCCCAGTGCACTGGGGATCAAGGTGGAGAGAAGCACAGTCGACCTCATATTGTTTGAAGAAGTAAACAAGAACTCCAGTGATAGGTATTGAGCTCGTGTATTGAGCTCGTTCAAAGGGATAAGTAGGAATTTAGACTTCACGATAATTCCATGTATGATTCTATTCTTCTAGATGTATATATATCTGAATGTAAACCCCTGCCGGGATATGAGCCCCGGCCGGGGCCCACGATACGTGGAAAAAGCCACGACTGTAGGACCAGAGCGGGAGATCTCCGTCGAGTCCCCGGACGCTCGGGTCAACGGAGAAGAGGGTATAGCATGCATATGGCGAAACCAGGGCGCTCTCAAATTTGCGGGGACGCGGTGATCGGCGGTATTTGTGATTCATGGAAACTTCATTTCCGCGAGACATTCGGTTTCTCCTATTTGGCCACGGGAGTGATGTGCCAACTCTTATCTGCTGCCCATTGTCAACGTGCGGAGTTCGGCATTATATTATATTATATTTTGTGGAATTGTCTTACACTGAAGATTAAAATAAGTGAAACTGACCGTGTTTCGGGCGTTTCTCTCTGTTAGTCAGACGAGCCGGGTGGAGAATCCCTGACATGTTTAAATCGAATAGACTAAAATTGTCGAGCACGGAGCTTCTGGAACCGATAAATATATATTTACATGAAGCATGCGATGTAGCTTGAAACACGATGGAAATAAATATGGACCTGGCCAAGCCAACTAGAGCTTTTCAAATGTCGGAGTACGCTTCTGAAGCCCGGAAAGCAGCGCCGCGGGTACATCCTTCGTCTGCAGGGCCGCACTGTTCCAGACCGTGGTATACCGTAGGCCGTCCTGGACAGGGTGGTCACGCGAATAGTTCAGAATCTCCTTCGTACCCTGCACCGCAATCGGACTTTTCGATGCAATCAGCGCAGCCATCTTCAGTGCAGCCGTGATCGTGGCCGCCCGGTTCTCATACACTGCGTTGACAAAGCCTACGCGAAGGGCCTCTTCCGCCCCGAAGATGCGCGCCGTCAGCGCAACCTCCTTGATCCAGCCGTGGTGACCCACCACCTTAGGCAGTCGGCTAAGGGTACCAATATCGGCCGCCAGGCCGATGTCGACTTCCTTGACCGCGAAGCGCACGTCTTTCGAGCAGAGGCGCACGTCGCAGGCCGTGGACAGATCGATGGCCAGGCCCAAAGAGAAACCGTGCATGGCGACGATGACGGGCTTCTCGCAACGCTCAACGGCAGTGATACAGTCCTGGAATTCGGCGATATGCCGCCGCCACTGGACAGCTTTGCGGGCTGGGTCGATCGAAGAGTCCTCCGAAAATTGACCTTGCGACGCGGCTTTGACATCTAGGCCGGCTGTGAAAGCCTTGTCGCCTGCTCCACTAAGAACGATCGCCCGCACCGCCGGATCGTGCGATAGCTGGGAGAAGACCTGTGCCATTTCGAGCCACATGCTGTTTTTTTTGGCGAACATTAAGTTAGTTGGTATGTCTACTGGGCATATTCTGGTGGGCAACATACGCTTCGAAGAACGCATTCATCTTATCTGCCCGGTTGATCTCCACATGGGCGACATGTGGGTGATCTGCCGGGAACTGGACAGTAAAGTATTTGGGAGAGTAATTTTGAGCCATGACTGGATGCCTGGTGTTGAGTCTGGGGAAAGTGGGAGCGACGAGGCCAAAGTAGATGATGGACACGGTTGGATCAAGCTGGCAACCTCGGCAAGTCGATCGCGGATGCGGGCTGGCAGCTTAGCTATGTCGGGTGGTCCAAGGCAGAAGATGCAATCGTATGTGTTCAAATTTCTGCCGCAAAGTCAAGGATACTGGAGAAAGAACAAAAGAAGTCCGCCAGAGGTATTGATCGGTTGTCAAAAGGCTGCCCCGGTTCGTGGTGACCGTCTCACATGCCTCGGTTCGGATAAGCCGCGATAAGAAAATGCTTCCCCAGCATTTCGGGCGCATCGTCCTTTGAAAGGGTTCAGGGTTCAGACTAACAAATAGACGAGATTACAAGGGTATTTACAATTCACTACATAGCGAAAAGATATCTACGAAGAATATTGCTTGATAGATAGGAGTTTGGACCAAGAATTAAATTGGGTAATAAGCTAGCTAATACAGTGCGGCGCGATCCTCCAGTGTGAGTCTCGGGTTGAAAGCAGTGTCAGGCCACACTTGGTGAAAGAAGATCCGGAACGAAAACAGTAAAAATCATATCTCGTGCATGCCAGAGGAATCGGCAGCGGTGAAAATCCAGTGTCCAGAGACCAGATTACTCAATGGTAATCTTCTTGGTCGTCGGAGCCGTCGCCTTGGGGACCTGGACAGAGAGGATGCCGTTCTTCAGACTGGCTTTGACGTTGTCCTGGTCGACGCGGTTGGGGAATGTGAAAGTGCGCTGGAACTCGCCGATCGAGCGCTCGCTGGACCAGTAACGGTGAGTGATCTGAGAAGCCTTCTCGGTGTCTTGGGCTTCACTCTCAGCCACGTTGTCCTCAGGATCAGAGGTATGGTACTCGCGCTCGGAGCGACCCTTCACGACCAGGGTTTGAGGGTCGGTGAATTCGATGTTGACATCCTGCTGGGCAATGCCCGGAAGTTCGCCATCCAGGTGGTAGGAGTCGTCAGTCTCGCGCACATCGAAGCGTGGAGACCAGTTGCGCAGGGTGGGTTGGCGACGGCTGGAACGGTGGTCATCATAGTCGTCGAGAAGACGGAAGAGGGGAGCGAAGTCGCCCGAGGCAGGGAAGCTGGTGCGGAAAAGAGACATTTTTTATTGAGGGTGTTTGAACAAGTCCGAAGAGGAGCTTGAGAGAATGGTGGAAGATTTGGCCTTTGAGACTGTAAAGCTTTGGAAGTGTGAGTTGAAGATGAGTGATAGAGCAGAAGTCAGGGAAGGAAGAGGTTTTTATAGCACAGACTGCTGTGGGCAGCTGCGGCAAATGTGCATACCCCTGTTGGTATCATGATGTATCTAGAAGCTGCTGACATTTGTTGGTCATAGCCTGATGTTGCTAGTTTACGCAGGAAGCTGCTGGCGGGCGGTGGCACTTTCCAGTAGCGTGTGGATGCTTCTCCGCGTTTCTATATGTCACGTGACTTAGATACGTTCATGCACAGGACACAAAGTGATGCAGACAATATTGACGGCACAATAGAACTGTGTTTTGGAGCATCTGAATTATTTTCCGTGCCTCCAGAGATATTAGGGAGAATCCAAGAGTCTCTTGATAGCGACCAAGCTAGCATATACATCATGTCAGGACCAATCTCAACGGGCTCCGAGCATTCTGCTGGTGATGATGTTGTCCAAATCCCCCATTCCTTTATACCCGGCGATCAAGTCCACCTTGACTTGATGGATATATCTCTTTTTGACTTTGTCGAAGAGACATTGAGTCGGCGGGATGGCACACGCAGATGGGCGTGATATCGAGCAGTTTTTTCATCTGTACATTAACGTCTCTATTGTACTATGGAATGTCCATAGTAAAAATTGTCTCAGGGACTGGGAAGTCGCCAAATAACACCAAATAGTAGGACGACGTCGATGGAGGAGGAGTGATAGCTCAGCGATATTTCGGCGTTCGATTTGGCTTCGGTTGGCAAACGGTGCGGCGGGTCGCAGGCAGAACACGGCCACTTTACTCAGATTCCGATTCATCGAGCTGCATGATCTTCTCATCAAGGTCCTGCCAGATATTAGTATTCTGCAGGGGCAGGGTGAAGCCAGAGTGGCCGAGGCCGTAACGGAAGAGCAGGATAGCTGATCTCATCAGTGGACGTACACGGTCCAGGAGGTATTTCAACTTCTGCAGCTGGCTTTCTTTGATAACCAGGTGGTTCTCATCATCGAGGTCCTCTACAATATAATCGTGGCTCTCCTCATCGTACTTGAGAATCATCGATTTGATCGAAGGGTCACACTCGATGAGCAGACCTAAGGACTGTGATTAGCCCTGCGCTTGGTGCTTCAAGAGGGCAGGTGTTTACCTTTGACCGCGCGAGGCATGATGGAAAATATGACAACGGTTCCGTTTGTTGATCAGATAGATATAAAGAGGGCGACGGCTGGGGCTGGTGGATCGGGTTGAGGGAAGGGAGCTTCAAAGGTTAAGAGAAACATCGCGGGCTTCACCGAGCGGGTATCGGGCCGATCACCAATTCAGGCATCAAGGCATAAACTCCAGTGAACTAAGTATCCAACGCCATTGTCACCGAACCGCGGATTATGCTTAGAAATCTCTCGTGGGATTTAAAACCGTACTTGTCTTTTATTCTCAATAAGCATGCTATCACTGAATGCGCCTTATTCTATTGATCAGGCGTTTTGTTCGGCACTACTGTCCTCCAGCTCATTTTCTTCAACCTTTGGTGTCCATCCTGTCCCAGCCTGTACTGCGGTAGCTACCAGAGCTAACAGGCTGCCAGCCAGGAATAGCATTTGAATAGCATGCTGGTAGCTCTGAATGGCAGCTAACCGCTCAGCTCCTGTGAGATGCATGACTGTCGCTGGACTTCCCAGCAGCGTGCGAACCAAGTCTGGTTTCGGTGGCAGCCTGTGCTCCAAGAAGCTCGTCTCCAGCGATGTTTTGAGAATGCGGGTGAAGAAACCGCCCCCAATACTTGATCCAAAGCTCCCTGCAAATCCACGAAACATTGCCACCAATGAACTGACTATATAATGAATCCGAGGGTCTGTGAGATGCAAGACATGCGACAGCGTGTAATTCATAAGCGCCCCGGCAAAAAGCCCGTTCAGAAAGGTAGTCATGAGATAAAGCACCGCCGAAGAGGTGGGCGAAGAGATAATCGACAGAATCAACGTCGATAAAGCAAAAAGCGCAAAGATGACCAGACATGAACTGCGAAAATGGGTGAGACTGAGAAGTTGGCGACTCTGGGAGGGTGAACGTACAAATAATAGCTGCTCGACTTGCGAATATGTAACCAGCCAACGAGCAGTCCTCCCATTCCAAAGCCCGCATTCGTGGGAACCAGAATAAGTCCTGCGGATGCAGGTGACCAGCCTCGAACCGCCATGGCATAGACCGGCGTGAAGAACAGAACGGACCAACGCGCCATCATCAAGCCGAGACTTGCAAGGCAAGTCGTCAGAATACTGCGAGATCGGAGCAATCGAACAGGTATAACGGGCTCATTAGCCCTTTGGGACTCGATGAAGAGAAAACTAGCAAAGCAGGCGAGGGAGACCGGAATGGGCCACACAACAATTTTAGGCGAGGACAGACTGAACAACAGGAGGGTGACCGAGAGTGTCTGATGGATCAGCATATTTCCTTCCAGACTAAATCAGGGAATCATACCAAAGTCAAAGCACCCGCATAGTCTACTCTGGCAAGATTACGCATCAAAGCACGGGTCTTCACCAGACCCAGGCCCCTTGATGAAACAGGGATAACCAGGAATAACGAAGGGCCCAGGATTAGTGCGGCTGGAGCCTGGATCCAAAATAATATACGCTGAAGACGGATTAAGTTCAGTATACAATGAAGATGTTAAAATCATGTTAGTGTTTTGGACGTACCCATCCCAAGATCGGCGTCAAGAGTCCTGCTAGAACAGCACCTGAAGCCACACCGGTTGTAAAACCTGTGTTGACGAGACCGATACAGAGTCCACGACGTTCTGGGCTTGCCAGATCGAGAGCCAGTATGATCGCGGTGCTCATCAACCCACCACTACCACATCCTGCAACGGCACGTCCTAAAAGGAAAACCGTTAGGCTCGGGGCGGCAGCCGTGATGAAAAGGCCAATGGCCAACAGAGTACTCGAGAAAACCACATAGAGACGCGGGGTGAATATGTTTGAGAGTCGGCCAGCCAACGGAGTGACGCTAGACATGGCAATCTGCCAGCAATTATCCATTAGACCCTCCATATATCTTAGATGACATTTCATTCATGTTGACATACCATGTAAGTAGAGGTGAACCAAGTTGCTTCTGCAAAGCTATCCAAATCGGCGGCAATATCGGACTGGGCGGTTGTCATCATTGACATGTTGGTTGCTGTACAGCCATTCGGTTAGCTGAACCTTGGTATATGGGGACTCTCCAAGGCTCACACTGAATGAAAATCAATAGCCCCATAATAATTGCAATTGCCAGTCCCCTCGGAACACCGAGGGTGACCTCCGAGTCATGTTGGGGTTGGTGGGAGGGCGCGATAAGCGGTGTCTCTTCAGACGGGGACCGTTGTCCGTGTGTCATATTGGATAATTAGAGAATTCAGATGACCAGGAAGAGAAACAGGCCATCGACGATGAATCCATTGGAGGGTCAGGGAGTTTCCTTGCGGAGAAGGGCGGATGGCGCATTTCTAATCATCGATTGCGGGCGGAGGGCGGAGATAAGCACGTTGCAGCCGTTTTGTTGATTGCTCGTTGGCTTTGCCGGGGAAAATGTGGAGAAGCTTAACCCGACAAGGCGATAGTTGGGCATTGTACCAGCAATGCATAGAAAACTACGTTGGCTATTTGGATGAATGGTCTTGCAGAATACTGGAGCTTATCTAAATAATAAACCTATGAATGACATGGAGGATCTCTATATCTTGGCTCTCACCCATCTCTGCAGATATCCATATAGCTGTCCGGCGAGAGGATTTTCTGACCCTGAAGGTTTACTCTGTGGTTTCAAAAATAGATGGCCACCGGTCATAAATACGTTTCAGCACCTTTTTAAGGTCAACAGCATCTCCCGTAGGCTCGGGTTCATCCCAAGTCTGGGTCTGCCACTGAAGCTCGAAGTCTATCAGAGTCTCTGTCAAGGCGGTGGTATTGAATGATGAAGGAGGAGTGGTCTCCAGATACTTGATGAATATGCGCCAGCGAGGAAGATAGAACGAAGAGACCAGACCAGCCCAGTGCTTGGATGCGTAATCGTGAATCTCTCCGTTCGGCCCCCAAAGAGTAATCTGATTGCGAGCATTGTATTCAAGGAACGACCGGCTGTCGTCATCTTGTGCCCAGCTCCGGGCTGCTTTGATCCACTTCGAGAGCCGAAATTCTTTGTTAGTTAGAAGGACTGCATCCAAATCAGCGAGAAGCTGGACCATATTATTGCCCACTTGTGTCAAGGCATTCGTGCTTGACGATGAGCTATTCCAAGTGTTCACGAGAGTGTGATACAACGGGATATACGCATTGGCAAGGACTTGGCGAGTGACATCTACCAAATCATGTTGATAGGCAGGGTTCTTCCATAAGTCTGGCTCTGAGCTGGAAGCCCGGTATAAGGATTTCCAGGCTTTGACTACAACCGAGGGGTCATAGGTGAGAGCGCTGCTCTGGAAGCCAACTACCTCGGCCACTCCGACAATATTAGGTCGAAGATCAATGATGGACTTGACCACCGAATAGGTAGATGCGTTCGTGTTGTCATATACCGGGGTTCGCATTATTTCCCAGGCTTCATATAGTTCGTTGGGGATTGAACCGGAACCCGAATACCGGCTCCTGACCCAGCTGTGAAAGTATAGCTGAGTGTCTAATGCAGACGATGACCATGCCTGATCAAGTAACATGTCATAAATGATCTCGTTACCTTCTTGGCCTTCCATGGTCTGACCGTATCCCACCATTGATGGCGACTCGATTAATGCTTGTGTGGCATTCACGGTAATGTTGGAAATCTGACCATAGAGGCCCATATTGCCCCCATAGTCATGCACTTGACACCAGATCCAAGGCTTGCCGTAGTAAGACTTGGTTCGCTGCCACTGAGGTTTTGACTCCGAGAAAAGATCTAAAATGAGCATGTCACTGTCGACCTCGACTCCAGAAAGAAAGGCTTCGATTCTCTCGTCTGTCCAGAATGCAGACTGTGCGTAGAAAAGCCAACCCTGCATCAGCCAGATCGCGTCGGGATCTGCTTTCTTGAGACTTTGCCATGTGGTACGCGTGATATTGCGGAGATAGTCCGGATCCCCTGAATAAGGAGAGTTTTCGTTGTACTGATCCAGTGTGTATATATGGCTGACGTTCCCATAAGCAGCTTGCTGCTTCTGAATAAAGCTCAACTGAAGCTTAGCAAAGTTCTCATCAAATGGCTCGAGGAAGGAGTCGTTGGTGTATTGAACAGGGAAACCGCCCCATTGAGATCCGCGAACGATCTGCGCATTGGGGAGCACACGAGTGGTATTCTCTGGCACAAACCCAGGGAAAGATGGCATGGCGGGAGTCATACCTAGCTCCAACATGCGGGGAATGATTTTCTTCTGAAGCTCAAATTGCTGGTCGACCCAGGCTCGAGGTAATTTACCACCCCACGCACCCTGGATATTCCCGAAACGATTCCAGGCCTGGAAGGCCGGGCCACTGAGGAAGTGTGCAATCTCAGCATCAGTGAGTCCAATTTCCTGGAAGACCTCGATCAAGATCTTTTCGTAACCGACCCAAGCAAGGGGCAGATTCACTCCGCGAAGAGCCATCCAGTCCAACTCCAATTCCCAATCCTCCCATGTCCAGAAGGATGCGGTGTACGAGAATGTGACTATTTGCCAGTTAAATACTAGAGATTTATGAAATATTGCAAGAAATCTACCTGTATTTAAGTGATATCGCCAGGGAACAGTGCTGGATCCTGTGATTGGGGTGGCGAGGCGAGGGAGCTTAGAGGGCGCCTGGTTCAAGCGACTGCCAATAAACCAGTAAATATCGACATGAGCAATATCCGTCAGATATCGACGAAGTCTGTTGGTATGTAATTTCAGCCATATTTATCTTTTCAAAATGTGATATCTGCATACCCTGAAGATAACGCACTAATAGAGTTCCCCTTCACCAAGATGGTTCCATTCGGCGCACTTTGGACCAAGAATTGATCATAACCCGCACTTTCTGTGAAGTTAGAGGAGTCAATTGCAAAATGGAAAATGTCGACATGACTTGGTAATCGCCTTCTAACGAGATTGTAAAGACCCTCTGTGGATTGGGCCACAGAGGTGGCGGCATAAAGCCAGAGCAGCGAATTAACCCAGCGCATGGGTAAGATACGTCGTTTGAAGACTGGCCACGCCAAAAAAAGAAAACGAGGGGAATTGTTTAAAATATTGGAATAGCTCCTTAGAGCCCCCTGAGTCTTTTGCGAGTTGCGACTGTTGCATTTACGCATGCTTACATCCCCGCACTACGGGCGCACGCACTACAACAATCTGATGCTACGTGTGGCCCATCTAGAAATTGAATCCCCACTTTTAGCGGAAGACTATTGAGTCGTATTGAAGTTCAGGCGCGACATGTCTTAAGGCGCACCGTTTAACTCAAAAGGTACATTGATCATCGTGACGCGAACGTTCGCTGGCCCGCCAGCGCCCTAGCTAAAACTTCTGGGTACCATCGTTGTCCAACATCCTGGTGGCTGGTTACTCGGGCAACTAAAGTGCCCTCACCAATGCTGGTCCGGAACATCTCATTGAAAGTCGCCTCGGCATCGGATTTGACCTTGTCATCCTGAACCAATTTCCGAACGCTGTCTGGAACAATTAGGGAAATATTGTCTGACGAGAGGTCAAGGCCAATGCCCTGAAAAACTGGGAATGAAAATCGAGGTCCCAGGGAGTTGCCTTCGGAATCTATGAAGTTCTCCTCCCGTAGACTCACACGATGGGTGGTCGCGGTACATATGCCTCCAGTCAAGGCTTCTAGAGCCCGGCCAATATTCACGACAAATGTGTTCGGCAACGGAGGAGCTGGAATCCATTCTCCGGCTTTATTCTGTACTTCAAGGCCGCGGTGAGGAGTTGCTTGAAGAAGGAACGTGAGGAATCCCGAGTCTTTGTGAGGGCCGACCCCTTGGCAATTGGCAGCATCACCGCTAGCTGGAGGGGGAGGGGGTATTTGATTAGCTTCAACTTGTGTTGTTGTGGACTATCGAAGAATTTATCAAAAGCAGCCGGGGGAAGATTCAATGACTCCGCGATAAGACTAGTGAATGTCGATGCTAAACCGCTGACTTGAGATAGGTATTTCTCTGTAATTTGACGAAATCCTGGAATTGCTGATTCATCAGGCCACTGAATGGGAAAGAAAGGTGAATCAGAAAGATTGATCAAGACAAGTATTGAATGGCGTTATTACCTGATTCGGCCCGCAGATGTTCCTATACAATGGCTCCTCTGAACCTGGGGCTGGGAGTTCTGTCGCAAACTGAGAAAAATTAAGAACCGCGTCAAGTGCACCAAGATAACGATCGAGAAGACTTACATCAAATTGCTCGCGATGATCCAATTTCAATGCAGTTATCTCGGCACCCAGCTTGGAGTAGCCAAGAAAATGGGGACTGTTGACCATTTCGATCTCCAGCTTTTTCTCTAAGGGTAATTGGAAAAGTTCCAGTCCCTTGCTTGTGAAATCATCTTGGATCTCGGCTGAAATAGGAGGATTTTGAAGATAGAAGAATCCAACATTAATTAACGCTTCTTGAAGCTTATTGAGGAAAGCAGGCTTCGATGTGGCGGACAGACTTTCGGAGAAATCTAGAACGGGAATCGATGTAAAGATGGCCGGAGCGGGGGACTGGGTATTTTCGACCTACGTGGATTTAGCAATTTTTGGGTTATACATGCTCGAAATCAATCGATTTTACCATCTTGGTGCATAGAGTTCCAAAATACAGATAACGAGCTTCTAATTTGGTTCGAGGCGTATTCGCGGTTGCTGAGGTCGCTTTTCCCTCAAGTGGGGGAAGGGGGGGGGGGGGGGGGGGGGTTTCTGCGTCAGGCAAGAGCAGCAATTAATTTTGAGCTAGTCGAGAGGTAGTATCGATACTCTGTTTTCTCGAACTCCTTTTCTGCCATCAGAGATTGATCTTAGAACCAGAGGACTTTGTTCATACAGTATGGAAAACTGCCAGAAACCTACTGTCGGGCTAGGCTTTTCTCGTTGAAAAATGAACTGATTGAGGAGCGAATCAAATGAAGTATAAGTTTTGGATATTAGGACAAAAGTCTTGTGGAGATTGAAATCATAAGCTGGAGGAAGAAGCCTTTTTGGAATCATGTGGGTGGCACGCTCGTACTAAGCATTGACAAGGCATCCTCCGATTGGACTATGATGGCGAGCTTGATACCCACGCTCCGATGGAGTGTCTAAACGAGAACCACAATTTCGTCACGGGATCTTGAATGCGATTTGGGTTCTCGGTTGGCGATCTCGAAGATGAAGATTTTGAATGCTGTGGTGAAAGTTCTGTACCCCTCATACCCCGCCCGCGGGTACTGAGACCCAAGGGTGAAGATGGACATCCATATCGGTTTCCCTTTCTTCTAGCCGGAGGACACAAGTTTTTTTTCGAATTGATTACGTGTCTTTTTCTAGAAATTGAGCGATTGAGCGCACCATGTCGATGTTAAATTCCGAAGAACTGGGGACTCTCGCATGTTTAGGGCGTCTCACGCTCGTAGCAACATAGGTACCCGAGGAACCAAATCTAATCTGACAAGACAACTGGTAAGAGGACTGAACAGACTGAGTTGAGTTCAATTATTCGATCTAGTTAGTAGCTATGACTATTTATTACCCCCAGAGTCTCCCATTGTTTGTTATTATTTCGTGATTCGTTGATTCGTTCAACAGCATTTCAAAGAATATACCGGAATCGGGTAATGCGAGTTTCCAAATCACCCGAAGAGCCGATATCCTGTAGAGACTCTGCTTCTTCCAGTCGTTTGTTCATCTTTACATGAACCAGGCGGGTAATGAAGGCCAATAGTGCGACTAGGAGAGCAATCGCCGCAGTTGCACTTCCCCCAGGAATATACTGAGGACCCGAAGAAGATGGCCACATGTAACTCCCGTAAATTGAAGCAGTATTTCCAATCATGTTGGACAGAGCAATAGCAGCGGACCGTTTTACTAGAGGTCGAGGAAACGAATTCGCAACCCAAGCAATAATGATTTGATATGCAGAAACAGCCCCCATTGGCATTCTGAATATTGAGATTAGCTCTGTGATTTTTCAGAGAGGGGTACCCATGTTGAGTAGCAAGGGACTCACAGAAACATTCCAAAGAATCTTGCACCGATGTTTGTTGTCGCAGTGCAAATAATCCCGCCCACAACGCTGACAAGCATCAAGCAGATGATATGTATGCTGCGATCGTCTGTTTTTCCAGACGTCCAAGTGACCAAGAGCGAGACCAAAAACGTGGCAATCCAGACGGGGGCTGTGATCAAAAGTGTCTCAATATTATTATACCCCAGCGTCTGCACGATGGATGGGAAAAAGTACTGAAACGTCTGGGACAGAAGAGAAGTATGCTGCAGAAAAATGAACAGGTAAATCCTCTTATCGACGAAAACGAGAGTCAATGCTTCCTTGATACTGGCAGAACTAGCATCATCAGCTTCACCTGTATCGCTGATAAGGCGCCACTGTGCATAAGCTTGTTCCTGGGGGTCCAACCACGAGGTTGTCGCAGGGTAGTTTGGCAAGAAAATGCTATGAAATATTAGCCAATTCGGGGCTACGAGTCGCCAAAAAGGTAACATGCAACTCACGCCGCCAGAACGGAAACACCGACTGTGATGCATCCCTCAATTATAAATAGCCAGCGCCACCCAGAAATCCCGTGTGCTCCATTCAAATTACCCAGAACCCCGGCGCCAATCAGGCCACCAAAGGCATTGGCCAGGGAGCTTCCTGCATAGAACCAGGCAATCCTATGACTAAGTTCTTGTCGCGTGTACCAGCTCGACCTGAGTAAAGTGGGGTTATTTAATGTCGACATTCTTTCTCATAGGCAAGTTCGAACTTACATCAGCATAATAGCCCCAGGGAAGAATGGGGCTTCAACAAACCCGAGAAAGAACCGAGAAACCACAAGACCGGAAAAAGACGTGGTGGCTGCTTGACACGCCGAAATGACGCCCCTATGTAGGCTTTTTGAGCAAGAGTCGGGATAATGAGCGATTTTCATCGAACACGACGTACCAAATAGCCATAGCAACGCCCAAAAATCGCGAAGGACGAATGCGTGTCAGAAGCAGATTAGAAGGCAACTGCATGAGAAGATAGCCAACAAACAGGATGCTGGTTGCCAGGTTATAATCTGTGCCCTTCATTCCCAGATCCTTCTCCAGCGAGCCGAGACGGGCCTGGGATAGGTTACTGATACGGCTCGACATTAATATGTGAACTCAATCCAGCTATTGTTTGGCTAGCGGGGATACCCACTTGCGATCCAAGAAATTCAGAAGATACATGAGAATCAGAAATGGGAGAAGATGCAGATCTACTTTGCGTAGAAGAGACTTAGTCATCTTTTGATGCCATTCTGGGCTCTTGGCCACATAGGCTTGATATAGTACATCCTGTTGGAGGTTGAGATCCTTGCTGGGGGTTACTTGGTGCTCAATCTGTTCTGTGGTTGATTTAGCCATGGCGTTGGTAGTGAATGCGACCCTCGAAAATCCATAAAAGGGGGGGGCATATTGCTTTATAGATCCATTTTCCTGACCCTTAACTCGGAGAAGAGCCGAGCCAAGAGGGTGCTTGCGGGGGCGGAGAAGGCGGGGGATGGAGTCGGGGCGAGATAGCCCGAGAAGACCCTGACCCAGCTCCCTACATTAGGAAATTTCATAGCAGAAGCGAACCAAGAAAGACCGAATAAAATGTCATTTATTTTAGAGGTAGGATCATTTCATTGCTAGAAATTAGCACGTAGACACAATGAACTACTGCTGTATGGCATATATATGGTGAGGATGGACATCAGTCCAGTACGACAACGGAGCAGGAACCAGGATGGATTGAGAGCGGGTTGGGGAGCGGGTGCTGGCTCGGAAACAAAACGCTGTCAAAGAACAACACCGAATGGACGGAGTTTTTCCGTTAAATTGCAGAGCTCAGAAGAGGATATTGTGCAACACGATTGATTTTCCTAATTCGATATTACTTCTTTCTGCCAGCAAGCATTCTTTTGTTTAGGGCTTGTGGTCCGTTGATCAGCTACTAGCAGAAAGATCTGTCCCTGCTTCAGAGTTCCGTCCTCACAGCCTCTGGCTCATATATGAGCAGGATGAATGGTCAGGGAAATCAACATCGCAAATATGCCGTGTGGCTTCCAGCGGTGGTTGAAGCTCAGAAGGCTTGGGGGCTCCAGTCAACGGTGAAGGAATGTTACCTCAGCACTGACGCCTGAGGCACCAGTGAAAAACATTATTTCGGCCTGATATACCGGGCGCAAAATTTATGCCTGAGGCAGCAGATGAAATAAACAATGATGTCATAACAGAAACCATAAGCCAATCGCACCGGCACGTCACAGGCCAGATCAGATCGGCGTCGATGACCTCAGATCCGGATGGACAACTTGGGTCTAGCGGCCGTGAGCCAGCCATAGGATCGATAAGATGGCTGTGGGGCATGTAGTCCAATGCATTTCGCCGCAGCCCATCTTTGGGGCTTGATCCGAGCGCAGCCCATGACGATATCAATTTCCGGGGGTGAGAAGGAGGGGTTGCGAGCTGGTGAAGCGGAGTTTGGTCTTTTATAAACGGAGTGCAGCCCAGTGGCTTGTTCCTCCTCTTCTTCCTTTCTACACTTCATCAATTCTCCACCACTCGATACATCAAGACATTTATTTTCACATTCCATCATCTTCTTCAATCATTATGGATAAGCTTTCTGGTCTTGCTTCCAAGATTGGCGGGGGCAGCAGCAGTGGCAGTGGCAGTTCCTCCAACGCAAACACTAGTGGCAAAGAGGACTACATGGACAAGGGTGAGTAATTTCTTACAACCACTGGGATTCTCCATGTTTTGCGCGCCCTTATTTAACTTCTCGGACAGGCCTCGACTCCGTCGAGCGCAAGTTTGGTGGCGGCAAGATCGATCCGGAGAAGATGCGTGGCACCAATGAGAAGATCACCGATACTGTTCGGGAAAAGTTTGAGTCAATGACTGGGTAAGAAACCTCGACAATTTTTTGATGACTTGTGCTGATTCTTCTTTTCTATCTATAGCAAGGAAGTCCCAGAGAAGTTCTCGAATTAGGCTAGATATGGATATGATGCTACTCGCTGCTCATAATGATTGGCATTCATCTGGATTGGATACCGGCTACAGTCAAGTGAAGACATGATGGCAGTCCTAATACCCAAGGTAGACAGTTGTGCACTAGCGAATAATGAAGTGAATGTCCAAACTATTCAAGATATGACATCGATCCTGTACATCCTATGCATGAACCCGACTTTCCTACTCCTAGATCCCACTATATATCAAGTAAAACTTCCTTTCCCGGCCAAATGATCGTTACATCTAGTAGCGCTGCAGAGCAGCTAGAAACCCCCAAGGCCCGAACCCATTCCCTGCCGATTTGTGAACAACATCGTATTGGCACGGCATAGCTGCAGTTGATTGTTAATGCGCTGCTGCATCGCAGTTGCACCGGGTTCCCGGCAGGAGGCGAGAGCACGTTCGAAATATTTCTGCGCGGTTTCATACTCCTTGGCTGCAAAGTGAAGATTACCCAGCATCTCCAGAGATGATTGAGTTTCGGGATTATCCAGACCCCTTCGGCGTTCGACCCAGTTCAGATATCGTACCAACCACGGAATAGCTTCGGATGGTGGGCCAGTGTGGGCTGTAAACTTCATAGCGTCCTGGAGGGTATACATAACGCCAATGCTTCCCACAATATCGATGGTAAGCGGGTGATCGGGTCCCATGGATTCCTCAGAGATAGCGAGTGCCCGCCGAAGAACCTCAGAGGCTTCCATGCTTTGATGTGCACGAGTCAGTCCACGGCCATGTAACGAGAGAGAACGGATGGTAAGAGGATGTCGATCCCCGAGAGCAGCCCGGAGCTCTTCGTAGACAGAAGGAAGCAATTCAAACGCTTGTTGGACCTCCGGAGCAAAAACTGTAATCAGAGCAGCAGATTCGTCGCCGTGATTGTAAATCATATATTCCAGCTGATCTAAAGCCGCGGCAAAGACACGAATATGATTGTCTCCCAGCAACCGTTTGATGGAATTAGTGAGCTTCTCTGCCGTCATTAACGCGCTCTCTCGCCGATTGAGCGAGTTGTATGCCATCCCCAGGCGGCGTCGTGTTTCTAACGTGTCCAAATGATCTTCTCCAATGCTCATTTGCTGACGAGCAAGCACATTGGCAGAGATCGATTCGGCCTCATGATGCTTCCCCTGTTGGCATAGTGTCTCAGCCATGAGACTTTCGGCTTTCAAGGACATCGCATGGCTGTTCCCAAATACCCGGCGTGAACTATCCACCACCCACTGGCACCACTCATTCGCTTTCTGGAGGAAGCTGGATTCCAGCTCGATCTCAGCGAGATTGTATCCAACAGATAAAGTGCTCAAATGATCAGCACCAAGGGTTCGCAAATGTTCCTGAAAAATCTCATATTCAACATTTCGAGCTTCATCCCATTTGGCCCTATTCTTTAACTCTGCGGCCCGAATAGAGCGTGGATCGTTATCGATCGGAGTGAATATGGTCCCTACCACTCTCTCCGCAGGAGCCGGTGGCCTTCCAGGAGGCGAATAGGGCGCGCTACTGTTAGAGTGCATTCGTGGGGGAACCGGGGGCGGCGTTGGCCCGGTTGTTTGATGAGGGGATGGTTGAGGGATAAATCCCTGCTCTGCTAAAAGAGCCTGATCCACCAACTGTTTGATGTTTCCTTTAATGAGCCGGTACATTGGCCCTCGGCTGCCCACCTTGCACATCTGGGAGTGGTCTGCATCGAGTTTCAATTGAGTCTCGCGCAGACCAGACAAACCGAGAACAGCTGACTCTTCGTCAACGACCAGCTATTTGTGTCAGTTGTAAATTAAACCCTATCCACAAATATAGAAGTGACTTACGTGGCTCAAAGATGCCGGCCCAACGCCTCCTAGTAATACTTCCTTTCCCTCGATAAAACTGACAACACGATAGTCTTCTAGTTGATGCCGAAAGCGATCTGTCATTTGTCTTGTGAACAGGGAGTTGTGTTCGAGACAATCGAGTAGGTCATTACTGGCGTGACCCTTTGAGACGAAACGCGCGACACGAGCGGCAATTTTACCCAACTCGACAGCCTTCGCCCCTCGATGGGGCGTTCCAAAGAATACCAGACCAGATGTTGCTGTACGGATTGAGTTGTATTTGGGATCTTCTTTCGCGTTGAGAAGTGCCTGCAGAAAGACTCATCAGTTCAGGCAGATGCCAGGTTAAGTCAACATGCAACAAACCTGTTTAATTACCAAGCCTCCCAAGCTGTGTCCAATGAAAATGATTTTTGGTGGCATAGAGTGCTTTAAAACAAGTCAGAATGCGCAACAGAGTGTGGTACAATTTGCCAACGTACCAGCTGTGGCCCCCGCTCCATATCCAGCAGGTTCAGCAGTGTATTGGCATGGTCCTTGATACTAGCTGTCGACATAGTCTGAGGATTGGTTATGTTGGAGTTATAGCCGTAGACAAAGACTCGAGAGTAGGGAAGGTCCTCTGCGAGGAAGTCTCGAGGCCAAAACTTCCCATTGGCATGAGTCCATGTTTCGAACGGATGGTCGTTGCGACCGCGGGGATTGAGACCGTGAACAAAAACGAAGCTACCCAGAATCTGTGTGAGCTCAAAGAGTGCCCTTTATTGATGGGATCTGATAATACGTACTCGACCTTGTGGGACTCTCGAGGAGTATAGACCTCTTGCAAAAACGGAAACTCATGCTCGGCCGAGTCCTAGATGTACGATGAGACTTCGAGTCAAATTACTGGAGGAGGATATTTCCCTACCATTTTGATCCTTTATATTAGATTAAAGACGGACAGTTTCTTCGCCCAAAGAAATAGTTGAAGATGAGAAATGTTTCTATTGTCTGCAGGTGAGGCTACACACTGTGTCTCGCTTGCTGATACCAAATACGAGATGGCACTCCATGTGACATCCCGTCTGACAAACACTTGGCATTACAACTGGCGGATATTAACTGGGCTGTTAGCCAATAACCTGCATCTATATTGGTCGGTAGGAATTGCTCTGGATCTCGGCTGAGGGATTTGCGATCATCGGTTGGTCGACAATCCTACATGGGTGGCGGCCCGGCGACGACCCTGCATAATTCTCAAACTCTGACAGAATTGGTAGAAATGAGATAAATGAGGGTTTGATTTGGACCAGGGTCTATTCATTGTTATCATGCTGTATGTTGGGCGCCATCGCCATCGCCATCCTCATTCTTGATAGTTAGGTTTTGTAAGCATGGGGCGTAAAATAGGGTTCCTTTCCAAGCGCCAACTGCTGTTCGAGATACCACCAAGGCCCACAGTAACACAACAACAGCACTGAGAATCTGTAAAAACAGGCTTCGATTAGTAACCAGCCAAGAATGTTCATAGTAATCAAGAATCAACGCACCGTCCCGAAAACCTTGAAGAACATTAGATCTAGCTCCTTTCCCAGCTCCATCGTGTTTGCCGCATATACTCCCAAGGGGAAGGTAAAACCCCACCATCCCATGTTGAAAGGAAAAGGTGAACTGTACAAGATCGTCGCAAGTGCAAATACAAGCCAGATCAACCCAAAGCTCCACATGAGGAGGGAGATGAAGACCCCCAGGACGTAAGCCATCGATCCCGCGATCGGATCTAAAACGTTCGAATTCTGTAAAAGTTCCCGGGCCACTTTTCCAATATAGATGATGCTTAATCAAGAATACAATGTAAGTAAAATTTTTGGGTGTTTATCAAGCTGAAGATCGGATCTTACCCGAAGCCACCAAATCCAAGAGGACCCAATGGTAGAAAACAGCTTACGATGGCCTCCCGCGGAGGAAGCTTATGAACTGCAAGGCGTTGATAATAGATCACCAACACGAAGATTGCCAACGGTGTTCCCATTCCCCAAAGAACGAATGAAACAAGGAGAGTTCCCATCGCATGCTGCTTATTTTGCAGGATATGGGCAACCTCGGCGCCTGTACCAGCCGCAACGATGGTTGCAGCAATGGGAAGGAGCTGCAGAGCAGTGATGCGATCCAGTGATGTTATGTAGCGCTGAGAAATTCTGTTTCAATTACGTATGAGACAATTGTTTGAACTTGAGGCGAAGCGATACTGACAGAATGAAGGACAGAGACATGGTCACTGAGGCTGCAGCGACAACGTCTACCATCCATAATGCCCATGCAACGGACGTGGCCCATGTTCCCCATCGTGGAACACAGATGAAGACCCACATTTCGATCAGCGTGGCAAACCCCATCGGCAATGTAGCCAGAAAAAGTGAATTAGTGGGATCCTGAATCATAACTCGCCAGATTTCCGGATACAAAGTGTATCGCAGAACCGAGGTGACAAATGCCAGGAAGAAAATGACGACATTGAGCAGGAAGAAGACAATCGATAGATAGTAGAGAACGGGAGTATGGAAAGGCACCGAGTTCATTAGCACTGCAACAATGCCGGTGCCCATTGTAACTGCAAACCATCTGCCCTGCCATCTTAGTGGAATGTTCATGCATGTGTGTAGTTGCGGGGAGAGAACGCGTACGATGGGCTGAAATTGCGGACCACTCGTCGCCAGCCAGTATTATACTTCGCAGGGCCTTTAGCCTTAGCTCTTTCGGTCTTTGCCATTCTCTAATCAGCCGTCTAATGGAAAGAGGAGCATTCAAAGGGAGTTGCGCGGAACCACAAGTACCGGCTGGCGATCGCTGTTGTTTGCCTGAGTCAGCCTCGGCCGAGTGCGACCGGATGACGCCGCTGGCGTATATAGTGAATTTTGGCGCTCAAGACCCAGAAAAGCATCGCTTTTCGGCTTTCAATATTTTAACTAAAATATTTAACTATGATTAGTGACCAATAGGGAGTACAGAAGGATAACTAAAAGAAGTAAGCTTTATAATGACCCAGTGCTGCTGGCAAGGAATCGTCCCTTACTATCCGAATCTTTATCCCCGACAAGCTTGGTGTCTCCCAAAGCGAGCTCGCAGATCAGGGCAGGCAACTGGGTGAGGGTTTTCATGAGAGTAGACTCGTCCTTCATACCCAAGTTTCCCCATGAGATTGATTTACTTTGATTGCATATCACTTCGCCAAATTAATCGGTTATTGTGATCGGGCAGTAAAAGGATTGTCGAGACATTACGTCTGGAATTGGGCCAAAAAGGTTATTATCACAAGTAATGAAGACTTGAAGCGAAGATTGAGAACGTTTACAAGAAAAGGCCGATCAATTTAAAATAATAGTATCAAATCAGTGTATGTTCTTGCTCAGAAAGTCTTCCTGAGCCCCATCAGAATTTTAACGCCAGATATGACCACATTCCTATAAAATTCAGACTTCACCATATTTACCATGCGCCAACAATACCAGCAATGGGAATATCAATGCCAGTTGTATATGAGCTTGCATCACTTAGCAGGTAGACGTAGGCACCACCAAGCTCTCTGGGATCGGCCAAACGTGGCATACCGCCATAGTATTGCATCTTCAAATCCCAATCGGGGGATTTCTCGACATAGTAGGTCATGGCTGTTCGAACGAAGCCCGGTGAAATGCTGTTGACCCGGATACCGTGCTTGCTCCACTCCATGGCAAGAGTGTGACACATGTTGCGAACTAAACGGAAGATCAAAGAGAAAGGTCAGATCACGCCCATTATTTTAATTCACAGGGAACGCTTTCATCATTACTTACCGGCAGCCTTGGTCGCACCGTAGGGTGCCGAGGGGGCAGCCTAAGTCAAGGACCAGATGTGAGCATTCAGTTCAAAAAGCAGCCAGTGAAGACCAAACTTACCCTGTTAGGCCGATAGGAGGTCATGCTGGATGTCATGACGATCGAACCCTTGATACCGAGCTCAATGAATTTGCGAGCAGCAATCTGAGCGCAGAAGTAGGCACCGAATACCTAAGACGGCACATGAGCTATGTGACATTAACCAAGTCATACGGGAAACATACATTGAGATTGAACAATTTCTCTAACTCGGGTCGTTCAAACTGGAGGGCGGGTTGGTGTTTTGTCATTCCGGCATTGGCCACCAAGCCATCGATTCGACCCGTCTCCTCTACTACCTGATTGACGGCCTTCTCAATACTTTCTTCTGAGGTAACGTCTGTCTGAATGTAGCGCAAGTTGGAGAAACGCTTCTGTAAAGCCTCAAAATCCTCGCCCGGCTCCATCAGATCGAAAGAGTAAACCACTTTTGCAGCATTCGCTAAGCAGACCTCGGCGATACCAAGCCCAATTCCACGGTTGGCACCCGTGATGACAACCACCTTCTGCGCCAGCGTGATTTGCCAGCTGAAATCACCGGCTGGCATCGTGGTGCGGTAGGAAGCAGAGCCCTCAGACTTGAGGTCGTCCGATGCGCCATTCTCTATAGCAACGGGAGGCATTTTGGGATGATCAGGCGAAGCGGAAAATCTTGAGGAATGAAGTGATAAATGAGAGAAACGAGAAAATCGCGTACCATAAGCCCGTTCTAGAAATATATACAGCCCCAGCTAAAAGTTTGGCATTACCTCAACAATCCCCGCACCATCACGGCCCCTCCAAGCCCCTCTCCTCCCTTGGATGCTCCTCCACACTGATCCCTGCTTTTCGCAAGAAGACATAGAGGCGACGTAGTTGGTCCTCGACCCGAGGGCTCGTGCCGAGGTCGTTGGCAGTCACGTGGAATATAATTGTATTTGAATTTCAACCAGAGAATGAGACGGAACGCTAACGCATCCATGCTTACTTCAATTTGGCTCCCGGGACACAGAAGGTCTGACGAACACCCGCGGAATGCGGGGATTTACGCATTTAAGCGGACCGGTATGTCATTGTATTACGACTCTCAACACGCGGTTCCCCTTTTACCACCTCCCTTGCTGCCACCTGCCGAGGACTCGTATTGCTATCTCGAGAGACACTGTGTCGTCATCCCTCATGCCTCGTATCGAAGCTATCAATCTACAGCCAGTGGGGCTCCTGAATTGATTCCGGGGATGTGGATATCAACCCCAGGTTCAAACCGGCTCTCGGCTTCGGACCATCCTGTGGAATGATCGATTGCTCTACTGAACTTTCCGTCATAGCCCAAATCATAGAAACGGCTGGGCGGCGGGAAGTTCAAGGGAGTTGCGAGAGCATAAATATCCTTGGTTAGAAGTCAGGAAATGCTCGAGTTAAACTTGGCCTCTATCTGTTCTCGAAATGCCAGGACTATCAGCTATGGATTCTACCGACATCGAGAGCCAGGCAAAGGCCGGCATATCTTCCCAAGAGATTGAACATGCCAGTCTTCAGGAGACACCCTCGTTCTCAGCCGAAGAAGAAAAGGCCTTGGTCAAGAAGGTTGATCTTACCCTACTACCAACGATCTGGATCATGTATCTGCTTTCGTACTTGGATCGCACGAAGTAAGCGATCTCCCTCTACTTGTTCGTGAATTAATGAGGCTTATCACAAACTCACAGTATTGGGAATGCGAAGATTTCTGGAATGCAGGAAGATCTCAATCTGAGTTCCGGGCAGTATTCTATTGCCCTGGTTGTGTTCTTTGTAGGATATGTGGTTTTTGAAGTTCCTAGCAAGTAAGTCCACCTATGCTAACTCTTATGAGAGTCTATCCTCTGACTGTATAACTGTATAGTCTCATACTTGTTCGCACACGGCCGTCGCTCTTCCTCCCAGGAATCATGATCCTATGGGGTACTCTAACTTGCGTAATGGCTGTTATCAAGGATTTCAAGCATCTCGTGGCCCTTCGAGTCATTATCGGATGCGTTGAGGCAGGTTTTGCACCTGGTGTGCTGCTTGTACTGTCCTCGTGGTACAAGCGCACCGAACAATCCAAAAGATTCGGTGTGTATATCTCAGCAGCTATTCTTTCGGGGGCGTTCGGAGGATTGCTGGCAGCTGTCATTGTGGATAATCTCGAGGGTGTTCATGGGATCCGAGGGTGGAGGTGGCTGTTCATTGTCGAGGGTGCCGCGACTATTGGATTCGCTTTGATATCCCTCTTCATCCTACCCGACTTCCCTGCCACTTCTAGACGACTATCTGAACGTGAGAAGAGGGTTGCTGTCGATCGCCTGGCTACGGAAAACGTCACTGCGGTTACCAGTGATAGTGAGCGGTTGAGTAACATCCAAGCCATCAAGGTATCGGTCAAGGATTGGCGCACCTGGGTGTTTGTAATAGGATATATGGTAGGTGCAGTGTATCTACTTTTTGCCGCTCCTTCTGAAAATGGATCACTTACTATTTATCTCACGACTGCAGGTCATTGTCGGCTCTAGTACCTTGACCTATTTCTACCCGACCCTCGTCAAGGGGCTCTTTGGTGATGCCTCCACCGAAAAAGTCAATTTCTTAACAATCCCAATCTACGGCGTAGCATTTGTCTGCACCGCCATCACGGCTTATTTCAGTGACAAAATTCCAGGTTGGAGAGGATTAGTGATCGCTGTTTGGCTAGCTTTCTCTCTGATATGCTCAATAACCGTTTGCGCGGTCTATAACTTCACCGCGAGGTATGTTTTACTGGTCTTGATGGCGGCTGGTCTTTGGGCCACGAATGGAGGCACTCTAGCTTATGCCTCCTCTGCCTTCGCTGGGATGCATCCCCAGGCCCGAGGCGTTAGCTTGGCCTTAGTGAATGCTTTGGGAAATTTGGCTCAAATATATGGATCGGTACGCACTTTTTCATTCAACTTGCAAGAATATAGGCTGATCGACATACAGTATTTATTCCCTGACTCTGATAGTCCGAAGTACATCATGGGATTTTCGGTCATCTCCACAATGCTGGCATTGGGAGTCATTGTATTTGGCGCTTTGCATGTCTGGTTCCGTCGCCATGCAAAGTCGCTGATGAATAAGTAATCATTTGGCGAGCATCGCCGGGTTTGAATATGTATACTTGTTCACCTAGATATTATGCTTCATTGAACAACAACTCATGGGATCACCTGTTATAAGCTTGCCTTGGTCTGTAAACAATAAAATTCTCAGTACATGTTTATTCAAATGTGCCAAAATATAGGCTAGGCAAATCAGGTGTACGACTAGCAAGTGGATTTCCTTTTTCATTATAGCTATTTTCCATCGAATGCTCGACTTCGAAATGGGGATACGCATCAAGTATGGCAACTCCATGATCGATGTTCTATATAGATAAAGCAGAAGTTCCATGACCATTCACTCATGATTAAAGCAAACTGATTTCGTTTAAAGTAATTCAAGTTTTTACTTGGTCACTGCTACCCAAAATATCCATCCATCTCTTCATCTCATTTGTCAAGATCTCAATACCCGTTCTCATCAAGTCGGTCAAGGGACGGGTGGCGTTCGCTCTAAGATTAGCATGCCAAGGGTCCAGAACCAATTTATTCACGTTGAACTTCGTGACTCCTGCCTGAATACAGGCCCGGGCTAGGTCTGGGGAAAAGTCATTGGTGCCGTGCAGAACGAGTCGAACGCGACCGTTCATCGCCTTGAAAATCCCCTGTAGTCTGATTTACTCTGCTATCAGTGAGATGAAAGACAGGAAGCGCTGCACAGTGTACGCACCGGCTGAAGTCAAGCTGGGGCCCTTTGGCATCATAATCTCCATGGATGTTTCCAACGCTTGGTGCAAGAAAGTCGACGCCGACAGAAATGAATTCCTCTACATCTTCGGGGTTTGTCAAAATTCCTAGGCTCGTTAGACTCGATAATCTCGAATTAAGAAGGCTGCATCCTCATATGTTCGATATACCTTCAAGGTCGCCTGTATCCATGATTCCATCCTCACCACCCTCGATACGGCCGGTCTCGGCTTCTACTGAAATGCCCCGTGCATGACAAAAATTACGCAAGATTCGGGTCTTTTCCAAATTTTCTTTTTTTTCATAATGACTCATGTCGACCATGATTGAGTCAAATGGGAGGTTCTCGGCCACATATTTAATCTGATCATAATCCTGCGCGTGATCTAGATGAACCGAAATGGGAACAGATGCACTTTTCGCAGCAGCGGCAGCGGCAAAAATTAATGAAGGGGTTTGCTTGAGGGCTGAAGGAAATAACTGGAGGATCAGAGGAGAACGCCGTTGTTCCGCCGCTCGAACAAACGCAGTGATGTGTTCGACATTGTATCTGAGATCTGTCAATTCTTGCTCTAGGCATGGGACTGTTTCAGGTTGAAAGGTTTCATACTACTTACACAATTGCAGCCAGAACTCCATATCCGCCCTTCTCGGCCGCGGTCAAGATTTGACATGACCGGTTGCTATCTTGCCAGTTCATTTTGAAGTAACAAAGGATCAAATCATTCTGCGACAGGATCTATGCGTATGCCTTGAGGTTTTATGCATGATAGATGCAGGTCTAGCTTGCCTACTGCGGGGAAGGCCGTCCACACTGGCAATTTCATCATTGTTTCCTGTCTCGTGCCGGGGCACGCTCGGCTGTATCTTGGTATTTCCCCGCTGGCCCCACAAATGACCGTCCGAAAGCCTTCCCAGTGGCTCCTTCTTCGAGATTGTGGGTCATGGGGACGGACGTCAACCGAAGCACCTCGTTGCGATCATTGCTTTCCATTTTTCAGTCGTTGTCCTCGGGTGCGAGCCTGACTTGCGCCATGCAAAAGGTAAAGGGGGCTTTGCGCCATAAACGAAAGTCTCGAAGTCGAGGGCTTCGCGCTACAACTGGTTGGTTCGTGCTCTGGCGCCTGTGCCCCGGATTTGGGAGGGTTTTCGGGCTAGAGCCTCATGGATCGAGACTGACGTTTCGATGGTTACGATAGTATCATCTGCAAGCAACGCCACGTGAAATGCGACGAGGTCGGATCTTCTCAAGTAGCAATAGCTATCAGGCTCTGTGAGAATGATATCTAATCAAATATTTAGGCTCGGCCTCAATGTGGCCCTTGTACCAAAGGCCAGCGTCCCTGTGTCTATGCACCTTCAACCGCACCAGCTAGGCGACATCCTAGGCTGGCTAATTCTTCCAATCCGACAGTAAACGAGCGAAGCTCACCGCAGCAGTTCCATCAACCATTACAGGATTTAGTCGATGCTTATGACCATGAGAAAACCTCCCAAGAAGAAAATTTGCTCTCTCGTGGACCCCATGCAGCCCTTCCGCCGATCGTGACGATTGCATCTGCGGAAACTCTTTCAGTAACATCGATTCCTCCTACATCCCATTCACCCTATAGCCATGTCCCTTCTCCAGGAACGGATAGCTCGGTTTCAACCAGAGCGGCACCTTTGAGCTGGTTCGAGCTCTTAGCCACCGATGCTGCGAACGCTGACGACCGATTTTTATTGTCGCCACCACACCAATTCACCCGTAATCATCCAAGCTATGGGGGAGAGGACCCCCGAAATAGCTCAAATCTACGACCCCGAACACTCAGAGAACGTGAAAGTTTCTATGCGGCGGCTTTTTCTCGCGATCCTGAACTTGAGCGCCGACTGGCGCCGCGTGCCATGGAGACGGAATCAGTCGTATCTGATGACCCGGCTTCCTGGAGCACAGTCTCTTCAATCTCTCTGTCGGATTTTGAACACCGACTCTTTCACCATTTTGTACGAGACTTGAGTCAGTGGCTTGACTTTTACGATCCAACCAGACAATTTGGATCTGTAGTTCCCCATCTAGCTCTTAGAAACGTTGGTCTGATGAGGGCGCTGCTTGCTCTCTCCGCTCGACATATGTCCATAGAGGCCGAAAGATCCGCATCCATACCTCACTCCTCGGTTGAAGAAGGGAGATCATCGGGATCACCTGGGAATGCACAGGAATCATCGTGCGCGATCAATCGCAACCTGGCGGTTCAATATTATTACGAAACGCTGCATTATTTGAATCAGGCGATGCAACATCCCTCATATGCTCGCAGCAATGAAGTCATTGCAACTTCCATTCTTATCAGTACCTATGAAATGATTGATGGCTCAAATCAAGATTGGGAGAGGCATCTGAAGGGTGTTTTCTGGATTCAGAGGTTTCAAGACAATGATGGAGAGTCTGGGGGATTACGGCAAGCTGTATGGTGGGCATGGCTTCGGCAAGACGTTTGGGTTGCTATGCGTGAAAAACGACGTGTCTTCAGCTTTTGGCAACCGAAGAAGCCTTTGTCAGCCTTGACGCCTTCTGAACTTGCGACTCGTGCCACTTACCTTCTCGCACAGTGTGTCAACTATTCTTCTCAGGAGGAGCAAGAGACTACGGATATCTCACGTCGCCTTGAAAGGGGTAGCGAATTGCTTTTCATGCTTCAGGAGTGGTATGATTGTCTGCCAACAGAGTACAATTCTCTTCCGACAAGCTCAAAAGTCGACATCTTCCCTCCGATCTGGGTTCATCCATCTCATTACGCTGCGGCATTGCAGGTACATAGCCTTGCTCGTATCTTGGTGATCCTTCATCGACCATCCTCAGGAGGATTGCAGGACTACAGAGCAGCCCAAAAGCTTTTAACATTGTCGGTCAATATTATATGTGGAATCGCTCGCACTATCGACAAGAATGATGATGCAGCAAGTCTTGTTTCCATCCATTGTCTATTTGGAGGTATGTGCATGCACACCGACTGCCAATCAACTAGGTGCAAGAAGTTAACAACATATTATAGCTGGAATGTGTGTTTACACTCCCAATGAGCGATTGGCCTTGCTGGATCTTCTTGATTCTTGCCAGCAAGCTGTTCGGTGGCCATTGACATCTCTGAGAAAAGAACTCGAGCTGGAATATGGAAAGGATGAATTTGCCAATCTCGCAAAATGATAATATGAAATGCGTCAAGGCCCTGCAATAATTCATCTCTTTGTCCACAAAACACTCTATACCAATTTTCAAAGCCAAACATCTATATTTTGATCAGTTTAACGAGAATATTTACGGAGTCATCATTAGATTCTTTACTCCAAGATAGCCACTAAGGTGACATCAATCTGCTGATTCTCCTGTAAGATATGCTCCCAAGTCCGACGCAGTGGACAAGTTCGGACCTGCGCTGACTAAATGTCAAGCCGGCGAACGTCGCGCTTAATGGCTATCGAAAAAACGCGAACGCCACTTTCAAAATGGAGAAATACTATTTATTCACTTATATCGCCATATGAGACAGGACTGAAAAGAGTTGTCAAAATAATCAGTAAATCAGCCTTACACTACTGGCCACCCAGTAGAGAAGCTGATCGCATTCCACCCAAATAGCTTCTGACTATCGGCGTAGCCAACTGTTGTATCAACATAGTGGTAGTAAAGCACTGGACCATAAGTAGGATCGGTATAAACTCCCCTGTATATGTCGTTAGATCATGAAGCACAGATTGCGTATCGTTATATGTGAATCACATACTGTCCACCCGGGCCATAGACTGTTCCATGGCTTTCTAAAACAACTGTACCTCCTCCAGAAGTGCAAGCTGTACCACTTTTGTCGACCTTGAGATAACTTGACATTAGAATCTATTCGGAAAGGTTGACCAGTTTCAACTTACAAATCCGCTCGTCGGTGATGTTGATCGGCAGACTCTGATCTTGTATTCTTCTCCGCTTGCGGGCATCGAACTATCATACCCACAGCAGATACCTGAAGAAAAGAACAAGTAGTAGTAGCTGCCATACTTATACATGAAAGATCCCTCCTCAGCATGAGAGCCAGTCGAGTTATAGGCTAAATTATATGAGGAAGAGGACACTTTCGTCGCAGCAGAATTCATCGGAGCCTGATAAATATCGTGCCAGAAGGATCCGAAATTCATATAGTAAGTTCCATCGACATCAATCAAATTGCCATCGATGGCGTTGTAAGGCTTCGCCGACGTTGATGCAATGCCAGTAGAACCATGATCGGTCCATGAATTGAGTGCCATAGTCTCAGACGTTGCAAGTCCAATGGCCGAAGATTGGGACCCGAAAGTCGACACGGAATAGTAGAGATAGTAGAGGTCGTCCACAATGTGGACGTCGGGAGCCTACCATGCGAAGTGTATTGTCAGTTTACAGCGATAATTCTGTTATTTTCAACTGAATGGGTATCATTTCGAAGACTGTAAATCAAGTTTCGTCCGTCATGCTTACATACCCAAAGGTCATCGTTGCCGTCAAGATCAATGGAAGAGCCATCAGGAAGCACGGATCCGATTGTTGTCCATGGCCCCGCGATAGAGGATGCGCTAGCATATGAGATCTTATTTCCAGTGGAAAATCGGAAATAAGTACTGTCCGACGATCGTTGTATTAACGCCGGGTCATGGACGTTGCAAGCGCCCGAACAGCTGCCGGGATTTGCATATCCGTGAACTAGAGCAGCAAAAAGTGCCGAAGGGATAGCAAGCTTACGAAAAGCCATGGCAAGACTGTAGATTAAAGGGCAACTCAGTGATTTATACGTGATGTTCAAAGGGATACCATCCTTTTATATAGATTTCTGACCCCTGAATATCTTACAAAAATGTGGAAATAGTTTCACGAGTATCCATTCGTGGAAATGGGACAGTCTCATAGGCGGGACACGGGTGGGATGCCTTAGCATAAAGAGTCCCCCAAATATCCAAGGAAAGAAAAGAAAAGGGATAAAAGCCTTGTGGGGTTTTACTCCCGTGAAAAATGAAATTTCAAAGGGGTGTAGAAACATGTGGGTGGATGGGTGGAGATGGATGAAACATGGCCAAAGCAAGCCGCCGACTGGTGGGAGATTTGATAGACTCCGGGGTACGCCATTCAAGTATTTGCAGAGATCAGAATGCGGGGGAGTTTCTTCAGTCGGCTAATAGGAATATACAACCGCACAAATCGCATTTTCCATGACTCATTTACCGTCTAGTGTTCAAGAAAATATTTTTAACCGACTCCTTGAACGAAGTCGTGCCTAAAACAGTTCATACCGCCGTACCTCGGCCCCACAAAGATGAACCGTCACAGCAAGCCAGCCATCACCCTTGTGAGCGCTTCATCCGAAGCCTGAAACGCATCAAGAACACCAGACATCCGTCCATTTTCCAAGTGAGACATTCCGAAATCTACACCCGTCGTCAACTCTGCATCTGCGCCAGGGTCGAAATAAAGACCACCCGCAATCTCAAAAAAACTACTCAAATCTTCACAACCGTTCGATTCTGCTTCCACGGCAGTTCCAGGTGATCGTGGCCAGGATATTCCAGATGATGTCTGCGGTGTATTGATGTCAGATGGATGATACAGACCGGGCATGCCTTGATTGGGTGGGGATTCTGTGCTCGAAGATAGCGGAGTTGCGCCCCATAAACTTCCTGCTGCAAGAGACGGTGGTAAAGGTGGCTTGGAAGGAACCCCGGGATTTCTCCGGGAATCTGCAATTCGTTTTGGCGCTCTATGGCGCTTTGTTGGAGATTGTGCGCCCTGCTCATTTCGCCATCGCACATTTAGTTGGATTCGCTTCAGACTGTAAATGATCTTCTGAAGGCGCCGAGAGGTGCGGGCCCTAGTTGCCGAGCGACGAACCATATCGATTGCAGAATAAAACTCCGGTCGACAAGTATGGCTATACCGCGCAGGAGCATGTAGCACTGCCAAGAACAAGGCAGCAAGAGCAGATATCAAGAAGTAATTGAAGGGCTCTGGTCGCTGGAAGTATATGTTTGAAACGCGACTGAAATAGTCCAGCATATGGATTGTGCTTTTTGCAGTCTCGACGGCAACAGAAGCTCCAGAGGGATCCTCGGCAATTCGCTCACTGCTTAGAAGGTTTTGTCGATAGACGAGGATTCGAAGCTGATTGGCTTGGAGCGCCAGTAACACTTGAAGCATCATGACACGATCAGTCTGTTCCGACCCTGCTGGCGATCGCCAGTTTGGGTCGAAACGTAGTTCGCGGGGGATAGATCGTACCCATTGCTGCACCTGCGCATCTAGAAGCGCACATCCTTCTGAAATCGCTTCTCGCGACCGATTCGGCCATCCAACAACGAGTCCCCAAATTTTTGTACCTAGCCGAGCATAAGAAATCATACAAGTAAGATAAGGCGAGGAGTGACCGGGCTCTGGTAAGTTGGTGTCCATATCCGAGTCCTGAATAGCAAATGGTAGGCCGGTTCCGAATGACCACTTGCGGTCCAAAACATAAATGCACCAGAATAGCCGACTGGCCCACATCAATTCCAGTGCGCCTGGGAATACCCCGCCGGCTTTTTCCCATGTTTCTTGGCAGTGTAGGCCAAGCTCCATACTTCCTCGGGCTGCCATACCCGTGAGCCGCCAAGCAATCACTTCATCATCACGATAGGAGTGAAAAATGGACTACAGATATGACTGTCAGATAGTACCCCAAGGAACATTCGTCTTCCAATAAAACTTACTAGTAAGGTGAGAATAAGAATTTCCTTCATATCCACTTGAGCGATTTTGAGTCGGCTGGCAAATCGGTCCTCGACATTATCTGCCAGGCGAGCTGCAAGCTCACTCCGCCCGTGAGATTCGACTAAAAGAGCCGTTGCTAGTAGAATACTTAGCACCTGGATGTCTCGTGCATGAAACCAGTCCTGATCAGACAATGTGGGCACAGCACTAGCTGATTGACCACTGCTAGAAGTAGTTGAGTGAAAGAATTCGGCACTGTAAGCGCGCACGCTAGCCAGATCGACACAAGGATACATTATTCCAACTGTATCTTCGTACACCTGCAGCAGTCGTAGAACCTCCTCCAGTCCTAGATGTCTTAATGAATCATCAGTTTCTAGCGTACCCACTTTCCTCGCCGGAGGGAGGCTTTGAGCAGCTGTCGACTGATTGAGATCCCTATCGTCCTCATCCACCCCGAGTTCGGTCTCAACGTCTGATTCGTGTGACAGGTGTTTGTATGGTTGACTCAGACCAAATTCAGCGCTAGTGGGTCCGATGTAGGAAGGCGAGTTTGGCGCATTCAAAATTCGGTGTAGCCCTGCACCGGCTGAAGATGTCACTGCCTTAGGCGAAGAGACAGGGGTGACCTTTTCCACTTTACGCAACCGTGCGGAAAGAACCTCAACTTCCTTCCGTAGTGTCTCGATCTGGTGATGAACAGTGTCAAACCGAGTATCCACCCTGTTCGAAATTAGTAAATGTAACAAGAGATTGGCGCGGAAAACGCGGGGAAACAAGAGCTGGGTCCCAAACGCGGAATGCCTTCGGAACCGGGAAGCGATGCCTCATACCCGTCATCCTCGACTTCCTTAGTCTCAATTTCGATTTCAAGAGTTTGTGGACTTGGTGCAGAAGGACGTTGAGAGTTATAGATACATGATATTTGTTTCCGTACACATCGTGCACATGTGTCATCCCCGCTGCATTTGAGCTTGCGTCGTTTGCATTCGTTGCTAGAAAGATCAGCGAAGCCACAGAAAGGAAATGAAGACAGGATCACGATTGTGAGTCGAAACATACCAAGCGACAGCGGTATATTTTGCCCTCTTCCGTCGTTGTGTGGAAATATTGTTCTCTGGTCTTGGGTGGTCTGAGTCCATTTCCATCCCCGGATGGGAACCGTCAAGCGCACTGTGAGCGAAGAGCGACAGTAAGTGTCGGAAGTTGAAGCTCGGAAGTTTTAGATGTGGCTCGGAACTGAAGGACGGTGAATTGGCCTGTCTTATCGGCTTATCTGTTAGGGTGGAGAAATAAAGTTATTTATCAACCAAATCAGGGTGAAGATTTTACCCTGCAAACATCTGTCTCGAATTTGACTTGAAAATATAGCTTCTCAAATAAGATAACGATCTACTCGGTATTTCTTTTTTTAACATATCATCATGCATTAAATCCCTCAGTGCCTTGGCGGCAGTATTTAATAGTATATACAGTTTCAAGTTCTCTACCGAATCCTGGTGCCTAGATATGTGCTTTCCGGCAACATTCCGCATCAGCCAAACGTGATGATCCGTTCTTGTTAGAAGGCACATCAATAGATGGGTTGGCCACAAAGAAGTCAGCAGGTCGGATCATGAGCTGGAAAATCTCAACGGGCATCACAGGCCAATCCTCCACTCGTGGATTATGGGTGATGCCAAATGAATTCCAAACAACAACATCTGTGTCAGCCACGCCGTCACCTCTACGGACTGCATCCGCAACACCGTCAACTTCATGTTGGCTTTGTAAGGTATATCGGCCACCTGCATACAGCTCCCCATCCTGATGTTTCGTCACCCAGACGTGATGTTGAGCGAATTGTGCCCGGCGAGCTTGCACAGACTCCGGATCAGCTAGGAGCATTTGTGTGGCTAACGGGATAAATTTGTAGCCAACAGGGTTGCCGCTAATCGGGTTGATTTTATGGGGGTTGATCATCTTGATAGTTCGGTTATGCTCCGGAGCTGCATCGACCCAGGAAGCTCGTTCAATAGTCTTCTTGGTGACCTGATAGAAGTTCCCGTTAGGGTTTGTCACTGCATTCATGGGTACTGGATGTGATTCCTCGACAACCACAGAGTTCCTTTGACCATCGATTGCCGGATCAATGCGAACACAGAAGATATGTTGATGGTTTTGGGCTAGTACTCCGCCGCTCACAACATTGCCGTATTCGCTGACCTTGCCAGCATCGATATTCACAACATTCAGGATACCTGTCGCACGAGCCTCCACGATAATACCGCCCGATTGGTCAAACTTGTAAGCAAAGATGTACTCATAATTGGCCAGAGTGATGATAAACTGAACGACCAGTTCTCGGTTACGAGTTACCACAGCTCGACCAGTTCTCCAGTTGGAATGCTTCCAGCCAATACCATTGTCCTGCTCATGAAGGCAGATAGCATTGGGCAAGGTCTGAGCGGTACCATCTGCCTGAGTAATCACGGCATCGAAATATTTGATAACTCCCAGGCAGTCACAGCCTAGAGAGAGATTGTTGGCCATGTTGCCACCGCCGCCGTCGCCAAAGTCAAAGGCCTGCTTGCGATGGAAAGGTGGCCGAGGGTCGGCATATGGAACAGTCTATGTAATATTATGTTAATCCAATGGCAAATCTGATGGGCTGTTGGGTGGCCAAAGACATACCATCTCGCTAATTGCCAGACGATGCATGACACTACGGCCGTCATACCACACATCGTGGATCGTAGCGCCTTCTCGAGGATTGAAAGCGACTCGAAATCTCCATTTTTGCCACTCCACCAGGGACTCATTGGTGACCTTGAATGAAGGACCTTCCGGTTGCACCACGTTCAAAGGCTTGAGATCCTTGCGAGTCCCTTCGGGGAGAAGCTCCGGGACGTATTCTGAAGGCTTGCAGTGACCTATAATGTCTTGTTTGAATGTCTGCTCCAGGAGTCCATCTCCCTTGCCGCCTGTTGCGGGTCTGTCGACCCGAATAATTTCTTGGGTGTGCGCATCCATGACGGGGATGATGGGGAGGGGAAAGGAGTAGAAGTTCGAGTCGAGGTTACCCGATCGCTTGTCCTGGGCAAAGCAAAGACCTTGGAAATAGCGGCGATTCTCATCTGTATTGTCGAGACCCCCATATGGCCATGGCTCGATCACAACCTCAAATCCTTCCGGCAATTTAAAGTCGGCCAGAGCGGACTTGAACAAGGGCGAGCTCATGCAACGATCCACTAGGACATCAAATTCACTCCTAATCTAAGGTTAGCTCTGTCTGAAGATATGCAATGGAGAAATGGTTAACCTACAAGGTCAAACTTGCATGGTGTTGCTTGCCCACCACAGTATGCTTTACTTGTGAGCGAGACACCACATCGACCACAGACTCGTGGAACTGAGGAATGCGATCAGTGCCAATCACATCGTATTGACAAAGCGCCAGGCGAGGAGGCCTGGGAGTAGTTGGGCTCAATCGACCGGCATGCTCAAGGGCAAGAAACTCGACTAGTTGTGTCTTGGGCGGCTCCTGCAAGAAGATCTCCCGAAAATCAATGACAGTGTTTGGGTGAGCAGCTTTGACGACGTCGCGGGCCAAGTTGGTCTCAGTCTCGGAAAGGATGGCAAGCGGGTGCATTACAGACATTTTGATGTACTTCTGGTAGATGGGAAGCATGATTGAGAGGACGTTCGGAGGATTTCATATTTAAATAGAGCTTCCCCGCGCTTCCTGTGGGCCTCTCGGTTCTTTCCGAGGGCCAGGTTGCTTCCACGCACTTTCCGACACTCCATCGCGGCGGTTTTTGCTCATGTTAGAAGACAAATTTGATCTCTCATCTCCAAATGTGATATTAGATGATGCCTAGAAGAAACTGGAGCGCGGTAAATTTCAGTGTCATTTATCCTCGTACATACTTTACTCTGCGCTTTGGCATATTCCCCAGCATGTAATAACAATCTTTTGTCTACGCTCAGTGTTTGAGTTTTGCTGGGAATAGGCGTGGACATAATGCCGAGGGGCGTGCATATATTTCCATTCCTGCACATCACCTAGTTCCGCCCTTTGTTCCGAGCTGCCTGCATTGCAGATAATGCCGATCCTACTTCAGTCGCCGCAGGCCCCAGAATTATTCTACGCGCTATCACTGATATCTCGATAAGGCCTGCTATCTCATGGGCAGTCTCGGAACCCCAGTCAACCCTTCATTGGCAGTGTTGCACGACAGAATAGGTCGCAAACTCCTGGCATCTATAATGTCGACGATCTTCTTGATACAAGAGTCAAGTTTGAAGAAATAGAAACAAATATACCGAATTTCATTGAACCCTGAAACTAGCGACGAGCCTGTGAACTATCTTTTCCATTATTATTGCTGAACGGGGCGGAATTCTGCCGAGGAAAAAAATGCGGGGAAGACGCCGCGTGGAGAACGGGGCGAATTAACTTGGAGTAGGTCTGTCGAGATAAGCCCCCTGGTATGATAACCAAGGTTATTGTGCAAAGAGCGGAAAGAAAGTGATGAGCCGCCCTTAAACTCTGTCGTATTTCTCATTAGGTTCCCTCATGGCCTATATAATCTCACCGGAACCCGCCTCCTACAATCTCGGCAACCAAGCCCCTTTAAACACTTAATTCAATTCGCACTGCCGTACTGTATCGGGAATATTATATGCTGTGCACTAATGAATATTTCGTCTGATCCTGATACCAAGGTGGCTACACCAGAAAAGCCTCTCAGCGATGAGGAACAGCTGGCGGCACTGGGACATGTGCAGGAACTCCGTCGGGAGTTCTCGCTGTGGTCCATTGTATGCCTTCAAATATCCTTGATGGCCACCTGGGAAGCTCTTTCATCTGTTGTAGCGACGGCCTTAACAAACGGAGGAGCCCCATGTTTATTTTATAACTAGTATGTTGCATGCTCTACTACATACGTCCCGAAATAAAAAGCTGACGATTTAACGTCGTTTTCAGTATAATTGCCCTAATTGGTACCATTTTTATTGTACTCTCGCTTGGCGAGATTGCCTCCATCTACCCTACCGCGGGAGGTCTGTGGACTTTTCCATGCTCTTTCTCCCCAAACTGCTCCTGGATAAGCTAGATGCTGATCATCTCCCTCCAGGGCAATATCACTGGGTCCATTGTCTGACCCCATCATCCTACCAAGCCACAGCTTCATGGTTCACTGGCTGGATCTCAATCGGAGGTCAACTCGTGCTCGCCGCTTCTGCTGCCTTCGCCGCTGGACTGCAGCTACAAGCTCTGATTACTATGAACCATCTCGACACATATATTCCCACACGCTGGCAGGGGATGTTATTCTATTGGTTGATTCTGACATACTCAGCCGCTGTGAATATCTGGGGGTCCAAGATTTTACCACATACTAACACTGCTGCTGGTAAGTCAATACACCTCAAACCGCTGTATGTTCCAGCTACTAAACCACAGTAAAGGAGTGTTGCATGTTATAGGCTTTATAGTTATTGTGTGCGTTTTGGGCGCCATGTCTGAAAAGCACTCAGCCAGCTATGTCTTCACAGAGTTCTCTAATACCAGTGGTTGGAGCAATGATGGGGTCTCCTGGCTAGTGGGACTTTTGAGCGCTGTGTATCCATTTCTTGGGTGAGGTCCATTCCCGGATTCACTACGCTATTTTGGCTAACTTTATCGTACTAGATATGATGCTGCTTGCCATTTGAGCGAAGAGCTTCCGAAACCATCTCGGAATGTCCCGCTCGCTATGGTTGGCAGCGTGGCAATCAACGGCCTCATTGGGCTGATATATGCTATCGTGCTACTCTTTGCGCTTGGAGATCTCGACAGCCTCCTTAAATCTGAAATTGGGTTTCCTTTCATGCAACTATTTCTGAATGTTACGGGTTCAGCAGCCGGGGCTTCTATTCTCGCACTCTGTATCACTCTAATTGCAGTTGCTGCCAACGCTGCTGGATTGACTTCAACAAGTCGTACAGCGTGGGCATTTGCCCGAGATAACGGGCTACCCGCTTCGAAGTTTCTGTCGGTTGTGAGCCCGACCGCAAAGGTTCCAGTCAGAATGGTATTAGTGGTATCATTTTTGCAGATGCTTTTGGGGTTGATCTATCTTGGCAGCTCCACTGCTTTCAACGCGGTATTGTCTATGGCCATTTTGGGCATGTATGCCTCATATTTCTCACCTATTTTATTCATGCTGTTATATGGTCGACGGTCATCAGGCCCTGTCACTCAAAGACTCGGCTCTGGAATGTTCAATCTGGGCCCACGATTGGGTCCGGTAATCAACGTGCTTGCCCTGATATGGCTCGTTCTAGCAATGGTCTTCAGTACTTTTCCTACTGTTGAGCCAGTGACGCCTGACAACATGAATTATTGTGTGGTAGTCATGATGGGTTGGGTCGTGATTGGAGGTATTTATTATTATATTTTCGCCGGAAAGAGACGCTTTACAGGCCCTAAAGTAGAGTTTGTTGAGGGAATATGAGAGTGACATGTCTTTTTCAACTCGCTGCTATAATTGTCAACATAGTCCGAGTCCAGTTTTCTCGATGATCTTTCCCCCTCAGTATCCTACCGTCTTGTATACATTTGGCAAGCATTGCCTTTAAAGAAGAAGTATGCTGTTGCTCGGCTCATCTTCTTTTTATTCGTAAACTTCCTCTAAATGGAGTGGCTTGGCATAAATTCTTATTTGGCGGATTGGACTCGCCCTACGGATATTCAAAAAGCTATTCAATTCTGCATGTACATTGATATTGCGAATCCGTTTACGAGAATTGATCTATGCCCGTCTCATATCTGAACGTTCCTAGCTGAGTAGTTTCGAGGATGCGAGAAAATAATGTCTAATTTCTGAATAGACTTCTAACCCTGACTTTCGCGATAAAGCACCAACATTTCTTTCTTTACCTTGATGACTCCATGTGTGACAGAGTCAGAAGATGTAAAGGTGATCATATTGGCTATCCTCTAAACTAGCTAAGAAGGTGCCATTGAGTCAGGTGACCTAGCTTGGAGGGTAACACTATGAGTCTTTTTTTTGGCATATCAACTACAGTTGTCTAGAATACTTTTGATTAATGTTCTCTCCACATATGTCAATTATTAGGGTATGATCGAGAAGCGGCAGGAAAAAGAGTTCACAATGAAGATATATACTAGCCGCTCGTGTCTGCCATGTATACTATAAGTATCGTCATGCGGACTGAGTAATACAAAAAGATCAAGCTTACATCAATATGTGTGATATGAGGACCCCGGGAAACTAAAGAACAGCTTGGATCACCTGCCATCCGTATGTGGCACATGCGTAGAGAGTTACTCCTATCTCCCACCTTCTGACTCTAACCAGCCAGAGGCCGACAGCAGCGAATCGCCGGGGCAGGATATATGCATGACGATATACTATTTTCACAGGGAACAACAAGTTAGAATCGGACTCCTTTATCGTTGTACCTTCGGTAAGCAGCGGAATGACGATATCAAGGTCATCGAAAGAGAATTTCCCCTTTCTTCCGAACTAAATCTCTTCAAGATTCAGTTATTGAAATAATACACCTTTTCTATTCTTCTCTGATTCAAGAATGATTCAATATTGTATTCATCTTCCTTACCTGACCAACAGGCCGCTACCCTGCAAGTAGCACACCCTAACATGAAAACTATATAAAATACATAGTCACAAGACACTACTATTTTTCCTTTTTCTAGAGCCTATAAAAAGCCTATAGCCCACTATAGGCTCAAGAACCGGGCTTAAAGCCTAACCTATTTACGGGTTGAGTTAGGTTGGGCTCGGGCCCGTGTGGGTTTTGGCGATGTCTAGTTGATATGCACGATTCGCCCACGATTCTAGTATCCTAGGAGTAATAGATATATAGCAATCGTTTATATTTTACATCTAACGAATGAAGGCTTCTTCCTGATAAGGTTCTGGAGCGTATCTAACCCCGTTTCTCGCTGTACGAGGCCCTGTATGTTTATTGATTCTATTTGAAAGCGTACGCCTAGGCACGCTAAATTCACGCGCTAAACGCGTGATATTCGGCTTCTCAACAGGTGATGCAGCTAGGCAGGCCTCATCCATACGGGATTCATCGAATTTGGGCATAGTTAGGTAGTGGCGTTGGATAGGGAAGTAAAAATAGGAAGATATGGAAAAGGCACTATCAGAACGGCAAGAGACCGCCAAGGGTTGCCAGACAAATCCGGTATATATGCGACTGGGCCTCACCTTATCTGCGTCGGATGGGTGTGATTGTACCCACGGACAGCGAGGGCCGATTGTTTCTAGATGCAGTTAGGCGGCCGAGCGCGCCCCGTTGCCTGGATGCGGCGCGTTGATTGGGTCCCCGGCTGACAACAGGGCCACGGGCCTCGTCGAGATCCAATCAGTGGACATCGTGGGTGCGAGTTGTCCGTCTTTGCTTGTTCAAGCCACGAGGGTTGAGGCACTTGCCAAGGAAGGAAACAAGCGACACGATGGGAGCAGGATGGGAAGCCAGCTCGACAGCTCGGACAATTTAAAACATGGAAGAGACCCCTCTTCCCCCACCTGCTGGGCCATTTCGCTGTCGCTCTTACCTCGCCGAACGCTTCTTCGCTCGACGCTCTAACGCCATCACCTGTTCGAGTCAACATGGACGTGGAACAATCGGCTGGCACCTTTGCCTCGGCAGAGGCCTCGAATCAAGCTAAAAAGCAAAGTGACCTTTCACTCGCCGAAGATCGCTCGATCGGCCATGGAGAACAGGACCTGCTCGGAGGGGAGAAGGTGGACGAAGTGCTCGCGGCCAAGATGGCTCTCGTGAATGATGTAAGTGAGAGAGAGAAAGAGCAACAGCGCGCATATCCTGCATCGCGTCTTTCGCATTTCGGTGCTCTTGCGCTTTTCCTGGAGTCGCAAATCGGCTGACCGGATCGCATTTAGGCCATCGATGAGATTGGATTTACTCCCCATCACTGGAAACTCTTCTGTCTTAACGGATTTGGATATGCCGTCGATTCCCTGATTTTGCTGATCCAGTCGATCATCTCGACCCAAGCGCAAAAGGAATTCCATCCTTCATACTCGACTGGATTAACTATCGCGGTGTATGTCGGGATGCTGGTGGGCGCCATCTTCTGGGGCTTCTCAGCCGACATCATCGGCCGCCGGTTCGCCTTCAATGTTTCCCTGTTCGTCTCCTCGGTCTTCACGATTGTCGCCGGCGCTTCTCCTTCGTGGATCACACTGGGGCTCTTTGTGTGCCTGAGTGCATTCGGGGCCGGAGGAAACCTGGTGCTGGATACGACGGTCTTTCTCGAGTATTTGCCCAGTCGCCATCAATGGTTGTTGACGCTGATGGCCGCTTGGTGGGGTAAGCCGCGAATTTCTTTCCTGATTTCCTCGGAAAATTTGTGTGACTGATGTCTTTTTCTCCTCGCTGAAGGTCTTGGTCAGCTCATTGCCGGCCTGTTCGCCTGGGCGTTCCTTCCCAATTTTTCGTGTGCTGACGCCGACAATTGTCCCCGAGCCAACAATCAGGGCTGGCGGTATGTCTGGTATACCTCTGGGGCGTTTGTGTTTGTTCTGTCCATGCTACGTGTCACCATTATCCGGCTACAAGAGACCCCCAAGTTTCTTGTCGCCGAAGGGAAAGACGCAGATGCCGTCCGTGTCCTCGAAAACATTGCGACCAAATATCATCGGCCCTGTAGTCTCACCATTGAGCGGCTGCAAGCTTGTGGAATCACTCAGACCCGCGATACAACTGGGGTCAAGTTATCTCAGCGACTTCTCTCGCCAAAGGAGGTCTTTTTCCACTTCAAGGGACTTTATGCAACTCGCAAGATGGCCCTCTCCACCACACTTGTGTGGTTCTCGTGGCTTCTCATCGGTCTGGCCTATCCACTCTACAATGTCTTCTTGCCCACTTATCTTGCCTCCCGCGGTGCCAGTTTTGGAGAGTCGAGCCAGTATGTGACCTGGCGCAACTACGCAATCAATAACACATGCAGTATTTTTGGTCCTGTATTGGCAGGCTTCATGTGTCGGTCTCCCTGGTTCTGGGGTAGACGTGGAACCATGATTATTGGTGCCTTGGTCACGATGGTCTTCTTCTTCTGCTACACTCAAGTGCGCACTGCTAGTCAGAATCTTGGCTTCACATGTGCCATCTCCTTCTGTCTCAACATCTATTATGGCACACTCTATGCTTACACTCCCGAAGTCTGTGCCCTCTTTCAATTTCAGTCTGCAAATGGGATCTAGTCCCTCTTTCCCACCTCACTATTAACAATAACGTTGACATAGGTATTTCCCTCCGCCCATAGAGGAACCGGAAATGGAGTCGCAATTGGACTGAATCGAATTATGGGAATTGTGAGCGCGGTGGTCGGGGAGGCGGCGGATGTAAGTGATGCCCTGTTTCATCATCCATCAAATCATCCCAATCGGTACTGACTTAGGCCTCAAGACGAGTACACCTGTGCCGATTTATATCTGCGCCGCCTTGTACATTGTGATGGCAATCGTTTCAGCAGCGTTGCCTTTCGAACCTTACGGACGACGAAGTAGCTAATCTTGCTATAATTGGCATAACCAAACCCATACCTATCAAGTATGGTGTCGTTTGACATTGATTGTTCGAAATGCCCACAAAATCTGGCAGACCAATCTTTGCTCATTTGTGCGGCTTGCCTAGCACAGATTGGACTCCTCTCGTATGACACTGGGTCAGAATCCTGTCAAGGGTAAAGGATTTGTTCCAAAAAGTTCTATCGGCTCTATATGCCCAAATATCATGATCGTTGAAGCAGGTAAAAAGCCTCCGTTTATCACCAAATTGATGATTTGTTTCTAATGACCTATCATTGAAAGAACAGGTCATTAGACAAGTGAAAAGAAGTATAGAACGCTGGAAATCTGATAACGATTGGAACCATGCAATCTGGTGACTTTCATGATAGAAATGCACCTTTTCTATGCATGACAGCGTCCAAATCACGGACAGTATTTTCAAATGAATAAGAGATCTAGATATTTTCGAGGGATGTGTAAGTTTTCTAATGCAAGATATTTGAGCCCTCATTACTCATTATCAAGAGTGAGAATCGCGATCGGCCACACACCTCATTTCCGTTTGCTCTGCTCTTCAATGTCATATATCCCTATGAAAGTTTAACGGGGCAAGTCATGTGTTGGCCCCACTGTTCGTTTCATAAACTTTTTCCATTTTCTTTAGGTGGCAGCTGCAACAGGGCCATCACCTTTTTCTAAAATCCTTTGAACCCGAAATCATCTCCTCGGCACTAGTGGGCATAACTACTTGAGATGGAGGATCAAACATAACTCCTGTCGGCCTATTTGATGATCATTCCCATGATTGCAGTAATAACTGACTAGCGAACACTAAACGAGGACGAAATGCCGGGGCATTTCCAAATTTTCTTTGTCTACTTCGAATATCATCCTCTTCAGAACTTGTATATCTCTTCAGCTTGCCCCTTTCACCTTTCTGAAACTCACATTTGATTCTTGTTTTCAATCAATATTCAAAATTACATTGAACCAGACTAAATCTGATCTTGAACCTGATGCGCTAAGCGTTGGCACTGGTTTCTCTGGCATTTATTTCCTTCATCGCTTAGAAGAGGAATTGGGATTAAATGTCAAAGCCATCGACACTGGCTCAGATTTTGGAGTCGGTTGGCATTGGAATATTTATGGTGCTCAAACAGATTGCCTTGCGCTTATATACGGTATGACCATCGATGAGGTCTGGAAAACATGGACATGGTCAGAGCTTTATTCGGAGCAGGCGGAGTTGCAAGCTTATTTTGAAGTGTATGTTTGAAAAAACTGTGAACGACGCGATACCGGTCCAGAATAGGCAATAGGTACAATGGACGGTCCGAACTTGTTTCGCGAAACCCATTCTGGCAAAACATTGAATGTTTCATCCCTAATGTCGCATTCGCGACACGGCAGAATGCCCATATATGAAAGGGCGTCGATTTATTCCAGCGGTAATGCACCATTTGTCGACTTGACCAAGCGAGCCCGTTGAGATCAAAGGCAAACGTGTCGCGGTCATTGGCACTGGACCTACAGCTATCCAGATCATCCAGGAGTCCAATCTGACAAAAAAAAGGGCTTGGCGTGGGGGATCAAGAGAGAATGCGCGCTGAGACCCAAGTTTTCGCTCGTGCTCGAACAAGTAACGACGCACTTCCATACTCACCGCCGCCAAAAATGGACTCCGATTGTTCTCCGAAGGAGTGTCAAAAAACACTAGGAGAGCTCTACAATCAAGGTGAACCCAAATTCTGTCGAGATAGTACGATGATCTCCTCGCCAACCTAGAAGGTAATCGAGTTGCCTATGATTTTTTGACAAAAAGGACACGCAAGCGAGGTCCAAGACCTTGAAGAAGGGGATATTCATACGCCTCTAGACCCTCCACATCCTTTCGGTACAAGGCGACCCTCGTTAGAGAAGGACTATCATGCGCAGTTCCACCAAACGAACATTCATTTGATCGCCCTGGATTCAGCTCATGCCGGGAATCTCCGGCTGAGGGGGTTCTCACTGAAGACCAATGCCTCTTCTCGATGTTGAAATCGTTGCCATTACAATTGGATTTGATGCAAGCACTGAATGGATCAAAAACATGGTCATCAAGGATATAAGTAGCATAGATTTAGAGGTTCGTTGGCGTGAGAGAGTATCAAGCTTTATGGGTTTGTTGGTTCCCGGCTTTCCAAATATGTTCTTGCCCTATTCGGCTCATCACTTGACCCCATTCGCAAATGGCCCCGTATTCATTCTATTTCAAGAAGACCTGGTTCGAGTTGTAGTGGTGTATGAGCTTGACCCATCGCACAAAGTCGTGATACACGGGTGCTAGCATTTTCGATGAGCCTATTGAGCTGCTTTATTACATTGGCGAAATATGGAGCTATCGAGGCTTGGCACGATGCTTTCATTTCAAGTTTGCGGATTCTTTCATTCACTGGAAGATCGGCCCTGAATGCATGTATTTAACCGTCCTCGGAGAGAGGGAAAATTTAAGGTTATACCATATACGAATGAAATTGTATTGTAGCTCGTTTTCCTTTTTTCCCTTATATTTTCGGTTGCTATAGAAAGGAACTTTGACGTTGATTGATTGATTCTTAGACATGTCGTGCTGTCGAGAAAGGCTGATGGCATGTCACTACTCATCATGTAACTACGTACTTAATTCAGATCAGTTAGTCCCGATTTAGCTTAGTCGCGTGTCTCTTTTATCAAGAGACTTGTTCTTGAGCACATCTTTGCCATCAAACAACTGCTTAATCCGTTGCGTAGGATGAGCGTGCCCAAGCAGTCTGACAAGGAGGCTGTTCACCAGAATATTTCTTCAAGTTTGGTCACTTTTGTCTCTCTTTCTAGATCAAAAGAAGAGCAATGAACAGTGGGGAATGAGTTACTTGATCATGTTTGCGAAGTACTCTAGCTATCGACTAGTGTTCATGAATCAAACCTATTCCATTTGCTTATGTAATGGATTGAAACTCCTTCGAGTTGTCAACTACGACTCTAGCTAAGTAAGGGGGTTTGTAGTGACTATGGCCGAAACAATCAATGCTGTATACTTTCGTGCATGTTCACCTATCTCGCCACGGGGCCAAATCCTCCAAAGGGCGTCAAGCGAGTGACTGTCAACATGGTGGAGCCGGTGGAGATTAGTTGGCCGGCAGATCCGCAGATACGCGCGGCCTTCACACTACCCATGCGAAAGACACGCAGAAAGTCTCTTCCAGCGCCCTATTCGAAGGACTAAATGGAATCAATCTTGTTTGATGATATGTTGCTGGCTCATGACCGCTAGCGAAACTGCAATAATCTTTTTTCTTTTGCTCGAGACTCCAGATGAAAGGATGAGGTGGTACTATTTTAGGATTCTAGTGATTTCCTTGGTGTGGTGACCTAGTGAAATCAGTACCAATCATACGACCCCAGAAGATTTAGTGTTTTTCCACTTCACTGAGTCATGCTCAAATAGGTACCCTTTTCCGATTTTGCAATTTCAAGACTTGTGGGGGTTGACATATGGCTTGACTGCCTCTATTTGTGAAAACATAATATTTTTAGTATTCTTTAGGGTGGCAGCATTACTGCTGCCTGATCACATTTCTATCATTCTGTATCTGTCCCACATAGCTTGAGTCAGGTCCAAAAAAACTCGAGCAATCAAAGGCTCGGCAAGTGCTTGCTATTATAGTGCCGTATCTCAGGGGTACGCCAACCACAAAATGGCGAGCAACCCAAAGGACGCATTCAAAGCCCGCTTAGTAATAAATCATCACAGTAATTAGTTCACTAACTTAACTAGTTGAACCCGCGGAAGACTCAATTGCGTTTTCCCCCCACTTTCAAAATTCAGGAGCAATTCCCCATAGGTTCATAACGGGAATGACTGATGACGATGCTAAAGCAAGCCACTGAGATGCGTGCCCCGACTATTTGGCGACCCTTTGGTGACCCTTTAATGACCCTTTAATGACCCTTTGGCACTGAAGGAGGTGGCACTAGACGATTGACATAGCCAAGAGATAGCCGGTATCTCCGAGAGTCAATTTCGGCTCCTATCGAGTCTTTTCCACACTAAACCTATTCTGGGCTAGATAGTTCTATTCCCGGTTCCTCACTGGATGAATAATGCTTAGCTTCGCTTATTGTCTTTTTTCTAGTTCTTCCATCGGCGTCATTTAGGGGGTGTCCTTTTCCTTGATAAGAATAATGCACCTCCACGGGCCTTCACGGTTTTTCCTTGGCATTCTCCATTCTCCTTAAATCAATCCGCTCTTTTTTTCGACCGCAAAGCTGGCGGCAGCAACAAAAAGAGGCTTGTTTGGGCGCTTCGGACTTTGATCTAGCCAGGCTCCTTTCTCAAGACTCTATTCATCATGCGGCATTCCCTTCAAGTCATTCTTTTGGCGTTCGTCGCCTTGCTCACACATCACGCTGCAGCGGATTGTAATCCCCTCAAGAACACCACATGTTCGCCTGACCCGGCCCTCAGTACCGAACACACGTGGTGGTTTAACCAGTCCCTCAACGAAAATTTGTGGGACATGCAGACCGGCACTTACAATTATACGGATGATGGAGCTATATTTGCGATTAGAGCTGAGAATGCGTCCACTCTTTTGGTATCCAATTTCTATATCTTCTTCGGGGTGATGGAAGCACACGTCAAAATGGCCAAAGGCGCTGGAATCATCAGCAGTGTGATCCTTCAGTCCGACGATGAGGACGAAATCGACTGGGAATGGGTTGGGTACAATACGAACAGCGTGCAATCCGACTTTTTCGGCAAAGGAAATACTACAACCAGTGATCGTGGAGGCAATCATACCGTCATGAACGCCGATACCGAGTTTCACAACTATACAACCCATTGGACGAAGGAAAAGCTGGAATGGTGGATCGATGGTGAACTTCGGCGGACAGTGAACTACTCCGAATCCCTGACTCTATACGGCAAAAACTATCCCCAGACGCCTTGCCAGGTTAAGGTCAGCAACTGGCCTGTTGGTATCAAAGGACAATCTGTAGGAAATCTTGAATGGGGTGGCGGCTATGTCAATTGGGATGATCTACCCTTTATCATGACTGTTCAAAGAATCCGTGTTCAGGACTACCATACGGGTAAAGAGTACGAGTACACCGATCAGACCGGCTCTTATGAGTCCATTAAAGTCATCAGGTATGGTCATCAAACTTGAAGAATTACGAAATACGTAACTTGAAACATTACTAATTCGTACCACAGTGGAAATTCAACAGCCGAGAAAGAGATTAATAAGAAAGCAGCCGAGACTTTAGCCGAAAAATGGGACGACCTTGGAGAGGGTGCTCACATAGGTATCTATGTGGCGGCCGGTGTTGTCGGTGCCGCAGCGATTGGTGCGTTCGCCTGGTGGTGTATCCGGCAGCGCAAGTCCGGTCGTCTACAGCGTGCTCTGAATGATGCGCAGAATGGCGAAGAGTTAAAGCGGATGCAGGACTATAATGCCAACTGGAGGCACAGCCAGTGGGGCGGACAAAGCTACCAAAAAGTCCCTTGAGCGGGCTCTAGGTGGAATAATAGGGTAGGACTTTCATCTCGGGCTTTTTTAACTTAATTGAGTTGCACAAAATCCCGGGTTTGTACAATTATGACCACACATATTTTTTAACGAACTCATAATTTCAAATTTTCATGTTGATATTCAACTACCGAAGCTCGCAGCTGGATTCGTCAAGTAGAGAGGCCGATCGGATCACTCAATCAACCCTCATACTAGCATACACCATGACGCTGAATAAGTCATCGTAATAGGCAATTAGATACTGGATTTTCAAGAGAAAAAAACATCGTTTAGAGTACCTAGGAAATTAATTGTTTTAAATCAATGTGAATATATGGGATTTTCTAAGCCAGATCAGATCTACAATTATTAATAAATACTCCCTTTTCCATTCCTCAACTATATACATAGTCGCTAGTTAATTATATCCCGAATTTTAGCTAGAAAGTAACTAATTTATCTATAATCTAATCGATTGGCGATATTAATGTAATATTCTCTGTTATTAGTGTAAACGAGGTTTTCAGACGTTGGAAATCCCACTTTATATACTCTATTTGGTACCAATATTGCAAGACAAATTATAGCTGCCTGGTTTTTCACAAAGATGGTGGCTTTCTTTGTGACTCTGGGGCCACTCTAGAGGGAGCCGCGGACAATACTGACTGGTAAGCTGGCTGTGGACTCGTTTTTAGCCCCCGAGTGGACGCTCCAAGCCTCATTCACCATATACACTTAGGCCTTTCGGGTGTAAATCCCAAATAAAAATTTCAAAATGTGGAGGTCCTGGCTTGGATTGGTTCACTCTGAGCCTAGTGGATAGGAAACAATGGATTGTGTCGTCCCGACCTTCCGAGATTCTCGATCATCCGGTCCTTTAAGCACACATTCGTTTTTAAACATCTTGCTAAGCAAGACTAGTCCCATTAGTTTAAAATAGCCCTAATTTAGGTCGGGAAAAGACAGGCTTTCACAACAGTCATCGAAAATCAGAAGTCCACAGAATAACGCCCCTTACCCCGTTACGGTTAGCAGCCCGTCCTAGATCAATTTTCTCACAATGGTGGATAGCTTTTAGACAACCCACCCAGAAATACCTTTCCAAACGAGCTGGAATTAGTTGTATTAGGCTGGTTTCCTGTTAGCACCTAGATTAGCCTGAGCGAGACATACGTATGCACCAGTCTATGCGAGCCAAGCCACGGAGTAGGCTCGCGAAGTCGATCGCTATACTATACTAAGTAGAACTGTAATAGGTGACTGCCGCGTGAAATATCTTTGGCCTCTGCACATGCCTTTTGTGGCATGAACGGTGAGAATTCGCTGCTTGCGAAAAGAATAGATGAGCTCCACCGACATATTTTAAAGAAACCCCAATTCTTCTATGCTAACGTTTCGTCTTCCTGTATCCCAAGAAAGCCATCGATTCATAGTCTCCAATCATCTACTATACTTTACGTGAGCTTTGAACTCCCAAATTGAACTACAACTTTCTTGGGAATTATTTTGGAACTGTTCTAACAGGCTCTTACCAGCATTCAAGCCATAAACACAGAAATCGTACTTATACATGCATTTGACTGATCTGTGTTGTATCCTGACCCTCGATCTCCTCGCACTATACGACAGGTTTACCGAGCGACAATGGTAAGACTCAGCATTATTTTGTGTGGCATTCTCACATATGGGATTATTGATCCATAACTTGCTGGAGACAATGCGACGACACATGTGATCATAATTCCTATTTTTGAATAGTGGGATAATGGCGCCTCCAACATGACAGTGACCTTCAGACTCATCAATGCCGACTATGCTTGGGAATATGCCAATTACACGAGCGACCATAGTAAACGCACTGGAAGCACGACAAAAGTCGTGACAGCAGTCAAATACGGAATGGCGACGATCGCTACAGTCACAAGGCATTGAAATATGAGAGTCTGTCTCTAGCATCATAAAGTCATAATCAGATGCCGATTCCTGTACATTGACTTATGGTACGGATACAAGCGGTGAGTGGTTTTATGGCTAAGCGTACAAAACAACAACGATGGGGAAAAGCTGTAACACTACAGCGGAAAAGAAAACCACTCTTAGCGCTGTTGATAAATGCGCAACAAATTTACATAGCAAAGGAGCCACAGTGGGCTGCTGCACGTTTCATCATGGAGGAATTTGGCATGGCTATTTACAACTGACTGCCATGCCGGAGCTTCGTCCTGCATACTCTGTCACCTGCTGATCTATGGATAAAATGCTTTCATCAACGGTTGGAGGACGACACACTTGAGTATGGCCTAGGGAATCTCTTTACTATTTTCTTCTCTCTCTTTTGCTCGTTCTAATTCGATTCTGTTCTCTAGCCGAAGTCCTGAGTTCAAAGTCCTATTCTTTCACTCCTCTGGTTGCTTTTTTTGAGTCTGCTGATGATGAATCTAATCTGTTCCCGCTGGAAGATAACGAAGCGTGAGCCTTTTGCCAAATAAACAGGCAACTATCATGCAAATCTACCAGTGCAATATAACCTTCATTCTCTATACATGAACAACCTTTGAAGTGTAGTCTAGTAGGCCTTCTATTGACGAAAAGCCTGAAGATAAGACGAATCCATTTATTCCACTATACCTACAATCTACGGAAGATCTTATATTTAATGTGGCGACTAAAAGTAGATTAAAATTCTCTTTCGATGAAAATTTAGCTATCTTTAAAAGGAAAGCAGAGAAAAGAGAGAAATAACACGATTTAAGAAAATCTAAGCCAAAAATAGTTGTTAGCCCTGTAATATCTTGTGTGAAAGGACCTGAGTCTTTGATGTGTGATATGCTTGGTTATCCTACCTTTAAGCACGATGGAAGAGTGAAATTAACAGTTTTTAGAAGTTTCGGAACTGTCCACGGGAGGCAACTAGATATGGAAATAAAGATCCATCTGACTTATGACTAGGGTCACCAAAATAAAGAAATACTCGAATTTTCGACTTTTTGTATGAAAACCAGCGAACTTTCTCAACCCAACACGGGTCATCGGGCAGATTCGGGTTTCTCTTGAAAGAAGCCACTTTCCCTCGAACACGGAGATTTAAGTAGCTATAGACGGCTTCTTACTAGGCTATTATTCAGATCCTCAGAATTCCTTTGAAAATTCAATCAAAGTAAAAGCTGCTCATTTCACAATTTCTCCTGGACTCAAGAATTATAGAAACATAATGGAAAGCCTGGTCTCTAAGAACCTCTTAAATCCGGCCAGGGGGCAAGCCAATCTTAAGTCCGCTTAATTCCACCCCCCCCCCTCCCCCAACAACATAACCTCACAAATCTTAAGAATAGGTCTTCACCATGATTTCCAAGCAAACTTTTGGCCATATTTTATTATTAAAGAAAAAATCGACTCTTATTTCTTTGCTTTAATTTTCTGCGCGATGGACAGTAAACGACAGTCAATGTGGCTGATTACCGGTGCCTCATCAGGTCTAGGCAAAGCTATTGCATCAAACGCATTGAAAGAAGGATACAAGGTCATCGGAACCACACGTAACGAAGAAAAGGCGAGACAAGGTTTCCCAGAGTTTGAATCAAACGGAGGCATGTGGCTCTCATTAGATCCTGGAAAGGAAGATGCCTTTGATAAGATGAGAGAATTTTCAAACATGTATAGCATTGACGTTTTGGTAAACAATGCCGGCTATGCATTCATCGGAGGAGTTGAGGACACAAGGTATGAGGAATCCCCACCAGGATGATATATTAAGGCATATCGAATTTACGATCATGGGTAGTGAGGAAGAGATTCGGTCTCAAATGGAGGTCAATTTTTACGGACCGCTTCGTCTGATTCGCGCTATCCTGCCTCAAATGCGTGCCAAAAATTCAGGAAACATTGTTCTTATCAGCAGCGGAGCAGGGTGAACTAAATGCCTGAAACCCTGTCAATAAGAGTAAAAGATGTGCTGACAACAATGTCTTTCGGTCCCAGATTTATCGCGAGACCGGCTCGTGCAACATACTCTGCAAGTAAATTTGCAATTGAAGCCATTCATGAATCGTTGTCACAGGAGCTTGAGACATTTGGTGTGAGAGTCCTGGTTGTAGAACCGGGTGCTTTCCGTACACCCTTTTCTAGTCGGATTCTAACGCCAGCTCAAATTGAAAATCCTCGAGGCTTCAGCGAGGCGTACAAAGGAACCCCGGTTGAACAAATGGTTGATGCAACCCGTAGCATCAGCTCTATGTCGGACCACGTCAAGGGTGATCCTGAGAAGGCCGCACAGGCTATCATAAACGCCGTTGAACAAGGTCACGACTATCTTCGACTTCCATTAGGTTCCGACTGTGTCTCGGCACTAGAAACCAAGATTGCACAATTAAAAAGTGATCTTGATAAAACCAGAAAAATCGCACTGTCTACCGATATCTCATAAGTCTATTGGGCAACTCATATACCTTTCAGTCTGAGACATACAATCCCCACAATCTAGTGACTTTTCCTCGTGATATAGATCACACTGAAAGAAGAAGTAGATATCCTTTTAGCAGGACTTCTTTTGAGCCTCATATTCTTTGTCTTCTAATTCACATGCATAGCTTCAGTGAATGGCCACCTTAAGCTGAGAGCTATCTAGATAGACAGACCCTCATAATAAAACTATTCCATCCCGCTTGGAGATATACAAGTCTATTGGCCGCAGTTTAGGCAGATATCTTTACTTTTTCTCTCCGCCTCTTTCTCAACTGCGCCCCATGATTCAACAAGCTTGAAAGTATAGTCATGAGGTTGATCTTTCAGCTGGCATATTCAATATCATATTGAGATTTCACCCGGATACTAGTCCAAACACTAATAGATCCTCAACCATGGCAGTGACTGTGGCTGATTCCATCTCCTTCGTGTTTGAGGCTCAATCAAGCGCGATGGATGCCTGTTCCTCCCCATCTTCTCGGTGTTGGGTGGCTGGAATTGGGTCACATGACAAGTCCGGCGAGGCGGACTTCACAGCACCGCCACTCAACGGTCATTCGAGATGGTTCGTCGTTTCTACCGCTCATCTACCCACCAATGAAAAGCACTTGCGCCACATATGTGGCGCAGCTGTGAACCCAGGTGTTGTAGGTTGCGCACTCAACACAATACTTGGTGTAGGACTGGTGAGGCAGTAAAAAAATCTGACTAGAATCGGATTTCGCATCACGTCACTATACCAATCAATCAAAGCGATGACGTTCAAGTCTTGATTAATGGCTCATGACGCCTATGGCTTGACCGCTCAGGCCAAATTATCCATCTTCAATGGAACTCCGAACCGTGCAGAACAAGAAAGAGTATGACGCATTTGACGAAAGAATCCCCAACCCCTTGCTGGGAGACATCTGCATGGCGCGGCAGTGTACAGAAATTATCCAAGGGAAGCTTCCCATCTCCCTTCTACCTGATACAAACTTTCAGCGGGGTCCCCTTCACTGCAATGTTATTGGGTCTTGATCGAGGCGCAGCACACATTTTGCTCCCCACCCGTGGCACACGGCGGCAAGCCTAGAGTCATTAATCAAGACTCGCATTGGCCCGAACGCTCGTAGCGGAGAGCCCCTGCACCCGGTCTGTCAAATTCTGGAGCTGACAGTCCATTTTGAATCACTGAGGAAACGCAGCTAGAGTCGCAGATCCAAAACACGGCGCCTGGGTTCGTACCAACGCGAGTCGCGTGCCTAATCTCTATACTGCGCTCATCTGGTCCACCCTGGTGATTGACATTGATCTACCCCGCTGAAGATTTCGACTATGTATCTGCCTCTCAAGATCCATGCCTGCTGCGTACCTCACTCGCAACGAAGCGCCTCGATGCAATCAAGTCGCCCCCGAGGCTGTGCTAAGGAATCGGACGTAATCTGTAGCCACCTCCCGAGTGCAAATTCCCCCTAACTTTTCACCAAGACCGAGCATCACCCTTCCCCTCTTTTATCTCCATAGCACTATTTGCTAGCAGAATTCGCGCTTGCTTGGCGAGGTCTTGACTGGTTTGCTCGGAACCAATCTCCATTTCCTTGTCAATCACCCCGAGAGTCCTCGGCAAGCCTGGGCATTGGAACACAGCCCCCTTGAGCGTCCCATGGGACTTACCCACTACAGAGATTATATACCCTTATACCCTTATATCCTAGACGAGGTGTTCTTGGAAGCAAGTTCACATCCTATTCTCCCCGCATATCAAGCAACAAATTTGAGCTAGTTCGGTGCTTTGAGCACTCATGGCTTCCTCACAAGATTCTACCCAAAAGGGATCATTTTTGAGTCCTTTGGTTGTGACGAACCCTCTGGGTAGAGAGGTAATCAATCCTTAAAGGTTTTTAGATGATACATAGTTGCTAACTCTTTATCTTCAGCGATCTCCATCCGCTTCATCCGCCGGTGTGTCTTCATCATGGTCCGGCACGACAGATCCCGATCATAGTCCGACGTCACCAAGATCTTCTTTTTCCCCAGACATGGCAGGCAATCAAGATCCTAGTCGGTTGGGGGTTCACTATCCCTCACACCGACCATTACAGTCAATAGATGGCGATACATTACGTCCTCGCTCCGATTCTTTCGCTTCTTCCGAGGGCACCACAATACGATCCAGGGCCAACTCTATTGACCCTATCTCGGCTGCTAAACTTTATGATGACGTGCCTCTTCTCGAGGCCCTCAACCCTGACCCTCGTAACGAGGCCGATTTTCAAATTCAAGATAACCGATTTGCGTTCTCGCCCGGTCAACTTAATAAGATGCAAAACCCCAAATCCCTCGCAGCCTTTCACGCCCTCGGCGGCTTGCAGGGACTGGAGCGAGGTCTACGAACAGATCTGAATGCTGGACTCTCTGTGGACGAAACTCGCCTAGAAGGCACTGTCGAATTCCAACAAGTCACGCCACCCTTACATCACAATCGACCGTCTATAACGAAGCCCTCTTTAGAATCACATTCAACGCCAATACCACCCTCATCAGCTGGCGAAGGTTCTCCATTCGAGGATCGGCTTAGAATTTTCAGCGAGAATAGACTTCCGACCCGGAAATCTACCGGGTTCTTGAAACTCTTTTGGATTGCTTATAACGATAAGATTATTATACTTTTGACCATCGCTGCGATTGTGTCATTATCTTTGGGTATCTATGAGACCGTTGATGGTGGAACAGGTGTAGACTGGGTTGAGGGTGTCGCTATCTGCGTGGCGATTCTCATCGTCACTGTTGTCACCGCTGCCAATGACTGGCAGAAAGAAAGACAATTTGCCAAACTCAACAAACGCGTCAGTATCTAACCCTTTTGATTGAGTATTTTCAGGCTAATATCTCATAGAATGATGATCGTGAGGTGAAAGTCATTCGGTCGGGCAAATCTATGATGATCTCAGTATATGATATCATGGTTGGAGATGTTGTCCATCTTGATCCTGGTGACTCCATTCCCGCCGATGGGGTTTTGATTTCAGCCCATGGTATCAAGTGTGACGAGTCCTCTGCTACTGGCGAATCAGACCAAATGAAAAAAACGGCTGGCCATGAAGTGTGGCAGCGTATTATTGAGGGTCACGCCACGAAAAAGCTTGATCCATTCTTGATCTCTGGCAGCAAGGTTCTTGAAGGTGTGGGTACCTACCTGGTGACTAGCGTTGGCCCATATTCCACATATGGTCGAATCATGTTATCGCTACAGACATCTAATGATCCAACACCACTGCAAGTGAAACTGGGTCGTCTTGCAAATTGGATTGGATATCTGGGATCAGGGTAAGTCTCATAATCTTTGGGAGGGGCATACTGGCCTTTGCAACTAATAGTGTCTTTCAGGGCCGCCATCATCCTGTTTCTTGTCCTGCTTTTCAGATTCGTTGCGGATCTTCCAAATCATCCCAATACGAGTCCAGCAGAAAAAGGCAAAGAATTTGTCGACATTTTGATTGTCGCGGTGACTGTTATCGTCGTAGCCATTCCAGGTTGGTCCTGCTGATTCCCATTACAATTATCACTCCTTGTAGCTAACCTATTTTCGTCATCAGAGGGGTTGCCATTGGCGGTAACTTTGGCCTTGGCCTTTGCGACTACTCGTATGGTGAAGGAAAACAATCTAGTTAGAGTTCTGAGGGCTTGTGAGACAATGGGAAATGCCACAGTAGTGTGCTCTGATAAGACAGGCACCCTGACACAAAACAAAATGACCGTGGTCGCAGGCACATGGGGCTCAAGTCAAAGCTTCAGCCAGTTGCCTGAAACTCAAGTCGGTGAACAGTCGACGGCTCCATCAACCATTTTCCAAAAATGCTCTGCGCCAGTGCGAGATCTCATTGTCAAAAGTGTTGCCTTGAATTCCACGGCTTTTCAAGAAGAAAAAGACGGCCAGCGAGAGTTTGTGGGGAGTAAAACTGAGGTTGCACTCCTCCAAATGGCTCAGAATTATCTAGGCTTGGATCTCGCTGCTGAGCGCGGCTCTTCTGCGATTTGTCAAATCATTCCTTTTGATTCTTCACGGAAATGCATGGGCGTTGTATACCGCCGTCCAGGCAATGGGTATCGCCTTCTTGTCAAGGGAGCCTCGGAATTGATGGTCGCCGCTTGCAAAACTCAAATCACGGATATTGATATGTGCAAAGATGAAACCCTCACGGAGTCTTTATCAGAAAAGCAGAGGGAGGGAATTCTGAACATCATTGACAAGTATGCCCAGCAGTCCCTTCGCACGATCGGTATCGTTTATAAGGACTTGACAGCCTGGCCTCCGGCGAATTCTAAGAAGCAAGAAGATGATCTATTTGATGTGAATTTTGAAGAGATTTTTATCGACATGACCTGGGTTGGAGTGGTGGGAATTCAAGATCCCCTTCGACCTGAAGTTCCACCGGCGATTGAAAAATGTCGTTCAGCTGGAGTCCAGGTCAAGATGGTCACTGGGGACAACGTTGCGACCGCCACAGCTATCGCATCTTCTTGTGGCATCAAAACTGAGAATGGGCTGGTAATGGAAGGCCCTAAATTCCGACAGCTATCAGATGAGGAGATGGATGAAGTGGTCCCTCGACTCCAAGTCTTGGCTCGCTCTTCACCAGATGATAAACGCATACTTGTCGAGCGACTTAAGGCCCTTGGGGAAACTGTTGCCGTTACCGGTGATGGAACTAATGATGGGCCTGCTCTGCGCACTGCAGACGTTGGTTTCTCCATGGGCATTGCTGGCACTGAAGTGGCCAAGGAAGCCAGCTCAATTATTCTTTTGGATGACAACTTCAAGTCCATCGTTACTGCCATTTCTTGGGGGAGAGCGGTCAATGATGCTGTCGCCAAATTTCTACAGTTCCAGATCACAGTGAACATCACCGCCGTGGTCCTAACATTTGTGTCATCTGTTTACAGTAGCTCGAACAGCAGTGTTCTGACTGCTGTGCAGTTGCTCTGGGTGAATCTGATCATGGACACCTTTGCGGCTCTAGCCTTGTAAGAGCTCCTTATTTCTCCGATATATTTGGTTCTCTCGCTGACAAGATGATTTTTTTAACAGGGCTACCGATGCTCCGACGGAGAAAATTCTTGACCGGAAGCCTGTTCCCAAAAGTGCATCACTCTTCACGTTGACAATGTGGAAAATGATACTTGGGCAGGCGGTATATCAACTAGCTGTGACTTTCATGCTCTACTTTGCTGGAGAAAAGCTACTCGGCTCTGTACTTGATGATACCAATCCCGACCATCGATCTAAACAGCTATCTACAGTTGTGTTCAACACGTTCGTGTGGATGCAGATTTTCAACGAGTTCAACAACCGTCGCCTTGATAACAAGTTCAATATTTTCGAGGGAATGCTCCGAAATTATTGGTTCATGAGCATCAACGCCGTCATGGTCGGCGGTCAGATCATGATTGTGTATGTTGGTGGCGAAGCTTTTGGTGTGACACGACTCAGCGGCATTCTCTGGGCAGTGTGCATTATCTGTGCCGTGGGATGTCTGCCGTGGGCTGTCGTTCTCCGCATCATCCCCGATCGCCACTTTGGTCTGTTATTCAATGCCGTGGTTGGCGGTATGACTGTTGTCTTGCGCCCGATTGTCAAGGCAAGCAAGGCAATTTCTAACGGCGCTGTGATGTTGTTTCGGCCAGTCACGCGGTTCGCCCGCCGGGTCTTCTCTCACCGAAGCTCCAAAACTACAGACTCATCTATTGAAATCGAACCCGTCTCGCTTGTTGCGGATGAAGAAGCCCCTACTCCGCCGAAAATTGTACGAGAGGAAAGCCCTGAACGCTCTCGAACGCCACCAGCAATCACGGTGCCTCCAATTTTGGTTACGACTTCTCCTTAGCGATTTTTTCTTCTTTTTCCCCCTGGATTTTTACGAGGAAAGTGGCGTTTACAGGAATATTACGGATTGTAAATATAAGGGTGGATACACTCCATACATAGACAGATACAACGAGCAAGTCTCATAATGTATATGAATGTTCACGAATTCTGATCTTGCTTTTCAGTGGTCCCAATTTTCGGGTGCAACCATTTTAAAGAGCAGACTGAACGGACAATCTAAAGTTCGTGACTTCCAAGATTGATAAGGTCGCGTTCTATAGCTCATATTCTGTAGCACTACCCTGAATGAGGAGGGTACATGATTTGATACTCTCCCGTCTAGATTATTTGACGAAATATCTTCCACAGCATTTCGGCCCCCATTTGATCGGCTTGAAAGCCCGCTATCCCCGTTTTGGTCGCAGAAGTTGACTTCCGAGCACGACGTCCCTTGGCTTTTCCCACAGAACCGAGCAGAAGGACTAAAGGCCTTTGACCGGTGTACATTGCATTTATCATCGCCTAGGAGTTTCGGTCTGAGTCAGTCGCCAATTCTTTCTCTGCGCCTAATGTCGGCGGCCGCGCAAGAGAGCCCGGTCCCCCGTCGACAGGGGTTCCGCAACCCGATCCACAATCCTTTCCCCGCTTCGTTGTCCAGTCTGTTTACCCTCGCTCTATAACACCGTCCCTAACTGATCTCGACTCCGTAGGTGAATGTAAAAAAGCAGGGCAGATTATTGATTCCTTCGTCAATCCAAATTATGTCGGGGTTGACAATCGGATTTCCCGCAGCATTCTCGCGCCAGCCAAGGTAATTCTTGTCTCCCATCCCGGGCTAAAACGGTTATGCTAGAATAGCTCAATAGGGATTGGTGATTTGCACTGTTTTCAAAGTCGGCTTTCTTGGGTCTGTTCGCTTCGGCTCTGGGCTCATTGTATGCCGTCTTCCCGATGGCAGTTGGTCGGCTCCGTCCGCAGTCTCTCTTGCCGGCTTAGGTGCTGGCGGTCAGTTCGGGATGGAGTTGACTGATTTTGTCTTTGTTCTGAACACAGATGCAGCAGTCCGGACGTTTATTGATTCCGGGACCTTGACTTTGGGGACGAATATCTCCATCGCTTTCGGGTCTGGGCGGAGCGCCGAGACTGCCGCTATGATCGGGACCAAAGGAATAGCCGGCATATTCGCCTACTCCAAAGCTCGTGGAGTGTATGGCGGTCTCACTCTTGAGGGTAGCATCATTGCGGAACGTTCTCATGCAAACAAGAAGATATACGAGCGGAAACTCAAGGCCAAGCAGTTGCTTACTGGAGAAATTCCCCCGCCGCCAGAAGCTGAACCGCTGATGCAAATCCTCAACTCAGAGCGCTTTCGCCCAGAGACAACAAGTGAAACTCCTAGAGAGGCCGAATTGGTCTCACCGAGTCTTGATCCTTCACCTCAGCCGGCCTTGCGGCCCTCTGAGCAACCATCTGAGCAACCATCTGAGCAACCATCTGAGCAACCATCTGAGCAACCTGCCGTGGCGGAGCTAGGTACTTCACATCCATCTCAAGAGCTACCTGCCACCGATGCACAGGATACGTTACAAGAGACGCCGGAGCCTGAAACAGGGTCGCATCTTGTGGCAGAGTCAGAGACGCAGCCTCAATCTCAAGATTTGACCGTCATCCCTGCGAGTCAATCATCCCAAGAACCGACAATGAGCATATCCCACGCCTCTGAAACTACTACAGAGCACCATACGCTATGTAAAGAGGGTCAAGCGAATGAAACTCAAAAGAAAGTTCTCAGTGATAAGAACGATGCACTTCAAGAATCATCATCTACCACCAATGTCGATCAAATGATTCAAAACCCATGCGAACCTGCTCCCCAAAGCAATGCTTCTGAGGTGACTGGGCAAGCCCAACCCGAGAAGATTCTTGGAGACGTGAATGACGGATCTGGACAGACAGAAGGACCAAAAACTCGAGCTTAGATCTTCATATTCTTGGAGAAAAATTTTTGCTCGGAATCGATTCTTGATTCTTTTCAAAGAAATTTCGAATATGCCTAGCCTTAGAGCCTATAGTTCAAAAAAATTGTATCTCATAGTACATACAAGCCTTACGGTAAATACATGCAACGACATAATTTCTGTGAAAATCGCCTAACACTCATGTTCTCATAACCAGTCAAGGGGAGCCTGGCCAGTGCTGCTGTATATACAGACAGTCGCGTACCCTAAATACCTTAAGAATAGGCAAAATCTCATCTTTTTCAAGCCCCAAGAATCGGGGCTCGGCGGTGTCGGGCCCAGGGACTCCATGTGGTTCAAGTGGAGAACGGCCACAAAAGTTGTGACCTCAAGCAATCAGACGTGCGCAAAAAATCCACCTGTCTACCGCATCTGAGATTCAGCAACTCTTTTAGTTATTTCAGATTCTTCCCCTCCTTCAAATTTGGAGTCTCCGGACGATCTTCCTCACGTTTCAATAATTCTCATGGTGATGAATTCCTCTCCGGCAAAAGGTGTCTTGGTCTTGCCTTCACCACTAGCACAGTCAAATATTCAATCACTTCTGGATGAATATGGCTTAGAGTACACGCCAGACGGGCAGTTCATTCGCTGGTCAGCCTCGAACAAGGAGCATCCCCGGAACTGGCCTCTGCCCCGAAAGATATTTGATAGTAGTCTAATCATCTTTCTCGATCTTTTTACGTTGGTTCAACCTTAAATACTAGAATATCTTGTTCTTATACTAATCTGAAACTATCGGCTATAGGACAGCGATCAGTACTGCTGGTGTGAGTCAGACATGATCCTGTAACAATAGAATAATTCTAACCGAAGGGAGGTACTAGAGCTCGGCCGCCAATTCTTCTCACGATGAATTTGGAATCGGACAGACGTTGGCCATATTTCTCTTTGTCTCGATGTCAGTTTATTACCTACTATATTTGCCAGTGGTTGGCTCTCTTAACTCAGTTTCTCGCAGCTATCTCATTGGGCAAATGGTCGGTGGGATCATTTTTCCGCCCTACTCGGAAGCATTCGGTCGCAAGAAGTTGTATATTGCCAGCACAGCTTTCTATGCCATATTTTGCGTTGTAATTGGTGTTGCTCCCTCTCTGGCTGTGGTGACAATTGGTCGCTTCTTCTCGGGCTTTCTTTCAGCCATTCCCAGTATCATCGTGGCAGGGAGTATTGAAGACATGTTCAACTCAAGAGACCGTGTCTGGCTTATCTTCATGTGGGCTATGGTTGCAAATATGGGCCTCGCTTTAGGACCTATCATGAGTACTTACATCACTGCACACCTAGGATGGTAAGACCTTGATTCCAGTTCTCTATTCTAGTCTTATTCCTAAGTTTTCTCCACAGGAACTGGGTTTTCTACGTTGCTGCAATTGTTAATGCTGTGGTCACTGTGCTTCTCTTCGGCCTGCGAGAATCAAGGCCGTCTTTGCTTCTCAGGCGACAGGTGGCCAGATTACGCAAAGAAAGCGGTATTGATACCCTTAGAGAATTGAATCCGGATCATGCGCCCGATATAAAGACCTTTGCCCGTCTGGCTCTCTTCCGCCCTTTGCAACTGTTGTTCACAGAGCCCATTGTTTTTATGGTCTCACTGATGAGTGCAGTCGCTTTTGCTCTGATTTATCTCTTTACAGAAGCGCTGCCTCTTGTGTATCAATCCATGGGCTTCTCAAGCACATCGTCTGTTTTACCATTCCTGGGAATTTGCGTTGGTCTTGTCTTAGGGTTACTTACTCGGATTCAAGATTACCGTGTAATTGTCAACTATGAACAGCAAGGTATACCACTTGAACCGGAGCACAAGCTCGTTGGCTTCTCCATTGGCGCCCCCATGCTGGCAGCTGGACTCTGGTGGTTCGCTTGGACCATCCCACCTCTTGTCACCCATGTTCACTGGATAGTTTCCACTGTCTCTTTAGTCCTCATCGGCTATGCATTGAACGAGTTTGATGCAGTACTTGCTGGCTATCTCGCTGATAGTTACTTGAGCTATGCCTCAAGCGGCTTTGCAGCCTTGGCCCTCCTGCGTGCTTCGTTATCGGCCGCTTTCCCGCTGTTTGCCACACAAATGTTTAATGGATTGGGTGCAAATGTTGCATCATCAATTCTTGCAGCATTGGCAACACTATTCTGTGTTGTGCCCCCATTCTTCACCAAATATGGTCGGCAGATTCGGGCTCGAAGTAAATTCGCAAAATATAGTTTGAAGGTCTACCAGGAAAATACCGTTGAAAAAAACGGTTATTAAGCAAATTTCAGACTGGAAATTTTTGGAAATTGTCTTTAACGGCCAAGATATCTATAGTCCTGAGGAGAGATTCAATTCCTCAATGAGTGGTATCCGTTTATGGAGTTTGACGGATGAACAGGACAGATTCTACTAGATAAAAGACATTTCATGAGGACCATATAGATTCAAGAACGATCATAGAAAGCTTCCATGTCCCATCGAGGCCCTTAGACCTGCAATACTAGTCGAACCTCAGTTGTAGGCAGCTGTTTGGGGTTTATGGCCTCAGGCAGCAACACTCCGTCACCCCACACCACAGCAGCGACCAGCTCCGTCCTCCCCCATCCGACGCCGCAATTAACAACACCACATTGCCATTCAAAAAGCCGACTGCCTTGGGACTGAATAGGGCAAATCCACGCACCTTGTCAACCCCTCTTCCCCGCCCTCTCTTCCCTCCGACCTCGAACGGCCCCGGAGCCTTCCCTCGCTCCCGACCTCCCCGCTTTCCGTCCACTGCGTCGCCGCCATACCAAACAGCCACGCCCAACGTCACCCGGCCTTGAAACTTACAGCCTCAGCTCTGTGAAAACTCTTCGCTCTGCGTCAATTCTGCTCAGATTCAGCTTGCTGTCCACCTAATCTCCGAATAACATCGCCACCATGTCGCAACTCAACTACCGCACGATCAACATCGACCAGCTCGATCCCGAGTCATCGGCCAGCTTCCCCATGGCAACCCTTTTGCCTGCCACCTTGCCTCAGCCCGAGACTTCCAGTGACGCGGCCAATGTCGCGACCCAGGTGCGCCAGCTGCTGCGCGGCGGTGATGCCGAGGGCGCGCTGCGCCACGCTCTGGACACAGCGCCGCTCGGCGGTGACGACCGCGCCAAGGAGGTGCATCTTGCTACTGTGACCGAAGTTCTACAGGGTATCCGGCAAGGCGAGATGGCTCGTGTCCTGGAGGGTGTTTGTGGCGGAGACGGTGGGGCAGAGCGGGCAGACTGCCTGATGAAATACCTGTATGTGACTGTTGAAAGCTGCCTATCCAAATCTCTGCTAACTTGTATCAGCTACAAAGGAATGGCCTCGCACGCACCCAGTGGTGGTGCTCAATCTCCGCGCAAGTCTGTCTCGCCGCAGAGCACAGGGTTCTCCCAAATCCAGGGCCGGAACCTGGGTGAGGGCGGTGGTGGCCAGCAGATGAGTGTCTTGCTCAATTGGCATGAAAAGCTGGTGGAGGTGGCAGGGACTGGATCGATTGTCCGGGTCATGACAGACCGCCGGACGGTTTAAGCGGAGGCAACTGGTTGGGTTATTGATTTCTTTACTGTTCTGGTAGAGGCTTGATTGCATTTCATACATTTCTTCTGTGGACAATCTTCCTCCTGTGTCTTTCAGCGTAGTTGTTTTACAATCGATATACTATGACATTATGCTGAAACCTCCATACTGCCCTGTTTTTTTAATCGTCACACCTTTTATGGCTTTTGGAAATCACCGCCGCCGAGAAGGTCCTTCAAATTGAGCTCGCCGCTTCCGCGCTGTAATGGCTGTGGCTGATTACCGCCCTCTTTCCAGCCGATCATATAGATCATCCGAAACGTCGCCGGAATACCAGGCGCATCATCTTCCATATGCATAGCCTTGTAGATGGCCTCGTTGGCCAATAAAACATCTCGTGACAAAGGACCAGCTTCTCGATGGAGGATGGCATTGCTTTCTCCCATCGCCTGCAGGTCTTGCATGAGAGCAAAGGTATCGGGGAACTCAACCACAATATCTTCGACATCAACTGTAAGCATCTTGAAGCCTGCGCGGTTCAAAAGATTGCCCACGTCCCTGACATCGGCCAGGGGTGACACATGAGGACTGACACCTCCACGACGCTCCAGATCCGCCAATTGAAGCGATCCGCGCAGCTCGAAAAGGGTGTCTCCACCGAACATAGCTGCAATAAACGGACTGTCGGGCTTGAGGATAGTGTTCACTTGTTCGAGCATGGCGGGCAGGTCATTAATCCAGTGAATCGATAGTGACGACAGGACGGCGTCGAATGTGTTCGGCTGGTACGGCAATGTCTCCAGGTCCGGAATCACGTCGCGATGGATGTTGATCTCTTTATTGAAAGGCAAGTCTTCATCACGATGCAGCAATGCGTGCGATGATTCAACACATGTCAGCTTCGAAATCCGCTCTGCCAGCGGTGGTGTTGGCGTACCCTCTGGGGCAGCCATATCGAGGTTTGGGGTTGTCAATGCCCGCGCAATGTTACAGCTGTTTGCACCCAGATCGAGTACATTAGGAAAATCACGCTTGATATCCTATTTTGCGCAAAGACAAGCTCCAGTCAGCCTTTCGCTTCAAGAAAACGGCACTAGCTCGACAGCAGATCTTACCAACAGACGCTCGCATAACCGCAATGCCACCTCATCCTTCAAATAGTCCGTCTTCCGGCTCTCTTCCTTATTCCGAGCCGCTCGCTCCTTTTGTAGATTCTTGGCTTTGCGATTGAAAATCTCCAGCATGGGATTGCCAGGTGTTTGGCTAGCGTAGGTCCGGATGCCGAAGGTTGCGGCGATGCATCGCCGGGGCAGGCTGGCGCGGAACGAGTGAAGAGAGATCATGGTTACTGTGTATTTGCGGACTGATTATATGCCTGATTGAGAGTTTCTCAGGCCATTCCTGCGGGGTGGGATGTTGGAGCGTCGGAGGTCAAGGGGAGAAATGACGAGGCCCAATTTTTGTTCTGACGTCGATTGTTGACGCGGAACCTCCGCAGCTCCCTCACTTTCTCCGCGCGCGCACACATCCACGCCCGCCATTATTACTGCTGGCCTCCGGACCACTCGGCTCTTCTGGGCAATCCGGAAACAGGTACTTCTGATTGCAAACCTGTATCAGATAGACACTGACACAATTGCTTCAAGCCTTTTCCTCGTAAGTTACGTGTAAGGGCGCGGACTTGTTGCCCATGCCCATGCCTGACTGAACACAGCCCACCCGATTTGCAAACGCTTATGCTAATGCCCAAGACAGCTTGGAGATATTAGATCAAGTAGCCTTTCATTGTGCGCCCGCAGATGCCGCATGTTTCCCGCCCCTTTCACGCAGCAGCAAATCCCCCCGCCGACACAAAGCATGAATTGACCGAGCGGCGCGCCCTGAGTCCAACTACCCCCCATCGCATCTAATACCCCGCTGGCCAGGATAAGAACAATGTCTCGGCCATTTCCTTACACTTATATTTCATGTCCCTGTGCCGATACACCGGTCCCTGACCCGGCCAGGAAGCGAAGGTCTAGGGAGTCACCACAAAAGTCGACACCCGAGCAGGAAACCAAAGCCGATAAGGCCCAAAGCGACTCAAACCCTCGGGCTGAACAAGATGAAAATGAACAGGATGAGCAAACATTTGATCCCAGATCACCGCGGTCCAATTTCTCTCTGTATCCACCTGAGCAACTACTCTACTGTGAGGACTGCCACCAGATCAAATGCCCCCGATGCATCACTGAGGAAATTGTGAGCTGGTTTTGTCCCAATTGCCTCTTCGAGACACCTAGCAGTGTGGTACGAAGTGATGGGAACCGGTATGTATAAGTTCCTCGCCATCTATACACCTTGGTGTCAACTACAACTAACACCTGCAATTCTCAGCTGCGGTCGAAATTGCTTCAATTGTCCTATTTGCACAGCTCCGCTGGCCGTTAGTACTATTGAGAATGTTACAGGAAACGGTAATCAACAAGGACCTTGGGTCTTGTCATGTGGTTACTGTTTATGGACAACACTCGATATTGGCATCAAGTTTGACAAGCCAACCAATATCCGCAGCCAGCTGCAGAAGATGACTGATTCGACGACCGTACCTACTTTTGATGCGCGATCACGTCAGGGCTCCCGCGCATTTGGCGATTTGAAGTCTCCATTGTCCAATTTGGCGTCTATTGATGAGCCGCCCATTATTAAGGACGATGATGCCAGTCAATCTGTCTCCAAGGAAGAAGACTCGACATCCTCGCCTCATCTTGGTGCCGAAGCTCGATTTGCGGCCTTGAAATCATTTTATCGTACCCAACTGTCGGAGACTTCAACATCGCCCAGTGATCCGCTAGGGTCCGATTTTGGATTCTCTTCCCCTGGGGCTCTGAACCGACTCATGTCCCTCTACGCCTCTTCCTCACGTCTGAGCGGACTGTACGGTGGTAATAAAAAGTCCAAGTCAAAGCCACCTGTCATGCGTGAAGCTCTTACCGCCAGTGAAGGGTTGCGCATTGCTCCCGAGGGCAAAGACAGCGCCATCATCGAGCGACTCGCCTCATCAGACTGCGGCTGGGACGGCGTTGCATCCATCGCCCAACGCTCTGAGCAGTTACCGGATGTTCGGTTTGTCGATGAGGTGCTACCGTTACCTGTTCTTCTGCGTACTAAGCGCGCAAAGCGATGCAAATCCTGCAAGCACATTCTCGTGAAGCCTGAGACCAAACCCCAGTCGACTCGCTTCCGCATCCGCCTGATTGCTCTCAGTTACATCCCCCTTCCAACCTTGCGCCCTCTCGCTTCCTCATCGTCCATGGTGTCAAACCCAACACCTTCCCCGGACCTAGATGCATTGACACCTCTCCGACCAATTCACGTCCTGCTCACCTTGAAAAATCACATGTTTGACCCCGTCCGCATCACGCTTGCGACGCCTTCTGTGACGCCAGGAAGAGTGGCGAGCAAGGTTACTGTTCTCAGCCCGCAATTTGAGATCGGGGCTAACAGCGATGTTTGGGACGAGGCCTTGCAGGGCGCCACTGCTCCTATTGGGGATTTGCGGGCTCCTGGTTTGCGTGGCGAGAAGGTCCCTGAGGCGGGTAAGGTCTGGGACAAAGGCCGCAACTGGACAACAGTCGTCTTAGAAGTAGTCCCGGGAACGCTACCTGGCTCTGAGGCTGAAAGTGGTCCGGCGACAGGCGATGGGGATGGGGATGATGTCGCTGTAGCAGTGCAAAAAGATGAAGACGTATTGGAGATTCCGGTGTTTGTGCATATGGAATGGGATGCTGAGGCCCAACTCGAGCAGCAAAATGTGGGGAAGGCATCTAAGCCTGACGAGCTGGTTGCTCGAGAACTTGCATATTGGATGGTCCTGGGAGTTGGAAGAATCCAGCAGACGCTCTAGATGACTAAAGACCGTCAGCGATTTTGCTGATAGTTGTATTTTTGCATACCCCAAATGTAATTAGTGATTTTCTGTTCATACCCAACCAGCAGCATCGAGTATTGAAGTGCTTCACATCTTGAGAATGTTGAACAGTAGTTGGTCTCCATTTGGAAACTCCACGCCAGATGCTCGAGATGCAGAGATCGCAAAGTATCATTCGGGCCATTAGCAAGATACCCAGGTACCCCGAACTTTACTAATCTACATGGGGTTCTACGCCGGGGAAACAATTGAAAAGTCGAATTGTGCAATTGGAATATTTATCACATATCCCATCCCATCCTCATTAAGAGAGAAACACGGCCCGGATGGAAGATTCAGCTCCGTTGCCTCGCCTCGCCCAGAGGTCTAGAGAACCGGAGGCCTAAAAAAACCATGCACCAGTCAATGGGGGGCAACATAACTCAAAGAAAACCCGTGAATGCATTTTTTGGTCTTTCACCCGTCATGCTCTCTCCTTGAATCTAGTGAGTTTCGGACCTAGAAACAAGCAAACCCAAAATACACCGTCATCTCCTTTTTTCTCCCTCCCCAACAGGACGTGCTTAGTACTCGGCACCGCTCTGGGGGAACTCGAACACGACAGCACGGCCGGTCAACCGACGGTAGACCTCGCCGTAGGCATCGAGACGGTGGTCAACGCCACCCTTCTCCTTCTCGTCCAGGACAACCTTCAGGGTCTTGCTGCCGTCCTCCTTGGTGCGGGTGCGCTGGCCGACGATCTCGACGGGGTAGACCAGGTCGCTGAGGATGGCCTGGTGGACAGCGGTCAGAGTGCGGGAACGGGGACGCTTCTGGGTCTGGTTGGAGCGAGAGTTGACGGAGCGCTTGGGGCGGGGCAGGATGCGGCGCTGAGCAACGAAGAGAACGTGGCGGTCGGAGAACTTCTTCTCGAGCTCACGGGTCAGGCTGTTTGAGATGAAAAAATCCAGATTAGTTTCCGTGTGATCTAAACTGAGTGGGATCATCAAAAAAAAACCCGGGCGGGTGTTGAATATCGTCTTACCGCTGCTGGATCTTGTGGAAGCCCTGCAGAAGGGGAACGGGGACGAAGATGACGATGGCCTTCTTGCCGTGGCCGACCTCGACCTAGAAGTGGAAATGCAAGTCAGAACTTCGGTTCGGACAAAAAAAGTGCGCGCGCACACAAAGTGCAAAATTCAAGACATCCAATGGGGGCAGCGTTGAGGAATTGCGTCGTCGGTGGTTTTCTCATTCTTTTCCAATGGCTTGTTCCAATCTTCATGTGTTGTGCGATATCCGCAGAAGAAAATTGACGAATGTCACAAATGTCCAGTTTTCCATATCCCTGCCTTGATCCAAACCACCGTACGCCGAATTCCTCATGCCGTGATTCCAGATGTTGTTGTCGAAAAAATAATCAATTCTTACCTCACGGGCAGAGGCGAACTGCAGGGGACGAAGGGAAGCCTTCAGGTCCTGAGTGTTGCTCTCGAGGTCGAAGAGAGCGCCGGCGATCGCAGTCTCCAGCTCGGAGGGGTTCTGCCGGGAAGGCGAGTTGAGGGCAATCTTGTTAACGGCAGCCATGATTGCGAGCGACGAGGTGCTGCGAAGGTGCTGGTTGAGGTCGGCGGAGGGGAGGTGGTTCTTCTCTCGCGGTCCAAGAGATGGTGAATTTGCTGTGGGATCGGCACATTCGCTTAGGGTGCGCTAGTGCTAATTTGGGACTAGCGCAATATCGCTCTCGGGGGGGGTTGTCAGGTCCCGTGACCAGTCTGCCCTCTGCGGCCTCTGATTGGTGTGGAGCAGGTGAGACGATTCAAGGCTCGATGATAGAAAACGATGTACAATTCTAGAGAAGCGATACTACAGACGACACATGGGAGACGATGGATATAGGCGCAAGGCAACCGACGAAAATGTCGCACCTGGCGCGCAACACAAAAACAAGGGATGACACGAAACGGGAGACGCCTAGACCCATGAAAATTGCAACGGTACGAAACAAACCTATATCCTCCTTCAACACGCGCAGCCCTCCTTGGCGGTCGCGGCATCCCGGTCACCCAGATTTACCCTCGAGTCCTCTCCTGGCCTGGATCCCAGCGCAGCTTGGCCGGCTCCACCGGCACCCCGACCAGTCTTCAGGCTGCTCTCCGGGATGGCGTTGGCAATGGCAGTGAAGACATCCACCACATTCGTGCCAGTCTTTGCACTGGTCTCGAAGAACAGCAATCCTTCTTCCTCAGCGTATGAATTCGCTTCCCGAGTCGAGACTTTACGAGCATCGCCGGGGATGGCATCTTGGCTTTCACCTTCCTCCCCATTCTCATCATCAGGTCCAGCTGACTCGGATTCACTCTCGCGAACGGCCGCGGCAGCCGGAGCATCGCCGCCATCGTTGGTCAAGTCCAGCTTGTTGCCGACAAGGGCAATGACGATCCCTGGGCTAGCCTGACGCTGCAGCTCTGCCACCCAATGTTTCGCTTTTGTCAACGAGGACGGCTTCGTGACATCGTAGACGACCAGGGCGGCCTGGGCATTTCGGTAATACATAGGTGCGAGCGACGCAAATCGCTCCTGGCCTGCCGTATCCCAGATCTCAAACTTAATTGTGCGTGTGGGAAGAGAACATTTCTGTGTCAGGAAGGCAGCTGAATGATGACGTTAGCAACCCATGCTGAGGTGAGAACGAGTCCGATCGGTGGGTAAGGCTTTATTTGGAGATTGACTCATTGTAGGACCGTGTAAGTCTGTCGTCTTATAGGCAGACTTGCAGGGTAGAAGCTCTCTTTCTTTAAGGCCTTAAGTGCTCATTTGGGAATGGGTCATGATTCTTACCGCCGATCGTGGGCTCCTTGTTTTCCTGGAAATCATTGTTCACAAAACGAAGTACAAGTGATGACTGTGAAGAGGAAACCCGTCATCAGCGATAGGTCCGGTGTAACACGGTATAATATCAAGCCTACCTTGCCCACAGCAGCCTCACCCAGCAATACAAGCTTGACACTGCTGCTTGGCTTTGGGGCATTTGCGCTAGTTGATTCAGACATGACTGGAAGAAGAGAGAATTGTAACGTTGAAAGAGACCACGGGTCTGGCCGTCGTGCGGCAAGCGACGCCTGTCAAATAACCGGGCAATCAGGCAGAAGGATGGGCCGGGCGGGTTCCGCTGTAGCTCCTGTATTGCGGGAAAGGGCCCTATGTAAGACTGAAGTTTAAAATTGAGGTTTGAGTCTATCCGTGGTGACGGAATGAGAGTGAAGAATGATGTCGCAAACCACGGGGGAAGCTGAGGGAGTTGGAGGTGGAGGTCGATGATGATGTTGGTGGCCCTAATCCGGATTAGCGTGAACGGAAGGTCCCAGAGGTCACGGGATGCTACTATGTAGGAACAAAGGGAGTACGAACATAGCCGGTGAGAATGTATCAAAAGCGATCAAGGTAGTGAGAGAAATTGCATTTTTAAAGTTTGCTTTATTTGAATACTCCGATTTTTCTTCTCAATTTGAAAGCTCTGGTGGTCATGAATGTTACGATAATATTAAAAATTGATATGCAAGTACTGGCATTCATGAATTAATATATCTTGCAGTAGAAATGAGGTTCTCATTCACAAAAAGTCAACTGAAAGCACAACAGAAGTTGCTAGTTTTGATTGATCAAAGATGACATGTTCTCCCTATGTTCTAGATCATGTACTATATACTAGTAAAATTCAATCTAAAAAAATCCAAAGATATAACTGTGCCATGATGGGACATTTCACTCCCTGAAAAATCACGAAAGGGTCCAAAGAGAGAGTCTCCCAGGGGCTCTATCATTGATTTGTTCAAGCTTTTAACACATTGAATTTGGGTGATATCTTAAGCTCCAATGATTGATGCACCAGATACACTACCACTATTTACGTTCCGAACGTCACCTGGTTCTCTACTTGAAGAAAAAAAAGGCCTATATACATACCAAGCGATCGCACATTCAAGATCGGTTCCTAGATTTTGATTTTAACTGGCTTTCTTAAAAGGCTCTCATTGGCAGTTGGGTCCAGGAACACTCAGCGTGCTTCTGGGTATTTCCAGATGAAGGCTCTTGCATGGATCTGCAAGTAGTCTAATGTCGGAAGCTTATCTGGTGTTCTCATATTGAAGACTGATCAAGAGGCTTGCAATGCATTGTACAACTATTTGTAGTTTGAGACTTCTTATCTAAAATCTAAAGCCAGATAAATCGAACAGATTTTGACTTCAGTAATCGCCCTGTAGGAGCTTGGTTAGAAATAAGGCAAGTAAGCGAGTGACTCGAAAACTTCTGCCTTATAACTTGTGATTTTGCATTTTTTTTGTTCAAGTTATGGTAATGACACAAGCAAAATTCAGATGAAGATCTTTCATTATTTATTTAACCTAGAAGCAATGTAGTATACGTCCAATTTGAAAATGAAAATGATTTCTTCGTTCTTTGGTAGCCCTATGGCTTTGGGAATTTTTCACCATCCTATCATCATTTACTGATAGTCTTATCAGCCTGATTTTCCCATACATGATATTTAACCCAAGTGATCTTTATCTTGGGAAGTTTACTTTTTCCACTGATATTATTCTTGCTTTTGTTGTGATCGGAGACTGCGCCCATTAAGTTATACGCGCTATCTGCGCCAATTTAGATGCCTTCTTTCATATGACACAATTTGGACTGGGAATAGCCGTGATTGACCAAGTCCAATTCAGAAAATCATGTCGGTCTAGAACAAGTCAAATGGCGGTAGCAAGTGGTAAAACAAATCCGAGCTCATGACCAGTCTTGTTGCGGAAAGATGAAATTATCTGCATTGTAGCCAGCCAAGAGTCTCTCGTTCCTGACCAAAACCAACAGTAAAGTTAAGACTAGTGCCCAACGATTCTGAAAGATAATATCGGGCGCTAGAGGAGCTCCTGTTGGGCTCAGGGCCCGTCTGCCGATGCACCGACAGGGGCCAGCATCGAAAATCAGGCGGGCGGCTTCTGGCTCCGGCGTTAGTCCTCAAGCAAATCTGCCCGACGCTCTACGCATTTCGCCCAGTGCACCTGTCAAACCTGGGGGACACGACAGTTTGCCCTCGCGAACTTGTCCCAGACTTTTTCTTCAGGTATGGTTAGACCGCGGTCTAGACCAAGAGAGGGGATTTTGGATGCAAGGACAAGATCAGCAGGTGCTTGGATTCAGCTGCGCACAAAATACTATACAGATGACAACATCGAAATACAGAGGTAAATACAAATACAAAGCTCTCAAGAGCACTGTACGCCCAAATAATAATATCAGCAAAATAAACGTGCTATTGACCGCGAGGTCGAAAGTCTAGGTTCTTCTGGTATCAGCCCATGTATCCCATGCAACAATATCCGTCCCATCTATGCCAAAACGCCGTGGGAGATCAAACAAAACCATTCAAAGAACCACAAAAGACAACAACAAAGACAAGGCACTTTTGAGAGATTGAATAGAGGGGAAAGATAGAAAATCAAAACAGTAACATCTCAGAGCGTCGTGGGAGGTTGGAAGAGAAGTGAGGTAATAGGTAAGAGGTCGGAAGAAAGGTCGAGAATCCGAAATGAGGAGGTATAATGCGCACATGCGAGGATAGCAGTAAAAGAATTGAAAAAGCGTCGACGCTGAAAATCCGAAACCGATGCAGAGAGAAGAAGAATTAAAAGGGTATATGAGATCGCGCAAGTCCAGTGGCGAATAGGACACCAGAAAAGTATGGTCGAAATAGCGGTAGGGAAAAAAAAATCAACATAGTAAAAATAAAATAGTGTTACAAGTATCTGGTTCAATTGTCAGTTTGGTGCCCAAGCTGAGGTATGGCGTTGCGACCTCCAGATCATGACTCACCGAAAGAGAGTGCAAACTCCAAAACGTAGAGGCGTCAAACTCCAGCATCCGAGGGCGCTAGAACGCAAAATTCCAGATGTCATACCGCATCATGCGGGAGGAAGTCAGGATGAACGACCGAGGGTATCTTGAACAAGTAACTATTTCGGTGGAGGGGGAGCATTCGGCTTCTTGACCCCCGTTGTGTCATAGGCGCCTCGGCCCATGTTGAAGGCGGACAAGTCTCGGAGAATCATGTTGAAATCTGCAGAGGCAATCATGATTGTTAGGCCGAGTGAAATCAAGTAGCAAGGTGTGGCGAAAAATTGGAATATGGAGAGACTGTGAGGAACTGGGTTTGGAATGAGAAGAACTTACCGACTGAATACCACCACGAAGGGTTCTTATATAGTAATTTCTCGACCGCGAGAATCGTTTGACAAACGAACTCCCAATCCACCCCCCGAAGCGCACAAGAGAGAAAAAGAAAAGATAGAATATTCTCGACCGGGACGGGCGGCGCAGGCGATGTGGATGCAGGTTTAGTCAAGATCGGAAAAGACGATCCTTTTTAAAGAGGACTACTGGAACAATGCGGGCGCCAGCAGATTGTAGGGCAGGAATGTGATGACACAGACCCGAGAGAAGTAAAAAGGGCGGGTGTGTTCCAACTGGATGGACTCGACAGGTCGTCGCTCGTTGCTTTTTATTTGGTTTGTGCCACTGCAAGATTGCGCAAGTCGGGTGAGGGCCGGTACTTTCTTTCCCTTAAGGAAAAAAAATGGGACCGAAAAATAGTGATTCAAGATGATAAGCGCGAGGGTGGCTGCAGAGTCAAGGCCATAAAATCGCGATCTAAACCGGGAATAACGGGCAGAAGGGATGCTCAAGCTAGGCCGGCAAGGGAGACCCTGGAAAGGAGAAGTGCCGCGGAACTGTGACCCGGTAGATCCGGTTGAAAACCAGCGACGTATCGCAAGGGAGAAGGGAGAAGACAGGGCGGTAGGGGTAGGAAGGCGGGTTCGCAGGAGAGCTGTCGGCGGAGGAGGTTGAAAGCAAGATAGGAAGACGAGGACCAGGCTATGTCGGAAGGTCTTGAGGGAAGCCAAATTAATAAATAAACCAGAATCCTACCAGGGGGCGCAGGGGGATTGATTGCGTAGATATAGGATCATGATGGGCTTGTCGTCAACGACGAAAAAAAAAGAACTAGGGTGATCTTCCCTTCAGTTTCTTTATTTTTTTTGGGAGAATTTAATTTGGGGGATTTAATTTTGTGTTTTTGGATTTATTTGATTTTATTTCGCATCACATTAAAGGGCCATAGAAAAAGAATAATAATCCTAGAGAATTAACCCAAGCCAATGAGCTCATACATTCAAAAACCCATAATTCAATAAAAACAATAAATCGAGAAAAATCATTTTACGGAAAATCCCCTTGAAAAGGGGAAACAAAAAGACCAAAAAAGACCAGAGCTCCCAAAAAGACCACCAGCGATTAGTGTAATTTTAAGGATTCAGTCATATTTCATGGGTTTTCCCGCACTTGATCGTTTCGTCCATTCAGAGGTCGCCCTCATAAGCTTATGGGTTCTATCTTTTTTTTTTTTTTTTTTTTTTTGTTTAGCAGGGCGGCTCTCCCGTCCGTCCCTGGTCCCGGGGAACAGGAACGCGACCATCCAAGCCCCCCTTTCCTGC